AATGTGAAGGATATGCCCCTGGTACAACATGTGGCCAAGATCTTTGGGATGACCACATCCCAAGCACAATCCGAAATCGATAAACACAAATCCATATGGACCGAAAAGGCGGCTCTGCAGGACCTAAAGACCTATCAAGCCCACCTAAATCTCCAGACACATAAAACATTGTCAAGAGATGATTTTGAGTCGGATGAGAGTTATGATGGCTGGAAAAAGAGCGAAGGTCCTGATCTTTCACAGATGATGCTCGCAATCGTGCAGTCCAATCCCGAACTGGCTAAAAGCACTCCTGGGTCTCTTCCTCAGTTTAATTCTAGTCCACATGAGAATCCCGACTTGTCAAGGACATCTTATGTCATTGATCAGCCTGTTGATTTAAGTGGGCTTTCTCTAGAAGAGTCAGATGAATCCGATACATATACATTCATACCGTCTGACCCTAGGTCTTTGTACAAATACATCTTGTCCCAGACCTTGAGCCATGATCTGCGAGACCGGGAGCTTGAAGCTACGCAGGCCACATCTGACGTGCCTTCAATGAAACTGCTTTCAAAGCAGTCTACGGAAATGCTTAATGAGATATGTCTCCGCTGGCGGATTCCAACCTTCTCTCGGGTCGTGCTGTTCCTTGAGGTGGCTCAGACTAAATTTGTCGACAATGAAATTGATCTAACTACTCTTGACTCGGCGTTTACTTTTGTGAAAGAAATGCCTTCGGGCGAGAACCGCAAACGCAGTAGTTTTGTGGCTTCCACGGTCTTTGATCGGCAACGATGGACCGTACATGATCATGAAGTGATGCAAATTCTGCTGTCTAAACTTCATGAAGCTTTGCTCCGGGAGCTATATGAGGCTATGATGGACTGCTTTGAGGCAAAGCCACGCCCTCTCGGCCCAGTTATGTACGTTCTTGATACCCACGTCCAGATGGATCCCAACTATATTGAGGACCCTGAAGACATCGACCGATTCAGCACGTATGTGCAAGAAGGACTTGCCCAAAAAGCAACAATGAAGTATCAAACCCTCCTTAGCCAGCTAATCCCCGTGGAACAAGAGGCTTGGGATCCCGACCATGTCATTCAGCTTGGAGATGCAATCTCGAAGCTTGCACTAAAGATCCAGAAACGCTACCGCAATAACCCGGAGATCATGGGGTGAGTTTTTTTTCTCTTTTTTTTTTTCTTTGTTTTTCTCTTCTCGTCTATCTAGTCGATTAGTCCCTAACTTACAAATAGTGTAAATCCCTATACCACCTTGTGCCACAACGTTCTTCCTATGTTCGCTGAGGATGCACATGAAATGATCATTAGGATTCTCGAGCAGGCAAAAGCGAGAGGCGAGGAGATCGCTATTGAAGATGGCTTCGACCTATATAAGCAGCTTGCAACTATCAGACGGGTATTCCATAACACTCATGAGGAGTAAGCTCTCCTAGACTCCCCTGCTGTTCCTATGAAATCAGCTAACTTATCTTAGTGCTCCATTCCCATTCCATGTGGAGAGTCTCCTTCAGGACTTTGTCTGGAGATGGCTTCGCCTGACTGACCAAAAGGTCATGGATTGGGTCAACCAAGCTACAAGGCAAGATGCATTCACCGTTCGTGCAGATGGAGCGACAGAGCTCGCGCCTGAGGACGATCGTCACAGTGTATCGGTTATTGATATTTTCCGATCTTTCAACCAAGTTGTTGAAAATATGGTACAACTAGAGTGGGATGATGATCTTCAATATGCGAAGTTCATGACGCATCTCTCTAATTCAATTGGGAAAGGTGTGGCAACGTACTGCGACTCCTTAGAGAAGATGTTCGCGCGGGAGATGGATCGTCTCACACCTGAGCAGGAGGCAGCATTGAATCAAACCACCCAGGAAAAACTAATGCAGTTCGCCAAAGACACCTGGACAAATAAGGATAAAATTGAGCCCTTCCAATTCTCTTCTGAGGTATGTTCTTATGTATTTCAACTGGGTACATATTGCAGCTAACATTTCCCATAGTCACTGGTGAAACTGAACAATATTGAGTATGCACTTGCTCAACTCGACAAACTCGAAAATGATATCAACGTTGATGCGTGCGCCGAAGTCATTGCAAGAAATACCCCACCGCAGCTCAAGAAGGTCCGCAAGTCTACCACCTATGTCTTTACAATCAAGGTAGTGGAAGCAGAGGACTTGAAAGCATGCGATATTGGTGGTGGTAGCGATCCATATGTCGTCTTGACGGACGAATATCAGAAAAGAATCGCTAAAACTCGCATCATCTACAATAATCTTAATCCGCGGTGGGAGGATGCAGTGGATCTAACTACACAAGGCCCTCTGAATATCATTGCTACCATCTGGGACTGGGATGCGGTGGGCGATCACGACTACGTTGGTCGCACGTCGATCAAGTTAGATCCTGTTCACTTCAGTGACTTTTTGCCAAGAGAATATTGGCTCGACCTGGATACTCAGGGTCGGCTTCTACTCCGAGTTAGTATGGAAGGCGAGCGAGATGACATCCAGTTCTACTTCGGCAAGGCTTTCCGTACGCTCAAACGAACTGAAAGGGATATGACTCGGAAGATCACAGAGAAGCTTTCGGCGTACATCAGTCACTGCCTTTCCCGGCGCACACTAAAATCTCTACTCTCTCGCGGACTCAGTATATCTAGTGTCTCGAGCTTCTTGAATCGCAACCGAGCGCAGCCAGCCCCTGCCGGACCCACACCGGCAGACGTCGAAAATGCACTGACTCCTCTGTTTAATTACTTCAATGACAACTTCGCCATCATGAACAAAACCCTCACACCCGAAGCTATGAAGATGGTGATGGCCCGTCTATGGAAGGAAGTGCTCGCTACTATCGAGAGCCTACTCGTACCACCTCTGTCGGATAAGCCGTCCCATCAGAAGCCATTAACCATCCAGGAAGTCGACATCGTATCACGCTGGCTCGTGCTACTATTGAGCTTCTTCCATGCGATTGACGACGAAACCGGTGAAGCAAACGGTGTCCCAATCGATATCCTGAAATCACCCAAATATCACGAAATCCAGTCTCTGAATTTCTTCTACTTCGAACCAACGGAGCACCTCATTCGCACCTCCGAACGCATGGCCTCGGCGACTGTCAACCGCCAACAAGCGAACCGCAATCGCACTTCCGCACCTGCCCACCTCGGTGCCACAGGTGCCAGCCACGGCGGCTTGGGTCTTCCCGCTGCCCGTCGCGCCAAGAGTATCATGCTTTCCCGCAACCTAGGCACTATGAAGAAGGCCAAGGAAGAGAAGCGGCGGGAGGCGCAGGCTGATCCCAACGATGATATGATCCTGCGCATTCTTCGCATGCGCCCCGAAGCGGCCGGTTATCTCCGCGACCGTAGCCGTCAGAAGGAAAGACTTGCCGCTGCTGCTGCTGCCGACGCTATCGTGAAACAGAGTCTGATGGCCGGTGCTGGAAGCCGCATGAGCGGTACCATCCCCCGCGGTAGGTGAATATGCACCTGTCGAGCAATCTCTTCTACCTGTTGACTCTTTATGTTTCCTATTTTCCTTTATACATCAAGTCAGCAATGTTGTGTTTTTTTCTCTGTTCTCTATTTCCTTCGTCTCCTGCATCCTGTCTCATTACGCATGGACCCTCAACTCTTATGATTCCCAATTTGGCATCTGCTTGTACTCGCGCATGTATGTTTCTTGAGGGAAATGAGATCAGAAATGGAACTAATCAAGATGAAGGTCTCCGCGAGGATTTCACAAAATAATCCGAATTCATTCTCATTATTATTGTAAAATATTACATTGTTTTTATTGCCTCAAATAGAAGTAATACCGAAATTAAATAGATTCCTTAATCTATTCCAGAGCAATGCACTCAATCTCAACAGGCACACCCTTAGGCAGCTGGTGAACAGCAACACAGCTACGAGCAGGCTTGTGAACGAAGAACTTCTCGTAAGTAGCGTTCATCTCGGCGAAGTTGGCCATATCAGTCAGGAAGACCTGAGAAAGAAATCAATATCAGCAAAGCCCTTCTCATAACTTGCGTATACTTCTCCCTGGCAAGGCCAAAACCAGAAACACCACAATAGCAAAGCCGGGAGGGGACACTTACATTGACCTTCACAATCTTACTCACATCGGAGCCAGCGGCGGTCAGAATAGCCTTGATGTTATCGCAGCAAACCTGGGTCTTCTCGCCGATGTTACCCTCGATCAAGTTCGCGGAGGCGTCGGCAGGGATCTGGCCGGAGACGAAGATCTGGCCGTTGGCGCGGATGGCCTGAGACTGTAATTGGTTTGTTAGCTGATTCTTTTACAGTTTGTACGATGTGTGTAAGTGTGGAATGGGTGTCTCGGAGTGGATTGTTCCGGGGTGGAGGGGTCGCTATCGAGGTAAATTAAGCTGTAGATGTAGATTGAGGGAAGGACGACGTACGTAGGGGCCGGCAGCTATAATAGATGCGAGTTAGCTATTATTCTTTGTTTGTTTTGGTTCATTTTCCTGGATTGAATGTGCTTTCGTTGTCTAAGAAGCAGAGGAGGACTCATGGCGGGAGTTGACTTACGAGGGCAGGCATCCTTAGCGGAGATGATGGACATGTTGGCAGACATTATGGGGGAATGGGATTGGGGTTGAATTGAAGGATGAAAGGTTCTGGATAGAGATAGAAGACGAGAAGTAGTTCGCAGCATCGGGGAAAGAGGAAGTTATATATGGGAAGGTCGTGATGATAACGAAGGTGCCCCGCTCTGCGAGTTTCCCTCGGAGAGTGTCAATGCTCCCCGATGGAGTGGTTCTTTTTCTTACTTTACATTCGAAATTTTGTTATTCTAGCGTCGAAATGTTATAGATCTCACATTGAAATTTGTATGAAAATGGGATTCAATTGGGCTAATATAGTGACAATACTTGCTTAAAAAAAAATTCATGTCGTTTCGTCGTGATGCGTTAGATGTCTTGCGCCTTCCATGAACATACTGTACAAAAGAAGATTCTTCGTGGTCATGATTTGCCCAGGTTGCCGAACTGCTGTAATAAATTGGCAGTCTCCTCGGCGGAATACCCGAAGAAGAGGGGACCATTGAAAGTGATGTGGGAAGGGGTTGAGAATATTGAGGGGATGCCGGGTTTCGTAGTCGAGTCCTTGCTCACAGGAGCAGTTGGAGCGTGAGAAGCGACCTGGGGAGCAGGAGCAGGTGCTTTAGCTATGACGTCCTGATCCTTAGGCCAGGTCTTAGGCCAGTCACCAGTCCAGGGGGGCTCGGTTTCAGGCTTTGAAACTTCAGCCTTTGATTTGCTGTAGCCGAATGGACAACCAGGTTTCTCTTGGGTAATAACATTTTTGTCCTTGGGACTTTCACCGCCCCCAGTTGTTTCCGTTTCAGGCTTTGGGACTTCGGGCTTTGGTTTACCGTGGCCGAATGGACAGCCGTGAGCAGGTTTATCATCGAGGAAGTTTGTATTGGCGGCTTTATTAGGTTTGTCGGTTTGAGGGTCAGAGAATATAGTAGGAATAGACGCCGAGCCAGATAAAGGCGCTGAGGCGAGAGGTAGATGTGTGACAGGCACTGAAATTCCCCAAGGCCTGCTTGGGGATTCACCCACGCGGACTTCACGGAGGGGACGGTCGAAGTGACTCTGGCGGTTATCATCCTCGTTATCCTCTTCGTTCTCGTTCTCCTTCTCGATCTCGGCACTGGGCGTATTGGGATCCACGTTGTCGGCCCATTTCTCAACACGTTCAGTCGACACAGAATGCGAGGAGTGGCCTTCGCCGTTGGTCTGACGGTCAGGCAGGAAGGCTTGGTGCTTGACGCCTAGGCCAGCGATCATACTGGTCAGGCCGCCGTATTTTGCATCCAATTGTCTCATATCCCGTGGGTTTCGCTGATAGCGATTGACGCAAATTGCGTGGCTGCGGGGGATCTCATGTTTGTGTCGTTCAACGTATTCGGCGATTTCTTCTGGGGAGTGTTGATCTAGAAATCGGATTGGGCATCGGGAGACGGGGCACGCTCCTTTTGATGACGGAGCTGATGGGGTGTGGCTAGAGCGTCGTTCGTCTTGTTCAGCCTTGATAGGATCCAGATGCTCGTGGCCACAGGTAGCTTCGATCTGGATCTTCGGGGCAGAGTTTCTCCCACTGGGGGCCTCGCTGCCATTTGTGCTCTGCATCTTATTCGGTTTGGAGAAGGGGCAATGAAGATTTCCCTGGGTGCCATTCGTTGTGAAGTCCTTCTCCAGCGCGATTACTGGAGCCGGTGCTTGCGCGAGGATGCACGAGTTGGAGGATATTTGGGAGGGGCTATCTTGAGAACGGAGCAGATGTTTGCACCCTTTAACTCCATTCTTGATGGCCGATAAAGTATTTTCGTCTACATTTTGATGTGAAACGAGAGTCTTGATTACATCCATGGAATTCAACGGTTGTTCCTCCACTCGAGGCTTGCTGTGTACGAGGCCCTGACGATATTCTTCTTGCTGAGCGAACAGCTTGAATTGAACGTCTTGTGCATGATGTCTATCTTGAGGAGGCAGAATTTCTATCACATTTGTGTACTACAAGATACAAAGTTAGCAATGTTCATCTTGTCAAATGCATAACAGCAAGGCAGTCATAGTCTCAATCAGATAATACATGTTAATCCGTCATCGCCACAAAAGTGACTCCTGATCTAGAGCTTTTCTTCGTCATGCGAGACCAGGATGCGGGGGCAGAAGGGAGGATGTAGTGTGCTATTTACCTCTTTGAAGACATTATCCATGTGCTGTAACAGCTCATTTTGTCTATGTGTCAGCTGGTACACGGTTAGTAGGAGTGCATCGAAGGCTTTGCCGACGGCCTCGAGCTGGTCATGATGATCCGGCTGCATCTCGGCAATCACGGCAGGTGACATGAGCAAATGTATTACAGTATCAGAAAGAATTCATCTGAGATGGAAGTGGCCTGTGGAGGCTCAAACTTCAAAAGCATGAGAGATGGGAAAGAAGAAAACAGGCAGATTTATAGCGATGGGTCGACACCGGAAAAACTTGAAGCGAGATGGTCTGTGCGGATCATGTGAGGGACTATCCGTTTTAGGCTTGGGCCGAGGCCGAGTATACTTTGATGTACAACACACCTAGGGGGCTTGGAAATACATCGATTCTCCCTTGTTCAACATATAATAGAGTATCTAGATGCAGGTACATTCAGATGACAGTTGACTAGGGTTATGAATGATGAGAGTTTGTAGTGTCGGGTAGAGTATAATTGTAAGACAATGAGTCAGTACAGTCAACCTGCCCACTTGAGAGGTATCCAGGGGATATTACTTCAAATGAACATGTTATTGATTTGATGCTTTTCAGTATTTACTCATGTTTATATGTGATGCATAGTATAGGCGAGCGAGTACGATTATAACTTGAAAGGAAATCGTAAAGCCGACGCCTGTCGATTGGTGTGTGTATATATATTATCATCTATATATATACTTGTATAGGGCCAAGGCAAGGCATATAATGAAAAGGAAAAATGACATCGGTAACAAAGATAGATGATAAAATTAACCAGAAACATTAAAATATAATTCCTACACAATAATTTTAGTCTCACTTCTGAGTAATTTTTAATTCAACTCCAGGTGATTGTTTTAGGATTATGTCTCGCTAAAAAGAAACCCCTTCAACAGCCCAGCCGGGCTAGCTCAATCGGTAGAGCGTAAGACTCTTAATCTTAAGGCTGCGGGTTCGACCCCCGCGTTCGGCTATTCCTAAAAACCCAACCTGAGATTTCTTTTTCTTTTTTATTAAATTAATTTATTTAGTTTCCTATTGAAATACGGAGTACGGAGTACAGACGTGATGTATATAATTTTGATGATGTTTTTCTAGTGTTTTTTTTATTTTAAATATTTTTAATCCTCGTACTTTTGCTCTCCCCCTTTAAAACGAGGGGCGGATTATTATGCGAGTACACGGACAACGGACAAATGCCCCCCACTATCTGCACAACAGACATCCCGGTATGCAGCACGCATGTCTGTTTCCAGTAAAGCGACTGTGATGAGTTTCAGATCACGTCGTGGCTTGAGACATTCCATTGGTCGGGGTTAGGTGTACTGGCTGTACGATGTGTCAAAGCTACAGGTCCGGTGTATATCCGTTGAAATGGTCTGATCCAATGCGATGCTAAATCCAGGGTGAGTCATTTATGAGGATCCCTTAATAGTGTAGTTCTTAGTTTCTCGGGTTCTGCTTATCCTCTGGGTCTCTATAAAGTAACCATACACTTCAGGTAATTCAACGGTCTAGGCTTTTGGGAAGGGATGACGAAGAAGTATCAGTTTGCGACACAATTTGTCCCTGACGATTGAGGGGGACTGAGCACTAAGTTTACGGAATCAATTAGGGTCTCATCTGAACCGGGTTGGGTCATATCTAAGAACTATTCTGTATGAGTACGGAGTATAGTATACTAGTATACTACTAGTAGAGTACATAGTATGTAGTTTTGTCTTCTAGAAGAATATTGCGTGACACAGTATTATATAGTATTTTAATTGTGATCTGACCGCTGATTTTTGTATAGAACCTGATATAGACTTATGGAGTATATTTATCATATTCTGATATGTGATAACATATGATAATGAGCACATAATGTATCACTTAATATACATAAATATAATATAATATATGATATGTAGAATATATACTTACAATATATAGTAACTACATAGGTAAAAAAACCCCCAAAAAAAACCAAAACAGTAACAAATCTAGACCTGAGGGGCAAAAAACCCATTATCTGCTTATCTGTAATTTTACCATTTTCCTATTTTCCCCCCCCCCCTCTCCTAAAGATTTTCTGGTCTTTTTTTTTCATTTTTACCTTTTACCTTTTACTTCTAAGCCTCTCCCCCCCCCCCTCTCTTCTCTTCTTTTCTTCCCTCCTCATCATGTCCTCCACTCTCCCAGATGCCTCCAAAGTCGGACTCCCCGCCTCCGATGCCACCAGCGCCGCCGAACTCGCCAGTCTTAAGGTAAGATTGCGCGGCGCTCTGCGCCAGTTCCCGGATTTCCCCTCCCCGGGAATTTTGTTCGAGGATATCCTGCCCATCTTCGCCGACCCTACTTTGCACGAGGCTCTGATCCGCTCCCTGGAACTTCACATCATCGCCAACTATGGTGGCCAGAAGCCCGATGTCATTGTCGGCCTCGAGGCCCGTGGCTTTCTGATGGGCCCCAGCTTGGCGCTGCGTCTGGGTGCCAGCTTCGTCCCTGTGCGCAAGCAGGGCAAGCTCCCCGGTCCTTGTGAGACCCAGGGCTACGAGAAGGAGTATGGCCAGGATTTCTTCCAGATGCAGGCCGGTTCCATTAAGCCCGGCCAGAAGGTCCTCGTCATTGATGACATTATTGCTACTGGTATGTGATAAAGAATCTCTCGGTGGATACTTCATACTGATAAACTATTTTTTAGGTGGCTCTGCCAAGGCTGGTGGTGAGCTGATCCAGAAGATGGGCGGCGAGCTCCTTGGTTTCATCTTCCTCCTCGAGCTTGAGTTCCTTCACGGACGCGACAAGCTCCCCGCACCGGTTTACACTCTCCTGACTGGCCAGGCTTAATTATACACACCGCTTCCCCCCTTCTAAAAAAAAATCATTCTTTCTGCGACGATCTCAACTGCCGATTATAATGACCCCATCCTTTCAAAAGCCCGACCACACCCGATATTGCGGTGAGCGTCACCCGCTCCTCCCGGGCCCAATCAAACAATTCACTCGAACTTCGAGTCTGGGGCCTCGTTTCGCTGGTCGACGGCACCCGCGCCACAGTTGGCGCAGAGCTGCCCGGATAATATCCAATATAGACAAATAGCTTTTATCAATGCAACTTGATATGTGTATAGACTGGCTAATCACATTTACTTATCTTAATAGAGTAGCTTCCTATCAATTGAACCTGACGTGACCAACCTTGGAATTCTTGATATACCTACAAACGCATCCATCTTATCAATCTGCCTCAATTTCAGTATTCTACTCCTTAGGAATGAACTTCCTTATAACCTCCTCGACCCATCCCACGGGAACCCCCAAATTTACAGACTCCCGAATAGCCCGGTTCATCCTCGCAATATACTCACACTTCGGTTCCGCAATCCTAACACAGTTCTCATCAACATAAACTAGAACCGGCACCTTCCCCTCTCCATCCCTAAGCCCCGCCCCAACCCCCTCAGCCCCATCCAACCACTTTACAACCTCCGCCTCAACAAACCACTTATTATAAGATCCATTTCCCTGCACCTTAGGTCTAACAGAAACCGGCACACCATCCCCAGGCTTCGCAACAGCAGCACATGTATCAACACCCTCATAGCCATCCAGAATCCCCTCATCACCAACATCCATCTGGTAAAGAACACCGTAGACCGCGTCCTCGGACCCGGAAATGGGAATTTTATGTGCTGTCTCGGAATCCTGGTTCGCGACGCGCAGACCCGGTCGTGGAAGGACGTTTGCGTAGCCCGCTTCGCAGATTAGCCAGCGCCAGTTTGGGAGGGTTGCGATTGCTAGTGGGATGGCGGAGTGGGCGGGGTTTATGCGGCAGCGTAATTTCATTTGGGATGGGGAGAGGTTGGAGCCGTAGGCAAAATAGAGATATTTTGGGTATTGGGGTGGGTTTGTGGTTGGCGGGGTGGGTGTCGGGAGGGCATTGGTGTGTCTTTCTGCTGGTTCGAGGGTGGTTGCGTTGGAAAGCATTGTTTCCGATGGTGATGATTGGGTTATATGCATTGTGGAATTACGAAAGGATTTGGATGAAAGAGATGAGAGGTACCCCGTCGAAGGGAATGAGTCAGAAGTAAAGGGAAGTAAGGAGAAGTCTAGCTTCGATTGCACCATCAAGTTCTACATATCTCTTCCAAGGTATTTTGTGAACTATTAGCTAAGAATCCTATCCAGATATTGAAAATGAAGCCCTTTTGGATACTTGATTATAAGATAAGAAGCTATACATATATGCCACTTTGGTTATTAGTGAGCTAATAAGCTAACCCTGTATACCACATGGGCAGTCACTCTAGTCCTATACCAGTGAATTAATATTCTCTATTATTCGTTCTGTAGATATCACCGTATAACTGGCATATAGAGATAATCATCTGTGTTAGATGGCGATATAGAGGTTTCGTAATGATCATCTATGCGATGAGATAGCAGAGGTCTCCGTGTAAATGATCTAAGAGTTGACTCTATACAAAGTACGAATGGCTCCATAGGCATGTATCGAGAACCAGCCTTGACATATTACTTCTACCGTTGATCAAAAAGTCCTAGCCTGCGGGGCATTCATTGTCTTGTAGTTATACATGTGATACCTCTCTAGAATGAAGTGTAAACATTCACCTAATAAATGATCAGCCCAATGGAGCTTTTTAGGCAGAGATTATGGCCGTGGCCGATGCGATGGCGAAATTATTACTAAAGATAAACCTTACTACTAATATCTCCTTGCTCGCAATATACTCAGCTTGATCATCTTTGGAACAAACAATCAGAACTCGATAATACTGATGGTTGCAATAGGCAAAACGCCAAGAAGAGGGGGGACGCGCATCGTATTGGAAACATAGCCAATAACATTGAGATCAGGAGAGTTAAAATGAGCGATCCAGTATGGTCAACATACTGTCCGGGGAAAGTGATTTCAGGGAATCAACGTATAATAGTGGTATCCACACAATTTAGGGCGCAAGGAACTAATATATAGCCGACAGCAGCTTTTGGGGTCTGAGCGATATTAAGCCGGGCCGCCATGCCTGAATTTGACCATGTCACGGCTATTCGTCCGATCCAACAAAGGATGCTGCTGGCATTCTATGCTAACCAATGCATGTGTACACCAAAATTTTCTATGGTAGATAACAATTTAGTGAAGTTTGATTTTGATGTATAATATATTTATTTATATATTTTATTTTATTTGCTTTTTTTTTCAAGGTTATATAGAGGACTTGACACATTTACCTAGGGGTTTGTTCGATTTGAGTAATAGCTTCTAGATATTGGCTTATCAATTCTGATTCACGATAATTTGCTTGAGAAATGCTCGGTTTTTAACCCCTTGTAGGTGATGCGCAAGCTTAGATAAATAATGAATATGGAATATACTTCAGTGATCGGTATCCAAAGCTATCTACGAGCACAGGTTTAACTTGGTCTAGTATTAGATATCCCTGTCCTTGGGATTGGGTTTCCACCTGAATACAATCAAGACAATACACTGATGCAGTAATAAACCAAGTCTAATACTATCGAACTAAACATGTACTAATTCCCTATGAGTCTCTGCATGCCTCTTGTTAATTAATGACAATATTTGACTATTTGACCAGAGTATTATTTTTGAAATATCGGGGTTAGTGGGTCTAGAATGTCTGAGCATAGAAAGGAGTCCATGTACGAGTGCGATTTTTACTCTGAGAGACCTCGTCCATAGCCTTCAGCCTTCGGTGTGACCAACCAGACCTTATTTCTCTCCAGCTAAACATTCTTGATAATAGCTCGGGGAGCCGAGACGCTAATATACGCATGGTACCCACCGCTAATTCATATCTAGGGAAGTATGAAGTACTATACCTCAATGTGCATATGTATAGCTTCACTCATAATTCTCACATCTCTCTTCCCCTTCCACATCTCCAATATGACCACCCTGCAAGAGCCTTTCTCAGCCTCGACCATCTATGAGCCTGAATTTGCCATCTGGGTATTTTCATCAGAGATATTGTTGATTATTTTCGACCGTCTACTAGCAGTAGACCGGGTCTGCTTTGCACTGACTTGCAAAAGTCTCTATGCCCATTTCATCATATCTCTCAAAACCAAACCTATGGATCGGAGTCTTCCTAAACACTTGCTCCCAAGGCAAAACCATATCCTATGCCGCAAGATCGATCTCGTTTTGAGAGATCGAACCCAGTTACTCCGTCGTTTAGAAAACCGTCGTTGGAAATGTTGCATCGAGTGCTTGAACCTTCATCCACACTCAGCATGGGAGCAGGCCGCCCACGAATGCTCTGAATGCCGAAGATTGTTTAAAATGCAATATATATCTTACGCTGGTCTTGTTGATATTTGTCCTTGCTGCAGAATCTCGTTTTAAGACCGAGCCCGCATCGCGGAAGATCTCAGATTAAACCAAAATTCACCACCGGATGGCTTTTTTTGGTATGGGCTTCGATAGGGTAGTGGCTACCAATTGTCGCACCAGTGCGAAGTCATTAGTCACCATGCTAAAGTTGAAATTGTGACTTTCCTTGGGTTAAGCCAACAATCACCCGATTGATGCGTGCAGAACGTCTACAAGTTCCATTTTCCCATGGAAATGGATAAGAGGAAGACGGGATTTCCTACCTATTCACTTGGCAACCCCAGGAAATGACCCAAGTAGTTCTTTAGCGATGCTGGAATGGCATTTGTAGGGTGGGATAAACATGAGAACTCATTGTTCTCTCTAAAACATACAGAGCCCTACTTCTTTGAAGTCCAAGTTCACAGATTTTTGGGTCATCAGCAAGATGACTGGAACTCCTACTGCAATGATCACGAATGAATAAGTTGATGGGCTTGCTAAAGCTATATGGTCTCCACTCATGTTTGCTGGCTATAAAAACATCGAAATACATGGCTTGGAAGATACGGTTTGATATACCCGGTATATGGATAGTTTGCTATCAAGATCGACCCACCTGGGCATCATACCAACTATCACGGTATAATAAAGAATATGAATTTATTGCTTCCAAGTAAATCCATCTATATTTCAATTAGAGGGAAAACAGCTACACAAATAGAAGCAATAATGTCTTTCTCCCGGATTATCCAAGCCCTCTCTTATTGCACAATATTTATGGGTCAGAAGCCGGAAAAAAAAGGGTATACACCCCATGGGGGGTTAGTAGACATGGATCTGTCCCTGTCTTAGCATCGTATTCATGGAGTGGCAACTCCCGGCAGCTATGATATCCTCCTATTAAAGCTCGGAAGCATATATTTCCCAAAGAATTTCAATTCCTCATGAGTTGTCCGGAAACAAAATACCACACCAGTGTGAAGTCACCAGCCAACTTTTGTGCACAAGTCATAATCGTAACAAAATTACAAGACACTGATATATTAAAGGATTTTTGGACGTCGATGAATCTGCTATATTCTAATGTGCTAACCGTGCCTTGTAATTTATATGTTATATGTCTATCTATATGCTTGGAGTATTTGAAGCTATCATATCGTATCCTTACCTGAGGCTTAAGTACCCCGGATTTATAGTTCCAATATACAACATATAGCCCCTGTAAAGGTCATGATCAACCACAGTTCACGCTCTTCGGTCATCAATGACCGATAAATATATTCATCGACAGGAATAAATCGCCAATTGCGGGGTTGTTCGTGAATCATCCACATACCGGAAACCGACTTCCGCTCTAATTGGATATATCAAGTCCCCTAGAAGGATTCAATGTTCAATTCCAAAACAAAATCCAAGACAAAACCTCAAAACCTCAAAATGGCACCCAACAAACTAGCAATCGCCAGTGTCTCCCTAAGCCAGTACCCAGGCCACATCCTCGACCACAAAATCCGCGCCGCATCCCAAGCTGGCATCGCAGGAATCGAAATCGTCTACTCCGATCTCCTTACTTACAGCAAGACTCAAAACATCTCCATCCAAGCCGCAGCCCAAAAGATTCACACTCTCTGCCTGGAAACAAACCTCCAAGTCCTCTCCCTCGCCCCCTTCGAAAACTATGAAGGCGCAACAACCCCGCTAAAAGAAAGACTCGCGCTCGGCCAACATTGGCTCGAAATAGCCCGTCTGTTACACGCACCATACTTACAAATCCCATCAATCTACACAACGGACTGTAGCCGTGATGAGAAAACAATCATATCCGACCTTCAACGGCTATCTGACCTAGCCAGCTCCGCAAAGCCAGTAGTATCAATCGCCTACGAACCCCTGTCATGGGGAACGAACTGCTCAACCTGGGAAGGCGCCCTTTCGATCGTGCAGCGGGTTGAGCGTGCGAATTTCGGACTGTGTCTGGATACCTTCCATGAAGGGACTAAGTTGTGGGGTGATAATGCTTCTCCGAGCGGGATGCAGATGGATGCGGAAGTAAAGTTGCGGGATTCGCTGCGCAGGTTTGTGCGGGATTGTCCACGGGATAAGATATTCTATGTGCAGCTTTCTGACGCGGAACGCTTTGAGACGCCTTATTCTTTGGCGCATCCGTGGGCGTTGCCCGGTGAGGCCAAGGAGTTTACTTGGTCGAAGCATGCGAGACCTTTCCCTTTGGAGGTTGAGTTTGGGGCGTATTTGCCTGTTGTAGATATTGCCAGGGCGTGGATTGTTGACGTTGGATTTGAGGGGTGGATTTCTATGGAGACTTTCGATCGGAGAATGGTGAATGGGCAGGTCACCCCAGAGATGGCGGCTAAGAGGGCGGTTGAGTCTTGGAGGAAGGTTCAGGTTGAGATAGAGAGTAAGTCGAGGCTTTGAGGGGCGTGGTTGGGTTGTATGTACATAGAACTATATTGTATGGTGAATGTAGATTGTTAAATAAATCCAGTCCGATTATTTGTGAGCTGGAAGGTTTGACTATATTCAAGTCTAACTATGTACATCTGCAAAAATATAAGACAAACTGGCCACAAATGATCCGAGAGTATTCCAAAAGGGTATAGTATATCTGTGTGAATATTCAGATAATGTGTAAATTCGTGATTGGCACGCCGCGAGAGCGCATGCTATATCGTCTCTTGACTCCGATGCCGCTTGCATGGCGTAGGAGCTCGTATGTTTCATCTCCACCACCGACCATGACCATGCTAATGAGGTAATTTCGTGGAATGCCGCTAGCTGTCATTTGAGCTTCGTCGAGGTGTGGACGGATGAGAGTGGACTCGGCGCGGACGGCGGCGAGAGCAGAGCGAGACCTGGGTTGATTCGGCGATTCTTTCTTCTCTTTCTTCTGCCCGTGGAAGCCGTGCGGTGGCATGTCATCGTATGAAACGACGACAATTAGCTTCAGTGCGGATCGCGTTGGTCGATATGCGGGGATGTTGCGGAGCTTTTCTGAGAAGGTGCAACCGCCGCGTTTGATGACAAGGACTTCGTGGTTATGGGCGACTTCACGGAGAATTCGCTCGTTGCAGAGCTCGCCGGCGAAGTATGTACTTGACCACGACAGGCGGTCTGTGGATGGGGTGCCGAACAAGGACATGGTAATTGCATCTTCAAGATCTGGAAGCGGGCTGGCCCCAATGCCTGTAGAAATAGCAGCAGGGAGACTCAACCTGAGTGGAGCAGCAGGTTCAGTCCGCTCGGTATGAAGCAAAGACGACACCGAGTTCATCAGAGACGATAGTATGGCCCTTACGGTTGAGTCCGGGGAGTCAACGATGGCGGCATCGTCGACAGATGAGGCGGGGCTGTGGCCTGCGAGACGGGGCTCTGGCGCATGTGGATTTTCTGATTGAGGTTGTTCATCTCGTGGATGAGCCGAATCATTATGTCGGCGAGAGGGCTCTGGGAGAACGTCAATGACGAGGTCAAGCATGGCATTGTCGCGAACACGGGTGAAATTCGGATCGTACGGATCAACGACATCAAAGGTGATTTGACGAGAGAGATATACCTTCTCATCTTTGCCTAATGGCACATTGTTGATCACCTGCACCCGGTATCCGTCTTCCTCATCCCCTGTCGTAGGTGTTGGGTTTTCCAACCGTACATCCTGAACCATACTCAACCGGAGTCCTCCAATTGTTTTTACAAGTACCCCGTCTCGGACGCGCTCTAGCGCTCCAGGTCCCATATTTACACCGCCTGGGAGTGACGGGAATGAAATATCGAACGTGGGCCGAACGGCCATAGGCGCGCTGGTGGCATCGAATGGGACCAGCTGAGGTGGCAGTGTCCATGGGTAGAATGTGTAATTGGTTGGTGATGAAAGGTCAGACACAAAGACACTTTGATGTCCAGTCGAGTCTTCCAAAATAGGACTTGCAGCCACTCCTCGATCAGGCATCAGATCCAGGCGTGCCAAGGTGGCAGCATGGAAGATATCCGAACGGGACGCAGTGGAAGACACACCGAAGAATGGCGACGGAATAATTTGACATACTCCCCCGGTGATGTCTTGGCCCTGAGGTGGGGTGTTTTGCTGCTGGCGAGGCGCAGATGCCGTTTTTCTCGGGATTATGAGAGGATGACCTTCGGTGTTAAAAACCCAGGGGGCATCGATCTTGTTCAATGGATGGCCCTGGTCAAACAGCAGATAGAGGTATTTGGCTGTCTCTCCAATGAAGAAACTTTCCATGCGGTCAATGAGCTCGCCAGTCAGAACATTTCGAATACCAGCCCAGCCACACTTAGTCCAGCAACGCCGCTTGAGATCGCTGAGAACCATTTCTCCGACATGCAGATACCAAGGGTCCTGAGTTGCACGATAAATGTAGTAGTTGGACTCAATGAACTCAGGCCGACCTCCATACCACGGCATGCCATTTTCGATGTCACCAGTAGCCACGTTCCATCGCTCAGGGATGCCCGAGTAGCGTGTCCAGATGGCGGTAGTCAGTAGATGAATCTGGATAGCTTCATCTAGCTTTCCATCCAGGGCAAGAACTCCCGGATAGAAAGCGCTCAGGCTATCGATCCAGAAAGCTCGCGTGGCACCGGTGATTACATCCCCTACAATAAGGTGGGGGTGTTGATAACCTTCACCTCGGAATAGGTGGCGATTAATTGCGGCATGTGATTCTTCCCAAACTTGTCTGAATGCCTTAGCAGTATGCTGGTAGTCCGCTAGAGGAGCATAGTACGAATCCAATACTGCCCAAGGGCTGTCGGGGTCGAAAGGCACACGCTCGCCCTCGGACAAGAGAACATAAGCTTTGACGGCATACTCATAGAAGCTGTCGATGCCGGCACCGATCTATTGAAAATTAGTCTACGCTTGGAATTGACAAAATGGCAATCATGCTTACTCCGGCCCATGGTCCCACCCATTTCCCTGATTCGACATCAATGTTAAACCCAAGTAGCCCAATATCACTCCGGCGGTTCCAGACAGCCCAGAATGCCCTCTTACCCAAGTCCTCATACCGCCCATCTCCGGTGAGTCGGCTCAAGACGGTCAGTTCAAGGACTAGACTGCCTGCACCGGCGCTACAAGTCTCAGCGGGCTCAGATGCCGCAGTTTTGGATTTGCGATTGCCGTCAGCATCTCGGGCGTTAAGGTTCAAAGGTGCATTCTCGTAGAATGGGATCCCATGGCGCAGGTTGACCCGAGGGTAGGGAAGGCCAGTCTCTGTATAGAATGCGGGAAGCAAACGGTGGGCCAGATCCACAGCAAGTCGAAGCAGTTGGCCATCATAGACAAAGCCATTGCCCCATTGAATGCCATGGTCACTTTTTGTAAACATACTTTTATCCCATGCGCTGGCAAATGCAGCTTCCGCTTCTGATGGCTCGTATCCGGTAATGGGTAGCTCGCCGACGGCGAAAAGATGAGCACTGAGCAATCCACCTGAAACAAATTAGCAGTAGGACACGAGAAGCCAGAAACCGAGCACATATGACAGATTGATAAGCCACGAAGGGGAAGAAACCATACCCAGTCCCCGAATCACAGTTTCAAACAATTGTACCTTGCTATCCAGATCAAATCCCCTTGACCTCTCACCCTGACCAGCAGGACCATCTGAGCCATCGCCATACAGCCTAATAAAACTCTCGATGCCATCCTGGAAATGCGCCAAGGCTCGCTCCCCACCGTCTGGGCTCGAGGATAGGATGGCTAGCGTCGATAAGCTGTCAATCAAGGTTAGAGAATAATTACCCAGCACATCATTATTCTCCGGATTCTTCTCGTCGCGAACAAGAGGGCCACATGTCAGGGCGCGTAATTCGTCTTCGGGGAATGCGTATTGGAGGTAGTTCTCGAAGCCATGGAAGAACATGCGCTCAGTTTCTTGTCTGCAGGAGGACAAAGGTGCATTAGTCGATTTGGGCTTTTGAATGGGAACGGGCGTAACTGTACCTTAGTTCTTTGACTTGACTGTCTCGCATGCCATAAGCGATTGTGATCCATAAGAAGATGGTCCAAACCACCATCCAGGCGGAACGGAGGTTGAACATCACCTCCGTCGCGTGCGCTTCGAGCAGATCTGAGCGCGGTGGGGGTCATGGGCGCCAGATGGCCTTTTATTCAAGACCTCTGAAAAGAGACTATTTTAATGAGGTGAACTCTCGGCACTCGGGCATGTTCGAGTGGAGTGAGAAATTGGGGGGGGGATTCGGCCAGATAAGCCTCTGGGGAATCTTTCTAAGGTTTTTTTTTTCCGCTTATTGCATCATTCCATATACTTCAAGGCTGTATAATTATATTTATAGGAGTTTTAACGAGGCTTATAAGTAATACTTATACCATTTGTTTTTTATATTGAAATTTCATAACACACATATATGATCTATTGGGTAAAATGCCATATGAGAAGTGGTCAAATTTGGCCATTTTGGTTATATATACCCTGCCATATGCTCGGCATTTCCTACAGGATCATCCTGGTGAGAACGAGTAAGAAGAATTAGAAAAGAGGTGGATTGCTATGCTCAATCAATGAAACGCCCCTTATCTACACAGCGCTCCATAATTCGCCGTAAAAGTTCTTGGAATCCACGATACTCATACAACTCGTTATGGCTAGACAGTTAGCCACAAAAGCTACGCAGTAATACATATGTAATATCAAAAGTCTTAAATTCCACGGTGAAGTCCATTAAACGTAATATCTTGGATTGAAAGACATAGAGCTGGAGATATTTGTTTCTTCTATTCTTCTAGGTACTCTAGGGGCCTAGTCATCTCCAAGGTTAGCTAGCCTACGATAGAGCAACGAATTATATGCTATCCTAGTCAATTGATGAAAAAGGATTGGCAATGTTTTTTTGGTTTTTTTTTTTGAATTCTTGCAGGGCTTTCTTTGATGTCGTTTGCCATTCCTTGGACCGAGGAGGAGGAGGAGGAGGAAGAAGAAGAAGAAGAAGAAGAAGAATATTGCTTTTGCCGCTATCCTAACATCACTGACCTTATGATAAATATCAAGACCATTACTCATTTTGAAGGAAAGGCGAGATTACACTTTCAAGAAGAAATCTAAAAAGTACACTTGGGATTGAGGAAGGGGGTTAACATGAGAGGTCACTTCGGGACTACCATCAATCTGACTTGCCGATGCCCTATAGATACATGTATAAAATTGAAATACAACCAGATGCCTTCAAAATATTCCTTGCTTGACACTTAACAACCGAGAAATCTTGGAAGCTGTAAGCTCATATATCAGTGACAGAACATCCATTGAAAACATAGAGCCATTATAACTCACCATTCCTTCATTCATCAGAAATCTTTTCTTCATACCCAGGAAGGTTGGCTTACCCAGGAGCAACGAAATGTACATCAACATCCAGACCACGGTCCACTGGTGGTAGAGTGATGGGGCGAGGAGAAAGTGGGGGGCTTCATCTGTTTCATAATGTCGCGGTCAAGAGTTCTTTCTGAATTCTCATTGTGGCTCGAGCTCGAAATCTCAAATATAAAAGCGAACCATGTCCTAGCCTTAGCATACTAATTGTTCACGCGCCTTCTCGGCGCCTTTCTCTTAATACGTTGACCTAATACTGAGTTAGTATTAACCTTCTTCCCAGGAAGGAATTCCCAGCTTTGAAGTTCGAGCACGAGTGTAAACAACAAAAGTGGGGCCAAGACCTCGACGCACGTACCACCCCCCTACGGGCGACTACCTAAGTACGCCATCGGCATTTCTGCCTCACCGCCCCATTAAAGCCTAGGTATATGTATACAATAGTAATTTTAATTTCAACTTATTCTTTAATTTGTATACCTATATACTTCGTAATGTGCGACCAACCATTGATCTTAACCCTTATAAATATAAGATTATCTCTCTTTAACGAACCAGCATATTCTCCAAATCTAGGTATTACACTTTACGCGATTTGTATTACCTCAATATTGTACCTATTAAATTTCCTATTTTAGGTGGATAAAATAGTAATATATAAAGATATATACTACCTAGTCAGAATTACAGAAATTTATTACTTCAATTTCTCACCTTTCATTAGTAATTACTATTACTATGTTATGATTTGCTTCTTATTTATACTGTTTACTATATAAATCCCATAAAACAAGTAGGAAATAAGGTAATGTTTGCAGTAGTTTTTGTAGTAGTGGTATGTAGTAGTATTAGTAGTAGTAGTGAGATATTGATATATATACGGGATTGTTAATGGGACCCCTGCCTGATTTTTTAATACCGTCTTCCCAATTAGGCGCGATCAATAATTCTGCCATAATTTCTGCCGCTCCATTTTTATACTGCCATATATTCTGCCACCACCATAGTAATTCTGGTTTACATAGTAAAAAAATACACAATTGTAATCAGGAAAGATCGTACAATTCATTTATTTCTGTATTGAGCTACTCTACAAATTAATTATGCTACTTCTCAGGGACTTCTCAGGCATTTCCCCGCGCGCTTTCCTCACGTCCACGTGATGGATAAATGGGTTGGAAGCAGGGAGATTAATGGGTGCAAACTGGAATTAGAGTATCAATTTATTTGATCTATCTAGTGTATAGGACGAAAGTGACTTAATTTTGTATGGGTTTCATATACAAATTGCAGGTATCTACTGTCTTACTACTATTGTATGGTTAGTTTGTTACGATGGCGGTGTAGAAGGAGGTGTATTTAACCTGAAAAATCAGGCATGGAGGTCCCATCAACAATCCCCTATATTTATTTAAATCCTCATATTATGTATGCTTTCTGGTGTACAGGTGATGAAGTATGCCATTTGAGACTTGATTTTCACTGGTTAATGCTGCTTGGCCAAATTTATCCTAGTCCCCTCGAAGCATCGCCTATACGTCTATTGCTATCGCAAGGCCGTATAAAGCGGTCGACTATTCGAGGTGATTCTTATGTGTGAGTGGGGTGAGCGACCATGTTATTTTCTGCCCGACAAAAGACAGCCCAATACGATCAAGCCTTGATGGTCGCTTTCGTCGACTGGACACAGCCTGTTCACCGCCGAGCCTAGGTGGGATTATCGTTCTTCCCGGCAGCTTCTCGCCCTGAACTTTTGCTTTCCACTACTTTCGCCATAAGTCGCGATTGGTCCCCAATCAATTATTTTACTTCTCTAAATTTACCGAGGTTCTTGCTGTGACAATGTCTGGTGAAAAGCGCCCTGCTCCAGAGGGCTTTGGAACCTCGCACCAGCTCGTGGTCAAGCGGAATAAAGCTGCCGAAAACGCAGGGACCGAGCTTGTGAAGGGCTCGTCCCAAAATGGAGCTCTCATTCAATCTGTACGCGCCAAGTTTACCCTCGAAGCCCAAGACGCTTTTGCAGAATATAGCCAGCTAATTCGAGTCTACAGGTTCCTCGCACGAGTGGTTTGAATGCTCCTATCATGGAGCTCACAGGTGAGAAACTATCGTCGGTCTATTACTATACACGCACTAATAGAAGGAACCTACTAGGCCATTCTGGTGAAGTCTTTGCAGTTCGATTCGACCCTACCGCGCAACATATCGCATCTGGATCCATGGATCGTTCCATCTGTATGTCTTGTCTTTATCCGGTAATGCGGCCGCCGAATATGTAACTGACTGGGATTTATTGGATAGCACTGTGGAATACATACGGGCAATGCGAAAACTACGGCCAATTGACAGGTCACCGAGGAGCTGTGTTGGACCTTCAATGGTCACGCGATTCACGGGCACTGTTCTCAGCATCCGCGGATATGACCCTCGGTAGCTGGGATGTCGAGACTGGAGAACGAGTACGCCGTCATGTGGGCCATGAGGAGGTTATCAACTGTCTTGATATTAGCAAAAGAGGACAAGAACTTCTGGTCAGTGGTAGCGACGATGGCTGTATTGGCATCTGGGATCCTCGGCAAAAGGATGCTCTGGACTACCTCCAGACTGAGCTCCCCATCACTGCAGTGGCATTGTCTGAAGCGGGCAACGAAATCTACAGTGGGGGTATTGACAACACAATCCACGTCTGGGATCTTCGGAAGAAGGCCATAGTCTACTCCATGGCCGGACACACAGATACCATCACATCGCTACAAATCTCGCCAGACTCACAGACCTTGCTGTCAAACTCCCATGACTCTACTGTTCGCACATGGGACATTCGTCCCTTCGCCCCTACCAATCGGCAAGTAAAGACCTACGATGGCGCTCCTGTCGGACTGGAGAAGAATCTCATCCGTGCCAGCTGGGATCCCAAGGGTGAGAAGATCGCTGCAGGCAGTGGTGATCGAAGTGTGGTTGTTTGGGATACCAAGACTGGTAAACTGTTGTACAAACTTCCTGGCCACAAGGGCACTGTCAATGACGTGCGCTTCTCTCCCAATGATGAGCCAATCAGTGAGTTGATACCCCGTCTTCCAAGCAAGCCCACAATTGCTAACATCGTCACAGTCGTTTCTTGCTCCTCCGATCGCAATCTGATGCTTGGAGAGTTGGGCAAATAAGCATAAAGATAGGTATTAATTTTTTAATGAAGATCAGCGGGCGTCAAATTCATTTTTTCAAACATGCCATCCCCGATCTAGACGTGGCTTGTGCTACCAAGTCAGAGCATTTTCCCGACTTTCAGAAGTCGTGAGTTGTCCGGCTATATATCCGGATCTATGAATTGTACAATAAGAACTAATTTCAAAAGTAATCTTGCTCTTGAATATTTCTGATTATCTTCAAGAACAGTTTTATGCTACAATCTAGCCACCTTTTAACGTCTCTTCCACAGTACTTTTGTTTTACTTTCTGGATTTCTAGTAGACATTACTTCTCTCTAGATACACTTAGTTCATCAATCTAGAGGGGCTTATACAATGTAGGCTGGCCTCAGGAAAATATAGGAGTTAGATAACCTAAATATATATTCGAGATAATATTAAATACCCATGAACTACTACGACGCCTTTTCCAATAATTTTTCAAGTACCTAAATAATTGGCAGACTGTAGAATTCAGTGAGAAGTACATACATATGTACCGGATAATGCCTGGCACTCGAGACCTTTCCTTCCCTTTCCGTTTTAGTGCTCACCTTAGGGGCGACTAAGTATGCCATCGAAACTGAACTCTCTCATTGGATAATATTGCCAGGCAGTATTTTAATCATCCAAAGGTCAAATGCCTCAGAAAAAATTAGGCCTAGGGTAGGAGTACACACCACGAGAGCGCTGTGTACCAGTTGCACGATTAGCAAGTGTATCAGGTCTCTAATCCTGATAGGCCTGGAAAACGAGGTCCCTAATAGAGAGATAAAGTTAATTAGTAACGATATTATATAGTATGTAGAGATATCCTACTAAAATACTCGTACAAACGCGTTAAAACTGCTATTTTTAGGTGTGTTTAAATTACCAATCCCCTAAATATAAGAATCGCCTTGAATAGTCGACCGCTTTATAAGGCCTTGCGATAGCAATAGACGTATAGGCGATGCTTCGAGGGGACTAGGATAAATTTGGCCAAGCAGCATAAACCAGTGAAAATTAAGTCTCAAATGGCATACTTCATCACCTGTACACCAGAAAGCATACATAATGTGAGAGTTTAAATAAATACAATAAGAAATACAATCAGAAATACAACATGGTTATTATTGAATCCATCATCTTCCTCCAATCAAGCTTTACGTACCGATATGTGATTATATAAGTACGGAGTATATAGTTATTTTATATATACATAGTTATATGTATATAGACTTAGTTACACGTCTAGTAGTCTAGTTATGGGGGTCTAGATCACGTGACACTAGTGGTCACCTGACCGTCCACGCTGGTCCCAACACATGATAAAATACAACAGATAAGTTTGATGGGGTATGGCTGGCAGAACTACCCGTAGACGGTAAGGTGGATTTCAACCAATGAAGTACCACAAAAGCCCACAAAGGCGGTATAAGCACCATAAAGAATAGCAAACTCTGCAACCGTTAACTATTCACCCATGAGTGATGAGTGGCATCGATCGAAAGGCGGAGAAAAAAGCGGCAAATAAAACCAACCAATAAAATCCAAGTCCAACATGGTCGGTTTCGTCGGCCGTAAACTGTGTACAATCAGCAACTCAAACAATCACGGACTCCCCACAATCACACCCTGATCAACAGTTGACTCTCACATTTAGCTGCGTTTGTCTGGATACTATTACTTTTTTCTATTTTACCAACAACCAGAGCTATCAGAGCATAATCCCAAAGATGTCATCCACGAAAACCTCAAGAATAGGGGAAGAGTAGGTGGACTCCCGAGATCGGATGCCTTAGCCAGTGGATCTTCTACTAATCAATGGACTTCGAACAGAATATGGAAGTCAGTAAGCCCCAGTGCCCATTTACTGGTACCGAGAAGCGAAGACCGATTGACTTCGCGGCTGCATCGCTGTTGAATCTCAGACTAATCGGCTTTATTCACATGCGCAGAACAAGAGTCGATAAAGTCAACGCGGAGCTGGTCACATTAACCTACGGAACCATTGTTGCACAATTATGTCAAGACTACGATAGCAACTACCAGGATGTCAACAAGCAATTGGACAAGATGGGATACAATATCGGAATGCGACTCGTTGAAGACTTCCTAGCCAAGTCAGGCGTTGGCCGATGCGCCAACTTCCGGGAGACAGCTGATATGATTGCAAAGGTGGGCCTCATTTTAGGATGCAGAGATAATAATGTTATGATGGCTGACATTCCGATCAGGTTGGCTTTAAGATCTTCCTGAACGTCACACCCATGGTCACAAACTGGACGAGTGACAACACCCAGTTCTCTCTTATCTTTGAAGACAACCCCCTGGCAGACTTCGTGGAGCTTCCTGATGATGGGCGGGCCCAGGATGAGCTATGGTTTTCCAATATTCTGTGTGGTGTCCTCCGAGGGTCCCTAGAGATGGTAAGTTACTAGCTAGTCAATAAGATTGGGTTTCCCTTGTTCTGGGTTCTATTCACTGACCCGATTTTCAGGTTCAAATGCAGATTGAGGCACACTTTGTCAGTGATGTATTGCGCGGAGATGATACCACTGAGATGCGGGTCTCCCTCGTACGATACATAGAGGATGAGATGCCACCGGAGGAAGAGTAATGATCTGAGATCTTGTGCATTTACACTACTTGAAGAATGGGCGTTCTGGGGCTCCTTATTGGTTATGTTTTTTTTTTTTTTCCTTTCTTTCTTAGGGGGATGGATTTTCTCTTTATTATTATATTTTTTTTTATGTCCTTGTTATTTCTGATAATCACTCTACGGAGTACGGAGTACGGAGTACAACATAGGTATTTGTACACCTGTCTTTTAGTAAATTAGGCTTTGTGATGTATCCTGCGTTAAACCACGCGATTTATCACTGGCATAGGGGACCAATACATTTTATAAGAAATTAGATCTATAAGAACTGGAAATTAGGGCAAGGTTGGATCAAGTAATCAATCTAGGTACCTATGTACTTATGTACCTATTATATATGTAGGTAGGTACCTCCAGTTAGTACAATGTATGTATATATACATAGTATGTACTTGAAAATTGCATGATCTCCCTTTTTTTTTTTTCCCTTTTTTCCCTTTTTTATACGTGTAGATCTTCGGTGAATCTGCCGCTCGGCTTGATCTGTATGGTAATAACCAAACATGTATTATAAGGTAAATGTGAAAGTTTGGTCAATAGCAAGATATATATATAATGGCTATGTACTCCGTACATATGTTCTAATCAGTACTAACCTCTACTCTAGACACCTTGTAGGTAAAACTAAGCGGTCAATACAACGTCTTAAGTTATTGTATTTGTCAAGTACTGTATGTCATAAACATAGAGCCATACTGGTTCTGTACCACTATCTCCGCCGCCCCTCAACTCTTTTACAGATCGAATTTCCCTCCTTTCCATCTTTTTCTCAACCTCCAACCTAGACTGCCCTTTTCCACAGCAATTGATCCTCCTCTCAATTTGGTCAATTCTATTAGATCCATCCATCTTCAGTATATCAAACCTTCGTGGTGGTCGCAGAATAGTGGCTTACCCTACTTTTTAGACTCCCGCTGGGATCCATCGCAGGGCCCATCAGGTATCATATCATCCTTCTGGCTTTCCTTTGATTCTTTTCCTACTATCTGTTCAAACCACATCATATTTCAACATCTTTCTCTCCATTCTTCTTCTCTAATTCTCTAACTCTTGTTACTCTTTTGTCGCAGACCGCAAATTCAATGGTTATCAGATCGGTGCATTCCCAGAAATACGCCTGACAGCGCCATCCCCAGCCCCGACCTCCGACCAAGTTGATCCGCTCCGAACAAGCGATTCTCCCGCAGAGCGCAGCGCCTGTCGCTGTACGTCCCCCCCCAGGCTCTCTCTCACTGAATCCCGTCCTCCTCTTCCTACTGTGAGATCCACATCTCTTAAGCTCCCCTTTCTTATTCTTAATCTGTTCTTCCCCCCTCCCTGTTTCTTGTCCTTGGGTTTTCTATTTCCTTGTACACGGGCTTGGTGCTCTCCTGTCCGCGATTCTGCCCGATCGGGTGTCTGGCGCCGCCCCCCCCCCCCAAATACCAACCACCTCACTTGTGCGCTTTTTCCGCCTCCTTGTACTTTCCAGCATCGCCCACCCCATATAGACTGCGCACTTGCTCCTACACTTGGTCATTGGAAGTGTTTAATTCTCTAAGCAACCGCTCACCAATTTCTCCAGTCAAAAGACACCGAGCGTACTTCATCTGCGCCTTCGAGCCTCCACCCTCTCGTTTCTACCCCGTCGCGTGGTTTCTCCGGAAGAAGGTGCCATCAGCAATTCTGAAATTCCTCATACTTCGCGATCATATACCCGTTTGATTTGCGCTGTTACGCACACGTGTTGCTGCAAGCCTTCGATATTCCTTCGAAAGTGCTGACCGCTTTACCTCCGCATCCATTCCCACGCGTCGCTTCTATCACCCCGCGTTAGGCTTGATAGCCTGAAACGGAGGTCGCGCGTCGCAAGCCTCACATATCCGATTTGGAAATCTCACATACCACAGGCAAGGGTGGCTGCAGTCCCACCGTTCGCCACCATGAACCAAATGAATATCGGGATGAACCCCGGGGCTGGGGGCCCTGTGGGTGGTGTTCCTATGATCAACAACGGATCCACAGCTTCTCGTAACGACGGCACTATGAACAACCCCGAGATCATGATCAACAACCTCAACACGTATATCTATGATTACTTTTTGAAGCGTGGGTACCATGACTGCGCCCGCGCTCTCTTGCAAGATGAAAACATCAAACTCAACACCGATAACAAGACAAGTCCCGGAAATCGACGTGATGGCGATGTCAATGGTATGGACCCTGATGCTATGATGACCGATGGGAAGGATGGTGAGAAGATCAAGATTCCAGATGATCTCCCTCGTCCAAACATTCCCAACGAAAGTCCCTCGTCATTCCTCCTCGATTGGTTCAGCCTTTTCTGGGAGTTCTTCTGGGCTCAGCGCAAGAAGGGAAATAGCAATGATATTAGGCAATACCTTCAGCACAACCAGGTGCGTGGACGATCATCTCATCTTCATCGAGGATGTGGATCATAGACTAATCCTGAAATCTAGAACTTCATGCGTTTGCGAGAACAGCAACACAATCAATTTATGAGGCAGCAACCCATGATGCCCGGCCAGATGAATCAGCTCCGAAGACAGAATGGCGGCATGGTGCCTCCTAACCTGCAGAAAACAGTGCTGCAGAACAACACCACTGGACTGTATGCTCTATCTGAATATCTTCTTCCCCATGCGGAGTGTTGACTTGGGGGTGGACGTGCTGATGAGATTCTTTCTAGCTCCCAACAGCAGCAAATTGCGCAGTACCAAAAGAACCAGCACATGCAAATGATGCAAATGCAACGGGATCCAGACATGGAGATGGGTGGACATCGACCACAGTCACCAGCGTCTGCCGACAACGCCCCCTCGCCGTCGAAACGCCCACGCCTTGAAGGCGCTGTCAACGGACAACAGCTGGCACCAAATGGCCGTGTACAGGGACAAGGAATGCCTGGACAGCCCAACCAGCAGGCTATAATGATGCAGAATGGAATGCAGAGGGGAATGACTCCGGCTCAATTCCAGCAGTTCCAGGGACAAGCTGCGCAACAGAAATCTATGCAGGTATATGCTCAAAACTTGGCCCTTCATCACTCTCGCTCAGCATCGAATTCCCAGGGTATCCCGAATGGTGGCATGATGAATCCCGGTGTTATGGCGAATCAGGCGGATCTGGTGCCGATGCCGGATGGCCAAGGAATGTATCCTATGGCTGGCGGTCCTGAGTACTACGGTGCAAACGGCCAACTCGCCCAGGTCCGACCCGGTGGTTTACAGACACCTGGCACTCAGCATGGTAACCATGCTCTTCAAGATTATCAGATGCAGCTTATGCTGCTTGAACAACAGAATAAGCGGCGCTTGATGATGGCTCGTCAAGAGCAGGATAGCATGGCCCGCGCTGACGGCCAGCCCCCGATGCCCGGCCAAGGAGTTTTACCGCCAGGTACATCCCCGGGCAGCAGGGCGGGCGCATCCCCCAATCCTAGCGACCAAATGAAACGAGGCACGCCCAAAATGCCTCCGACTGGACTTCCCGGTTCGCCAAGCGCCGGCGACATGTCCCAGCGTGGATCACCCGGATCCATGAACCTCAATGGTCCGATACCGCCAGAGATGCAGGCTCAGTTCTTCCCTGGGCCGAATATGCGACCTCCTAGCTCCAACCCTGCTTTCACTGGAGCTCAAATGGGTCAGCCGATTCCAGCAAATGCCGGCCAGCGTATGGCTAGTGCACAATGGCAGCCAGGACAACCGCAGATGCCTCCGCAGCATTCGCCTGCGAACCAGCCCCAGGCTGGAACCCCACAGGAACGAAGCGCGATGCCTCCGCCCTCGGCGCCACCCGTCACGGGCCCTAACGTTGGTCGTGGCCAGCCGGCGTCACCTCAGACGGCTGGCAACGCGCCACCAACACCCCAGCAGGCTACCAAGGCTGGACCAAAGGGCAAGAAGGATACCAAGGACACCCGCAAGGTTTGTATACTCTCAAATGCTGTTTGTAATTATTTATTTTTTTGGGGGGTATCTGCTAACTTGAATTCAAGCGACCCAACAAGAAGCAAGCTGCTGCTGCTGCTGCGGCCGCAGGGACGACTCCATCTACCGAAGCCGCAGAGCCACCGACACCATCGACCCCCGTCACGCCGCAACATCCCAACTCTTTCAATAACAAGAATGGAGTAAATGGAGTGACCGGGCCAGCTCAAACGGCGCAGCCTACCTCGGTACCTGCTCCTCAGACCATGGTGCAGCCGCCTCCTGACCAACAGCAATCCTTCACTGACCTCAGCATTCCTGATGTATGTTTATTCCATCTCTTCTTCTACAGTATGCATTTATTGACCGTTTATATCAAAAGGCTTCCGCATTCAACCTTGACTTCAGCGCACTGGAAAATCCAGACATTCTGGAGAACTTTGACTTTGACACATTCCTCAACACGGATGCCGACGCCACTACCTTTGGGTTTGATCCCAGCATATCCTATTCGGCTGATGGTGTTGAGACAGGTGCCGGTGACGGCCTGTGAACGTGTAAAAGTCTTAACGGTCCTTAAGGTGCTTCACCTCCGATATACCCTTGTTTGTACATTTGATCATTGCTCTAGTGCGTTTTCGCGGATACTCGACCTGTTCTGTTTTCTTCTTGTCTCCCAATTACCTGGATATGTGTGTTCTGCGCGTGTGCTGTGAGAATTGGCGTTGGTGTACCTTGTCGCATCCTCTCTCTCCCATTGCTCGTCCTTAGGAAGCCAGCATTCTTGAACTGATACTAGGGACTGCTTGGATTGACCGAGGCTCTTCTGTATTCGAGATTAGTGCACTGTGACCTACGAGTTTTCTTGGCTTCTCTTCCTTTCTTTCTATTATTACTATTATTACTTGTGGATGTGGTTACTTAATTCCTTTTGCTTTTGCCTTGATTGTATGGGCAACGTTGATACTCTCAGTATGAAGTCCAATTCCCTACGGCTGCTCCAGTGCACTTTTATCCTTTCATTTTCAACGATTTCCTTTTCCTTTTTTTTGTCACCCCTCTTTTGATCTCGCACAACCTTTTCAACAAATGCCGGCCGTTTCTTTTCTTTTCTTTTTCTTTTGTTACCAGTGTTACTGGTAGTCGACTCTTACACCTCCCCACTTCTATCACCATAGGCTATGCGTATAGCCTGTGGTTTTCTTCCCCTCTCTCTTCTCTTTTTCTTCTATACTTTACCTGTATTCTCGGATCAGTCCCGGATACCCCGATCAGCCCGTGTCATCACTGAAACCGGAGACAGGGGTGAGCCGATCGGAAATGGGGACACAAAAAGGAACTCAAAAGAACCAGGAATTTCGCACCACTTGGATGATTGTGGCTGTTGGTGTTGGTATGTTGATGGGATGTGACCGGATTATTGGATTTGGATATTCCCCTAGCAGATTCCAGGAGTTTCGATGTCGTTATGGTTATGCGTTTCATGTTATTTCTTAAAATATGGATCCGAATTCATATATGGACAGTTTTCTGGGTTCAGTTCTCGGTTTTTTCGTCTATAGTGGGAGTACATGTAGACAGTCTTCATGACGGTATAGAGTCATTATAGCATATATCTATATCCATATGGATCTGGAACTGTCTATTGACCTTGGAGTCAAATATAGACCATGAACTATAGAATTATAACCAATAAGAGTCTTGTAACAATTAGTATAATTGTTAATAGTCCCAGACATTATATTGGGAGTCGGACTGGGTAAAATACTACTTTTCCTAATTGGGAAGGGTCCAGCTTCACATATAAATTCCCTCCTTTTTCTTTTTCTCTCCCTTTTCATCTTCCCTCTTGCATCCTCTTCCACTCCAATCCTCTTCCTCTTTATTCATACCACATCCCTCTCCATCCTCCATCCTCCATCCGTCCTATAAAGAATACTCTTTGTTTATTCCCCTCGTTGTCTGTTCCATTCTTCTCTGCAGGCCATATAGCAGCTCGCTACTCCCACAAAGATCGAAACACGCATGTCTCGCCATTTTCTCCCATTCCTAGAATTTGATGATCTTCGGGGTAATGGAGACTTTCCTGTCAGCCTTGCCCTGATGTTTAGATACTCTGCCATCTTCTTCAAACACTGGATTTGTGTGAGATATCAGTCTATTTGCATGCATCTAGGATATCTATGGTACATTCCTTCTGCACATAAGATGCTAACTTGCTCACACTGGGTTCACCAGGTACACTCATCTTGGTCTTCTGGCCTTTGGTTGGAGACAGCTTCCGAGATAACCCTCGAGGGCACATCGTCACTGTGAGATTCATGTTCTGGGGTCTGCCACTGATGGCATTTTCCAATGATGTTTGCATGCTCTGGTGGAACTATAAGTCTTTTTCTACCACCTAAAGAATCATTGGCAAGTCTTGCACTCACAAGACGACATATGGCTGACATTGTTCCTTTCACAGGTACACCCATCCACCAATCCTCAGACATTTGAGTAGAAATATGGGTTTGCCCCGTGAAGAGAATTCTGAGGGCATTACTCGACGTATGACTATGCGTAAGCACATCACGTCTATAGGAAAGGGAGAGATGGGCTATCTGAGCCCCACTGTGGCCTCGACCCAGAGGAGTGCATTGCCCAGTGAAGATCATTCTGAGGGCTTCCTTGACGTCTGACTGCGCGCAAGCGTATCACGCCTTCGGGAAGGTGGAGGATGGGCTAACTGAGACCCGGCGTGGCCTCGTCCCAGAGGAGGAGGACTCCGATGGTAGACAGGGGGAGGATATAGGACGGTCGCCCACCGGGGTTATTGACAAAGTCACCCACCGGGGCTATGACTATGTTCTACGAGATGGGAGGCGGAGGATAGCAAGGGGGACCCGAAGAAGCAATTATGAGGGCATCATGGATTCTCTGAACCCATGGGGGGCCACGCCATCCAACTCCAAATTTTTGGAACTTTTTCACCGGAGACAGCACTCTGGTAACCTTTTTTTTTAAAAAAAAAAATTGTCCAATGAAGAGAATTCTGAGGGCATTTTAAAAAGCTTGATTCATTGCACTTTGAATCTCGCTTGTCATGAGACGGAACTTGCACTGTGCAAGTAGGACTTCACTTGTGTATTCTATCTCATGAAACATTTCTTGAACCTTTTCGCTGGGGATAGCCCCCTAGCCTTTGATAATATCTGAATCTTTTTTTTTTTTTTTTTTTTGGATTTTCCATATTTTCTTTTGTAACAGGATGCATTCTTGTAGAGATTCTGGTGTTGACCTGGTCTAAGGCATTTCCACATATCCACAATATGAACAATAACATTTCAATGTGTAACACTTTTAACTGGGCTTTTTCATTCACGACTTTTTTTTTTTTACATCCAGCTATATCATACATACATGAGTTGACATTGTTGGGAAGATTCATAATCCCTGCAGAGGAAACAAGTTCAAAAGTCCTTAGTTTGTATACAATAGTACTTTTGTCGACTTGATAGAGTAAAAAGTGTATTGATTGAAGCATGTATAAAGAATACATGCTGACTTCATACCAAGACTGAAACAAGTGAATGAGGTAGGTAAGTATAAGTTGAAAAGCATGATCATGGCCAGTTCAATCCTACAACATTGACTCATTCTCGTCCTGCAAATTCTCGTCCAGCGCATTTCCAGCTTCCTTGAAGTTGCAGTTTTCCTTTGCAACGCCCTTACCTTTGGACTTCGCTTTGGGGGTCTCCTGACTGGCCTCTTTCTGATTCTCCTTTTTGCTCCGGACCTTTTCGCTTGGACTCGCCCCTACTTTGGATGTAGTCAAGTCCTTGGGCTCACTCGATCCCGAAACATCGCGGGTGCTTGGTTGCGATATCTCCCGGAGAGCGGATGAACGGCGATTTCGAGACTTGTAACTTGCAGATCGAGCTTCGGCTGCAGCAGAAGGCTTTGAGGCAGACATTGTGGTGGCGGCAGTGGATGGAGTATTAGAGGGAGCACGAGTACCCACTGGAGGCGCCTTAGTTGGAGTCAGAGCTTGGATCAACTCATTGTATTGCTCATCGTCAAGACAGGAATTGATGCTGGGCTGCTTGCTGTGTTCATAGCTCATCCCAGTCATGCTGGAGATGGCCCGGCTGCTGGTCGTCGATCCAGTGGAGGCATAGTCTGGCATTGGAACATCCTCACGAGATGATCGAGCACCACGCTGCCGCCATGCTGTATCATCAATGAAAGAATCCATTCCAGGTTCCACGATGTATGCATCCTGTGGCTCCCATCGAGGTTCCTGCGAATAGCCGTTCCATTGTGTGGAAGGGATAGGAAGCCCACGGTGAGGGGTCCAGGCATTGTAGGTTGACGGAGTACTACCGCTGTAAGTAGCTGCATTGCTGCTAGATTGACTACTCGTGTTCGCCGTGATCGTGATTCGATGTTCGGGTCTGCTAGTCTTGCTTGGCGAATGTCCATGGGTGCCATCGCCATCAGCAACCACCTTGGAGGCACTGTATCTCGCTGCCGATCCGTACCGGGATCCATTGGGCATAGCAAGCCACATATTGGGATTGGGCCAAGCAATGTCGGAGAATTCCAACACATCTAGTGGTGCATGCTGGAAAGAGAAAACAGTGACATGCTTGTATCGCTCGAAAGGGGGCGTGCGATTGGGACGAGAGAAACCTTCAGCAATGACAGTCTTGATTCTACCTTGAGAATCTCCGGCATCCCAATGCCTCTGCTGTAGTATCTCAGAATGAAATGGAGGAAATCGAAGGGTATCTTGGTTTCCATCTCGATCAAGATCTGCTCGGGCTGTGAGAATTTGGAATCAAAGAAAAAGAAGGAATGACATACTAGAACCCAGATCTGCCAAATCAATGTCAGTACATGGCTATGCAATAATAAACAAGGCAAGGGAATATATAGGAAAGAAAAAACAAGCAGCCGAGGGGGGGCATGTTGGAATCGTGTTATGCCTATGTAAGCATTACAACGATGTAATCGTGTGCGCAACGTACCCATAATCTGTGGCCAACTAGTTCTCTGTCCATAGATACTACCACTGCAAGGAATCAGCTCAATCCACCTAACGGAGGGCATAGATTACAAGTTACTCACGCAACGAAGACCCCGTCAATGAAGATCCGCACCTCGAAAAGTAAGACATCTTCTGGTTCCATGTTTGACTCGATCTGGACACTAGGGCGTGGTTTCTCCCAACTATGAACAGAGACTTGGAACGGAGTGTCTTTGGGCAGACTTGGGATAAATGTCGTGAGGACTGGCAGCTGGTTAAAGATACCTGGATTTGGATGGTGTGCATGAGGGCCGAGGAAGACTTCATTGTGGAGATAGGGCGAGTCTTTGTCCTTGGTCACAAAGCATTGCGTCTTAAACTCTTGTATAGGAACCTTCGAACCTCCAGGAAAAAGAAGGACATCCCAGTTTCTGTAGCGCATGATGCCGTTGAGTGTATAAAGGAGAAGGAGTAGGATGATGAATTTCTCATGTCGAAGTTACTTGGGTGGTATCGACCGGACAGGAATGGAAGTCATGTAGGCGGTATATCACGAACATCGTTGTTTCCCCAAGTAGTATAATCAATAAGGGTAGGCGGTATGGATAGCATATTGTACATCACTTGTACTTCACTTGTTGATGCAGTGACTCTGCAGTTAGCCCTCATCTTAGAAGAACCACTCTTGATCTATCCACATTAAGATGAAGAGCCGTACCTAAATAGATTCTATCCAGGAATTAATGAGTTTACAATGATCCAGAAGAATTGTCTCAGAATCTGCCCAGTTTCAAGTCCAGCCCTAACCAAGCAGAAGACCTCTCTCAAGACATCAAGACATCAGACAGTAATACAGCAAGACAACCAACCCAGGAACCAACTACCAGAGCAACCAGATATGCTCAAATCCACCCAAACCTCCACCTATGGGACCAGCCACAGGGCGTGATGTTTATATAGGTAGAAGACCCAGAAGCAAATGGCCGACAATACAATACCAGGGAAATAGAAAGCTTGATGGCAGTAGTGCAATGCAAACACCAAACGAGCGTACAGGACATTATGGCATACGATCAAAGGAGTTTAGAATCGACAAACGCTGAGGCGCACGAAACAAAGCGTGTTGTACAAGCCGGCAATCAGTCTTAACAGGAAAGGAATGGGAAAAGAAAGCACGCAAAACTTCTCAAAGCGAACATAATTCAATTTAGCTGCTCGAAGAAAAGAGAAAAAAAAGAAAAAAAAAGGAACAAAGGAAAATAAGGTGGTAACGTGGGGGAAATGGAACTTTTCGCAGAATGCCTGCCCAAGGAGTATAAGGGAAAAAGAAGCGCATGACAATTCGGACTTCCATTACACGCAGACAAAGACCCAGTGGCGGGAAAGACCCGATAGCATAAGGGCAGAGAGACATCGAAAATAAGATAAAGAAACATAATAAAATACGAAGGGTGCAAAGGAGGGGGAAGAGAGAGAGAGGAAAAAGGAGAGGGGGTGAAAAAAAAAGGAAAGATACATAAGAACAAGACAGATCAGAAAGGGGAGAAACCTCAGATCTTGCTAAGGTAATAGCGCTCACGTAAAAAGGAAATGCGTAGCACAGGAGACAAATGCTCATCAAGAGCTATAGCCTTGGCCAGAAACCAGGGGAACGAATTTGTTATGACACAATAAAATCATCATTGGAATGACACAAATAACTCCTGCTGGTGCTTTCAATCAAAGGGAAACGCTTACTGGAAGAGTGTCAGCCGACCGCCTGCTTCACATTTGATCCGGGATCGGGCTGCCAGGGTGATCGCTCACCTTCATGGGGGCAAACCCGCCATACTGGTGGGCCGGGGGCATGCCCATGGAGGGGTACATGGGAGGCGGCGGGGGAGCAGGGCGGTAGGGGCTGCCGGCGGGGCCGGAGTTATTCTGGGAGCGGCCCCAGCTCAGACGAACGCGGGAGTTGCCAATGGGGTAGCCCTGCATCTGGTTGATGGCCATCTCAGCAGCGTGGCGCTGGACGAACTGAACGAAACCACAGCCCTTTCCGGGGGGAATCTTGACGTAGGTGATTTCTCCGAAGCCCTGGAAGAAAGAGCGGAGCTCATCCTCGGTGACGTAGCCAGACAGACCACCGACGAAGACAGTGGTGTTGTTGGGGTCTGTGAACTGGTTCATGGGCTGGGGAGCACCGTAGAAGGGCATGGGAGGGCCACCCATGGGAGGATACATCCCAGCGGGACCGGGCATACCCATGGCAGGACCACCATTGCCGCCAACACCGGGGCCCTTGTTCTTGGGAGTAGCGGTAGAGATACGCATAGGGCGGTTGCCACAGTAGACACCCTGCATCTCGGTGAGAGCACGCTGCTGGTCGTTCTCGTCAGAGAAGCGAACGAAACCGTAGCCGCGGGACATGCCGCTGATGGGATCGGTCATGATCTTGGCAGACTTGCAAGAAGGGAAGCGGCTCTGGAAGAGAGAGACGAGGACGTACTCGTTCACCTCAGGGCCAAGGTCACCAACGAAGATGGAGAACTCGGGGCCACGGTCATCACGGCTGGGACGGAGTCAGTTTCAGGGCCGGGAGGAAACCAATGGGATTATCGCTTACCTGCGATCAGCAAGGCCGCCGCCAGTAGCCCAGTTGAGCTTGAAGACCCGGTTGGTGTTGGGCATGGGAGTACCGTTCAGAGAAAGGGCCTTGGCAGCGGCGGCAGGGGAAGCGAAGTCGACGAAGCAGTATCCAGCATTGCTCCTACTACCCACATTAGAAACAATCTTGGAAATCAAATGACAAGTATAGTGTCTTACCCAGAGAACTTGTCACGGATCATCTTGACGTTGACCTGTTCACCCATCTGGAACCAAAGGTTGCGAATGAAGTTCTCGTCGATCCAGGGCTCGAGTTCACCCATCCAGAGGGTGGTCTTGCCATCGGCACCCTGCTGGGGGACGGAAGCAGAGTTGGGTTCACCAGGAGGGGGGCCCTGGAACTGAGCGGCGGAGGGGTCGACCTGGCCGGTCATGTTGGTGTCAACAGGGGCCGGGGCGCCAGCGGCGGCAGGGTCCTGCTGAGGGAAGTTTTCGTAGCCGTTGTTGTAAGACATGGTTGCAAGAATCAAAGTCCGGAAAGTCGATGTAAGAATATAAGATAGCTGAGCGACTAGAACTTCGTGGAGTCGTTAAAGAAAGACCGGCGTAAGATCAAGTCGTAACGAAGCCAAGCAAAGGACGGGCGTGAAAGGCTGCTCCAGATATAAAGTTAGATTTTTATCAATTTTGACTGAAATCCAAGAAGATCCGGACATGCGCAAGTAAAGAAAAGGAAGTGAAAAAAAGGGAAAAGCAGACAAAGCAATCAATCCATGCAAGTGAATAAAACGATGCGGAAGAAGGGGGGAAAGGCGGGTAGGCAGCATTTTGCAGCTGGTTTCTTCAGGCGCATATATGATTCTGAGCCTCAAAAATAGGTGCCGGAAATCGCCAAGACCAGTGCTTTGGGTAGCATCTCATCTTAATAAGATGGTAGTAATGATTGGAAAGTGGATCGGCCGAAGACGAACAATGCAAAGAGCAAAATCGAATGCGCGAGATGAAAATAGGCATGCTTCCACTCGGATGCTGGGCGATCATCATGCGTCGACCGTTTCCGTCGTCCCGGTTTCATGTCCCAATGCGACCGTCCACCCTCTCGATCCAGCACGGTTTGCGGGTAATTCAAGCATTCATATCTGACCGATTCCTCATATTGGCGATGATTTTGAGGTTGGGGTACGTGCGACCGGTAGATAATTGGCTCAATTTCCCGAAAGCGCTGGTCAAGGCGAAGTCGTTGAAGCGTAGGCGAATCACCATACTAAAATCGTAGAAAACCCTGCAAAGAACCCTGCGATCCAAGGCCAATTTGCGCAGTGCTGCGCCAGATTGCTGATATATATGGGGGAAAGGCATTTGGAGTTCGAATGATGAAAGAGGCTTGGGCCAAGCGATATGCGAAAAAGACAAACTCACCTAGAGGAAAACCTGGGAAAACACTGGAAATGCGCGAGGCAAAAAAAGAGTAATCGGCAACAAGGGAGGAAAAGCAGAACTCCCGATAACTAAACAGAAAATTGAAACCGAGATCTTCGAACAATAAGAAAAGGGAGGGGAAGGTAAGAGGGGGAAAAGAAGAAAATGAAGAATTGGAAATCTCGCGAGATGAAGAGAGAGGGGAAGTGGGAAAACGCATTACGTGAGTCGATGTATGGTATGCGTATTACAAGGTATTGGTATGTTCCGTTCCAAGTATGTAGCATCAACAACATATTACTATATAACTAGATAACTAGTACATAGTATATAGGAATGTATCTAAGATATATTAAACATTTGAGCCTCTTTCTGTGTATATCTATGTATCAATAGTATATAGCATCTACTAGTCGTACATCTTAACCCGGTAGTGCAGAGTGCCTTGCCTCTTGTCGATCAGAACTTCCTTCTTTATTTACCTAAAGCAGGTACAGAATAACTATAATCTATAAACTACCTACATAGTACTTATACTACTATGTACCCAGGTTGTCCCCAGATTCCTGTCAATACTGCATGATATCAATCATGCGGGGGGCTTGCTAGATTCTTCATGGTTCCAGGATCCCGGGAAGCCGGGAGAATCGAAGTTGATACATCATAGCCTATGACCCGAGGTCTACGTCCAAGTTCTCCAATGATCGACCCTAGTTTTTTTTTTTTAGCGTCGGTTCTTCCTTCTGTCCGTATGCTCAAAATCAACAGCAAACATGTAAAGGAACCAAAACAAATTATACATCTATATAAATATCGATAAAATACAGAAGAACAAGGGGCAGGAAGCCCCAATGCATGAAATCTGCAAGGATCTGTCGCGATCCTCGAAATGTGACTTGTCAACTGACTAGGTCCGTGGGCCATCATCGTCATATGCTGAGGTAATCTGTTTGTTCACAGCCCTGGAGCCTAATAGTAGGCGAAGCAGGATCAGGTACCTGTTGGGTACATATTCACATGTACTCCTGTAGGCGGTGGTTAGTAAATCTGATATCTCATATTATATATGAAACTCAGGCTATTATTCCTAAGAATATCTATATAAATGGATGTTCTACGGTTATTATATCTACCTCCACGAGTCTAGGTAAGTACATAGATGTATATATAACTATGTTGTATCTATGTACATATGTAATATCATACATGATAGTAAGCAAGAGAAACCTTGGAAGAGAAACAGACGCCACAGAACCATGGAAGGCAACAGCCCCATACGGTAATTATATTTCCACAATACAGCAAGGTCACCCAGATACCCCGTCTATAGTGCGTATAACCTGCAGCCCTGAAAGCTGAAAGGTAGTATAAGCTCTCAATCTTCTCGAAGCAAGGTTCTCTAATCCATGTAACTACCCTCAAGCAAGGATTTAGGTCCCTTAGTCCATAATACATCACCCGCGCATGTCCGGTCATGAAAGAAATACCAGAAAAAGACTTTTGAAGAAAAACACAAAAAAAAAAACACAAAAAGCTCCATCTGAACCATGGAAGCCTTCTTATGCGAAATTCTGTTCTTATTGGCCGGGCTTGGGGGGCCGCTCGTATTAGAATTACTGCTTTACCAACAGAGATTTTTTTCATTTTGCTACTTGGCTTTATTTTATTCTACGCGGTACGCGACGCGTTTTTAAGAATTATCCATATTTATGACATACGGTTCAATGTTTCTACTTATATATTATATGGAAGGGGGGTGTGCAAGGGATAGATTTTATTCATGTGGGATGTAGGTTTCAGATCTAAGCCCTCTTTGCTTTATGAAAATAAGCTAATCCAACCCTTGCGTGGTGAGACACAGCTGAGGATCTTTGTAAAGAGTAACGGAGTACGGAGTACTTTGGAGTTAATTAACATTTGAAGGTATAGTACTTCGTTAGCCCTAAACAATTATATATGGTGTATAGACTGTTATATATAATGGACTCCGTACAACATAAATCATTCTATATCTACAGGAATATATGCAACTTCTGAGGTCATTTCTAACATGCTATAATAGTTAGTCCAAACTTATATTTCAGTACCACCATAGAAACAAACGCAACACCTTTCTATCGGAATAACATCTAACATATATATCTCCTGTCATATCACACTACATTCTTCACTTTCACATGGAAGAAATAAACCAAAGCATAGTGAACTACACATCCGTATATGATGTACAAAGTACATCTAAACTTTAGGCCCTCGGACATACTACTGGTCATTGCAGCCCCCGAGCTGCGCACCCCAGGCCACTAGCTGGCCCCAATGGCCCCCCACTTTCAGGGCTCACATCCACTTAGTTCACTACGTTCTGGCCAAAGAGAATGTCAGCTCTGGCTGTGACTGATACCTGAATTCGATGTACGGGAATGTTTACCTGTATACTCCATTACTTCATTACCGATTCAAGTCGGCATTTGTATGGGAGTTAATAATATATCGACCACTTTTTTTTTTTCGCCTCGACCCCACTGGCTGCTAAGACTCTTTTTTTTTTTTTTTTTTTTTTTTTTTCTTTCTATTATGAGCTAGAAGTTTCTAGAAGAAATATCTAGATCCATAGATAAATATCTACTAATATATAAAATATCTACGGAGTACTATGTACATATATTATGTACACCTCCAGGGCTAGTTAACTAGTTACCTAGATATATATTATTAGTAATGCAAAAATAGAGTGGGACTTCCAAGGTTCTCCGGAACGGTATGTCACTATTTTGTGTGTGGCCTGAGCGTCTGCCTATATACTACCTACAACATCCAACGGAGATAATCGAGATTCTAAAAATATCCTCATTTAAATAGTTGGAGCCACATAGGCAATATGCGTCAGGCCTCAGGATCTAATATACATACTACTACAAACAATTAAACTCATCCATCTCCTCCACCTCGGGATCCTGCTCTGCAAGCAACATAAGACTCTTCTCATAAACTCGCGTAGCCTCCAACATCCATGGCTCATCGACTTCATCACCACTATCCTCATCCCCATATCCATAATCATGACCATGACCATTAGCAACAGTAGCAGCAAGATTACCTCTGTTCGACTTCCCCAAACAAGAAAAAACTTCATATCTAGTCCTCTCTGCCAAACTCCGGATCCGCACTTTCTGTGTCTCTGTCGCGAGGGACTGGCCTGGCTGTCCGCCCGGGAGAACGGTGCCGGTGAGCGGGTGTGTACCTGTACACAGTGCTGCGAAGATGGAGTCGAACTTATGTAGGATGTTTAGGGTCGGTAGGGCATCGAAGGGGAAGGCTGGGAGAGAGGTTTGGGTTAGGCCTGCTAGGGTTATGAGGGCTTCTGTTTGGATTGCCGCTAGATGGAGTTGGTTAGAATGTAAGAAAACACAGGAAGATAATGAACATAGTATATGTATACAGCATATATGATCCTCCCTTCTACAACATAGTTTACGTATGTATGAAATATAAAATATGAGACTCACGTGTTGCCGAAATCCAGAGCGTATCAACAAGACCCTCCACATCCGCAGCAAGCTCTTTGAAGCTCTCATACTTGCGTGCCGAAACAGGTGTACCCGGTGCATCCATGCCCATGTCGGACTTCATTTTGCGGTAACTGACTCTCTCTATGCCGGTACTGATTTGGCCTCGGAGCTGGGTTTCTTCCTCGGAGCCCGAGGTGATGGGTTGGCTCCGTTGTTGCGGGAGTGATAGAGTTGGAGTCCATTGTGGTTGTCGGGTTGAGGGGATGACTATCGGAATTTCTGCATCTTCCCTATTTCTGTATCTGTTTGGAAGGGAGATCGGGACATCCTCAAACTCCACGTTGGAGTCGGAGTCGATGTCTTGATCATTTTGGATTGAGGCGGGGGACATCTTGGGGGGTTGGTTTGATTTCTTTTGATAGGGATAGAATGGGGCTGGGTCCAATGATCAAAATGCTCAATCTTGAACCAAGTTCAATAGAAAGGAAGAGTAAAAAAATACCCTAAAAGGTGCTCTATGCCAGTGGGATAGGGTTGCTTTTGCTGGATATATCGTTGAAGCTTTTGCGTCAGGCTGTGCTTAGAGAATGCGGTTTAGCCGAGGGTAATATCACATGATACATCCAACTGTAGTTATTTGTCCCTGGTCCCTTCAAATTGTTCTATACTTTGGCAGAGCTATCAACCCTATCCATAGAAATGCGTTTCGTTTCTCCAGAGGTGGGATGTCACGCCAAGCGTTGGTCTGTGCGGGAGATCCGGAATTAGAGATATCGATGGGTTCCAAGATTGGCTATGGATGATACGGAAATTTGAACTACATGTGAACTACATATATATATATATACAATTGGATCATAACCTATTGATATTGAGATAACATGTATGTATGTATCTGACCTATTTTGAACCACGATTAGCACATTGGCACAAGAAGAAACAATAAATCCCGATAAGACATAAACTCCAGTTCAGAAGGCGAGAAGATATAAATATGCTGGTGTTTGCAGGCATAGCATAACAGCGGGCAAAACGCGTTTTGCTACTATGGCCCCAGCGTGTTCATCCTCGGAGCGAACAGAATAAAAAGAAGGAAAGCAAACGGAAAACTCACATGTACATACGACACCTCGAACCTTTTGTCCTGTCATCGAAAAAAAATACACCCAGAACGCCATGCTATCATGCGCTAGATCACTCAGGCTGTGTAAAAAGTCAGTATACCACTCTCAAAGACCAGTCGAACAAGTAAAACATAGAAAACCTACTCGAATCTTGCCCTTCCGAGCCTTAATCTCCGCCAACTTCTTCTTATCCTCATCAAAGCGTCTAAGCATTTGATTCTGTCTCTCCTTCCTCTTCTCCCTAGACTGGAATCGGTAGAAGTCCTCTAATCCAACACCCTTCTTCTTCTGCTTCTCGACAAGCTCCCTCATCTCATCCTCACGCGCCACAGAATTCAACTTCGGTCCATGCGAAACGGTAACGAATCCATCCTCATCCGGCACAGCAAGACGCTTATGATCCTCGCGCTTGCGCGTCTCAGCCACCTGTGTGAACGTAGTCATGAATTCATTCACCGTGCGCAGCAATGTCCCCCGATCAGGGTACTGCATGCGCTCGTGTGCGACGTATCGGTTCAGCCCAAGTACAGGGATGCGGTCTGTCGGCAGGCCCTCGCCCCATACAATGGTGGTGCCGCGCTTGGAGGCCTTGGTGGCAGCTTTCAGACTAGATTCCATGCTGGGCTTGTCGGCGAAGATGACGATTGCGTGGGCGCCACTCTTTTGAAGTTTGCGGTCCCAGGTTGATGGAAGAGTGATTTCATCTAGGTGGCGTTCGAAGTCGTCGGCGGTTACGCGCTTGCGCTTCTTTTTGGATTGACTTAGGTTTGTTTCTGTGGTTGTTGCCGCCGCGCGCTTTTTGTTTTGCACATCTTCGAATTGGACTCTTTCCACACGGCCAGAGGCAAGTTGGGTGCCGAAGAGGTGGCGGAGGTGGGCTTCTGTGGTGTCGATTGGGACGTTGACGATGAAGAGGGAGCGGGTAGAATCTGGGTCTGGGATTCTGGGCTCGTGTGGTCGGAGGTAGAGGTAATGTGTCGCGGGAGTTGGGAAGAGGGGTGTTGTTGGGAGTTGCACCGGTAGGATGGCGTACCCTTCTACCTGCACGGACTCGACCTTCATTTTGAATGGAGGTTTGATTCCTGGATTGTTGCGTTGATCGAGCTCAACTTTTTCTGCAGATTTGCTCTTGGCACAGAATTTTGCCGGGGGTGTCAGAGCGGCGGTGTAAGCGGTGAACTCCCTAGTTAGGGCTTCGACTATGTACATAACATGAACTCTTTAGCATTCTAACCTATTATCTATGATATAAATTGATTAATGGTATAAAACTATCGCAGCATGGACCTGATGCATCATGAATATCGTGATTGCAGAGCATTTCCCTCGACATCGATGGACCGTCTCAACCGCACCACCATCTTCAAGCCTTATCAGGATCATTGATCCCGCCATTGGTAATAACATAGATTGCTTCTCGTTCAGCGCAGTCTTAAAATAAGTTAGAACAGTGATAAAGCCCGAGATATATCTCAGTACTCACCAGGAGAATCCTGGATCTTCGCAACACGCTCATCACCACGACCCTTCCGAAGGAGCACACGAGTAGTGGAAGCATGAGCAAGCACATGTCCACCAACTGGCTTGCGGCCATCAGCTCCGGAAAATAGCGCACTGGCACCAGGATCACTCTGAACCTGGTTTGTCTAAACCAAAGCGTGAGCTACAACACCTCGAAACACAAGATGGCACTCACCATCAAGACACAGACATTGAACTCTGCAAGTCCAATAAAATTAGCCAAAGCAACTAGAAAAATACACAGGACAATAAATCTCACCTTCAGCCATATGTGCCAGCTTCATCAAAAACTGATTCAACTTCTGCTGCCGATCCGCCAACTCCCCACGCCCACAATAATCAACCCGAAAACAGTTCATGATACTGTCGATAACAAGCAACCGATACTCGCCACCCGCAAAAGCCTGAGAAAGTGTATTCAGCAGCTCGAGCTGGTGCTCGCTGTTCAGCGCGCGCGCGTAGGAGATATTCTCCTGTGCCGTGTCGGGTTCAATTCCGAACCGTTCGGCGATTTGAGCAATGCGTTCGGGCCGGAACGTACCCTCTGTGTCGATGTAGGCGACTCTGCCAGCTGCCCCGCCTGCTTCTTTGGGTAGTTGAGCAACTACTGACATCGTGTGTGAAAGTTGTGTTTTGCCACAGCGGAATTCGCCGAAGACTTCGCTGATGCTCATGCTTTGGAAGCCGCTGACGCGGTGTTAAATGGTTTCTACTGGTGACTTTGGTGTTTGGAATCGGTTATATTGTGTACTTACCCGTTGAGGATCGAGTCGAACTGCTTGCTACCGGTAGATATACGGACAACTTTCTTGCGTTGGTGGTGGAGTTCCATGGCTGTGATAAAGCCCGAGGCTGTAGGGAGGCATTTCTGAATCGCTTCTTTGACCTTTTCCACCTTAACTTCGCTGAATCCTTTGATTTTCAAGAGGGTCTTTCGGGTGGCGCCGTGGACAGACTGGGTGAGTGGTTAGTTTTGGTGGGAGATGGCATGGGCTTAGAGTATGTTCGGAGATGAGGTCGGGTGTTGAGGCACTGACAGCAATAGTGTAGAATCCATTGGCTTTCAGCTTGGTGATGTCTGCTGCGCCAATGCCATGGGCTTGGATGCCGTCGATGTCCAGAATGAAATTCTGCAATTATAGAATATTTACTCTGATTAGATTGGTAGTTCCAAGATGGGCATGGGGATGGGGGTCTACTGTACCTCTTCATCGCCGAATTCACCACTTCCAACCGAACCTGGCATCTTGGTGGGATCAATTGGAGATGGCTACGTGAAGGTGAATGATGGGGGAGAGCTGTAGAGTGAACAAGAGATGTGAAGGGGAGACTCGACCTGAGTGTTCAAGGTCACGGGTTCAGACTGCTACTAAGCACACCACATCTGTACGTGCAGTGGACTACAAGAAACAAGATGATTGAGATATTTCTTTTTTAGACTCTCGAAATTTTCTCAGGACTCCATCTGGAAGTCCTTCTTTCCAGTTGCAACGGTCCCCGAATCCAATTCCACTCAGCTTCAACATATCCTCTCATTGCCACACTTCATCTCGTTCTCTCCTTGGTCCCATTCGGGAAAACCGCAACCAAGAGTCGATTGAAAACCAAGAAAGATAATCCATGAGAATAGACAGACGCCAATCAATCGTACTTGAGAAAGTCAAGTCGAGGGTCACTCAGCGAAAAACAAGACCGAAAAGAACTTTTTCTGTTTGTTCGTCGTATACATGATAGGGGGGATAAAAGAAATAAGATAAAAAAAAAAAAAAGAACAAGTTCAAAAATGGGAGGGAAAAAAGGGAAATCAAAAGTTGTTTTGTTTTTTCAGGTCTAGAACCAGACCCGTTCCCCAAATCGGAGGGCGTGATTTAAATATATGCAAAGGAAGAAATGGCGGAGAGGTTTAGGGAAAAGTGACCGTATAGAATCAAGGAAGAAAAGGAACTCCAGGCATTCCTCCAAGGGCGGATGCACGGTGGAGAGAGACAGGGCCCGAACACACTTAAGCGACGGCGGTAGTAGGAGCCGCAGCAGGGACAGTGTTAGCCTCAGTGGCAGTCTCAACAGCGACGACAGTAGGGGCAGCCGCGACAACGGGGGCGGTGGTAACGGGAACAGCCTCGACAGCAGCAACAGGAGCAGCAGCACCATCGTTGGTAGGACAGTCGCGGGAAATGTGGCCAGCCTGGGCGCACTTGTAGCAGACCTTACCGGCGGAGCTGAGGGGACCGCCGTTGGGCGCGGTGCAGTCACGCGAGATGTGGCCGAGCTTGCCGCAGGCGTAGCACTTCATAGCCTGAGCCTGGCAGTCACGAGCGAAGTGGTTAGGGCCACCACACTTGTAGCAAGTAGCAGCACGGGGGTAACCGCTGAATCCACCGCGGAAACCACCCTGGAAACCACCGCGAGCACCACCGGCGCCGCGGCCAGCGGCGGGACCGGTAGGGGGAGCACCAGCTCCGGCAGCAGGGGGGTTGGTGCAATTACGCTATAGTAGGGTTTAGTGACTACTTCGAAGGGTCAAGTCCTGGGCTTGAGGGTTAGAACTTACGGCAAGGTGGCCGGGCTGGCTGCAGTTGTAGCAGCGGCCGTTGGCACCACCGTTCAGGCGCAGGGTGGGGCAGTCAGCCTGGACGTGGCCGAGACCCTGGCAGTTGTAGCACTGCTTGGCTGGATGAGGTTAGCGGCCTAGAATGGCGAGAGATGATATTGAGTGATCGCTTACTTTCAGTGGTACGGGGCAGAGGGCAGGCGCTGGACTCGTGGCCTATATGATAAGTTAGAAGCTTGCTCTAAGTACTATGACTCAAGATCGAACATACCGGGTTGCTTGCCTGTAAGACGAGATAAATTAGCATTGTGAAAAAACAAGAGTATGAGCTCTCGGGGAGATGTTTACGCACAGTTGTAGCAGAGACGCTCAGTGGAAGAGCAGACCTCTACCGAGGAATTAGTTTGACCCCGGGTAACCAAGCTTCCAGCTATACTAACCAGCATAGTGGCCGATAGTGCCACACTTGTAGCATGCGCGACGAGACAACATCATTCTGGCGGTAATCTATTCATCGCGAGTCAGCCCGGTGCTGGGGTTATGGTGTATAGCTCCGTCGATAAGCAGCGTCTTCCCCTCCATTGCTGGGATTGTCGAATTGGAATTGTATGATAATCATGCTTCATCTGGTCTTTTTTGCAGATCTGGTGTATATATCCGACGTTATCCGAGTCGAGCACAATCGCATTCGTTGCATTCGTTGCATTCGTTGGGGTCCCAAAAATTGCAAGCGAAAGAGGGGAAGACGTAGATCGGCGGGGGGAGGAGCACGAGCTCGAACGGCGAAACACGAAACACCCTTTCTCACTCACCCTCACAGTAATTCTTCAAATCCTTGTCAAATTCTATCCTTTTGGTCAGCTTGAGAACCTTTGGAGAAAAGGCACGTTCTGACAGCCCACTCGAGAAAAAAAAAGTGGGACACACGAGGGGGAACCACACAGAAAAAAAAAAAGCAAAAAAAGAACGAAAGAAGAAATAGAACTTACAACTCTCAACAACTTCAATAACCTCTTCTCAACAGCTCCAACTTCTTTTTAATAAGAGAATGCACACAAAGAAGGGAGGAAAAGGTAGAAAAAGGACAAACTCGTCAAACGGCTTTAGCTCCCGGGCTTTTCCGTATTGCGTAAGGCGTTTATTTACTTATAATATCTTGTATGCAGAGTACCTATACAACATAGGTAGTACGGAGTGTATATATTATATATATTATATTCTGTATTCTGTATTCTACGTGGTATAATTTATATATGCTTCAATTCTTGAGTATTCTCAATATTTTGAATACTCTACTAGAATTCCACGACCCCTACATTCTTACAAGTAGATCCATTCTCCAAAAAAAAAAAAAAAGAAAGTGTCACAATGCAATTCATTTCTTCGTTCCAAAGAGATCTCCGCGAGATCCGACTGGTTAGCCCATCTTAATCTACTCTTCCCGCTCCAGGATGGCCGGGGCCTTAATTTCCCGTCCCTTGAGGAATTCCAGGTTTTCACCGCCCTGTCATACATGTTAGTTGAGATCGACGGGACGAGATAGTGAGAGACATACGTAGCTGATCAGAGGAGAAACTTCGACCCCAACGGCCTCGCCATCAGTAATAACAATACCACCAGCAGCCTCAACCCATCGCTGACCTTGGGCCATGATATCCGCACGGCTGGTATCAGGATCGTCCTCACCAGTACCGCGGGCGTTCTTCAAAGGCGAGAACTCGTCGTGACGGTGCACCTCAAGGGTAGCGAACTTCTCTAGGGGAGTCATCGGGAACACATCGAAGACGAACTGCTCCAGCTTGATGCCGTTAGGCTTCTCAGGCTTGACAATGTTACCAGTCTCGATATCGACACAGGCGATCTTCTTGCGCGCCACGTGGTGGGGGAGCTGGTGAGCCCAATTCTCGATCGACTCAAGGAACTGGAAGGAGTAATAGTGGTTGACGATGTTGGCGGCACGGTACTTGAGGACATCGGGCTGCTTGGGATCCTTAGCCTCGGCAGTCTCTTGGTCAATCTCAGAGTATTCGACCACGTCGGGCTTGCCGTTCTTCAACAGGATCAGGCCTACGGACTCGGTGGCGTTGCGCTTGCGCACCACCTTGGTCGCGATGTCGACATTCTTTGAGGCTGCAAAGCCAATAAAGACCGGGTCAGCTACCTTGACAAGGCAGTTGTCCACCCCGTAGAGGTGGATGTGCTTGATGCCACGGCGACGCATGTCCTCTCGCACACCGGAGACCACGAGGGCCTGGTAGATGCCACCGTTTCCATCAGGAGCCACGGCGGCCTATGTTCAGGGTCAACAAAGCTCTTTCTACATGTGTTTTGAGCTACGCCCGTATATATTACATACCTTGCCCTTGCTCTCGAGCAGAATCTTGCCATCGTTGGAGATACAAGGCAGAACACCCTGCTCGAAGACCATAACATTGTTCTTGTCGAGACCGAAGTAGTTGTTCTTCTCAAAGAACTCCTCCGTGGGTTTGCGTGTAGGCCCACTCGTCATGACGTACCAGGGAATGGCTACGTTCTGATCACCGATGAGAGACTGTAGCTTGGCGATACGCTGAGCCTGCAGCTGGAATAGCGATTTCTCGCTCAATAGGCCAATGTCAAAGCAGCCCTTGGGAGCAGAACTGCCGAGCCGGGTACCCTGCCCACCAGCCATCAAGACAACGGCCACCTTATTTGCTGCCACTTCCTTCAGGCCAGCTTCATACCATTTCTGGATATCTGATGGGTCGGAGTCAAGGATGGAGGCTGTGGCGGCTTCGGGGAGGGGCTCGAGAGTCACAGTCCCTTGCTCAGCTGGAGGAGGGTTGAGAGCCTTGTCTGCCAGCTCGTTGATCCGAGTGGGGTCAAAGTTGGACAGCTGGTGGAAGAGCTGTGACTTCTCCACGGTGGTCAATTGGTCAACGAAGGCGAAGACATGTCCTTGTCCGGCGTCTGTGTATTTCTTTTGTAGTGTTTGGAACTCCTCAGCTGAGGGTTCACGGGGAACCTCTGACGTGGTGCCCTGGAGTTTTCCAAGAACGTTGGAGACAGCATCTTTGATAACGCTTGCCATTTTGGATGTGGATATTTCTTGAGACGAGAAAGAAAAGAAGAGAGATAAATTGGGAGGAGGAGAAGAAAAGTAGAGAGGAAGGAGAAAAAGTAAATAAAAAAAAAGGAAGCGTGGGGTGAAGCTCAAGCTGATTAAGTAGGTAAGTACTTAGGTACACTGGGCACCGTACCCCGGCCTTATAACACCCCGTGGACGGTAAAAGTGCTCCAGTTTGCTAATATATCTCACACTATTTGGAATCTAGTGGGCTCCAGTTTATTTTTAGGGATCTGCAGAGGCGAATAATAGCGAGCTGTCCATACAAGAAAGTCGCTAGCGAGCGCCATCTGAGACCTGCCCACTTGGAAAATTATTACGCTAGTCATAGCGGGGCCTTGGCCTGTTGCCAGGGGGGCGAAGTTGAGTGGATATTTCCAAGGTTATTCACGGACTTCGTATTTATTTGTAGAATAGGGGATAGTATTTTGAATTCTATCTTCGATCACGATTATTGTAACGGCCTTCCTTGCGTGAATCTCTTCGTGGACTCCGACTATACGATCGACGACGGTATCGATCCCGTTCATCTCGACGGGGGCTTCGGCTCCCTCGATCTCGACCAGGAACGCGAGTACGATCCGACGGAGGCCCCCGCGGAGCCTCGCGGATTGGAGCTGGAGCGCCCCTTTTCTTGTTCTTGTCAAACATCATCCGGTACCTAGAATCATCCTCACTTGGAGGCGCGTCGTCCAGCTCTCGGTACTGGCGTTTCGCTTCAAGATCTGCAACACCACCAAATCCGCCTCTCTGTCGGCGCTTGGTGACAGTGGAATTGCGCCAGCTTTCAGATAACTTGGATACCTGAGATGGATTAGCATATTGGTCTAGACAATAGGGACAAGAAGCTCCTACACTCTGTGAGAAATCTACATGGATCCGATGGTCATCGATTAAGACACCTTGCATCTTGAAATAGGCCTGCTCACAGTCCTTCTGTTCCTCGAATTCAATAAATGCATATTGTAGACTGTCACCGGTGCGCTTGTCTCGAATGACTTCGCAAGACAAGATCGTTCCAAAGCGGCTGAAAATAAGATTTAGATCCTCATCTAGCATTGGTTAGCACAATCTCACAGTTTCGTGGGGGAATGCGCGACAAACCTTGTGTGACCGGGTTGAGCTTGCAAACGAAAAGAATATTCTCTGGCGGCTTGACGTCAGCGAACGGCAGGTCTCCCACCATTTCCAATGTTAGCGCCTGCGCGCGAGCCTCACGCTCGCGACGCAGCTTGTCCATAGCCTCTTCATCCATATCATCATCCAAGTCCTCATCGTCCGCGATTCTGACCGTGGCCAATTGGGCTTTGGAGGGTACCGGGCTTTCAGGTGGTTCAACCAAATTTGGCGGGTCATCGAAGGGATCGTCAAGGACAGTCGTATGACGAATGCGAATATCCTTCAGTGGTCGACCTCGGTCGTCAATAAAGGAATCATTGATTTTCTCCAGGACATCGAAGCCCTCAACGACCTTGCCGAAAATCACGGCCTTTCCATCTAAATAATCCAGATTGTCTCCAAGTGTAATGATGAATTGACTGGCGGCTAATCGTTGGTCGGGATCGTTCTTAGCCGGTACCGTCGCCATGCTCACCGTGCCGCGTTCCAAGTGTTTCAACTTGTGCGATACCTGGAGGGGAAATGTTCGTTTCGACGGTCCGTCCAGCAGACCCCATACTGAAGATCCTCCATCGCTCTCGGGTACATCAGGGCCGAGCGGGTCGCCAGTCTGGAAGGTGAAGTTCTTTTGGACACTGTGGATGGGCGAGAAATTGTAGTACTTGAGCTTGCATAGCTTCAAGAAGCTAGAAGCACACAAAATGAGCTTAGTTTCAGGTTTCAGCAGACTGGGGAAAGCCAAGGAATGGAGCCACTCACTTGTCACACGCCTTGGGTGCATCGTCGACCAACAAGTCAATTACAATGTCGCCCAGGGAGGTCTCTAAAAGCGCGCTCATGGCGGGGAATCGGGTCGCGGGAAAGACGCCGAATTAGGCGCTTGGACGACCTTGGAAGAGAAACTAATTTGGTAATAGGTGAGTACTCTGTAGAGACTGAGACAGAGACAGAGAGAGTGTGAATGTAAAAAGTCCGAGAAATGCGAAATGCAGAAGAAGATCGCCGGAGCTTCGACCAATGACCGCCCGCGGGGATCTCCAACCGGAGAGAATCTGAGCCTCTCGCAGTGTTTTCTTTCTTCTTTCCTTTTATTTTCCTTACTAGTATGTCCCCCTATTTTTACACACTTTTTTTATTCTCCCACGAATCCGATGGGTACGTGCTGCGCAACAGCTCTAGCTCCGGATGATCGACCCGGGAGACTTGTGAAACGGTGCTTGTCAATCGAGCGGCATATCTTCCGAATGTCCCCGTTGGACATAATATGGACATAACCTTACGCTTTTGAGATCAATATGCAGCGGATCTTATTAAGGGCCTTGATCGACCCTGGGATTCCAAGTTTGAACTGTTTGTGTGCTTATATCCCTCATGCAGCCGCGGCCCCAGCCAAAAGAAGTATCTCTTCTTAGCAGACAGTTCGAGAGTGATTGTTGCTGTCAATCCTTGCCCAAGCCACACTCTGTTGTACTGTTTCGCCTTTTCTCTCCTTCCCCACTAAAGATCATGTCAACCGTATCGCTTCCACGGGAAGTACACGGTCCTCCTATGCTAGAACACAATCTTTCCCCGTGAGCTGTTCCACAGCAGAGACGTTGGGAAGGGGAAACGGGCGGCCTCCTGCAGCAGGATCCAACGGGTATCATCACCACCACACCTTAACTTCTTGGAAAAGAGCCACACACGTGGGATGGGAGATGATCGATCCTGGATCAGCCTCTTGCCTCCAAGGTTGACCTCCCGGCTTCTCAATCTGGGTAAGCTCTGGTCAGCAACCAGGGGATGCCTCCACCGTATCGTCTGCAACAAAAGCCAGTCTCAATCTCAACATGTGTTCCTGGCGAGTCAACTCAGAGTCAGCTGGCGTAGCCTTCAGGGCTTGTTTCTCCTGACTCTTCTCAATTCCTACTTCCCCCCGGATGTCGTGCATCGTCAAACCTTGAATTGCACGGAGACTTGTCTAAATAACTGTTAGAGACTCCATGGGGTCTAGATTTTTATTTGAAACCCGGACTTTGATTGCCTTCCCCACTGTGCTGGTCTCTTTTTTCTTTATCTCTCTTTCTATGTGTCTCGTATCCTGACACTGGATATCTTAAACCATGATGAGTATATTGGAATGAGAATTATACTAATATTGGAGAAACTCTTCTAATTATTTTGCCCTATATCATAATGTAACGCGAAACCACTTCACATTAGCCTCAAGCAATGTGTGAACCTTGTAAGTATCCCAGAAGTTCATGCATCTCGGTCGCCTCTAAGTTTCCCCTTTTAGCCTCTAGCGTCGATGATCAAGATCTGGTATAAGACGTCACAAGAGTACATTGCGTAAGTAGTGAATATCCCTCTCTCATTTTATGGACATGATTTTGCTTTTTTTTCCATTTCGATCTAGCTGCTTATCGGAAGCGCTAAAGAACACACCCATGTCGCTGATCAGCCCTTTAGACCGTTGATCCCTGGAGGGCTTTTTAGGGCTTTCCGTAGAGCGCGCTTGGCTTGGGGAAGTTAACTCGTGCGCTTGTCAAAGTGACAGGTGTCATGAGAGAATTTCCTATATTTTCTTTTTTTTCTCTTCTCTTTCTCTATTGAGACATTTGAAGCATCCTGAGACAGGCGTTTGTTTTATTTTTTTTCTTCTTTTCTCCATCTCTTTGGAAGACCGTGCGTTTGCAAGATGACTTATGTTCCAGACCTCGAGGAAGTTCGGACTATTTTGACACAACTATACACTATCGAGCAAACATTGTTCACGGACGTCGGACATACTCCCCCGCGGATCGTCTGCAAACAGTAGGTCGGCAGTTGCCCGTTTTCTCTATCTAGATCTTGAGATACACCAAGTTCTTGATATTGCTTCATAAAAAGGAAAAAACTGCCTTCAAATCGGCTGAAACACTACCTACCAGAGACTCCCTCTCTCTCTCCTGTTCTCGTCATGGCTATAAGGTGTCCGTGTGACGTTACGTTGTGAAACATCTTTTTTATTAAAAAAAATGCATTTTCTGTCTTTCATATATACAGTATTGGGGGGGGGGGGGGGGGGGGGGGCAACTGGGGGAATTTGGGTATGCGGAACATTGCATATCATTTCCCCTTGGAAAAAAAAAAACTAGAAAATAATTACGAAACAGTAAAAAATAAGAATACAAATAAGAAATAAGAAATAAAAAGAAGAGGGCCAAAAAAAAAAAGAAAGGAAAGCCAGGTCCAGGCTACTTTTAGCCTATGTACTGTGTATGTCTTCTCTCCCCAGATCTAAACACATATAATAAAAAGATAGAAAACAAAAAAAAGCAGGGGGCAAAAATATCGCATCATCTCTATATATTTTTATAAAAAAAAAGGAAGGCAATCAATCACACCGATTGTTACCAAAACATGGCTTAAATCTAGCCCTATTTCCCAGAGACATCTTTCATCTTCTACTTTCTTCTTCTCATGAACATTGACTTATAGCCATTCATAGCTTCCTTTTGGATTTCTACTTTGCTGAGTGAAACTATCCGGTTGTTCTTTGCAACTATCATGGATCAATACGACAATCTGTCTGGACTAGATCAAGCCAGGCATAATTCAACCATTTCTATGGCTCGTTCAATGCGCGTGGTCAAGCAAGAGCGCAGTCTTGTTGTAGAGCGAGATGAAAAGCCGCGGAAACAGAGAAAGCGAGCCCTAGTCGCAGTAAGTACACTCTTCATCGTGACATCTTGGTCACGCGGCGATTTCTAACCTCCACTAGTGCAATCGATGCCGGAAGAGAAAAATCAAGTGTAATGGTGATCTTAACACTGGCCTGGCTTGCTCCAGCTGCCGTAGTGTTGGAGCCACCGAATGTCAGTACATACGAGTAAGTCTGAGTCTATAATATCTACAGCGTGGAAGAGTCACACTAACCTAGATTCCTTTTGCTCAGGTCAACTCTTTGGCCCCCGAAGACGCTGCTAGAGAAGCAGCCAGACTTTATGCAAATAAGGGCCAGGGAAGATCAATCCTCATGGGCTCTCCTCAAATGCGGGCTCCATATCAGCGAGAGGAGTACGAGCTGGATATCCAGTCCAACTTCTCACGGCAACCCGTTGGCATAGACCACTCCTATGATGACCAGTCAGCCAACTACCACGGCCAGACATCGCCAGGGTACATGCTGTCCAGCAATCCTGGAGCAATGCTCGACTATGGCACTACATGGGGCAACCGAGCCTGGGATCTCAACGGCAGACCCAATGGTGAGTTCTTCGAAGAACAAAACAGCAACATGAGCCAAGGTACATATGGCTTTGTTCTCCCAGGCCAAGGCATGTCCGCCGAAATTCCCCAGTCAACAGGAGCCATGACAACGCCATATACCGACGCCGTAGACCGCACCCTCCCTACACCCCCAACCTGGCGAAGCCAACCCCAGCCCCAGCAAAACATCAACCTCTCAACCCTCCCAGATGGCCTCTCAGGCATGACCCTAGCCCCCGATGCAAAGGGCTACTGGAACAGGACAGTTCCAATGGCCACCGTCCCAAGCAACGGTATCTACAATCTCAGCCCATCAGCACGCATCAAGTCAACAGACTCGGACGATGGAACACCCGATCTCGTCTTCGGATACATCCCTATGTCTACTACAAAGGATCCCTCCCCACTTCCACCAGCCTCATCCTCATCCTCCATAGCCTCCTCCGCTGCAAACCCCCCTTACCCAGCCCTAGACACGATAGAGACTACTCTCATGGGTGAGTACAACACGTCTGATGCGCGTGTGGGACGCACATTCTCGCGCGAAAGCGGCGCCGGACAGCGTATGCTCGCACTGACTTCTGATTGCTCGCCCGATGTGTATGGGTATTCCGGCAGTGAGCGCAGGAAGTCCAGGGGTGTTTTCGAGGGTGCTGATGTGCGCTGCTCGGCGCCTACTCTTATTAATGGGTTGCCTTATACGCGTGTGCGCCATGCAGACTCTGCGGTTGGTCTGCCGTATGGCTTTTTGGCTGATAACTTGTCTGATTATGGGCGTTCGGTTGATAGTTTGCATCGTCCTCCCATTTCACCCTTGGGGCACCAGGGGGCGTATTGAGTTCATTTTGGTTGTGGGTTGACATTTGAAAGTCTGTCTGTCTTTTGGTGTCGTTGTATCGAATATTTGGCCGGTTGGATTCTTGGATCCTGATTTTCTGGTCTTCGCTGTTCTCGTGTTTCCACCCCCCCCCCCCCCCCCGGTCGGTCTCTTGCTTGGTTTCTTTCTTTCCCACGAGATGCACAAAAGAGATACCCATATCAAGGCCGTTTACATCTGCCTTTGTTCTGTCAATGTAATGTCTTTCTCATGTCTGTCTGTTTTTGTTCATCATCTTAGTCTTTTCTGTGTTTTTATTCTGCTCGGTTTTGATTTATTCTTTCATCTTTTCTTGTCTGCTTATGTTCATCCAAAAGAGAAAAAGAAATCCAATGGACGAAGCCCATTCTAGCACACCCGTCCAAGATTACTCCCTAATACCCAGAGTGGCTTTATACAGGGATTCATATCTGTTTATGTCTTATTTGAAATATATGCTTTTTTTTTCATGCTATGTGTCTAGTCTTTGGTGGAATATCTTATTTTCTGTTGTTACTATGAAGCGCTCTCTGGTCTGTCTATGGTGATAATATCTCCGCATCATCAACAGATGGCTCCGACGTCCGGGGGAGTTTATTGATTCTAACGATCTGTCTTCTATCCTTCAAAGCGCGAATGGCTCCTTATTTATCTGGCTTATTTGAAAGTAATGTGTTTATCTATTTACTCCATCTTCCCTCGCTCGAGTATTTATCTCTCCCAGCAACAACCATATCTCCCAACTAATGACAATACATATAATAAACCCCCTCCCAATGTATCCCCATCCACTCCCAATAGTCACAGACACAGACTAGGGCAAACCATGTGCCCTGCACCCCCCGACGAGTACCAGGGATCCTTCCCAATGAACCAGAAAGTAGCACACAAATCTGTATATCGCCGGACTTCTGACTCCCGCCCTGAACTAGAATGCAGTGATACAACGATCCAACCTGCCATATCATATACAACCCTGTCATGGATGTGAACGGGTACTTGGCTGTCAGAAATCCTACGGTAGTAGTTATGTATTCTGCGTATCTACATATAGTCAGAAGACCGTTATCCCGATCGAACAGGTCCACGTGAAATTGGGATGTGGTATTTATGGGGAAATGAAATAAATGAAATTCAGATAAGAATGTAATATTTGGGCAAGAAAAGGAAAACCTTCTAGGTTGTGTAATCTGCTGTCCATCGTACAAGACATCCAACCAGAGGGATATACTTACACAATTCCTCCCGGCTGAGTTCCGTTGCTTCAAGGGCTTATTATGCTAGATGTGATCGTTTGGTTTGGGAAGTTGGTCCCTGCATTGTACCTGTTGGCTTGTTATTGTGTGTTTTTTTTTCTTAGTCGGATGAAGCGACCCAATGAGATAAAGAATTCCCATGGTCATCTTCATCACTTAGTGGGTTGATATTTTACCCGTGGATATATAAATATGTAAATATAAACATGTACTGAGCTCTGAATCCAACAGATGTAAGTGATGAAGCACCAATGATTCCCATCCACGAAGCTGTCATCCCCGATTTGAACAGCCACGTAAAGCGGCTTGTCGTAGAAGTACAGCTCTTCTCTAAGAGCTCTTTAAGTAAAGCCTTCCATTCTCCAGGAATAGGCAATTCGGCAATGCTAGAAACTCGAGAAGAACAACGCGGTAGCGCTTGTATATTGTCTCTTATTGGCAAAGAAGTAGTAATCTAACAAATACAAGAAGCGTGAACAGCAAGGCAGGTGTTATTATGCTGAGTGAATTGTTGATTGACATGGCGTAGAACAAATCTATAGCTCTATATATACTACGCAGGATGATCAGATGAGCCTCATTTATTCTCTTGCCAAGCTGCTGAGACGGCTATCCGGGGATTGTATTGTCCAATCATGCGAATAAATGTGTCTCGTTTATTCCCGTGCAAGCCTGGCGCGAAGACAAGATTATCAATTTCATTTCTGTGCAGTTTGTGAGATAAATGAATGAATACAATATATGCTAGCTAGCGCCAGCTTGAAACAACTAGTATGGTAGGCCTTGGAGATCCTTGGTGGTTGCGTGATTTATGCTGCTGAGTGAAGAGCTTCTTTTAATAGAAAACCCGAGAACTGAAACAATGCTTCATCACTCAGCTCCTACGATGACAATTGGCCCGGAGAGATTTTAGATATCATAAATGTGTTACATATAACCGCCCACGTTTCAATAGCTTAAAAAGTAAACGTGCATATATAAAATGCTTTAGATGGCTACCGTCCAAACCTGAGCCACCTGAGTGTGAGATAATTAGCATCCAGCTTTGACACGATTATACCTCCAGAATCAAAGATATGGCTTCTGGGCTTCTCAGACCTCTCGCTGTTTCCTACGGACAATCCCAATCTCATAAAAACCGTCAAGAACCTGGGCAACGCATGGCGCACCCTTGCCGAGGAGCCATCTACAGAGTCCGACAAGGAGTTCACTATTATCAAAACCACATTTGATCTCACATTCAAAATACCAACGCCTGGAGATGCGACCTTGGTTGAGACAACGACCAATGAGCCCTCGTTTTCTTGCTACTCTAAGAATTCAACCTCAGGGGAGAAACTACCAGATGAAGCCCCGCCACCAAGCGATCCCCAAAATAAAATACTAGTCGAGAGGACGACACATGAGGGATCCATATCTGGCGAGCCCGAAGACTCGACGTCGATTGAGGCAACAATCAATGATGCACTTACATCTGACGAAACCGAGAATACGACTTCGGGATATGAAGCTCTACTATCAAGCGACTCCTATGTCTTGAAGTCGGCTGAGATAACCACAAGTGAGACGTTGCTATCTGGCGACCGCGAAGATCTGGCGTTAACTGCGGTGACGACAAATGAGGTACCTGCTTGAACAGAGAAATGAATCGGCTGCAACGGAGAGGTTCTTGGAGGACCAAATTGGGCTTTTGGCTAAGGGGGTGGCCACATGATCATTTCATTCTCTTTGGCTTGATGTATTGATATAGTGATACGGTGAAATCAATTGGGCGTGGAACGTTGTTTTAGTAGATCAAAAATTATTGCCAACAGGCTCCACTGTATACCTGGCCTTCTGATATGGGTAAGAAGAGGGCTAACTGTTACATCCATGTCCGAGTTAGACATGCTTCTGTTGTATGGTGACATTCAGGAATGGGCTTGGGAGTAGCACTCCGCATTTGAAGTAGACCATGGAGGGGCATGGGGCATGGCTTGATAAAGACTGAGCCTAGACTACGCCGCAGAGGGTCTTCAGTCTACAAATCCAACTACACCAGATTCAGACATGACCCCGTACAAGCGTACGTACAAGTACAGTCTACAAGACCAGACCGAGTGAAGAGAAACAAGTAAAATGTAATTTCATCCCGGGCAAACAGCCGAAGCCCGGATTCTCATAACCCCGGCCGTCTTCACGGAGACTGATGATCCCCCTCCCCAAAAAAACATACAAAGAACCACAACACTGACGCCCTGTTCTAAATTTCCATGGGGATTGCCAGGTCTTTTTTTTTTTTCGGGAATCATCAGCTCCAACAAGCACAGGAAGAAAAAAGAGTATCCGTCCACGATCTTCACCATTCAACGGGCATCATTTTGGATTTTAGTCTGATGTTCGCTGAAAAGGAAGATAAACCACTCCCCCCACACACGACCGACCGCACCTGGATCAGGACAAACCAAACCCAGGTAGGTAACTCCAGAGCCAAAGCCGTCACCGCCATAATCTTTCCCATCGCGCCATGCCGCATCGTCGGTCCATGTTGAATCGTGCGAATAGTTACAGATGAGGCGTTTAATCCTTGTTCTTCTTGGGGCCCTTGACCTTGGCAATACCGCGGAACTTCTTGGAACGGTTCTTCCGTTGCTTGCCTGTAGGGGAAAGAGGTTAGCAAAAAGCAACAACGATATTATGTGCTGCGATTGATAATCGCCGAGACGATGTGAAAAACATACGCTGCTGGCGGGAAGCCTTCTCGATCTTGCTGGCGACACCGATGCGGACGAGACGGTAGTGGGGCTCGAACTTCTTCAGGGCCTCGGAGGAGTCGTAGACCAGAGCGAAGCCGGTGCTCTTACCACCACCGTACTGTGTGCGGAAACCGAAGACGGAGACCTGGTCCTTGTTGGACTTGTACAGATCGGCCAGCTTCTCGCGGAGCTCGTCCTTGGAGACGTTGGGGCGGTTGGGGTGGAGGACGTCCCTAGATATTCGCGAAAAGATGTCAGATCGGGGTCTTCTGGTGCTTCGATGCTTGTTTCTGTGTGTGTTGCGATGTTCCGATTGTATTCCTGTATCTCTTTCTCATTGTCTTGGGTTGTTGTCGAATTTCCATATTGCGCGCCTGCAAATGCATTTCCCACACACAGATCCAAAACGAGGGGGGAAATCAGGGGGGTTCTTACACGACCATCTGCTTGCGGGCAAGCAGAGGGTTGCGGATGAACTTGCGAGTCCGCAGAGTGACGGGAGTGTCGGCCATTTTGGTGTGTGCGTTGGATGGAGGAAGTGTCGACGGGGTCACTGAGGATGTCGAACTTTCAATTTTCGTGTGGTGTGGGCTCGGCTAGGGTAGACGCTAGCCTGTTTGGGATTTCTGCCTCAGGCTTTAATGACTAATAAATTTGATGACTGAGGCAGAAAGTGTTGATCAGTCCTGGCTTATCTCATTCCTGACTCATCAACTCTCCTCGCCCGGGCTCCAATGATATCTGTGATATCAAATTCATTACTATGTGCCATCCAACAACCATGACTGACTCTATTCATAAATTAGCGGCGCAGTATTTCCAGCTGGTCGAGCTCCTGCACTTGGACCTCCCACAAGGCTCTGTGTTGATCCAGTCAACCGTGCAAGCAGCCTTATACGAGCGCATGTTCAACGAAAATACAGTCTTTCCCATCCCACCAGACAGCTACCGAAGCCGAGTGTTGAAAGAGATTCTCTCCCGCATTGAGGAATCAATTACCAACCCCGAGGAGGATGTATGCCAACCCATCTGTTTAAATCCATCTATTCTGCTTCTTCTTCTTTTTTTTTTTTTGAATTTCCTATCTTTTCCTTTTCTGTCCCATATACATCCACCTCACACCAATGCAAAACCCACTTTTTATATTCCTTGATTCAGTCTATCTAACCTCTTCCCTCCCCCTCAAATACAGGAGATCAACGATGATCTCATGGAGAGCTGGAGCGCACTAGTCTCGCAGCCGAAACCCTCAGCGCTGCAACAAGCGCAGCAGCTGTCGTTAGTCAAGTACACAGCGCCAACACCCAATGCAGGGAACTGTCCAGAACGCACTGTCACGACCTCTGAATCCCGAGGTCTGATTCTATCAGCTGGAACTACCGGAAATCGAACATGGGAGGCTGCTCTGCACCTCGGTTCATTCCTGGCATCCGAGGCGGGCGAGGCTATTGTGCGCGGTAAGCGGGTTATTGAATTGGGTGCTGGTACAGGCTTCTTGTCACTTGTTTGTGCACGCCATCTTGGTGTACGCTCTGTTGTTGTTACTGATCGCGAGCCGGTACTTATTGACAATATTCGTGATTGTGTCAAGCATAATTTGAATGGGCTCGAGTCCATTCCTATCTATCCTGCTGTTTGGGAGTGGGGGACTTTATTGGAGAGATCGGAAGACCTTACTGGACTGCGTTCTGATGAGGGCGAGGAGGGGACAGGGCTGAGGTTTGATGTTGCTCTCGGTGCTGATCTGGTGGGTGTCTCTATGGGTTGTTTACTTGGTTGTCGTGCTTACATGACTAGATCTATGATACCGACCTTGTTCCCTTACTCCTGTCTACTGTGCGGGATCTTTTCGAGAACTACCATATTAAAGAGTTTATTATTGCTGCGACCCTGCGCAATGAGGATACTTTCCGCACGTTTTTGAATGCTTGTGGTGAGTCTTGAATTTTATCTACAACATTCATGGCCATGTCTTATGCAGCGCTAAACATTCACAGAAACCAATTCATTCGCTGTTGAAACCCTTCCGTTCGAATCTACACCATCAGAAGACCAGACGGGTTTCTTCCATTCGACCAGCATTCCAATCCGAACGTATCGGATTTCGCGGATGAAATAAGCAGCCACTTGAACTGCGCTAACATCACGAGGTAATGAGTAGAATAGAGAATATGATATCATGCAAATGAAGCAAAAGTTAAGTGATTGCATGAACTTGTTGCTACAGTATACAACTAGCTCTGAGGGAACTCTATGCAAATTGTTCAACTCGATCATCTTGACGAGTAAAACTCCAATGGTATTGAGGACTCAATGAAGTCAAGTGTAAGTAAGCCATAGCATCCTGTTGTATGAAATATACAACGTGACGAGGACCAAAGAGTGTACACCATATCATCTAGACAAGTAGGGAATCAAAGATGGAAGCAGGGGTATCATCGCAACTCGCGCCATTCCAAACCAGGAATCCAAGAAATGCAATAACCAAACGTGAGAGCAGGATGCAAAAGTAAAAGAAAAAAGTAAAAAATATAAATGATAAATGCAGGATTAAAACGAGTGTAGGCGCTAAAGAACAATCGATATGCAGGTACTTAGTCTGGAAGGAATCTAGCCAGCCTCTTCGGCTAGACTCTCTCGTAGCAGGTTTTCGTCTATGCTTTGCGCATGAATTGAGATCGGAGCAGGAGGCGGAGGCCGCAGGCCCATTATTGGCCCCTTCTGGTTCACACCTGGGTATCTGAAGCGGAGAGCTAGCGGGTCAGGGGGTGGCTTGGGGGTAGACGTAGAAGGTGACGATGCCACAGACGTGTTTGGCGAGTCTATCAGATCAGGAGACTCATTGTCAGATGAGACTGGTGCTATGCCCCAGCGGCCTAGGACCCAGCCTCCCATGCGTCGACCCAACGTTGTACTTTTGCGGGGTCCAAGGGTTGCGATTGAGCCAGTGCTGGTGCTATCTGTGGATATAATGGATGCTGTGTCAGACTTGGTGGGTTTTCCTGCAGCCATGGAAGCAAGCAATGACTGTGACGTGTGCTCTGAGCTCTTTGCACGATCAGCCGTGATGGCCGGGGCTGAGATCACCGGGGGTGTGGATATTAGTTCGACACTGGGTGACAAGATACGTCGAGGAATTCGCATGCCGGGGTGCCAGTCACCCATTCGCTTGTGGCGACTTGTGGGTGTATGAATGTCCATCCCAGCAACGGAGACGGAGAGCAAGCTGTCGTGAGAAGAAGATCTACGCAAGGCTGAAGGTTGTACATGCATGGTAAAAATATCATCTTGGGTGGTCGTTGACATAGGCGAGAAGTATGCCACTGATGGAGATGGTTCGGATTCCTCTGGGATAGCTGGCTCTCTGGCGAAGTTATCGCCTGTGTTCGGGAAGTCTTGGCGGCTGTAGAAATCATCTTCAAATGCGGATAAGTCGTCAGGTGAATCGTGGCTATCGAAGCCACCGATCGGTTGGAATGGCGTATCAAGACCCTTCAGGTTCCGTGCCTGCATCAAAGGCGAAGAGAACGCGGCACTTTCGGGGCTGGTAGGTTGGGATAAATCAGCACCACGTTCAACACGATCAAATATCGATGACGTCCGGAACGCGGACCGAGGAGAGCTTGCTAGCGAGTCCGGGGCATATGATTGCGAGGACCAGCGGCGGGAGGATGAATAAGGTGGGATTGAGACAGAGGTTTGCGACATGATGGTTGACATGGATGATCCAGATGACTGGGAACGATGAAGTGCTCTTCGAGGCGAGTGTGCCCGCGTCGCAGAGTGCATTACTACCGGGCTTCCCAAAGCCGGGCGGCGTTTCTTCACGCGACGATTGAGCGTGCTCTTCTCCTTCTTCGTAGCTGGAGCTGGGGTTGGTGTATGGAAATGATGATGGATATGGAATTCTTGAGACACACGTCGTTCTTCCCTCGCTTGTAGCTCCTCGCTCAGGGTGGTGGAAGGCCTTGGCTGTGTATTGTCCTCATCAACGCCAACGCCGGCTAGCGGCTGATGAGAGATAACCTGTTCCCGTAGATTCTGCACTTCTTCATTCGAGCTCTGGAGCATGTCGCGTAGTTCCATAATTCCGACTTGCAAATTGGCGTTGTCTTGCAAGATATCCTTGACGAAGCGAGAGACCACGTTGGTACTGCCAGCGTTGCGATTGAGTTCGGAGGCGGCAGCGGCGCCTTTGAGACGCCCCGCGGCATTGTCGAGCTCGCGCTCCACAGCCCTCTTGCGTTCCATGCGTTGGACGAGCTCTGTATGCCGATCCCTCTCCTCGCGTGCCTCTTTCTCGATGCGGTCGACTTGATCATGAAGGTCTCGCAGTGTGTTCTCTGCTTGTCTCCACCGTTGGACTGCTGATCTCTCGTCTTCATGCACCGACACAAGGCTTTCCTGAAGTTTAGACTGTTCTGTTTCCATGAGAGCTAATTGCGCCTCAAGTTCTGCGGCGCGCGTTGCAGCAACCGTCAATCTTCGCAATTCAGCCTCCGTGTTCTCCAAAGTAACGGTTAGGGACTTGACATGGTCGTCAGACTCGGCGACCGCTTGATTCAAACTGTCAAGTTGCTCTAACAAACTGCGATTCTCTTCGATAATACGCGCATTTTCTGCTTGAAACCGTTGCTTTTCGCGCTCTAGATCATCGATATTGCTGATTAAACGATGACGGTCCTCCTCCGCTTCAGCCATATAGCTTTCATGGCGGTGGAGCAAGGCCTGTAGAGCAAAAGTCAGTGATGATGCCTCAAAACATCCTGCCTTAGCAGCATGATCATGAAAGGTAGCCATGACGAACACCAATACAGTGCGAGAGAATGGGAGATCGTGATCCGAGAGAGGCCATCAGAATAGATTCCAAATGGTGTGGGGATGTGTACAAGGTATGCAGAATGTGCACTCGGTAGTCCGAGTGTTATAAAATAAGAGGGGGCGAAAAAAAAGCAATAAGATACAAAGTGTTTTGTGAAGAATGATAAATTGATATATCAAACAAACATGCATGGTTCAGCCAGCCCAGGAACAGCTTGGCGTCTCATACCCAACCAACGACGAACATCATTTGGGCAGCTATATTGAAAAAAGATACGTACCTGACCTAACCTGGCGGCAGTCTCCAGATCTTTCTCTAATCCTTCCAGAGCTGCATTGTTGTGCTCGAGCAAAGCACAATCCTTGCGGCCACAGCAGCATCGTAGGGTGGTGGAAGGACTTGAATGGGTAGGAATGCTGAGATCCTCGAAGCTATGTGGAGTATCCATTAAGAATGTGGCCCCTTTGGCCCTTTGGGGAGCTGAGTGTGTGGAGAGGCCTGTTCATCAGAGAACTTTGCAACTTCAAGGTATCACAGAATATCACAAACTCCATTCGATATTCGACCTGAGAAAGCGGAGATACCCAAAGCCGAGGATGAGATAAGCCCTCCAGGTGTTCGCGAGGCCTTACCGCTTTGATATTGCCCACACCTCACCGCCTATCTTAAGTATAGAATTTGATATCACAAAGAGTCAACAAAGAAGTATACAACAATGGTACCTACATAAGGACTTGAAAGGTGTTATAATGATAACTTATATAGGCCCAATTGAAGGTTCAAAAGTAATCCCCAAAGGAGACTCATCATTCTGGCTAAGAGATACGTAGAAGTTAATCTGACAAAAGAAGTAGAGAGTCACGAAAGTAGAAGTAAATCAACATGAAGCCCAAACTGACATCTGAGATCGATAGCTTCCTCCACAGAAAGGAATATCAGTGAAGAAAAGTAAAAAAAAAAAAAAAAAAAGGCGGAGGGGGGCGGGGGACAAGTAAGACCCTAACCCGGCGCCGGTCAAAGCAAAATATCATCCCGAACATTAATGAACGCCCCAGCGCCGCCGTCTTCACTGATCTCGTTAACCAGCACTTCAGTTTGCTGGTATAGTCTTTCTAGCGCTGCAGCAGATGATTTGCCCAATGAGACTGCACAGTTTGTTAGCGTTGTTGTTGATAAGTAGAGGTAGAAAAAAGAAAACACAAGATAGAAACAAAGAAGCAGAAACAAAGAAGAATAAATAGATCAAGCAACATACCAAGAATAGCCGAATTCAACTCCTCAGCCACAGCTACCCGGCCATCAGCATCGAGGTAATGGCCATGCACGGACCTTTTCGGATCAGGATACGCCACCAGCGAGAAGATATCATCCAGCAGTTTTTTGTCGCCACCGTTCTCATCAGTAGGGTAATCAGCGCGCAACTGCTGGCCATACTGTACTGCCTCCGTGAGAAGCTGGTTGAACTGCGCGACGACCTCGGATTCTTCAGTGTCCATGCCATCCGCGACCCAGCCATCGCCATCCACGTCATCGAGCTCCATATCTTGGTCAAAGACGGCATGCTCGTTGTTAGAGGATGTCGAGCGGCGGCGCTTCGAGGCTGCGGCGGTTGCCGCCGAGAGTTCATTCGACTGCCGCATCATTTCGAGAAATTTACGGCAGCGCAGTTTGAAGTGGATGTGCGGATGGTCTTCTAGGACGTTAGAATAGTAGGCTTTAGTGTGCTTGAGGGCTTTGTCGATATCGCCGTCTAGAATTGCGGAGCGGATTTCTATGAGCTATAAGTGAGGACTTGACCCTGAGAGGAGTTATGGAGGTGTAGACATACTGTTCCGGTTGATGGCTTCACGATCTTCCTCGACCTCGTACTTCTTCAGTGGCTCGTTGCGGCCGTTTTGTAGGGCTAGTGTTTCGGTGGCCACCTCTTCTGCAAATGCACGTGCTGTATCTACATAGCCGTCATGGGCGAGGAACTGCGCGACTAACTCTTGCAACAGTGTCGACTCGTCCAACGGTGGTTGGAGACCAGCCGTGGATGTTCCGTTAATTTCTGTTAGAACATTGAATCTCTCTTGCTGGAGTGAATTAGCTTGACAACCTTCGAGTATTTAATGCAGACAGTACACACCTTGACCATACCATCGATATCAAAAACAAAAGGCTCCTGTCCAAAGTTCGTTTTGAGGTGTACTGGCGGTAGTTTCTTCATTCCGACAGACGGAAAAAGGTTCGCATTGCGGAGATCATGAAAAGCATTTCCTGTCAAAATTAGCCTGATATATCCCCATTATCCACGCAAGAACATACCCAAGAAAACACCATTCTTAGTGAAGAATGCAGATCCCGTGGAGAAGTTCACACCGCATCCAACTGTATCGCCAGCACCAAAAGTCGGTCCATATGCTCGACCCTGTCCTTGACTCTCACCAAAAAACGACTTTCCATCATCGCCATGATAAGCCCAGGATTCCGTCTCCCAACCGGGAAGTCTTTCGACGGATGCCTTGGGGCTAGAAAACCCAATACCGATCATGCTAGAACGAAGTCAGTATCGACAATCAATATCCATTGAGAAGCCTGTTCACGTACCCTTCCTTCGGCTTTGACTCAATCTTAACTTCAAAGTAGTAAATCCCACACTGCGGCGGCATAGGGTAATCCGCGCGCAAGGCAGCAGCTTCATGGTCATGCTTATGCATAGGACCAGTGTAGCGCACATCGAAGTTCTCATTAGACAATTCCAGGCCGGAAAACTTGTCTACGGAGCTCCACTGACTGGGTAAGGGCATGAGGTGATCGGCCGGGGCAGGCGGTTCCTTCTCTATGATCTCATAGGTCATGCCGCGGTGCGACGGGGCGATGCGGGGCAGGTGAACATTGCTGGAGGAGGCGGAGAGGGTAGGATTGGATGTTGTGGATGAGGAGGGGTCTCGCTGTTGGGCCGCGATCTTAGCGCGGTGGGCTGTCTCGAGACGGGCGATGTAGCGGGAGTTGCGGAGGTAGGATGGGACGAGGAAGGCCGGAGTATCTGTGAGGCCTAGGCCGTGCGGAAATTCGGCCGAGCGTAGAAAGCCGGCATACTTGCGGGACCAGGGAGGTAGTGACTCTGTTGAACCTGTATTTCTCCAGGCGGAGTTCATGTGCATGTCTGCGGCATCCACGCCGAACGGAGCCCGGTGGACTCGGCTGTCGGATGGGTTGGAGACTGGGTTGGAGTCGTTGAGAAGATGTGAGAAGGAGCTAGAGATTGGCGGTGAAAATGCGTTGCCAGATACTACTGAGGCGTAGGAGGAGCGACGTGGGATGGAGGAGATACTAGGCCCGGGGTATGAGGTGGGAGCTCGAGCTCCACCGGATGGGGGGAAGGGAGCATCGGCCATGATGTTCGCGGGTCGCCCCCCAAAATAGTGCCACGAAATCAAGGCCACCGTTCCTGTGTTCCTGTGTTCCTGTTTGCTCGTTTCCGGTCTTGGTGTCCACAGCTCTAATCTCGTTTGGCACTACTAAGTTGAGGGGGTTCTGTATGTGCGTGGATGTAAACATTAGCCATTGGAGTGTTTGTAGTGGTGCATGTGGAGAGAGTAACTCTCGAGTGCGTGGCAGTCGAAAGTAACGTTCAAATGACGTGGAAATAAGATATTTCCGCAATACACAGTGCGTGGAAAGTCCGAGATATGTAAGAAATGCGTGGAAACAAGACGCTCACGGACGGAGTGCGTGGACAAGGTGACGTTGCATGACTGGTCTGAAAGCAGCAGATCTTACCACGTCGCTATCTCACTATTCTATTCGAAGAGAAGTACTCAAGGCGTCGATCGGAATTTCTAAAATAAAAGAGATGTATAGGGGCCCTAGAAATAGCTAAAGAAGCCAGATCTTGAGAGGAAATCACGAATGGCCTCGGTCATACATAGATTGCGGGGAAAAGGGAATCCGGATATTATAGGGATGAGAAGGAAAAGAGGGGAGAGTATAATGTCACGAGCTGATGTGCCTAGCTGGACTGCTTTAGACATTAATGCTCGGCTACTGTACTACTAGGAGTCGGGCAGACAAGGACTTTGTTAGATGTATAATTCCAAGTACCAGGTACCTAGTATATACTAGCTCTATAATATGGGGTATGACCACTGCGACTGAGGGAAATTAACTGTGTTAGGCTCCCAGAGCAAAGATCTTCAAACAGAAGATGAAAACATACCTGATACCCAGCAAAAAAAAAAAAGAAGAAGACAAGGGCTATAATACAGAACACATACCGAGTGAAATAAGCCAGATCCCCGGCCACAACCCGCGACATAAAAAAATAAAAAGCCCGTACAGAAAAGCCATTAGCCATAAAACAGTTCCCTCCCAACGCCAAACCCAGATCCAACATAACCCAGACAAACAAAAGAAACAGAAGACGAAATCTATAAGTACAGCACGAAAGGAGAAAAAAAAGGAAAAGAAGCGCCCCCCCCCTTTCCCGCATTCAAACTCGTCACGGTCATATTTAAGCCGTCATAGCAATGGCTGGTGAGGAGGGCTCAACTAGATGAGACGGAGCAGGGGTGACATCGCCATCCCCGGAGTTACTTTTCTCACTAGGTACAGCACTGCTGCCATTGGCCGTGTCGGTGCCGGGAGCATGGAGCATAGGCTTGGAGTCGCTGTCGCCGCTTTCCAGTGCTGCGGACTTGCCATCGGCCGAGTCATCGGATTTGGGGATACCCGGTGTGCGCCAGGAAGGGAGCTGCCACATAATGCCTGTGAAGCTGCGCAGCTGTAGGGGCTTCCGCTCCCATTTGCGACACGCAGCTCCGGTGCGATCTAGCGCGCGCAAACCGGCATTGATAGCCCCTGTGTTGGCCTTTGGTCCCAGACGCTGTGCGGCTGGAACTTTCGTGGTATCACCTTCCTCACTAAGATAAATGATGTGTTAGTTCTAAATGTTTCTTTCGAGCATTGCAGTATTGCATTGGAGGCCATGTGAGCTTATGTGTTAGGTTTGCTTACAGTCTGGGTTTTTTCTTGGGGCCGGGGCGTCCCCGTGACTTTGCGTTAGGGTCGGTTTGCTCTTTTGTTCTTTTGTTGCCTGGCTTGGGACCCGGAACGCCCTTCCGACGTGGTGTATCGCCTGCATTTGCCCCTGTGGCAGGTGTAGAATTGGCGTCGGCGTCGGAGGCATTGTCGGCAGAAGATGGGCGGACGGTAGGGAGCTCGGCAGATGAGGCTGGGGAGGAGTTGTCGTTGGTTTTAATGGTGGTATTATTTTGACTGAACTTGATCTTGGGACTGACAAACTGCTGGAGGACATCCCCAGACAGCTTGAGCACCACCATCAAGGAGCTGGAGGAATTCTTGGCTCCAACACGAGAGCGACCATTTGGAGTGGCAGCGGGCATGATGGATGATGGTGAGATGATATTGCTTATCAATATGGTTGAATAATCAAGAGGGGGATTCTGGTGCCGGAAGGGTATTGAGGCAATTCACAACCGTGACGTGGTGTTCCACCGCCCGTCTCTTATAGATGTAGAAGAAGTATGTGTAGTCGCATAGTCCGGTGGTAGGAAGGGGATTAAGGAAGTAGGGGGAAGGGGAAAAGGGAAAATGGAACGGAAGGAAGTAAAAAAGGGATCGTGGACCCTCTCATCATATTAGAAGGGAAAAAAAAAAACTTCCATGAAGCACAGGGGGGGGGGAATAATGTTGAAGGTGGACTTGGGTCTTTGTGTACTGTCATTTTACAACTTTTGTCCAGCCACTTCGAGACCGGAGATAGAGAATGATACAGGATTGTGACAATACAATACCATACAATATACAGCTTTTCTTTACTTTCTCTACACATTTGTACTCTGTAGAGTATTCAAATCTTCTTATTCTCTGCTTAATATATATATATGTGAATACATATGTTTATATTTTCATTTTCAAGGTCATGTTGGGTATATTCTATCTGACCTAGACAGATATTCTTCACACTCTTAACTGATATCTCCCTACTAACTGAAAATACCCAACCCTAACCCATTGATGGATCTCATTCCACACCCGCTGCGTCCCGAAAATAACTCACTGACCGCATGATGTCTCGAGAGATGCGCCTTTATTTTTTTTGTTCTTTTACAAACAAAAAAACCACTTCTCTTTGATATCCCAAGTCTAGGTGGACCCATTCTCAACAGATCTGGTGAGGGTATCACGAGTCTTCTCAGCCCCTACGGCCTAATGGACTTGCCACCGAAAACCTGAACTTCGATTAGTTCACACGGGTGAACCAAAAAAAAAAGATGGCCAAATTACGCGAAACCCGCCAAGGGATCGTCCAGATAATCAAAATTCATTGGATATCAAATTACAAAAGAATTCAATACAATATCGTGTAAATATACAAAACATATCTACTAGATTCAAGTTCATCTGAAATCCAATCAATCACGCTTACTCTCACCGTCAGCCTTGCGTCGTTCTACCACCTGTGCCACGGCACGTTGCACCTCAGGACTGGACCGCACCCCACCGAGGATTAGCCCTTCCTTCATACCCCGCCGAAGCGTCGACACGCTCTCACGGTCACCACGGAAAGGTGCTAAGCCCATCTGTAGCGTCCGCGTTGCCTCAAGATCCGTGCTGTGCGTCAACTGGATCAACTCTCTGATCCGCTGCACAGTCTGCGGCGATATGTTATCACCCTTTCCATTACTGGCAGCTTTGGCAGAGGGCGGTGCAGCCTGTGAGATGAAAATGTGCAGCATGATAGAGGCGCGACGTGCTAGCGTCAAGATCTGGAAGGGGAGGAGGTAGAATGAGTTTTTAGGGAGCCAAGCTTGTAGCGCGACGGGAAGGTATGCGGTAGGCATGAACACAGCCTGAGGGTGCGTGATCAAACCGAGTTCGAGGGTCAGCATAGCAGCGAACGTGTAGAAGCGCCACTAACAGCAATCAGCTTATGCAATTGAACATCTTCCCAGTAACGATATTGTATACTCACGTAACGGCCCCAATTCGCCCACCACAACCAGTTAAGCACAAGCGTTGTGACAAACCCACCAATATATTGCGGGACGATCGACTTGACCAACGAAGTCATTAGGAAGTCGCGCATAGTCTTCTGCTCGCCCCATCCAAGCATATCTGTCCCGAACCGGTCATAGGCAAAACGCTTGACCGGGTCCACCAATGTTTCTTGCGCCTGTCGAAGATACAGGAAGTAGGCATCAGACCCGCTGTCCAGCCCGACTTTATCGGGGTGATATTGAGCAGCGAGCCGGCGGAATCGCGACTTGATTGTGCGCTCATCGGCATAAGGCGACACACCCAGAGCTTGGTAGTAATCGCCGGCAACCTGTACCTGGTAGAAGGTCTCGTAGAGCGTGTAGAGGAGGTAGCTGGTGATCACGAAGATGAAGATACGGCGACGATGACGCTCGAACCGCGGAGTTTGAGGTTGTGGCTTGGGTTCACCAGCGCGTATTGTTATTCCATAGTAGACACTTTGTAGAAATGATGTGGCATACTGGTAACTCATATCAGCTCCCATTCCACGTGTTGTATATAGCTCCGCATCGCGCTCCACTCACATTGGGGAGAACAGCCCACCCGAAGAAAGGCAGAAGAGACGCCATGGCGAGTAATGAATTTTCACCTGAATAATCTCAACAGCACCATGTCAAGCAAGAAACCAGAAAAAATGAAGCTAGATCTCGAAACGCCAAGTGGCGTTTACAATATAGACCCCAAATAGTTCCCGGGGAGGGCCATTTAACGCCCCGTCACCGCCTAGCCCCACCGCCTTCCCGTCTTGTCATACCAAAAGCCAAAATGGAAAAAAAAGTTCTCGACGCCCAAAGGAAAAAAAAAAAAAAGAAGCACTCCAATCCCTCCACATCGACACGACAAGCTCCGTGGAGCGCCCAAATTGCCTCCACGATGGCAATTGACGCAATGGAAATTGACAACCTGCCGCTGCGCACAGCGGACGCAGAGCGCAAGCGCAAATCCAAAAACAAGGACGCATCTTCATCCGCATCACCATCCAAAAAGCGAAAGCAAACCCCATCCTCAAAAGCAGCTCCTCAAACAGACTTCAATCCCGAGTCTCCATTCACACTCACAACAGCGACTCTCTACCTACCCTTGTCGCCCATCTCCATCTCGCCGACGCACGCGCTGGCCTCGCTGCTGGCTGAGCATCTCTCGCCACTGCTCCTGACCTACTTCCCGCCACTGAAGGGTGTTATTTTGGCTTACTCCAATGCCTCTATTTCCAGCAAGCCGCCGGCAAACCCTCGCTCCTCTTCGGATTTGAACCCGCAGCCGCTCACCCTCGCCACAACAGCAGACGAGTATGGTGTCTTGTATGTCTACCTGACCGCCACGTTCTTGGTGTTCCGGCCGAAGCGCGGACAGACCCTGGAGGGATGGGTGAATGTGCAGTCGGAGGGGTTCCTCGGTGCTGTCGTGTTCAATCTGTTCTCTGTTGGCGTTGAGCGCAAGCGCCTGCCCTCAAACTGGAAGTGGGTGCCGCCTGGTGAGGAAGCTGAGACACCGGCTTTGACCGATGACGACTCGGGTTCTGATAAGGATATGGCGGATTTTGACGCTGAGAAGGAATGTTTCAAGCCTACTACACTCTCTGAGGACGAGGTCGCGATTGACGAGGATGAGGATGAGTCTGCTCACACCGGTTATTTCCAGTCTGTTTCTGGACACCGCGTCAGTGGCTCTGTGCGCTTCCGTGTTGTCGATGTAGATGTTATTCCTGGTTCTGAGCGGGACCGTGGGTTCCTCAGTATTGAGGGAACTATGCTGTCCGTTGAGGAGGAGGAGCAGCTCTTCGGGTCTGAGCGCCAGGGACAGTCGTTGCCTCCGTCGTTCTTCTCGGAGCCCAGTAAGATCTCTGGGTCTATCCCCGTGATGGATGTCACGGCGGCGTCGGCGGTGCAGGAGCTCTCGACTGTGGATGTTCATCTTGAGCCCAGCCCCAAGAAGGAGAAGAAGAAGGAGAAAACGGAAAAGAAAGAGAAGAAGGAAAAGACAGAAAAGAAGTCCAAGTCTTCCAAGTCAAAGAAGAGCAAGGACGAATAAATTTGCTCTGTGTAAATGTCTACATGAGCACCGATATCATACATCACTGTTGACTACATCCTGGATGGGCGTTCCGGTTTGCTTGTTCTTATTTCTGTTTCGAATGTGTATATGCCAATTGAACATTTAAAGAAAATACTTCATTCCAAACTATTTCCCAAAAACATATCCATTAAGAACCCAACTTCAAATCCCCATCATATCTCACCTAGACCTTAGCAGCCAAAATATCTGCACCTCCAACAATCTCCCCTTTCCCTGGCATCTTTCCAAGCCTCATTAACTCGGAAGACTTAACCATAACGGGATCAACCCCCATAGTAGCAACCGCAACAACGGTGTCTCCAGCCGTATAAAATGCAACAAACTTCCCCTCTCCCTTCTCCTGCAAAATAACATCATCATACCCATTAACTGTATTCCCACAGTACCTCAACTGTGCTCCAAGCGCCGACCAAAACACCGGGATAAACACCTTGGGTTTCAGTGACGACAGCGGACTACGCTGGGCATGCACTATCGCGCGCGCAGCCGCACGTCCGGCATTCTGGGCGACGTTCCAGTGCTCGATGCGGACAGGTGAGCCCGTAGCATCAGCACCAGGGCCGTGGTAGGGGTATGTTGCTATATCGCCAATTGCGAAGACGGAGTCTTGCAAGCCTGGGACGATGAAGTGAGAAGATGTTTTGATGGAGCCGTCCTTCTCAAGGGTTATAAATTTGTTGTCGCGGAGGAAGTCTGTTGCTGGGCGGACGCCGACGCCTAGGATGACGAGGTCGGCTGGGAGGGTTGTTCCGTCTTTTAGGTGGACTGCGCCGACGGTGTGGGTGTTTGAGGGCGAGGCTGTTGCGTGGCTTACATTTGCTGAGAGGTTGAATTTGATGCCGGCCTTTTCTAGGTTTGTTTGGAAGATGCGGCCGACTTGGGTGCCCATTACGCGCTCCATTGGGGAGGTTTCCATGCCTACTATTGTCACATTGTGGGATTTTGAGAGCGCGTTGCCGACTTCCATGCCGATGAAGGAGCTGCCGATTACCACGATGTTTCTTTTTTCTGAGCCAGCGGCTGTGAGAATTGACTGCACGTCTTGGATCGTGCGGAGGGTAAAGATGTTGTTTAGTTCTCCCTTAAAGCCCTGTAGCGGGAGGGTACGTGGGACGCCGCCTGTTGCTAAGACTAGCTTGGTGTAGGGAATAGTCTGGCCAGATTTGGTGGAGATGGATTGTTGTTCAAAGTCCACGGCTGTCACTTCATCTGTGATGTTTTCTATGGCTGCTTCGATGTACCACTCTCGTGGCCGCCATTGGATCTTGGCTGCGTCTGTGATTAGGGCTTTGGACAGCTTGGTCCGGTCTATTATTAGATCAGGCTCTTGGGATATGATTGTAATGGCCCCGGGATATTTTAGCTCGCGGAGGGCTTGAATAAGGCCAAGAGTTCCGCTTCCTCTGTTTGATGTCAGTGTGGGTATTGAAGTATCTAAATGAGAATGTAGAGATGCGTATGGCATAGGAGGCATGGGCAGCACTGGGAGCACACTGGATAGCACCGCCATACGTATAGAAGGTAACGCAAGGTATTGGGAACATCGCCCCAAAAAAAGTCATCACCCGGAGGCAATCCGGCAAGTCGAGATCAAGCGGCACTCGCTGAGGATGCGCGTGTTCCAAACAAGCGGTGCCCCAACTGTCGTTAACGACATCCGCTTGGCCAAATTCCTGCGCATCCGTACATTGATACAAAGCAATGAAATATAACACGCGAAATGTGCACGATAACGAAGCAAAAAGAAAATTTTGACTTACCCTCCAATTACAACAACCTTCTCCTTCGGCTGTGACACACTACATTTCACAACAGGATTTCGCTGTCCTGCCTTGACATCTTCTTCTTTGGCAAGGATATATACGCCGCCCTCTCTTTCGAAGACTTCGAACTTGTTCAGCGCGTTAGGGGCTGGGGCATCTTCCACATCACCGGTTGTGACATTGAAACAGGCTATATATATAGTAGTTAGCTCTTTGTTCCTTTGCTATGTATTCTCTCAAAAACTCACCTCCATGCCAGGGACATGTAAGCCTCCCATCTCCAGTAACAACACCATTCTTCAGTGGTGCCCCGTAATGCGAGCATCGCGGACTGAGAGCATGAACTTTATCGTCCAGCTTGATAAGAAGAACCTTCCCATCCTCAATGCCTTCGATTTCAGCCTCGATCTTGTCTAGAGAGTTGAGGGACGCGAAGGAAGGGATATCTTTAAGTTTGTATTCTTGAGACATTGTGGATAGATTGCGTTTGAATTGAATCGACTTGAATGGGGATGAATGGGTACTAGATATTGAAGGGATAGAAGAGAAAGAAGAAAATGTCAAGGGTGAGCTGGATATGCGGGGTGAGGAAATATGGCGCAATGACGAGATGCAGTTACACCGCCGGGATAGTTGGAGAGATAGCCACGTACTTAGACGGTACATGGTTGAGGGGGAAGTGGGAAAACAAAAAGAAGAACTTGCTTAAATAGAAAGCCAGGTTTCTTAGTTCTATCCATTGATTGTAATACTTTTAAGATGTGAGAATCTTGGAAGTTATACAACTATCATGACATCACTTTGTAGATGTAGTCAACCAATCACTGGCAAGGCGTTGTCACCCTTGATCTGCAATATGGAACATGTTGAATACTTAGAATAATCTTTGTATTGATCTTCAATTCTGCCGAAATAAAAATGTCCAGGAAAAAAATGAATGTGAAAGTTCCTAGACGCCATCGCTCTGCACCTGTACATATACATACAGTAATCAACATATCTTCAACTTTCAATAGCAAATGATACAACCATATTTCAGAACTTTCGTGACGAGCGCTTCTTCTTCTGACTGGAAGGACTGATATTCACTTCTACCATGCGTTGGAGTCTTCCCTCAGAAGCTCGGGGTGGATGCCCAGACGAGCGAGGGATATCCTCACTTCGTGAACCCCCGTACAGTGCAGATTTGGAGCGCTGAGATGGGTTTGGATTGGAGGTGCTGGGTTCGGGGGATCCACGCGGGCTGGAAGTGAGGTCAATCACTTCGGATGCCTGGGAAGCGGGGATTTGGGAGGTGGGTTCGGATTCAACCACCCGCCGGGAGAGTTTGAAGCGAGTAGGTGCGGCGGGAGATTCCGTTTCAAGTGGTGAAGGGAATGAGGTTTGTTTTTTAAACTTGGTATCCCCTTGGGCACTTATTGGTGGGCTGTGCGATCGCGAGGTGAATGCCCGTGGGGAGTCAAGTGGTGAGAAATTGAGGTCCAGGTAGGAGTGCTGCACACTGTCTTCCAACCGCTCTGGGCTTTGATTGCCTTCACTGATATTGTCTTCGCTGTTGTTGGCTTTACTGTTATTGTCTTCGCTACTGCTGTCTTCACTGATGTTGCCTTCGCTGTTGTTCTCTTCACTGGTGACGAGTGACTCGCCTGGCTCCGATGGCCCATTTCTTAGTCTGTTCAAAAGATCTCTCCACGATTCAGAAGAGCTGGCAGGAGCTGCATTGTTCTTTTCACTCCTCGTATCTCTTTTTACAAATAGAGAACCAGAATCGGAACCGCCATCATTACCGCTATGGTCGATAGTGGACAGAAGTGAGCCAGACTGAGGGCCGTTGTCCCCCGAATCACAAAGCGGCACAGGATTTTCGTTAACAACCTGACGCTCATGTTCTTGATGCCCAGACATCTCTTCATCCTCAGGATCATCCGCGAAGGATTGATTTGCAGATGTGTATGACAACGCGGAGGGTTCCTCGTCCCGGTTGACTAAAGCAGATGGAGTTTCCCCTCCGATGAGGGTATGGCCTTCAAGCTCGCGGCTGAGCTCAGCACCAGGGGTCATTTGCTGCCAGGATCGAGCAGAGTGAAACCCGGTGAACGAAGGCGACGGGATCGGAGTAGTAATACTGCGCTCATCAGATCCACTTTGGACCTGGATCTGCGGCAGGCCTCTGCCAGGGGTTTGTTGGATAGGTTCATCGGGCATTCCCGGGGATTCGCGAGGGGACCCGAGATGAGTGACTTCATTTCCGATGGTGACAAAGGTTGTGTCGTCAAGATATATTTCCTCGGAAAGAGCTGGTTGGGCATTCGGTACGGTTTCCTGAACTACAGACACACTTGGATATGTAAGCACGAGCCGTCCACTAGAGTTTATTTCACTGACATGCTACCTTCTCGAGTATTGTTCTGATCCTCAGATTTGGCACCCGAATGTGCTGCAGGCTGGAGAAGCTTCGGATCGCTAAGTTCCGCAAAGGCAAGCTCGCGATAGCCGTCATCCTCTCCCTCATCGTTGGCTAGGTCTGGTACTTCAAACTTGCTGAATTGACGGGGCTCGTCATACTCGCTGGATGTTGACGGAGGCTTTCGGTCCCGCTTGGCCAGCAGTACATTAATTAACACATGGTCTTTAATAGAGCGCACCTCAGCTACTCGGTACTCAGACATTTGAGGCTGCCAGTTTGTGGCTTTGGACATGTCTAGCTGCCGGAATGCAATGATTGCACCGACCTTTACCTCGCTCTCAGTCAAATCAGGAACAGAACTCAGGTCGGCAGGAATCGAAGGCAGGTCATCGAAGGTAGGATTGGGTGGTTGTTCAGGTTCAGGGGCATCGTCATAATCCATCTGATCACCTTCAGCTTCGCCTGCATAGTGGCCTTCATAGTAGGGAGCAGCTTCGCCTTCCCAATGACCCTCATAATTGGCTTGGTCATCTGCGCCTTGGTATTGATCATCATAGCCGTAGTAATTTCCATTTTCATCGTATTCCTCCTGCTCCGCATGTCCTTCATAGACCTGAACACGCTGCTTTCTCTTCCGCTTTTTACTGGGGCCTTTGAGCTCACGAATCAATGCATTGGCTTCTTGATCCCAACGTTGAACAAAAGGATAAGGAGGCGCAGTCATATCAACTTGGGGATAGAGACACTCGACGGCACGGATGACAAGCTTGTTTTGCCAATCAATGTCGGATGCATCTTCATCCTCTTGCATCTGGTCGGCATCGTCTTGAACGTCTTGCGTAGGTTTGTTTCGGCGTCCACCTGCACTAGCTTTAGCAGCAAGCCTTCTTCGTGCTTCTTCTTCCTCTTCCTTGGTCTTCGGGGTTCGCATTCCTAGCGATCCAAACAGCATGCGTCGTGAGCTAGCTACGTCCAGGGTACGTCGGTTCGAACGTTCCTGCTCCATCTGACCCTCACCGAGCACTTCTTCTGAAACAGAGGGCTGTCCAACGGCAGATGCAGCGGGCGGGACATTTTCTTTCTCCGATGTCTCGCTCACATCAACACCATTACCCGAGGCAAGATCGCGAAGCAGTTTCTCGCGCCTTGCTTCGAACTCTTTCTTGTCTTGTTCTTTCTTTTCTCGCTTTTGCTTCTTGCTGGAAGATTCGGCAGATTCTTGTTCCTGTTCCACAGGTGGTTGGGGTTTCACGAACGGATTCGGGTCAAGATATTGTTCCGGAGTATGCCAGCCTCCATGGCTGTCTTCCCACGCCCGCAATGCATCAAAACCTGCTTGTTGGGGGAGAGCGCCTAGCTGCTTGAGCTTGGATAGACGGCGGCGTAGTTTGATGCGGTTGTTGCTCTTTTTGGTACGGATGGACCCTTCACCAGGAGGGCCCACAGAAACCGGTTGTTGGACCTTCTCGACAGGTGGGGCGGCTTCCTCTTCCTCTTCTGAGTCTGATGAATCCGAGTCTTCGGAGCTCGAAGATGAATCAGAATCAGAATCATCATCAGAATCGCTGTCTGAAGAAGACGTAGATGACTCGGATGAATCGGAATCGGAAGATACAGCAGCACTTCCCTCCACCTGTGGGGCCTGTGGAAATTGTGGGAGATCAGGCATATCCTCATCCTCCTGCTCATCTCCATTGTTAAATCTCACAGCCTTTGAGGTCCGGGGAGATGAGTCGTCTGCGCGAGACCGCTTGCTCGAAAGAGACGAGGCAGCTGCAAGTGATCCCTTGGAAGTTGGTCGCTTGGCTATCGAGGTGGCACGTAATGGGTGTCCACTGGCATTCCGAGTCTGGTTCCTGATATCAACAAATTGAGAAGCCTCTTCAAAGTCCTCTTTGAGCGCTTGGAGTTCGCTCTCCAATTCATCTTCTCGAATTTCGGGCATCTCGGACATATCTGCTTCACTGTCGGATTCCGCGGTGCGGTCAACAGGATGACGAATGACTGTGCCTAGGGACTCTTCATGCTCGGCCGGCATAACAGAAAGCTCCTTTCCAAATCCGGTGTTAGGAGGCGGAAGCCAGTCTCCATCACCTTCTTCATCGGCGTGGACTCCCTCAGTTACATACTCTGGAGCGTGCTCCCAGCCAGAAAAAACCGTGCGCCGTTTCTTCCTTGGAGGTATGGTAATTGCAGGTCGTGTGGAAGTAGTTCTTTTCAAGAATGGTAACCCGAAAGGCACGCCGTCAATCAGATGCTTGCCATCGGCAGTAATTTGGTGGCGACCACACAGCCTTCTGGCCCGAAGGTCTGCCAATTGAAGGGCACGGATGCTAGCAAGTGATAAATTAGTCCAGTGTACGATATTGAGACAGTTGTAACATGCACATACACGAGTTCATCTCCATCTCGGAGCAAGCCATCAACCTCCATAAAATGGAGACATTCCGACCCAGCCACTTCGACAACATAATCTTCTAATCCCCACTGGCCACTGAACTCCGCATCAAAGACGCTGGGTTCGGTTTCCAGCGGCACAACTTCGTTCACGTCCTCGAGGAGTTGTGCGACCGTATAACCACCATTCGAGAAGGCAATGTTCGGGGTGCGAGACGATGCGACAGCTGCGCTTGATGCTGGGCGCTGAGTCCCATATTCGCCTAGCACAGAAGTAGACGAAGTTGTCGTCCAGAGAATGCGCGTGACCGGTAGGCCATGTCGCGAGATGACAAGGTGGAGACGCATGGTGGATGGCCAGTTGCGAGCTAAATCATTGACGCGGCGAAGGGACTTTTTCGTGTTGCTGTTGGAGGGGTTTGAGTTGAGTACTTGGACGTAATGCTTCGATGCGGAGTTAACCTAGTTGTCCCAAGCTGATCTAGCAGATTGGATTAGGATTCAATGTGAGAACAGGCCCATATGGTTGGGACATATGTTCAAGTGGAAGAGGAGAGCAACATTGGAACTGATCAGAGCTCAATCCGCGTGGAAGGTACGCTAGCCGCTCTTGGAATAGCGTACATCCTCGTATTTCTATACTCAATGATATCGGCCTCATTGGATTGGGCTTATTCTTTAGACTACGTGTATGTAAAATAAAATATAGTTTAGTGTTCAACAAGTGCTACACTAGATGAATTAAATTATAGATCCCCAAAGACACTAACGCCGCCATAGGCCTATGATGCATGTCAAGTGAAAGAAAATACATAGTCTTAAAAACACTTTTCAACATTGAAATCTGAGGGGTATCGAGTTCGAAGATAGCAATAAAGCAGTTGCTTTGATGGGTAATGCTATTAGTGCCGGAATAACCACTGGTCAAGTGCCATGAAACTCCACTTAATTTCAAACCCAGACACCGAACGTGAAAGAGGAGAGAATATGACCAAATTAGTGAGACCAAACAACCTATTGAGACAATAGCCTCAACTGCCTGGACTTCGCGGCACAGGCTTCCGATTAGGAACGCCCAAGTTCATAGGACGAAGGTTATTTCGTGAAGGCTGGCGTTGCACAGCTTGGGGGGCGTTCAGCTGATTCCCCGCAACAGGCTCATATTGTGGTGGACTTTCTTCATCAACACCGTTCCGAGGGATTTTCATCATGCTGGCTGGGCGTCTCACGGGGGATGCAGGAGGCGATCCAGATTGGGATTCCGGCGGTGTGGTAGGTAGCATGTCGAAGGATTCCGAGGAGGCGCGATTGCCTCGGCGACGAGGCGCCGAGGAACCTTCTGCCGCGGGCCCATCCTCAAGCGCCTTACCCGGTTGGGCTGCGTACTTGGCATCAGTTCCAGATTCTACTGTGCTTTGTGATGAGGCGTCTGGTGGGTGATACTCGCGGCGTGGTCCATCCACTGGACTCAGGTGGTCTCCCATGGCATCCTCGTAACTGGGTGGTGCATCGTCATATACATCACCAGAATTGACGGGCACAGGCTCGCCAGTTGGCCGTGGTGGCATTGGTGGCCGGTTGGTTCCAGCCTCTGTTGGCAAGCTGGGCTGGGGTTTCTGTTTAGTAGATGACGGGTGAAGGGATGCAGCGGCCATTGCATCTAAAAGGGCCTGTGGTGGAGCGATTCCTGAGAATACTCTGACTGGCATTCGCAAGGGAAGAACGATAAGTTGAGGCTATGCTATGGTCAGCCAAGAGACAGCTCTAGGGATAGAGGATTCAACATACCTGCATTTCCCAGGCATTTCCATGAGTCAAGCCCACTCGGACTTCCAGCTCGTAAGATCTTTCAATGTTACATGTCTCAAAAGATGGTGCCACTGAGTTAGGCAAAGGATACTGGTTCCACAGCTTTGGATCAATAATCCAATCAGTGCCTACGGGGTCCTCTGGCTTGCCCAGCGGGATACTCATATTGCTACGGCTCATGATAACCCATGAGCCGCTTTCAGTGCGGTTGAGGTCATGGGCCAAAATTTTCGTGTAGGATATTAGTTCCACCTGCAACATCTGAAGGAAGATTACGTCCGGCCCATCGGTCAGCTTTTTAGCGAGGAGACGGAGGGGGACAGGTTCGTTGCAGGTGAGAATAGATGGGTTTGGGAGTCGAGCATCTACAGACACCCGAGGGGGCTCTGCACATGTCTCTCGGGGCGCGGAATGACCCCGTGAGAAGATACTCTTCTTCTTGGATGGAACATGGATTTTGGAGAATTGGTGTTGCCGCCTGGCGTAGGTTTCCTCGTTGGGATTGCCTACTCTTGGTGGCTCGATTGGAAGGAAGTTTAGGGGTACAATCTAAGAAACCAATTAGCGAGTGCGACAATAGCATATTATCCGCACATATCACTTACCGATCTGATGTTTTCTTTGTAGAATTGCGGCCTGATAACTGTGGCCTTGACAAAGTATTTGATATCTGCTACACCCGGGAATCCGCTTAAAGATGGTGGGAGAGTCTTTCTGACGTGTCGGTTGGTGTCTTTAGCTACCTCGACTTTCAACCCGGAAAAATTTAGATTGGTGAGCATGCTGTTGGTGGTGCTGCATGAATTATTGAAGGGGAACTAATAGAGCGTTAAAGATATCCTCACTACCATAGAATAGATTGTTCACCTTGAATTCGAAAGGGTACTCATATGACCCTGCGGCAAATGTATATGAAGGCGCAGGGGATCCATTCTGCATCACACCCGGTGTCGGGAAGACGGTAGCAACCTTGTACAAGATCTGCACTCATTGGTCAACCCATGCTCCTACCAATGTTTTATCCCAACTATAGGTATAATAACCACATCCTCTCACCTTGTGAACCTCAAGCTCCGTTCGCTTTTTGTCCGAGTGCACATTTTGAGGATACTTGGGACCGGATAGACGAGTACGGCTCTCGCACTCCAATTTGACTTGAATGGCTCCGATGGCTGCTTCAGTCGGTAGCTGTAACACAACCTTGCCCTTGAGGAAGTCCAGATTTGTGTAATGGGTGTGGCGGCTGTCCAAGACGATATTTGCGGACATGGCGGCGGGCGCCCGGGCCCTGGCGGGGCTCTCTCTTCGATTGGTGGCGGCGTTCGAAGGGTCAAACAGGGAAATGCGATCACTGGAAAATAATGCGACAAGGATTCAGCTCTTAGAAGATGCAAATAATGTACGGCTCGGCGCGAAAAGATGTCGTGGGGGGCGTAGGACGGGGGGAGAATGCGGATTATATGCGCAGGGTCCCGGAATGACGTCTCGAGTGTTCGCCGATCAACTGATTGCCAAGCAAACATACAACTGTCACAGTCTCGCCCAGTATGGTCAGGGACTTTTGTAAGATTAAAGACTAGAAGATTGGATTAGGCATGCTGCGCCTCAATCACATCACAGCCACACTTTTAAGACAAAGGGCCCATTCCGCGAGTATCCATACACTATAAGTTCCAAGGGTTGTCCGGAGTACTCTCTTGTACTCCGTACGCTCTTTCATAACTACAACATACTTGGATAGTAAATAGATAATTTTGAAATCTAGTCTCTTTTTTTACTAAGTGATTTACTAAATTTATTTCACTATACAAAAATATATTCATAGATAGTAAGGCAAGATTCGAAGAATATGAAGAAAAATCCCCTGAACTTCCACTCTAGGCACCACAATTTCTATATCAGACCCACAGCAAGCCACAACAAGGCTGAGGGAACTCCAAATATACCCGGCAATAACTTTTTCAAAGTCCTTCCTTTGCTAACATGTCTAGTGAACAGGCAGCCTTTTAGTCTCAAGCAACCCAATCAAACTGTAACACATACCTGCAATGTCCAAGTAAAATGCAATGGCATTAAACCTGCAAGAAGATCAGCCCAATGCCCAAAGTGCAATCTGCAATCAACTAACTTCCGTTTGTTGCCTGTTACTTCGCCGGCTAGCCACTTGAGCCGGTTGGTCCAGTTGATCAGGTCCAGATGGCTCACGCCCATTAGGGTTCCTTTGTACCCTGCATCGCCTCCCCAATGGCTACTAGACACGCTCACTAGGCCATCATTGGGTCCTTCGATCTCCGCAAGTACTCGGTGCGAGAGCCGAAAGGCAGACCATATACTTGGATCAACTGCTGCTCCATAAGAGAAATATCTTGGGAATGTTAATAGGGCGTAAAGTGGGGAGAATATGTGGCACTTACCTGACATCCTTCACATCTGGGGTATTGGGGTTGAAGGTCTCGGTCATGTATTTTCGTGTTAGCTGACCGAATGCACCTGTCTCGACATTTAGTCGATTAAGGGCATAATAGATCTGAGGTAGGCGATCGGCTGCACAGAAATAAATGTTACCTTCTAAGTTATCTCAGGAACCGATTAAATAGGCACAAACCTCCAATCTGATCAAATACATAGTCCGCCACAGATGAGCCTATTAGACAGTTAGCAAGAAGGTGAATAAGAAGCTATGCTATGCCAGACCTCGATGTGGAGATGCGATAGTGGTCAGTGACAAGACTTTGAACTTTTCTGGTCGTATGCGACTAATCATATATCGTGAATCAAGTCCGCTATGCAGGCCATTAGCTTGCCATGTATAGTATGGTTCTCTCGGTATGTCTCACCCCTAATCACAGATAAGCATTAACCCTACCACAATGACTAAGAGGTCTTACCATGCTATGACTATACATAAATCAGTCAGAATATGTCGATATGCGTAAGCGGGAAATGAAGGTAACATACGCAATGATATTAACATCTTTCCCTCTAGCGCCGGCCTCGATATTTCGGGCCAATGCTTCAGCCCGCGCTTCAATAGAGCCTGATGGAGGCACTGTCGCCGTAATAACTTCAATACCTCGTGCTGTCAGGGCCTCCTTGATTCCACGCCAGTACTGAACACCGGGTAGGTACGGGCCAGCAAGGCGCAGTTCATCAAACCCAAGCAAGCCATGGGCGAGAACGACGGGGTATTGTGGTGCAGCTAATCGCAAGTCAGCAATTGTCCAAACTGTTCAAGTCAAAAGGAACAAACAATATTTATCACGGATGATTGAGTACTCGTCAACAATTACTCTGCCGTGGTCCTCTAATCGCGGTTCGAGACTTGGTCTGGGTCTGCATGCAGACCCATGATACCACCTGTTGTTAGACTGACATACAGTCTGGCCGTATGAATAGCAGGCTATTGAGGATCGTCTGAGTGCATTTGGAGTACGAATTGCATATTTCATTGTTCTGCCTCGTCCGTAGACAGGTCATCGAATGAGATACGGCGCGGAATGACGCAACGCAAAACGTTGTTGATGCCTCAGGCCAAAAAGGGACTATACTTCAGCCAATTACTACATACATCTTCCACTAAGGATGTACGTGCCCTATAAACGGAAAGAAAAATATATTTAGCTAATTCTTCAGGCTGTGGTAGTCTATGATGAGCGGCCTTTTTGCGTGGGAAGAATTCAAAACAATAATCAGCATTCTAAGCTCTACTAATAAACAAATTTGAAACGCTGGAGGCCTGTTGTGAGGGGCCACCGAACTGCTGGGGGTGGCCAGAAGGGAGACACGCAGAACGAAGTGGCTCTTTGGAATATGACATTGCTGCAAGTCTAAAATGTTTGTCTCAAATGAAATGGGATGTCTTTTTATAATAAGAGGCAATTGATATAGCCGCCAACTGACTTGAGTGGTAGAGGGCCCCCTTAAAACCAACAGGCACTCGTCACCCTGAGATACGCTCAACAGGAGTTGACACTGGCACCTTCTCAGGGGTTCAGACAGCGCATTGAAGCGTCCTGCGCCTCACGTTGCTGTCCATCGGTATTAAGTAAAACAGACAGAGATAAAAATCAGAGGCGTGCTCTCTGGCTTAGTGGGCTGGTGATGTATTTGAAGCTCAACCAAGTATAGCTCTCTATAATAGGCTCGCAATAAGATGGGTCGATACTCAGACTTACCACAGATCGAAAAGCCTAGACTCAAGCCAGACCTTCAGTAACACCATGGGATAAGAATGCGACATGCGTATCCCAAACCGAGCGATCTAGGCTCTATCCAAATCATATACACAGTGATGAACCAAAAAGAAATTGACATTGTCCGACAATTGGATATCGATGAACAGACACGCAAGCGAATTCACGCGAGGAAAAAAAAAGATAACCCGGAATATCTACATTATGCCTTGATCTTCTCAGACGCCTCCGGCTTGACGTCGGTCGTCACACGAATGAGGTCTGCGACCACCTTGTCACCCTGCTTCTTGCCGGCTTCCTTGATCTCCTGGAGCTTGACCTGGGCTTCCTTGTCGGCCTCCTCCTCTGATACCTTGTATCCGCTTGAGTGCTAATGAGACCAGTCAGCTCAGTACTTTGGATATCTCTTGCTATGATCGCCGTTTAGGAGCTGTATCTCACCTCGCCCTCGAACTTCTTGTACTCCTCTTCCTTCTGCTTCCTGTATTCCTCGATCTCCTTCTGGGCCTCTGACTTGGCGTCTCTTATCCGCTGGGTACGGTCTGTATATTGTGAAATAATTAGTTCGATGCGAGAAAATAGCGACAGATAAGTTTGGAATGCGTACACTCTCTGGCTAAATGTGATGTGACGTATTAGTGTCTGTGATGGACAGCGATGAGGGGTAAGCAATGTTTGAACTTACCTTTCTGCACAATCTTCTGGGCCTCTCTCTCGGCCTGACAGTTCCGTGGTTAGTATCTCTAGGCCGCGTTCAACATGCAAGTAAGACCTACATCGAGGAGGGTTTGAATGCCCGCGGAGTTCTGAGCCGACTGTTGTTCACCGTTAGCAGCTGGCCACCAATTCTGAGGTAGATAGCTCACCATATTTGCTATGAGACCTCTCGGCTTTGAAAATAGGATAGGGGGAAAAAGGCTGGACAGGAACGATTAAACGGCGAGTCTGGAGCTCCGGGCCCAGGTCCATCGGAGCCACGCATCGCCCCCCAGAGCGGTGGGGGTTCTGCCATCAAACGCCGCCCGGTGATCGATAAACTGATAATCCCGGACGGTCGTTTTGATGAACAGTTGACAGCTCAAAAGATTGTTTGTGACCATTATCCGCTGAATCTTGTGTTAGACTGTGCCCTCACTTGTCCTCCAATGTCTCGCGCAGCAAAATTCACATTGGCAGCCACTGGCCTCGGCACAATGGGTATTGTCTGGTTTGTCCACTGGGCACAAGAGGCGGATAGAGCGGTATGTTACAGCGTCAATTCTCTATTTTTGATATATACTTATTTTTTGAATCTTAGGCTATGCACAGAGGAGTTGAACGTGATATGGAAAAGCAGCGTATCCGACTAGAACGCCAGGCCGACTTTGAGATGCAAAAGACCCTCGAACAGGAGTACCTCAAGCTCCAGACGGTACACAGCACCACCGGCGACCCAAATACAACTAGTCAAAACACGACTCCGGGGTCTTAATTCAAGTGTTTGACTGTGAGTACCGTGCTGTATTCTATTGCGCGATCTAGTCTGTGGTGCGGTCTGGATGGGCTCTGGCTATACCAATGAATTCAACGGCGGCCAGGTTACTGATGCATGGGAACAAGGAGTTAAAGTTGTTTGCATATGTGACGTTGTACAAATATTTAAACATGTGGTGTATAATATACCCTCATCTGTACCATATAGCATGAAATCGTCTCTCTATCAGTTTTGTCGTTGTCTGGCCGAATAGTGTGGTTAATGCTGTACTCTCCAAGTAATTTGGGGGTTTATATGATTACAAGCAGAGCTTAAGGCTTAGTAAGTTAAATACCGCTGCGGCAACAATCATCGGGCGTCCTGTTATGACTTTGTGGCCTGCAATATACTATGGGCCCATACTGTCTGGACAGGTGCCGCCGTCGGTCGCAGCAATATTCCAGTTCCAACCTTGAAAGATTTCTTTAAAGACCTAGCGATATCGCTTCCTAGGTCCTTATCCTCAATATACACGGAGCTCCTATCGCACTAAAGCTGTTCTTGCACATCATCTTTGCGGGCTTTATATGCTCCATGTGGGCAGTGGGCCGTAACCGTACTCAATACAGCTCATTTTCATGGGCTCGATAACAAATGAGGCTTTTCTTAAAAAGATTTTAAGATCTATTTATAAATGAAATTAACTTGACTTTATTCGTCAAGTATGGATTGGATGTGGTTTCCGGAAACAGGCATTCCCAATCCGGAAGCATGAATTGATACAACTCACGAGCCTCCGACCAAAGCCAATTCTAAATCTAGTGATAATCTCATCTTAACCTGAAGGCAGAATCTATTTTTCACCTCCCCATGTATCATGAAAAGCCTGGCACCTACGCGGTGATGCTGGCCATGACATTCAAACAACGGCCCCTCCCCATCATCCTGATAGTTCTATCAGTGATATGTGCTTTTGGAGTTACAGTCAAGTCCTACAAATCCTTTTATATCTCTGGATCAGATTATGCTCCTAGCAACAATTTGCAAAGAGTCGCCAAAGTGTCCATGCTATACGGAAAGACGAACCATATGTATGAAAGAGCGCTACAAAGCCATGAACGCCACGGGAAACGATGGGGTTACCCCATGCATATCCTGCGACAGGATATCTCAGTCGGATTCTGGAATAAACCAAGCTATCTAATATCCTTGGTGATCAATGAAATGGCCAAGCCAGCCGGCGAGAGAATGGAGTGGTTGATGTATGTCTTTTCTTTCTTTGTATTTGCTGGAAAATTACTGACTCTTGCAGGTGGGTAGATGCAGACTCGATTATACTAAACCACGATATTCCCGTGGAAATCTTCCTTCCGCCTTCAGACTTGGAGGATATACATCTGGTGGCAACTCAGGACCAAAACGGCCTTAACACGGGAATAATGTTCCTGCATGTCCACCCTTGGATGATCAGTTTCCTTACCGAATCACTGGGCTATCCTCTTTATCTCCCTCAGGTTGACCTCGGTCGGTCTGCCGATCAGGAAAGTATGAGACATGTGCTCAACAAGACGACAGGGGGTCCAAAGGGACAGGGTTACGCAGATGGAGTCTCCTATCTGCCACGGCCATGGATCAATACCTATGAATGGGACTGGGCCTATGAAGGCAAAAGGGGAGACCTGCTCGTGCACTTCCCGGGTCTAGAGGAGCGCCGATGGCCGCATATGGCTAAATGGTTGAATATCGTGGAGACGACTCCTCATGAGTGGAACTTGCCTCTTGAAGAGACTGGATATATCAACAAGACCACATCTTACTGGTCACAGATACGAAGTGCGAAGGAAAGCATCAAGGATGTGGAGAAGAAACTGCAGTCTGGGGAGGCATTGCCTGGAAATACGAAAGAGGCAATCGATGCACTCAAGAAAACATTGCGTGAGAAATCAGACAATATGGAGCTGGTACAGCAATATACAGAGGATCTTAATGCGTTGGTCGGGGTGGCATAGGCTTTTGTTGAATATTTTCATTGAATGTGGAAGGTATAATTCGTCATCAGCTTTTTCAAAATGTCTTGATCAAATTTTTCAAAATCTATTTCTTTGTTATGAATCTGAATATAATCTTTCTAACACTTCTCAGCTTTTTTTTTTATCCAAATTAGGATAATTTCTCAAATGATACAAATCCGTCCAGAAATCCTTCGTATCATTATATCCCTTACCATATGCACCCATGCCTCTCGTAGAAACCTATATACTCATACTAAACCGGGTAATATATAGCGAATTCCCAATCGAGTATTCTAGCCAGCCCACCATCTTTCACTATAACATTACCTAAATTAACATCACCGTGAGTAAGGACGTAGGGTTCAAATTTAGGCTGACATTTCTTCGGATTTTCTAGGACTTGTTAAGGGAACGATCGTATAGGTGCATCGTGGAGAGTAAGGTGCAGTTCCATACCCAAAGGTGCTTGCTTGGGCTTCAGCAGGATGGCACTCTGGATGATAATGGTCCGAATTTAGTTTTGCGTAGACGAGGCCAAGGTGACAAACATCAGGCCACGGCACCAGATTTCCTTCACCAGCTCAGCCAGTAATCGAATACAGATATCGATCAACATTGCACACCACTTAACAAGAGCAGATTATATGGGGCATCTTTCAAGATCATATGCGCCGTATGTAGCTACACAGTCGTGGGAAAAGGGACTACAACGCATCTCTGGCCATACGTTTCTTGTGAAATAGAGATATATCATGTTCTCCAAAGAGTCCAGGAGTCAGCGATCCCTATGTCCCTCGGCCCAATCGATCTAAATAAGAATTTTTTTTCCCTCTACAGACCTGGTGAGATTCGACATATGCTACTCATGGGGCGGGATGGTGAGACTATTAATAGTATAGAGCATTCTCTAAGACTGTAAAGGCAGATTCGACGCCCTAGGAAAGAAATAAACTCCCAGGAGGTGATGCATGGGGATTTTCACTTAGACAACCTACTATGGAATGAGGATTTGCAGCGTCTGCTGAGCATTGACTTCCACCGTTCGCAATTGAACTGTGAACTGAAGAGACGGTACATTCGGTCAAAAAGAAGAAATTCAGAAGCAGTGTCGGAACCCCAGAAATCTATTCGGATAAATTTTTGGTCAATAAAACACTACACAAGTCTTCCAAGTTAAAATACATATGAGTCTTGGGGGGCAAATGATTGGATTTGTTGAGCGAAAAAAGCGGTAAGAAAGTGAACGCTCAAATGGAAGGTCAGAAATCTGGTAGACCTCATATTCCGGCATACCATCAATATTATGTCATGTCAATCGACGTCCATATTTATGTGGACTATTCCAATTCTACAGACTGGAACTCCGCTTTCATGTGTACAACATCTCCATGCGCCGTGCAAGGTCTGGACTCATGTTTCCTCGCCGAGTCACCGCCATCTTTACTTCCAGTCTGATAGCGTGTGCGCTATTTTTAGTCTACTCCTACTTGAACAGTGTATTTATTGATCAGCCATCCCAGTATGAGCCCACCCGAAGCAAAGTATTGAAATTGAACACTGAATCTGGCATAGGAACTACTTCCGATGGACCGTCGAAAGCTCCTCACACTCCTCCACGGTCCACGAACTATACAATCCCTACAGACACCCAATTACTAGAACCATATTTATTGGCCACACAGGGAAAACATTCTGGCTTGCGGAACCATTAAGGTTCACCGAATCATTAGGAAAGAAGGTTATCATTTTGGACGTCGACAGTCGCTATCTTGATGGCCCTAAGGGTCTTTTGAGCAAAGCTCCATTGAACGTAACCGAACTCCCCCCAGATACCAGTGGTAGACTCAATCACTTCATGTTCGGTAAGTAGTCAGAATTCCATCTAATTCTACTTCCTGACAGATGAGCATAGCAATGATTCACGGCTACGACTACCGACTAGTTCAAATCCCTAGAGCAGTTGGGCGAACCGGAACGTGGACCAAAGTCACTGCAATCAAAGAAGCGCTGAAGCATTACAAATACGTTGTATTCATAGATGCAGATGCCATGATTCTCTACCCCAATCTACCTATTGAATGGCTATTCAACTACTGGGAGATCACTCCGGAGACTCTAGTTGCCATGGCACTCGATCCAGAAGCACCTCACAATCATGATTGGAACGGCCGAACATTTCTCAACACTGGCTTTATTATTGCCCAGCAGAGCCCTCGTACCCATGAACTCTTTAAGGCATGGGAGACTTGTCCCACCGAAACACGTTATCCAGACTGCGCGAGGTGGGGTCGGGAATGGCCACATGAGCAATCTGCATTTGGGAACCATGTTAGGTATGACTTCAACAGATCGGAAGACATCCGTGTTTTGTCTTGTGCAGAGGCAAATGGGTGCCCTGAGGTCGCATCTACCGGGTGTGTTGGGGAGCTTGTGAGGCACTATTGGGGCGACAAGAGATCACTGCCAGCTGCTGTGGGGGATGCGGTCTTGTATTATTTTTTGCCGCAATTGCATGGGTCTTTCTATCACAACTCTCGAGCTCTGGTGGTGAATAGAACTGAGCGTGCATTCACATGAAATATGGATGGAAGGGCACGATGGATAGGTACTATTTACATTTAGGTGCATGGTATATAACATGGAGAAACCAATGAATCGACTATGTACTTTGGTTGAGCAAACGTACTATAGGTTCTTTTGTTCGCTTTCAATCTATATTTGATGATGTACAAAGTGTGACTTTCACGTGTACCGAAAATCAAGATATTAAAAGTCTTTGGAGAGATGAAGCTGTTGATAGGTCAATATTCGCTTTATCTCGGGACTTTCTATAAGAACAAGGTATCACAGAAGTCATACCAATTTCGAGGCCTGTCCTATATCAAGTATAAGCACATATTTATAACGAGGCCGGCTACTCTCGGAGGCCGGTAGCATTCCGGCCTCCGAACGCTAGGAAAGTCTAAACTAGACTTATCGTCCAATCAAAAGATGGGATCTGAGGATCACCGCTTGGCAGCGCTTGGACTATAGAGCATCATGACTTGAAATAGATCATATTTTGGCCGTCATCCGTAATATTTTATCACTGAATGGTCAATTTTTCCGTTATAAGCATTTGAAACACAGAGATTGGCATTGGTCACTACAAAATTCCATTAAATTCCAGGTAAAGTAGTCAAATCGCCTTTCAAACCCCATGCTGTATCGGGACTAGCGCCACCCCCGTGACCGCCCTCTGCCCTCTCTCACTGGGCAATTGTATAGCTCATCTGGATATCCAGAGGACTGTCAAAATATCTTATTCTGGCCGAATACACTCATATAAAGTGCCTCGAATGTTATAAAGGATAGACAGAACCAATTTCCATCATGCAGCACCGGATGCCACCGGGCCCACGCTATCTCTTATTCTCTTTCGTAATGAGGACTTGAGGCCGGAATTGTTACCGGCCTCAAAGTATTATAAGAATCTGCTCCTCACCCGCCCAAATTCTCAAAGTTCCAATTCTCTTTTCATCTCTCAAGGTCTCCTGGCTTCTTCCTCATCTTTTTTTCACCAATTTCCTCTACTTCAGAGGCTCTTTCTTGACTTGGTCTTCGGACATATACATCTACACTATTCCCTATACTACCCCAACATACCATAGACTCCTAGTCCTTTCTCTTCTGTGTCTTATCTCATATCATCATGACTCGAACCTATGTGCCCTACCCTTCCCCTACTACCCTGAAGCGGTTCCCTCACATCCATGATGACCCTTCATCCATCTCCCATTCCCTAGATCCTTTCACTATCACCACCAAGACAGGCTTCTTGCCCTATGAAACTGCACCTACTGAACTACCAGAGGAATTTAGTGCTCTGCTGTCACTGGTCAATCGTCTCCCTGTCGTCCGGCTCGATGGCAAGCCCGGTCTGTTGGCTACCTATGAGCTTGGCCCTGCTGTTAAGGCTGAACTTACCGACCTGACTGACGAGGTTGAGAAGCTCGTTCTCGCCGATGGCTCGCATGATCGCTTTACTATTGCTGCCGTTTTCCGAGACTATACCTTCCTGGCCTCGTCTTACCTGCTCGAGCCTTGCTGGGAGCACTGGAACAATGACCCGGAGGGTGGGTATGGACTTGGTCGGGATGTCTTGCCCCAGTCCATTGCTCGTCCCATGTATCGCTGTGCTGAGATGTAAGTCCTCTACCTTTCTACCCTTCTTTTCTTACTTGGTCATCTTGTGGCTCATTTTAACACACATCGTCATATAACAATTCTTTAACTAATAACTCTCTCTAGATTGAATCTACCACCTTTTATGTCATATGCTGCCTCCTATGCTCTGTTCAACTACACCGTCGCCGACCCTGCTAAGGGTCTGAGTGAGTATTCGAATCTTCGTCTGATTCGCTCATTCGAGAAAGGTCTCGACCCCAAGAGCTCTGAAGCAGGCTTCATCCTGACTCACGTCGACATGGTCAAGGAGACTGGCCCGCTCATTGCCGGTGTTTTGAAGATCGTTGATTCGCTTGAGCAACATGGCTCCCGACAGGAAATTAACGACGGATTCCGAGAGATCCTAAGGTCGATGGAGAAAATCGAAACATCCATGGAAGGTACGCAACCCTAATCATTCTAATGATTCTGTCCTTAGTCTTCTAGACTGACATCAAAATAGACATGTGGGGTAACTCCAAGCCATCGGAGTACCTCTCCTTCCGCGTCTTCATCTTCGGCATCACCAACCAATCCATGTTCCCGAACGGTGTGGTATACGAAGGTTGTGAGGACAACAAACCCCTGTATTTCCGCGGTGAGAGTGGCGCCAACGACAGCATCGTAAGCAATCCAACAAAATTGAACATAACCAAACCCAACTAACCGCACCCCAGATCCCCCTCCTAGACCACCTCTGCGAAATCCCCATGCCCGAAACACCCCTTACCAAAATCCTCCACGAATTCCGCGCCTATCGCCCTCTCCCACACCGTGAATTCCTAACTTACATCCGCGAAAAGTCCGAAGAAATTGGCGTCCAGAACTACGCCATCCAAGATTCTGAGACTGCAGTACTCTTCCTGCGCACGCTAAATCACATTCGCAGTTTCCGCTGGCGACACTGGCTGTTCGCGCGTGAGTATATCATTCGTCGTACACCGCATCCTACCGCTACGGGCGGTAGTCCCATCGTAACCGTGAGTAAAGTCTGATTTCTTTGCTATGGTCAATTTACTGATTTTTTTTGGGTTTCCAGTGGCTTCCGAACCAGCTCTCTGCTGTTATGGAGCTCATGGTTAAAATTTATGATGATAATCTCGCCAAGAAGGATGGTGTCGTTGTATTTGATGGCAAGGAAGATCTCGTTGCCTCACACAGGAAACAGGTTGAGCCTATGATGGAGCTTGTGCGTGATCAGAAGGAGAAGTTGGCTAGGGAGGTTGAGAGGTGGTGCCAGGAACGGGGGGTTTAGATAGCTGGTTTTTTCCCCCTCGATGCTGGCTTTATTCTTATATTTCTTTAGATTGTGAGTTTGCGTTAGGCGTAATACCGTGTTATCTTTCATTTTCGTGTCTGTAACTGTCGGTATTCGAAGTTATCTTGATTATCTACCTATTCAAGCCGATGTTTCACAGAGGCTCAGTATCTACTTCCGCTTTCTAAGTATGTAAGAAATCCCACAGGATTGTAAGTTTTGGTTAGCAAGCTCAGGAGTTTGTCATCTTGTGTTTTCCATCAGCTGATGTCTACATATGCAGGGGTCTACGCTCGATACGTAGTTAGTTCTTGACCGCATTTTCTTTCCCAAGACGGACTAATAACCCGGTAGTCTACGATACGACTAAATGTGGACGAACAAGGCAGTTTTGCGATCAATTTCGTATACATTCATATCATAGTATCCAGGTATCTTTTCTTATCTCTCATCATTGTATCGTACAAAGGTGATGCCCTAGGCGATCATCAACTTTCAAACCGCCCAAGTATCACCAAAATGCTGCCAAGCCCTAAGTGACAATCTTGAGCCCCATTTGCCGTCCATAGTCAATGGCGTCACGAGATACATCGTCGCATCCTTTTAGAATCAAGCCATCGAGCTTTACAGTGGCTGATTCTTCGTTCCGGGCATCTGCGAACATGCGAATGGTACAGCCGGTGATTCTTGTCTGTGACAAGTCAAGGATTTTCAGGTTTGGCAATACTGCCCACAGGTTTCTGACACTCCAATCGTCCATGCCAGCCATGCCAACGACCCCGAGTTCGGTTAATTCTTTCAATTCTGGATTTATCCCGTCGGGATCGTTAATAATATTAAGGAAGTCTTCGCTTTTGATTTTGTGGCAAAGATTCACACGAAGGGTTCGGAGGGGAGCCTTGGAATGAAGTATGAACAGGGAGAGCGTGGCGTTATTGGCCCATGGGGTGTCATTGAGTTCCAGGGTCTTCAGGTTTGGGAGCTCGTTATTTCGCGGTATGAACAAATTCGCAGAATTAGGAGTATCAATAGACCCTGAAAACATGCGTAGAGTCTCAAGGCTGGTGGGAAGGATTGAATAAAAAGTGAGTTTGACAGCCGCGCCCCAAAGTTCTAGTATACGAAGTGGAGGAAGATGTTCCTCCTCCCCCACCGGATCAAATTGGTATGATCGTGGTTGCGCAGGATCCCAGATCAGCCGCAACTCCTCTAGATTGGGATACACAGACTGGATTGTGTTAGCACAAGTGCTGGATATCAGATCCAGAGAAAGCCTACCGATCCCAACCACGGAAGTACATCCATGGCGTTCGAGATGGGACGCGTATTTTGTGAAAACGCAAGAGTTAGACTCTTCATATTCGGAAGATGTTGAGGCCATGTTGATGTGAGTACGGGCCCTCTGGAATTTTTCCAAATACGGAGAAAAACAGCTTTCTCAAGTTTGGGGAGCGTGGATAAAATACTTCCAACACAGGCATGCGAAAGGTCGATGTCTGGTCCACAGACGATACTCTTCAGTTGTCGGAAAACTTTGATCTTCAAGTAGAATTCCTGGGGCTGGTCATGGGGAACCATCAATTCCAGATGCTCTAGTTTGGGGCATCTGCTCAGCATGTCAAGCACCTTAGGCGTAGTAGCTTGAACGAGATTCGCAATGGTGGCATTGGTCAGTTGCGCTCGTGATCGATGGATGTAATTTCGAACAGATGTCCAAGGTACACGAGATCTAGCTCCGGTGAGGTCGACATTCATCCAGAGGCTGGTTAGACCGCCTAGGAATCGGCTCCATCCTTTGCAGACGCGTAGGATTGCCCTATATGCTGTAATGAGCTAGTGGATCTCAGAAATGAGCATTAGATACTTACACAATCTGCTTGAACGAGAAGCGCTGAAGCGTGAGTTCTGCGATCTCCAGTGGAAGTACCGTGAATGGATCACGCCTGTTTCCTCCTGCCAGCTTATCCTGAAGTTTCTTGAGCAACTGCGCGAGGGCCTAGATATAGTTAGTAGGGGAAAGAAGGAGTGAGAGATACAAAAAGAGAATTATCACATTCAGGAGTCAACAAAACGGAAAGCAAAGAAAGAAAAACATACCTTACGGCCCGGGTGATCGGCTGGTAGTTTCTGGAGGGCATATTCGTAGATGTCTCGGGCCTTGTCAAAAGTCCCATCCAGACAAAGGACCTTGGCCAAGCGCATGTATCCCTTTATCCAGAGTCAGTTATGCATTCACAATTGAGAAATCAGCATTGGGTTGGGTAGTTACACGGTCGTCGTTGGGTGCAAGCTTGACCATAGCTTTGGCATCAGCGCGGGCCTGGCTGTACAGTTTCATCTTGGAGTATGTGGCGGCACGATTGTCCAGTACGCTAGTATCCTCACTGTTTGCCTCCAATGCCTAGATGTACGGATGATGAGTATGAGTCGCGACGGAACATACAAGGTAGGGCGTGCCTGGGTGAAGGACTCAATGGCGCCTTGGAAATCACCAACTTTGTAGGCATTTTGGCCTACTTGCTGAAGAGCAGCAGCTTGCTCTGTGTCAACCTTCTTTTTGGATGTTATTCCGCGTAGGATACGCGTACCTGGCTTTGAAGCCATGATGAAAAGCAAGATGTAAACGCGGTTGGTGAGAATTAAGTAGTGGGGTACGATCGAGATATTTAATGCCACGGAAGGGGCAAACAGGACACGATGGTTGGGTCATGGGTTATGCCCACGGATTATGTCAATGCCACGCACTATGGGTGCTTCGCGATACAATTCCGCGATAAAACCAGCAGTCACACCGCCCGTCCTCACTGTGCAACGAACTACACATTTGGCACAAACAGCCCCCCGTACTCCCGTGTTTACTTTCTTCCCCATTCGGCATTCGGAGTTATTTGTATTGACAATAGAAGTGATCGCTGCCATGGAGTCGCATAACCTGCAGGCAGCTTCGACCTATGTCAACAATATCCTGTTGGCAAGGGGCCTGCTAAAAGGTGGTCGCGCCATCGATTTTGCCGACCCAGAAAACGAAGAAGGAGGGACAGACGGCACCATGGCTCGTGTGATTAACTTGGTCAACGATTTAGTATTGAGACGAGATGTGCGTGTGCTTTTCTGAGATGGGACTTCAAAAGCCACTGACAAAATCTAGCGCGAGTCCGAGCACCGCGAGAGTTTATCTACGACTATTCGCACACTGCAAGCCAACGAGGTGGAGCAAACCACGGAGATCGTATGTCTTCATTGTACTTATGCCGCATAGCACGCTAACATCCCTTGCTTGTGCAGGGGAAATTGAAAACGAAGACATCCGAGTTGAGCCGCTCGCTAGCTCTGGCAGAGGCGCAGGAGCGCACATTCAAGTCGAACATGTCCAACGCCGAAGCGAGCATCCGAACTTTCAAGGACCAAGTCCAGCGCATGAAGAGTACTGTCCAACAGGTCCGAGCACAATGCGCCAACGATATTCGCAAGCGGGATCTGGAAATGCAGAAGCTCAAGTCGCATCTGGCTGAGAGACAACGAGGCAAGCGCGAGGGTCTGAGTGTGACTACTATCAATATCAACCCTGCGTCAGATCGATCGCGTCTTCTGGCTAGCGGCGGAGAACGAGTACATGAGCCTGGATATAGCTTGAAGCAGGAGACGACCGACTTCTTAACTGAGTTATGTCAGCATCTCAGTGATGAAAACGATACCCTGATTGAGCTTGCTCGAACCACTGTTCGTACTTTGAAGGACCTACAAGGCTTAACACAAGCTGAGGATTGGAATGGTGAGAATGAGCAGTCGGGTATGGCTATGAGCATGGGAGCTCAGAAGTCTTCTTCAGGGCCTATTACTTCGCTACCAACCTCGTGTGAAGAACTATCCGTTCAGATGGAAGCAGTGCTAGAGCATCTACGAACACTGCTTACCAATCCCTCATTCGTGCCTCTTGAGGAGGTTGAGGTGAGAGACGAGGAGATCAAAAGACTGCGGGAAGGCTGGGTGAAGATGGAATCCCGATGGAAGCAAGCAGTTACCATGATGGGTGGGTGGCAGAGTCGTCTTGCAGACGGAGGTGATTCTATCCAAGCGGAGGAATTGAAGCGCGGCATGAATCTTGATCTTAGTATTAACTCAACTGAGGACATGAGCACACAAAGGTTGCCAGAGTCCAATCCCATCCCGACAATCCTGGAAGACCAAAATGAGGAGGAAGATATGAGTGGATCTGAAGAGAAAGCACAAAATCCCGAGATGCTGAATCCCCCGAAGATGAGGTCCAAGGTTCGCAAAGTACCCGAGCGACCCGATCGCGTTCTGAGGGAACGCAGTGAAAACACCATGACAAAGCGCCCCCGGAAGGTTTCATTCACTCCAGGCTTACAAGGCTCACCATGTGTGGACAATACCGATGATGAGACCCTCAAAATCAAAGCCTATAAAACCGAAACTGTGACCCGCAGGCCAACCAGGCGAAAGACCGAAACAAAGGAACCTAATCAGGTATGCAACGAGAACGATCTCCCAGGATATTCCCAATGGGATCCCGAGGACTAATTCGCCCTATAGCTCAAACCCAATGAATCACTAAGCGTGCACCAAAAGCTCGCCGCCGTCGAAGACGAGGCCCGCGCAGCTCAAAATGAGCAGAAGGAGCGCGAATCACGAAAGAGAAGTCGACCCGAAAAGGCATCCAAGCCGGCAAATCGGCGTCGGAGTACCCTCACCACTGATGAGCTCGACGATCTGATGGGCGTGACCCGGTGAAAGATCAATTGATACCCCCACTAGTCTGCACTGTACATATTTGGAGCGAGTGCATGTAAATATGGAGTCACTTTTGCGAAATCGCGTACGATCGACATGAATTAAATCTAATAATGGATCCCTATTTCGGAGTTAAGATGGACCTCGGTAACTTCGACTTCGGCTTCTCCGCATTATATATCAATTTTGTTTCTTGCTGCATTTACCTTCAACCATTCAATCTCATCATAAAGTAACCCTCCCATTTTGAGGTCTAATCCCGGATACTCCAGGAATGTACTAGTACTAAAAAGCTTTCAATTACCCAATTCCATCCCTCAGCACAACACCTACCTCGGCACATCTCCACAGCGCAACCACCAGACTATGTCACCTCGCACAGAGCCAGACACATTCAAAGGCTGGGTCGCCCACGATGCTAGAAGCCCCCTAACATACACAACCTACACCCCAAAGCCCTTTACACCCACTGACGTCGAAATCTCCGTCTCCCACTGCGGCATCTGTGGCACCGACATCCACACCCTACGCTCCGGCTGGGGCCCAACCGACTATCCCTGCGTGGTCGGCCACGAGATAATTGGCACAGTAACCCGTCTCGGCAGTGCCATCTCATCCCAGTCTACGCCCAACGCAATCCGCCTCGGCGACCGCGTCGGCGTCGGCGCACAGAGTGACGCCTGTCTACGTGCAGACTGCGAAGCCTGCGCTGACGGCGAAGAAAGCTACTGCCCCCGCATGACAGGCACCTACAACGGACGATACAGCGACAAGTCGAAGTCGTATGGCGGGTTTGCTGAGACGTGGCGCGGGCCTGCACATTTCGTATTCCGGATTCCGGATTTGCTGCCTTCAGCTGAGGCGGCGCCGTTACTTTGTGCGGGTGTTACTGTTTTTGCACCACTGAGGAAGTATGGTGTTGGGCCCGGGAAGACGGTTGGGATTGTGGGGGTTGGGGGGCTGGGGCATTTGGGCATTTTGTTTGCTAGGGCGCTTGGTGCTGAGCGTGTGGTTGCTATTTCGCGTTCGTCTGGGAAGAAGGCAGATGCTCTTGGTGGGCTTGGAGCTGATGGGTTTATTGCTACCGGGGAGGAGAAGGGGTGGGCAAAGAAACACTCCCGCTCGCTTGATGTTATCTTGTGTACGGTTTCGGCGCATGATATGCCCTTCGCGCAGTATTTGAGGCTGCTTAAGAGGGATGGGACTTTTGTACAGGTTGGTGCGCCCGAGGATGCGTTGCCTCCGCTTATGGCTTGGAGTCTTATTCAGAAGGGTGTCAAGGTTACCGGGTCGAACATTGGTTCGCCGGATGATATTCGAGCTATGTTGGCTCTGGCTGCGGAGAAGAGGGTCTTGCCTTGGGTACAGAAGAGAGATATGGCGGATGTTAATCAGGCGCTAGTTGATGTGCATGAGGGAAAGGCGAGATATCGGTATGTGTTGCAAAATGGGGGTGATCAGGCGAAGTTGTAGGGTTGGATATCTGACTGTATCCATGGATATATTGAAATTGAAGCCCAAGATATATTCCCAGCCCCCTCTATACGATATCTATACGAGAATGTGTGTGAACAAGCATCCATGGATCTCCCCCCACTTTGCCCTTTGGGTATCCACTTGATACAAAAATAAGATTTAGACTTTCGTATCTCGTACCGTGCTCCATATTAAGACTAGTGTATATCCACTAATCCATATCAGGATATCAATACGAAGGTGGAAGTATACGAACTCCAAATGTCTCCTTTTGATATTCCACGAATTTGCGTTTGCCTGGGGACAAAAAACTAAGATATAGAAAACTCTGAATTAGTACATATATAAGACTTGTTTTCTGTTTTGCTTTCCAAGTCATTAATTTAATTCAACCTGACCCTGCCTTTTATCCACTCGATCCACATTCAAGATGTCTTCTTCCCACCCCCGCTGGACCGCCTATGAATACTACCCCTCATTGGCAGCTGCAGTAGTATTCGTTGTCTGCTTTGCAATTGTCACTTTACTACACACATTCCATTTGTTCCGCACAAGAACATGGTTCTTCATCCCGCTCGTGATCGGCGGATACTGTATGTACCACCTTATACCCATATCGAACCAAGCCCAGACTCTCCAGTACTAACGACCTCCCAGTTGAGCTCATTGGATATATCGGCCGCGCCATGTCATCGAAACAATCTCCCGATTGGACTATCGGACCCTATGTTATGCAGAGCACATTGCTGCTGGTTGCACCGGCGCTGTTCGCCGCGAGTATCTACATGGGATTGGGTCGGATTATTGTTATGGTCAAGGGGGAGCAATTTGCCTTGATTCGAGTTGGATGGATGACCAAGATATTCGTCGCGGGTGATGTGTTGAGTTTCCTGATGCAGGCTTCTGGTATGAATTTTCCCCTTCTGCGTCTTTTTTTTACGATCATTTCCGATCAATTGGCTCTTCTCCAGCTCAACGCTAATCTTCCTATAGGTGCTGGAATAATGGTCACCAGCTCGGAAAACTCCACAAGCACCGGCCAGAACGTTATCATCGGCGGCCTCATCGTGCAAATCGTCTTCTTCGGCTTCTTCCTGATTAGCGCGATCATCTTCCAGCAACGCCTGAGCTCTCACGCCACTGCTCATGCAGTGGCAGAGCAGTATCCATGGCGCAAACATATGTGGGCGTTGCACTCGTCCAGTATCCTTGTTCTCATTCGGTCTATCATTCGTGTTGTAGAGTATGTCCAGGGCACGGAAGGTTATCTCATGAGCAATGAGGTCTTCATTTATGTCTTTGATGGATTTTTGATGTTTGCTCTTATGGTCATTTTCGTGGTTATTCACCCTAGCGAGGTGAATTATCTTCTTGGAAGGGGAAAGGTCGTGACGGCTATGGGCGGGTTGAAGGTCATGGAGGGCTCGGGTGCGGTATAGTGATTTAGGATCGGGATTTGTTGTGGTAATTGTGCAAATATTCAGGTGGAGGTTCGAATTCTTTTTTTTTTCGATTTTGTTATGAAATTTCTCCCGCGGTTTTGGCGCTTTGAACTTGGGTATATATGAATATAACATGAAAAATGTTGCAAACTGTCAACTGTTAACCTGTTCTAGAAAGTTAACACCGAGAGTTTCCTTCATTGCCCACTGGACCAGCGGCCTCCACTGGTCGTCTAATATTGCCCATACGGCCTTAGAGACTCTAACACACCACTCGTCAAAGCACCAGCGATGCTTCAAATAGTGCAAGAGCACGCCATAGTGGGCTAACATGACTAGCGCCAAGGGGTCTCGCTCGCGTAGCAACTCCATGAACCGAGGCTGCAAGCGAATCGCCCACCTCCCGGCAATCGTGCTTGCCCTCATCCCACTATAGCACCAACCGAGCATTTCTTCCAGATTCGCGATGGCTGCTTCGTAAACCCGCAGTTCGTGATTCGCATCCCGTGACCCGCAGACTTCATTTGCCTCACGCAGTTGCTTGAGCATATCAGTCGCGTCCTCAGGAAGCGGACCATGAACCTCCTCGATCTGCAAAATCGGTCCAAAAGAACTATCATGTAAAAAACTTGTAAAGTTCCGCGGCGCATAAATAACCTGCTGCACGCCGCGCGTCAAAACAAGAACCTGGTACAAATCGTCGACGCAGGACCACGGATCCTGCGCGTCCGGTGTATGTGGGAATGCAAACGTGTAGATAACCACAATTCCGGCAAAGGCAAACATCGCCTTGGCATTGCTCTCCTTGACGTCACCCAATAGCTCCCTAAATAGCGCCAGCGCTTGATTCTGGTGCGCGACGGCACGATTGAGATATGAGGCACGACGGGTCAGCTCCGGCCCCGTCCGAGCAAGATGCAGCGATGACAGGGCCAGGATGCCGTGCATTAGAAATGGGTGCGAGAGTGCCTCTTCGGGAACAATGTTGCGCCAGATTGGATCGGTCGTCTCATTGCGCGACAGTGTGTGAAATGTTGCGTTGCACCACTGTATCATCAGCTCCAGGTCGTGGAGGTTCAGTGCGGAACCCGCGGAGGCCGAGGCGTTTTCGCTACCGAGTTGGCTTAAAATCCCGAGGGAATCTGTTGCCCCCGCTTCTGCAGTTGAACTCGAGGGTGAACGAAGTCTCAATGCTGGGTCACCAGCCTGTCCGCTGTCGGACCCAAAGGATGTCGTGGGATGTTCTTCATTTGCCCACAATAGCGAGGTTGACGACCCGTACTCACATTCGGAATGACGCTTGGTACAATTGGTGCAGGATGGTCTTTCTTCATCGCACTGTGATAAGATGAGTATCTTTTTCTCTATTTTTTTTTTCTCTTTCTCTTGTTTTCGTACCTTCACTCGCCGCCTCTTGCATTCCCCGCAGCCGTGGCGAGATTTCCGATGTGGTCGTCGGAGCGCCATAGTCATATAATTATTGGATTGGCCATAGTATGGAAGAAAGAAAAATGAGGCTCAAGATTTTTTTTTAGGGCTGTTTTTTGCCTTTTCAAGGACAGGCAACAGGATTCGATACTGAGGACCCCCGAAATGATGGGCCTCGAATAGTATAGGATTATGTAACCACACCCTGTCGATCAAACAATCGAAAAAGGCTTGTCTAATCTGAAACATTGTCTTACACTGCCTCTCTTGGCTTCTACCTTACAAGAATAGTCGGCTATATACTCTTGTTTTTTTAAGACTTTGTTAAACACTTTTTTTTAAACCTCTTTGGAGATTTCTTTGTAGATGTTTTTATGCCTTTTGCTTTTTTTTCTCTTTTCAAGATATCTGAAGTTTGAGAGATTTAAGAAAGCCAATCAAGAATAAAGATAGTTATGCCAAGAGTATCATATAAATAAACTAACAAGTAAATCGAACTTTCGCTAGAATTTTCCTATTTTCCTGACCTCGTAATTGTGGTATATAGAACGCCATCAGTGAAACCTCAAGTCTTGGCCTAACAACTTCCTCCACCTCCACCTGCACCTCCCCCACCTGCACTGTTCTGTCGCCTCACCTTCTCGACCAAGGCAATTCCCGAAATAAGCGCCATGAGGTTGAATCGCGGCCCCAGATCCAAGTAGATATCTAAGTAACCGGTTGTTTTGGAAAAGATGCCTCCAGAAGAAAAGACGGCCACAACCGTTTGGCTGGTCTCCTCAACTAGTTTATGATTGTCCCTGCCGCTGCCAAGGGAGTGGGTTCGTTTCCAAGTGAAAGTCTGCTTTGTGCCGCCTTCCAGCTGCATGCGGAACCAATATGTACGTTTCATGAATCCTTGTTTGTGTAGGTATTCCCAGTCCATTTTGTTGGGCCATTCAGGATCTCCTAGACCGATCTCAGAGTCTGAGGAGAAGTGTCGGAACTTGCATATTCCCACAATGGGCCCATTGGAGTCGGAGCTACGGTAGAAAGTAAGATCCGGCTTTCCTGGGGTTAAGGAGGAGTTGGCCACATGGAAAAGATGTGTTTTGTTTATTGTGCTCACATCGTAGTTGTGGCGCCAGAAGCTGTGGGTGATGAGATACTGGGTGGCTGGATTCATGACGGATATGATGAATTTGAGAATGGTATCATCTAATATTGGGAGTATATTTGTGGTTATAAGTTTCTCAAGAATCCGAGAGTAGTGAGTCCATCATATATCTAGATTCCCACATCAATTGGAGACTCAGCCCTGTTCGAATCAAGCTTAATTAGGAACCATTTGTGCGGCCGAGGTCATTAAGTGTGCGCATCCAGCGCCCGGGGTAGTTGGATACATCATATCTGCGCTCCCAACTATTCTGAGCCCTGGCGATGGAGTCAGGTGGGCTGGCAGTGCAGGGCAACAGACCAATCATAATATTATGGCCCCCGTCCCCCCCCCCCGAATTGGGTGAGGGCCACGTGAGGGTTATCCCGCATTTGGCCTGGGTTTCAAGGCAACATTCCCAGGTTCCTTCCAAGGTTGGAAGGTTGGAACTATCTGGGCATTACAGGTACCTAGTACGTAGGATGAGTAAGCAAGCCACGTGACCTCTATTCAAGATCACATGATTTAAATATTCATGCCTTGATGCCTGATAGATTTCGCCGGCGCGTCGAGGCGGAAAGTGAAGGGCAAGAAAAACAAGCAGGTCCGGAGAAGAGGGAACTTTTTCGACAAACAATCAACTACATCGACCTCCTTCGCTGGTTGATGAATCAGTCTTTATCGATTGAAATTGTCGTTTGTTCCATCTAACAGTTCTTAGAGCTGTTGCAGCCCAAAACTTGCATCCTCTGATGCTGTCAACCCGTCTCTTCTCATTCTGATAAACCCTCCCGCGATGTCGTTCCAAGTACCCTACGAGTCCAGTCCACCTGAGACTCCAGAGAAAGATCGCTCTCGCAGTCTCTGGAGCAATGTGTCGACAACTCCTGCCGGCCCGCCACCATCCACTGCAGGTTCATTCATACCGCATTCTACATCCAACATCAATGGTGGCTCGCGTATCAACTCCTTCTCCACAAATGATACCTCATTTTCTACAAACCAGCATTCCTTTTCGAGAAATGACTTCAACAATTCAGTATTTACCAAATCCGGTAACATCAACACAAATGACAGCATCTTTGGCTCATCCTTTGGGTCGACGGATTATGCCATGCCCAAGCAGACCAAAGCTCCTTTTACTAAGCCCACAGGAAAATCTAGTCTTCGTTTTGGCGTGCCGAATGGAGGGGGATTTGGGGATTCCATGGATTTCGGACAGTCCAATGGATTCGCCTCGTCACAAATGAGTGACTTTCAAGAAGAACAGGAAGACCAGATGGAACCGGAGGAAGAGCAAATCGAAGAAGAGGAATCTGAACAACAAATGGACCTAAACACTCAGGATCGGTCCAAGGACTTCAACTTCTTAGATTCGGCTTTTGGAAACCCTTTTGGGTCTCAGCCCTCCATGGGTACTCAGCGCAAACCGATCTATTCAAATCCAAGCGATGCCAAGCGACCGAAGCTTGATGAGCACTGGACGCACCAGTCGCCCATCCGCAAGACCAACCTGGCCCCCAAGAAGCCATCCGCGATGCCATCCATTCTTCACAACCTTGCTGCCAGATCCCGCATCGCCCTTGTCAATGAGCCAAGCGAGATCATCCTTGAAACGGAGGATGCACTGGGAAAACTCTCTGACGAACTCAAAGCTGCGGAATTCAAACATGTTGATTTCGATGCTGTATTGGCTAAGGTATCAAAGGAGCTGGCGGAGAGTTGGCAGACTTGCACCGACGCAAGTGAGATTGACCGACCCTACAGTGTCCATTCTGGTATTGGGCCCGGGGAGCAGGCTCCCAACCTCGTGAAGGCTACCTTTTTGGCTTCGTTCTTGCTCCAAATCCACCACCCTTCTCGTGAACCAGCTTCGGCTGCCAACATCAACCCCATGCGCACCGGGGCCGCTGGTATGGTAAAAGCCCTCACGAGACCGCCTGTTCCTAAGCCCCTGCCACAGATTTTGCTTGGCTGGCTCAGTGAAAACCACGCATCGCAGACCAAGGATCTTCAGGCATTGAAATATGTGGAACCAAACCCAACCGCATCCACAAACTTCTGGGATATCATCATTGCTTCTGTGCTGCGTGGTCGCCTGACTGATGCCGCAGATGTTCTCCAGTCTGCAGACTTCAATTATGCCCGATCCGCCTTGGAGGATGGACTCCCACAACCTGGTTACCGTGGCGCACAGCTGCAAAATATTCAGCGTTGCGTCAATAAGGCTCTTCAAATTCTTGAATCATGCCCTGGAACCCAATCTAAAGACTGGGAGGTCACCGGCCTTGAGTGGTCTCAGTACCGGAGGCGAGTTCTGTCGGCTGTCACTGACCTGGAGGAATTCGCCGAGGGAGAGGAGCGGGATGAATCGATTGTGCCGGTTCCAGAGAACCGCTTCCAGGCCGTGAACTTTGGATTGTCCACCTTCAACTCAAACACTACCAACAAAAACCCGGTTTCATTCGCTCAATCGGCTCGCATGGCAGAAAGCCGTGTCCCATGGTCAATTTACCAGAGCTTGCGATCTATTTATCGAATTATTCTGGGAGACCCATCTGCCATCAAGGCCAAGTCTCAAGACTGGGTGGAAGCGACTATTACACTGACAGCATGGTGGGATGGTGAGGATGACACCGGCTCTACCATGGATTTTGGCGCTAGCTCATCTAGCGACAACTTCCAAGATTTCTTACGCTCGCGCGGCCCAAAGAACCACGTTCGTGCTGTAGATCGCAACATGCGTGGCGCCTACCTCGACCGCCTCGAACTAGCCCTTAGCCATACCACCAGCGATGGATCCGACAACGCTGATTTCCGACCCAATACGCTCAGCAGCATGGAGGTCGGTCTCGCATCTGTCTTCGAAGGCAACGTCCAGGGCGTATTGGAGTTAGTACAAACATGGTCACTTTGCGTGGCTGCCGCTGTCGCAGAAGTTGCTAGCCTAGGAGGCTGGTTTGAATCCGGAAGCAGCCAAAAGACGCTACCTGGTCTGTCTGAGAATGATCTTATGGTTCTTTCGTACGGGCAAGACAACAAGTCTCCGGCCCGCCATTTACACAAGGACGATATTCTTCACAGTTATGCGCTCGGACTGTATGACCGACCTGTTATTGAGAACGAGCACAGTTCCCGTGAAGGATGGGAGCTGGCTATTGAGGTACTGAGCCGCTTCGACGATGCAAATCAGATGAAGAAGGCCGTGTCCGAGATCGTGGATAAGCTTCCTCTGGAAACCCCCGATCAGTTGGATAAACTAGTGGTTCTCTGCTCAGAACTCGAGCTGGAGGACCAAGGGCGTCGAGTATCTGAGGTGAGTGGTAGAAGAGAATTGCTTTTGTCTATCTGACCAAATGCTAACTTATTGACAGCGATTCGGCGATATGTTGACTGAAAAATCTGAAAACTTCGGTCTTGCTCTAGTTTGCTATGCTCGTGCCCAGAGCCGACGCAAGGTTAAGTCAGTTGTCGACCTTTTGATTTCCTACAGCTTGGTCCAATCCCGCGCGTACCCTGCGACAGCCGATCTCGATGAACAACTGCGCTCTTTGATGAAGGAACCCAAAGCATGCCTGTCGTCTATTGCACAAATCGACGAAGAAGCTGCTCGGATTCTCCAATTCTATCTCAGTGGTTACGTGACGCTACGTCGGTTCTATGAGATTCGCGACGAGGAATTTGAACTGCAAGAAGGCCAGAAACCACGCTACAAGCCGTTGGCTCGGCGACGTGCTGCTGCGCAAGCTCTTGCGGCTGTCATTGGGAGTGCGGCGGATAATATTTATGGAGGTCTTTACGACCCGGACCGTGATTCCGCTGTGCAGGTGGATGGACTGTTGGCTCTGCTGGGTGAGGCATGTGCATTTGTGAACCGTGAGTCTCCCGATCTAGCCCACGTCAACTTTCTTCTCCGATACTAACCCCTCAACCAGAACCCACTGCAGTCCTCTCCGTATCTCAACAGTTCACCATCCTATCCGCAATCGAGGACTTGGAAACCGTCACCCCCCGTGTGTACTCACAGTGCGAGGAATGTTTCCGCTCCACCCTACTTGAATACCAATCATCAACCCGTGGGGGATCAGATGGGCCCCCCTCGCCTCGCGCGCTATTGAAGAAATCCGTGTCTAATTTCTCTGCTTCAAGCTTCGCCTTCATCGGAAATGACATGCTTGAGTCAGCACGCGCACGTTCTGGCTCGGGTTCTGGCCCTGCCTCCGTAGGTAGCTCAGGCGTCCTGGTGCCCGCCCCAAGTGACAAAGCCAGCGCCGATCGCGGATGGGATTGGCGGGTCGGGCTTCCCGAAACTACCAAGGGCGAGGACATCCTTCAGATGCTTCGACTAGGATTAGCACGCGGATTGAGTCACGGGTCAATGGGATCAATCTGAAATTATGGCGTTAAAGTAAGAGGGAGGCTTAGTTTTGAAAATGGGTGTTTTTTTTTTTTTAATCCGGGGAATGAATTTAGCTTAGCACCACTTGCACACACATACACACACTCATCTGCTTGTTCACCCCCGCTTTGTCTTTTGTGATAAGACGCTGTACGATATCAGACCTATGCAACTTAATTCTTTTAGTACCTAGTTTCTCTACACATTATATTAAAGTATACCTAATTCCCCATTCCTGCCCTCTCCGATTGCCCAAATCGGCAAATCGGCAAATCATCAGCCCAAGTGGGCTCGAGCCCTCAGCCCTACGGCCTCTGATAACCCACGAGGTACAAATCCCCTATAACGGTTAAAACGGGTAAAACACATAGTCGATTAGCGTCAAGCTAAAAAGAAAACCGGTTCTCGTGGATTCTCTTTCTCTCCAAAGGTACTCTGTACTCCGTACTCCGTAGGCAACTCTGTTAGTGTTAGCGTCAGCAGCTGAATGCGGGCGCCTAATCCACTCCACCCCCTTCCAAACACATCACAATTGTCACCTGAATGCGACACATTATAAGATATTATCATAGTATTCGTATGATCTAACTATCGAAATATGGTCAGCCCTATATCCATTGAGCCGCAATACTAGCCCTGTGAAGTGACAGGGGGCTGTGTTGGGAGGCTCTATGAGTCAAAACGCCCCGATGTCCACTTTGCATCCCACGATCGACATCATCTAGCCAGTCATATGGCGTTCTGGGATTATTGAACCGGTGTTTACTGTGTTGGCTCACTATTCGGCTATACAGCCTGTGGCTCACCGACTCGCTGTACTAGATTACTCGTCGGGTAAGTGGCTTCACTATGGGTTCACCGTTTTTGATTCCCACGCCTGTAGATCACCGGTTTTGGTTATTACTGTGTCATACTAGTGAGACTTCGGAGTCAGAGGTGCGAACATTCCAGCTGAAGGGGTGGGACTGGAATGGTCTTTTATTGTCTATCACCCCACTATCTCGCGGGCATAGAGGGGTAAAATGGATACCTAAGACATGTAGACGCATGTACTCCGTACACACATGGAGATACCCAGTAACTACATACAGTGGAGTACTAATGTGCGTACTATTCACACTAATTTCTCTTCAGTCTTTTGGTATCCAATTGGGCGCGCCCCGTTAGGTTTCTGCCTGGGGCTACAACTCATAGGGCTGATACGATTTGGATCTACATGGTATTTTAGTACATTAGATATATATATTAGGGATATATTATATTATTAATTATATTATTATACCGGTATTATCGCATTAGTTTATCCCTAATTAACAATATACTGACTCTATACTCATCGCATATATAACGCTCAGTCCCTCGCTATACAACCCCCCTCAGTCTTGTGCAAGCCAGTCACTCCCTCTTCATTTCGGTTCATTATTTACGTGCGACAGCGTGTTTCTCTACACTTGTCCGCTTTTATTATTATTTTCTTACTTTCTATCTCTTCTGTTCATTCCATCGGCTGGTTCGTTTCTTCTCTTTTGCGAACAACCGAAAACTACTACAACCATCAATCCATTCCTCCAGATCCTGTCGAAATATCATACGATGTGCTATAAAGTCGTTGAACGCTACTCTGTCTGCAAATGCCTCTACTTCGAACACTCGATCGACCCATGCTCTGCTTATGGACAGCGCGGCCATGAAGTACAGGAAAAGACTGTCCTGGTTGGTTATACCTGTGACAAGCACTCCGGACACGGGTTATCAGCTGTTTCGCCTGGTGCGAGGCAGTGGTCTGATTCTGGGTATGGGAGTCAGGATATGAGTGGGAGTGATGGTGGAAGTGAGAGTGGGGAGGAATGTTGGTAGATTTGAGGATTGACCATGTTTCATGGCTGTGCCATTATGATTCCCGGGGGATTTCGGATGTGTTTTTTTCTGTTTCTTTTTCTTTTCTTTTCTTTTTCTGTTTCTGTGGCTATTTAAATCTGTGCGTCGAACGGGGATTCTTCGGGTGCTTATTGTCGACACCGGTGTTGACAATTCTTGATACCGGAGAGTTATGGGCAGTTTACTCTGCGCTGTTTTCTCTGCGCTTCATTGTTTTGGCTTTGCAATGCTGTGGCTATTGCTCCTAGATAGCAGCCTGTTTTGTGGATCATTGATTGATTACACTGTCTGCATTTTATTCGACCGGGTGTTGAGCACCATCGATACGAAATGCTGGTCCATGTCTGGAACGGAGGGTGAATGGTGAACTCGCAAATGAGGGCGGACGATGAAGATTGTGTGAGAGTACGCGATATGTGCGAACATGCGGTACGTATGATGGACCAACGAAGGATCATGATGTTTCGAAGATATAATGCATTGGCATTGCGGGCGTTTCTTTTGTCTTTAAACGGGTCTGTCATTATACGCCCTGCATTCCTAATTTGGATGAGGCGAGGACTGGTTCCTTCTTGTCACAAGCGATAGTAATCCATTGCATTCATTGTCTCCGTGATATATACACAGTCCATCCTGTATTTAATTGTCTAGTCTAGGGATATAACTCTGATATTGGCAATGTTGAGGACTCTGGAAAGGGCCGACAGATAATTAGCTGGTCTATATCAGAAGCTTGGCATGTCATGCAGCCTTGGAGGCTCCCTACCTTAGTTCGACGCGCAAATAATTCTTGGTATATAATAATTTTTCCACCTGCATTGATCGAATAGTGGTATCGGAGTTTGTAATCGGGATATCTTGGTGATCATTTACATCGGTTAGATAAATATGTGCAAATTTATTCTTGATGGAAGCAGCGAGAACAGGTTGGTTGTTGTCCATAGCTTTGATATTCTGGAACTAAGCTTAATTTGACTTCTGATGTATAGAACGCCGTTCATTTGGTCTTCTTCACTTCAATATTTCAACATAAAGTCAAAATTAATAATTTGCGATTGAAGTATCGATATAAGAAGTTCAAAATAAAGTCACATCTCTACATATTTTATAAACTTACAATTTGACATCCCCAATCGAACTCATTGAGAAGATGTGTGTGGGTCCCCTCTGTCCACTCACCACAAAGCCCATCAAGCATCGAGTCTGTGACTATGCGCTGTACCTAGATGAATTTTTGACTTTATTGAGGCGAAGCAAGAGGTATCTGCACCTTAAAAGCAATATGATTCGGTATGATCCCTTTTAATTGCCTATTTACTAACTAAAATCAGCCTGGTGGCGTCTATGTCCACGTAGTAGAATAATAAGCTGACAAGCTGACCTAGTGAGGCTCGAGAGCTGCCAGTACTATTTAAACCATTTTCTTCTAATTTCTCTACAATTCCTCCAGGAGTTTGATATTATCCAGCTCAAGAAAGCTGTCCCACGGCTGTCATATCATGGGGAGTGACTTCAAGGTTATTGTGATAGGCGGCGGCCCAATAGGGCTAATCGCCGCCCATGCGCTTCTCCGTGCTGACATCGATTTTGTGGTTCTCGAACGCAGAACTTCCATTGTCGAAGATAAAGGGGCTAGCCTCGTGATATATTCGACTACGTTCAGAGTCATGCATCAACTCGGCATTTTGGAGTCATTGTTGCCTCTGGGAGGAGAGCTTGACCGTCATATGTCGCTTACCAAAGATGGACATGTGTTTAATGAAAGCCCAAGATACAGAACAATTCGAGAGAAGTGAGTCGCTATACAGATTTTCATGTACTTCTGGTTGACACTTTTGGAACAGTCATGGATATGGCCCTGTTGCTTTCGATCGCGCGGAGGTGATCAAAACAGTGTACAATCTGTTACCAGATCTCGCAAGAGAAAAGGTCTTGACAAACAAGCAGTTGAGCAACATTGAGACAAGGGGTGATGGGGTCGAGGTGACATGCGTTGACGGCAGCGTCTACCGTGGATCAATGGTGATAGGCGCAGACGGTGTTCACAGCAAAACCCGACATTTGATGCGCGACATCGCTTTGAAAGAGGATCCACTACGGGACTGGGATCCAGAAGAGCCGTTCCCAGCAACTTTCAGACTTTTATACGGGGCGTGTCCCGCGCCATCACCTTCCGGCCAAGGGAACGATAGCCAGTCACCAGGAAAGTCAGTCTCATATTTCAGCGGTCCGAAGCGTGGCTGGTTGTTCCTGAGTGAAAGACTGCCGGAACCAACCACCGAGCGAAAGCATTACACCAAGAAGGATATTGAAGCCTTGGCTGCCGAGTTCGCAGACTTCCCGCTGAATCGCACAGTCAAGGTTAAAGATGTCTGGCCAAACATGTTGGCCGTAGGCATGACAGACCTCCAGGAAGGAATTGCTCAGCACTGGAGTCTAGGCAGGATTGTGCTCGTGGGCGATTCTTGTCATAAGTTCACGGTTCACATCGGGCTTGGGTTTAACAATGGTGTTCAGGATGTTGTGGTGTTGTGTAACCGTCTACGAGATGCGGTTCACAATGCTCCTGATCAAAACCCGAATGCATATGCTCTTACGCATGTGTTTGATGATTATGAGAGAGTTCGAAAGAGCTCGGACAGCTCGCTCGTTACGGATTTAGCAAATTCGGGATTAGAGACTCGTATAAACACTTGGAGCAGCACATTCCACTGGTTTCTTGCCCGATATATTATGACGAGTTCAATTGTCGAGAAACTGGCAATTCGCTTTGTTTTTGCGCGTGAGTTTCAAAAAGCACAGGTGTTGGACTATATTGAGGCATTGGAGCCGATGAATGGGAAGATGCCTTGGATACACCCGATGAAGACTTAGATACTGGGATATACTGCCCTAATAGATCATGACAAAGAAATATTTCTTCTTAGCCAGACAATAACACGCTAAACTTTAGTAAGCTCTTCTGTCAATCTTAATGTAGGTATTTGACGTCGAAAAATCGGGTTGTAAGACTTTAAGTGTACTACTAAAAGATAACAGTACCTTTCCAATTCCTCATATTTTTCCCCTACTATCCTAAATATCGACTCGGGAGGTCTCACTGCGAATCAAACAAGCTGTGAACAGGGCTATGCCTATGGTAATGGGTCTTCCTACGCCGCTTTTTGACGTTCTTTTTCCGTTCAAGTGCTTATTTTTGGCTTTTTCCTTTTTTCTTCCCCCATTACTAGAATCAAATACATTGCTAAGCAGCGGTCTCATTGGGTAGCACTTCACATCACCTGAGAGAGCTGATGAGGGGTCATTTGCCATGTCATACTTTTCTTGTCTTGTCTGCGTTTCCCGCAACTCCAATTCGAGACCTTTTTTTCGCCTCCAAAGAAATTAAGTACATGTACCTATGGCAGACCATTGGCATGTTGCCTCCACTATTGGGACCTGGGTGGCTGTCTTTTGGTCAACGGGAACATATACTGTTTAGAAAATGTCAGCGAGATCGTTGTGAAGAAAAAAGAGGCAGCAGACACACCGCATGAAAGTATGAAAGTGGAAAGAAGGCCTCATTCCCTCTTTAATGGGCGTTGTGCAAAAATTCCCCCTTCATCAGTCTGTTCTTTTCCCTCACCAGGATTTTTCCACTGAGATTATTCAGATAAAGTATCGACATCTTTCATTTGGAGCTTTCCAATGAAGGTCCGCTTGCGGAGTGTTCTTCTGGATACCAGCCTGGACTCGACGCCGTTGTTTGAGGCATTCTTGGGGATGGGGGAAACCGTACACGTAGAATAGCTATATTCTACAGTCTGCTCTCATATAATTTACCATATGCAAGATATTTACATCAGTTCAATTTATGCTGGCGAAGCTAACATCCTAGAGGTCGACCCAAATTTTGGCAATGTTCACATTCGCCGGTCGGAGCGGATACACAACTTCCCCTGACTCGTTTTTCTCTTCGAAGGTCGTCGTGTGAATTTGCGAGATGATAGTCGCCTTGAACGGTGCCGGTGGTGTTGACCACACTTTTTGCACAGCGTCAGAAACAGTCTCAATTTGAATACCCCGGAATCCTTCAGCTGCAGAACGTCTCATCATCTCTTCCGCCAGCAGCCTCATAAGCCCACGGCCAGAATAAGATTGAAGGGTGTTGGTAGCGTTACGCATCAGTACCTGTCCGCGGGCAGTGGGCTTCCACGATGTAGGATCGCGCTGGTCTCGCTCCTCGAGGGCATGGTAGGTTGTTCCAAACAAGGGTAGTGTTGCTATCAGAGGTTCTATCTGAGCCACATCTAGCTCATCGATTCCATCGTAGGCCATGGCAATTGAGAGTAGTGGGAAGTCCATCTGCTCTGCAAGGTCACTTTCGGTGGCACTCTCGTCATCCAGATTCCAGTACAGCTTGCCCCCCGTGGCTACAGACTCGGGTCGCTTGTACTGGTATTCCTTATCGAAGATACCAAGAGACTTTCCTGAATCGATCTGGTGCTTGATTAAATAGTGCGAGGCGCGAAAGCTCTGGTAGGCGCGCTGGGTTTTGTTCTCAGGATAGACAACTGGCCAGAGCGGGGAGTGGAATAGATTTGTTTGAATGCAAATTGCTCGGGCCCATTCCTCGTGTTCTGGTCCAAGAACGCGAACTTCGTACTGGGGTGGAAGAGATGGGGTCATTTTGGTTTACGAAGCTGAGAATATCAGACGAGAAGTGAAGATTTAAAAAGGAGATACGAGGGGATATTTAGTGCAACTTTGAAACATGTCTCCCCCTCTATTAGTGCTTACCTAACTATTCAGCACCTCCAGGGCTGTAGGTGCCTACGTGCAGTGTAAATATTTCCTTTCCGGTGTACGGAGTTAGGTATATATATAGATATATATAGTTTGCTGTTAACTGATTTTCTTAGGTTTGAGGTCTAGGATATCATCATAAGCGACCGCATTACAACCACCACTACTACAACCCCTAGTTGAAGATAGACCAAATGTCTTTCAAATAATTTTATTGGCAAATTTACTTTGAGGAGCAATGAATAGAGATAGATTCTGCACGCACTAAAATCAACACAAGAAATCAATAGCTAATGATAATGAAATGGGTGGTCAGGATCAGGTCCTGGTCCATAATCTTCATCAAAACTATGCCTATAATCCGCAATAAAATGATTGTAGGCCCCCGGTGGGAGTAGTCCCTTGCGCCCAATTCTAAGCATCAGGTAACAAGCCCAGAGTTTGCAGTTCTGCGGTGGAATCTTCTCAGCCTCTGCTAAGACAATGTCAACGTCGGCTTCATAAAGTATACCGAGAAGATGAGTGTGCTTGACTAAATGGCTATCAAATCTCTTGTTATCTTCTATAACCAATGTACGATTGCCCTTGTAGCCAATGCTGTGGAGTCGGATGCCACGGTCAACACCTGGACGCTTCATAAAGATCATCCAATGGACGGCACCGTCGTCCCCCGGCTTGCAAATTTGAAGAAAGAGTTTACGGTGTTCAAATCTGATTGGTCTGTTTTGAGGTATGCAGTATATTTGGGGAAGCACGGTTGGTACTGGGCTAGGCATGGTTGCGATATGGAAGGTTGCTAGGGGTAGATACCTGTAAAAAGATGTGAATATAAGTGTAGAGTAATGGAAGGAGTGTACTGAAGATGCTTTGAGTGCGAAGATTGCTTGCTGCAATGATTGAGTTTATTACGAGCGAGGACTTGATCATTTTTATAGACATCCCTCCAGCCCATTGACTCGTGCTTTATACAATAGGTTATTAAAGAAGCTTTGTTAAGTGCTGGTTAATAAAGCCGTAGTCTCTATCACCCAAATTCCTTTAGAAAGTTTTCTATGGTCTTCTTTTCTAGCTTAAAATAGCTAGCATTATGTCTTTGTTGAAAAAATTGTAAGGACTTTTTTTTTTGTGTAGAAAGAAACAAGCTGAAATAGTCCAACAATGGTACAATTTCAGATTTATCCGAGTATGGTCTCTGTAAGCTATGGAATTATTCATGTATATTTTCATACACTACATGCGTACACAACTATTTCTACTAATACAAACATATATATAACTTGGCTGTACAAAGCACAAAGCCCAAATGTGCAGAGAGACAGGAGTTGGGTCAAAGACCCACTTTTATGGGAGATCCACCTTTATCCAACCAATCACCTCTTACATCATGTATTCTTTTTCTTTCTTCCTTTGACCTCTATCATTCAAATTCATATCACCTGTCACCTTTCCCATTGAAGCCCTTATGGCCTCAATCCCCTTTATTTCAATACCTTTCAGATGTCTGAAATGAAAGTGCCTCTTCCCTCCGGCTGTGGCCTCTGTGGTAAAAAGGATGGAGTTCGTCTCTGTTCTGCCTGCAAAGTGATGCCATACTGCAGTGTTGAGCATCAAAGTTCTCACCGCACAAGTCATAAATCCGATTGCACTAGGATCAAAAAATGCCGGATTGTTATGGAAGCCAGAGAACAGGCTTTGCGCGATCATCCGGATGACGACTTCAAATATGGTGTCGGTCGATTCTGGAAAATTCTCCCAACACGTCCTTACATGAACTCTCGTCTTGATTACAGGGCTGCCCTGACCTTCGTCAGGAATGTTGAATCAGTTCAAGTGCAGTTCGATACCCTCATGGAGAACCTGCTTGCCGCGGCGACAACATTGGATCCAGAGATCTCGTTCCTGGCCTAATGATCCGCTTAAACAGGGATGAGGAATGCTACGATTTTTTGAAGTGGTGGGCAACATCCGCCAACAACCCCCGGTACGATTGGGGTGACGAAACCCTGCCATATCTGGACATCAAAGGTGCCAATCCACTTGAGCCGGTCGACTTTTTCCTCCGTGGAACATCAAATCTTTCGCACATAGTTTCCCTGGCTCTCATCAAAGTCAAACTGTATTCCATCCTGCTCTTCACTCATGGAGCCAATGGAGCATATGAAACGGCGACAGAAGAGCACCGCAAGATGCTGGATGAGATGATGGATGAGATGATGGAACTCAAGGATTCAACAATCGCTAGAAATCCGCACGTCGCCAGCCTGACATGTCTCGAAGCTGAACCCGAAATTAAGAATATGAAGGCTCAGATTCGTCAATTGTATGAAATTGTCAACAAAGCGAACCCGTACTTTTGGCCGGAGCTTCTTGATCCTGATGAGAATTTGAATGCTGCGCCTTCAATGTACTCGCCTGGAAGTAAGGAGGAGATGCAAGCGACCATTATGTGGACCTGGCAAGCGTGGAATGAGACCTTTGGCGCGATTAGAGTCATTTATGCGATAGTCAACGGCAATGAATTCTAGTTCTAAGTTGCCTAGGACACTTGGAGTTGGCTACGGATGCAGAGTTGAGGAATGGGATTGGCTGTCATGATTATCATAGATGCAATTGCTTCTGAAAGTTATTTTTTCTAAAGAAAACATATTCAGATATTACAAAATGACAAATCAAAAAAAAAAAAAGTTTCTTCATTCCATGTTCGATCGCGCATAATCAAGTGTCAAAATTCCAACCAGATCATCTGGGGATATTTGAGCAAGAAGAAAAGTTAATTAAATTGTTACAGACCAAGACATGTATGTAGTACTAAAGCACTCAAGTGATAGATTATACTTTTCTAGTGGTATACAAATAGCCGTCTTACCCATCACACCCTGGGCAGATATGGATAAAAACCGCAAAGTCATACTATCTGAGACCAGTCCGTACGGCAATTCATTAGCGTGCGGTTTTTCCCTCTGCCTTTTATCTCGCGTTGCACACTCATTTACCTTGAAACATACTCTTGTTCAGCCCCCGAAGCAATTTCCTGGCAAGGTAGTTTGCACAATGGAAGACTTGGAGCAGTGAGCCCAGTACGATGCCATGCCCTTTAATTATTACATTACGCCCGCACTTCATCTGAAGATTATGTCAACTAATGCTAAACAGGAACATTAACCCGGGGGCGGTAAAGGAGAGCCCCCAGTAGTGGGAGCAACTAGCGTGGGAATATCCAGAGTTATCGCTTATTCGTCGATTTATCTGGCTTCCCAACCGAGTTCTTTGACTTCATAGTAACATTTGATTAGAACTATCATGATAGGGCGAGATTGGTCCTTGCTCAGATAAGCTTGCCAAATTTTGAGCATTCACCAGTCAGTCCTTGAGCGAAAATTTTGTGCAAATAAAGAAGGTAGCACACAGACAGTCTAGCTTTGGGCTTGCTGCGATGAGGACCTGAGCGAAAAATATAAAGATATGAAGGCCGAGAGCGTAGTCGAAGCTGAGATCGGCTCTAATCGGTACCTCGGCGATAGTAGCCGTTACGCCTTTGATGATATAATGCTAGGTCATTAGCGATAGGTTCTCGTCCGAGTTCTAGGTATAGATAGCGAAAGAGGCGCCCTTAAATACCGGTCATGCCAAAATGACAATAAGATTCGGGCCCATTGTGAAGAGCTAGAAAATCAGGAAGATAGGAATTCGGCCCTTAAAGAGCTAGAGTCTCAGGATGTAGTGTATTTACTAGACCGCGAAGCTATTGAAACGGGTTTGATCAAGATGCTTTGGTTGGACGAGCATAGCAACAGTGTATGGGATAATCGAGTCCATCCATCTATTATGGAACCACTTACTACAGCTTTTCTTGGCCCTATTCAGCTGAGCGAAATGTCGGGTGGAAGCTCTCGTCGAGGTTCATTGATTAGACAATGGTCTAGGTATGGAGTGCATGGAATGAAATTTGGCAAATCAACGGCCTAAAATGGCCTCACTTGCGGTCATTTCTTGAACCCCATTTTCCATCTGATACCTTATTAGAATAGCCTATTTATTACTTTCGGAGTAATATAAAACACCAAGTGAACATATGTGTACGTGGTTAAACGTGTATAGAGGAAAAGGGCGGGCGGTAAACCGAATCAGCCAATCATTTCATCGTCGTATCACGGGGCCGGGGTCCTTTTCCCGGTCCACCGGCCAGCTTCCGCGATATCTAGAGGTTAATTTAACCACACACACTTGTGAATCTTACCTCTAGCGTTGTCCTGCAACGTACTCTAGCAACGATGCTCGCCACTCATTGGCTACCAGCCGCTCGGTTGAACATCAACCAAACGCGAAAATTCTCCCTACTTTCCACCCATGCTTCATTTCCTGCGACAATGTATCGATACCAGTTGTCGCGCAAGGCCACACTATACGACGTGGCCCAAGATGAGACCCGCCACAGGAAGGACGCAGTCAATGTGTCTGATGATGGCTTAGTCCACGCAACGATCTCGAAGTCAAGCCCCTGTCTGTAAACACAAATCTAGCTATTGAGCAATACATATGAGTCTAACTATTTATATACTAGACTCCAATGGGCCAATATTCATGCCCAATTCTCGTCTTATGCAGCAAATGCTGCGCTTTGATTTTGCGCGATACCAAGAAGAGATCGACGACGGGAAATGTCTTTTGGACCCCACTGTTATCTGCGTTCCACGAGGTATGATATTGTCTATGTTTAATTCTGAGCGATAACAGAAGCTTATGAATTTAGGTACTCCCATCCCACCCGCATTGGTGCTATGGAGAGAGGGGATGTCTCGCTTCTCCCTGCAACCTTCAAATCCCATGGAAATTGAAAGTAAGTTCTAAAACAAGACATGGTGGTATCTCGACCCTGTATTAACGGTTTATAGATCTGAATGATGTCCTCAGCGAGTTTTACGAGAAGTCAGCTACAGTGATCGGCGCTGAGGAATGGATTGAGGAACATCCATACCGGGAGAGTTTTGCTGACGAAAACGACAAGGTATGGATGGAGGTGTAAATCTTCGGAGTCTTGGTCTGTCACATATAAAATACGCATCAACATGCATGGATAGTACTATAGACTGCAGATTTTGTAATTATATTTATCTTGCCTTGGGAGCCGGTATTGTGGTTGCGGCAGAGAAAAGTATCTAAGTCGGCGAACATACTGTACCACACAGAGCCAACCTATCAGTCAGCCATGTATCTGATTCAACAAGCTCCACAATGATTATAAATGCACACCTAATTTTAAATTAGAAGATTGGTCATTTGAAAAGTATTTGACATGATTGGAGAATATGGGCATTCCCACTTCTAGCGAGCGACAAGTAGGCCGTCGTGCTGTTGAATCTACTGTAGATTCACAGGGAAGCTGCCCTCAATAAAAGACAGTCTTTGCCTTCCATGATAAGATACCTCACAGCCGTAGAGTGAGATGGATTCCCGCTGGATACGATCAAGGAACTCTGTCTTTGCCTCCGACCACTCCAAGAAACCAGGATCTCCTCTCCAAAGGCGCAACAGTCTCTCTGGGTTGTAAGTAAGCCAGTCCTGACGATTAATTATGCCGTTGAGGGGGGTTGTCAAATGATGTAGCGAGGCGCGACGCTCAACAAGGAATCTTCGGTAGTTATCAATATCAGCCTGTTATGATTTTATGGTTAGTCAGAACCGAACAACGCATGAGGCGTTGAAATGCGAAAGAAAATATACATCTTGCTCTTCGCTTGGATCCTCCCAATCAATGGCAGTCAACATATGGTAGCGGCGGTGGCTCATTTCGGCATGTTCAAACCTAAGGCAGAGCTCCTTGGTGGCTTCACAAACAGCAAGGCGAAAGGTCGAATTCCAGTACAAGTTTCCGCAACGAGACCAAAACCCAGCAGTCCACTCTAGGATAGCGCCCAAGTCGTAGACGTCACCCAACATTCCCAAGGAGGGCTAGTTTACTTTGTTAGAATTCAAGTAGTTTCTATGCACTAAGAGCAGCGGTGGCAGGGGGAAGGTAGACGTACCGGTTCGCAGGTAAGTTTTCGATCAGCACACTGTCCACAAGACGGGTCATTGGTGTCTTCGTTGACAGCACAGTAGATTTGAAATGGCTCGTCTTGCTGAGGGTCATAATTCGCAATACTAATATGAAGGCAGCTCAGACACCAGTTCCGGGAAGGTAGCTCATCCATCTTGGATGTGGATTGAGCATTGAATATTGGATAGCGATGTGACAGACGCGTACTTAAAAAAAAAAAAAAAAAATCCAAATTTTCGATGCAAACTATTTTTTTTTAAATCAAAACTTCTATAAGACAAGTTTTGGGAAGGAGCCAACCATAGCAACTTTAGAATCTTCACACTAACACCTTTGTACTATTAGATCGTACCTACCATGTATGTATGTAGGGATCTATCTGTAATTGACCTGTGTTTGTTACATAGTCTAAACATTGAATCTAATGGCAATTGATTTATGTTATTTGCATTGTGCTGGCAGCACCAGATATATATTAATGTTCACCAGTAAGGATAGTGGATTTTCCCCTTAGTCTAAACTTCAGCTATAGTCTATCGAGGATTTCCTAATAAAATAATATAGTAACGCTTGACCCTTCGAAGATACAAAAGTCCTAGGTAACAGTCCATACCTTGATATGTTGGTAGTAGACATTGGAATTATTGGGTCTTATTGCCTAAAAGTGAGCCTCTCACATCAATTAGCATCATTGGTCTAGTGGTAGAATTCGTCGTTGCCATCGACGAGGCCCGTGTTCGATTCACGGATGATGCACAACAGTTTCTTTTTTTGGGGAGTTTTTTTTTTTTGCATTGTATAATTTCTAGTATGATTTGTTCTTTTGTTTTTCTGGTAATTGGAAATTGTCACGTAGCTGATGTTCTAAAATCCATTGTATTTGTGCATTTTGTTGATTGACTGCTTATTCACTCTATAAAGCACATGGATACTTCCAACAGCAGTATGAAGCAATCAAGTTATGGGGCAGAAACCTCGGAGCCTTATATTGTACTTGCAAATTCTCAAATTACTTTAATCTACTCATAGGTTTATAATCATCCGGGGCGGCAATGCCCTTTGGGATATTATTCCACTTTTCTGCAAGAGAGTTGGTACCTACATTGTCTGTAGCTACTCCGTACGCCGTAGTAATCTCCGAGAAGACCAAGTGGCGTGTCTTTAATAAAGGTACCATTTCGTTTTTACTGGTTCACGTCTTCACCCACATGCATAGTGGAGCAAGTGGTAGCATTGATAGGTGAGCATTAAATCTTTATAATGTAGATATTGTGAGTCATGGCAACACATCCTTCTTTGATTTGAATGTATGAATGTATGGAATGAGCAAGACAATCAGAACAAGTCAATAAAGAAAAAGGCATGATGAAATACATGCAAAGAAAACTGGAAGAAATAGTCGAGACATAGAAAAGGTGCAAACATAGCAAACATCTAATCGCCATATCGGAGTTTCCCCCGCGGTAAATTGATTGCGCAAAAGGAAAAAAGAAAAGAAAGCGCAACAACCCGACTAATTCCGCCTATTTATCTGTCCAACTGGCGCTGAAACTTCTCGCGATCTTTATCTTTCCACTGACTCACCAATACACCGGAACCTGCAGTTAGCCAACAAGATGGGCCAAGACATGTCCCCGCCACAGGGCATTACGTCCCTTCTGGACACGGATCTGTACAAGCTGACGATGCAATGCGCGGTCCTCAAATATTTCCCGGATGTTTGTGAGTAGCTCTAACCGAGGAATGGGGCTGATCTGGGGCTGATCTGGGCGCAGATGTGACCTATGGCTACACGAATCGCACCCCGCACATGAAATTGTATCGCGGGGCATACAAATGGCTTTTGGAGCAGATGGACAGTAAGGATAACCCTTCTTATCACAATCATAAAGCTTATCCTAAAGCTTCTAACTAATTTGCGTTTAGAACTGGCTGTAATCCGCGTGACTGCCGAAGAGCGTGAATGGCTTCGTCAAAAGTGCCCCTACCTCAACGACGAGTACCTCGCCTTCCTAGGGAACTTCCACCTCAAACCATCCGAGCATATCAAGATCGAATTCATTCCAGAACAGGATACAGGCAGCGATGATGACCAAGGAAACGTGGAGTACATCGTTGAGGGTCTCTGGCTCGACACCATCTTGTATGAAATCCCGCTGCTAGCGCTGACCAGCCAGGCGTATTTCATGTTCAGCGACACGGAATGGGACTATGATAACCAGGAAGAGAGGGCATACCAGAAGGGTTGCACTTTGCTCAAGAATGGCTGTGTCTTCTCTGAATTCGGCTCGCGCCGTCGTCGCGACTACCATACCCAGGACCTGGTTATGAAGGGACTCTGCCGTGCGGCAGAAGAAGGAAAGAAGCAGGGCTGGCCCGGCGCGATGACTGGAACTAGCAATGTGCACTTTGCTATGAAATACAATAAGGGTGCCGTCGGTACCGTGGCACACGAATGGTACATGACTATTGCAGCTATCACGGACGACTACCAGAATGCCAATGAATTGGCCTTGAGCTACTGGCTTGGCTGTTTCGGAGAGGGGGTATGCAATTTTCTCATCTTCGTTATTCCGAAATGTCACAGACTAACTAGAGAAACACAGGTTCTTGGAATCGCTCTCACCGACACCTTTGGCACGCCGGCTTTCCTGGATGCATTCAGCAAGCCAATCTCAGCACCAAATCAAAAGGACGAGATTACTCCAAGCACAATAACCTACGCCCAGAGCTACGCCGGGGTTCGCCAAGATTCAGGTGACCCAACATTATTCGTCAAGATGGTCCGGGAATTCTATGATAGCCAGGGTATTACCGACACTAAGACAATAGTATTCTCGGATTCGCTGGATATCGAGCACTGCCTGGAGTACAAGGCAATTTCCGAAAAGGCAGGCTTTAACCCTACCTTTGGAGTGGGAACTTTCTTTACGAGTAAGTCAAAATTTGCAATCCTGCAACACAAATTCTGACATAATTTTAGACGATTTTACCAACAAATCAACCGGAGAAAAATCCAAGCCCCTCAATATCGTTATCAAGATCGCCACCGCGAACGGCAGCCCCGCTGTCAAGCTCAGCGACAATATGGGCAAAAACATGGGCGATTCTGCCAAGGTCCAGGAAGTCAAGAAGAAGCTAGGTTACGTCGAGCACACGTGGGGAGAGGGTGATGAGAGTCACCGCTGGAAGAAGCGGGCATAGGCTGCCTGTCCTTGCCACACGGTTTCCAACTAAGTCATGGAACATTTGCTGAACATTTGCTAGACATGAGCTATGATCATATTGATATTTGAGAGGCTGTTGTTGATTTTTGCTAGACATATTGCGCCAACTCCATAGAGAATAAGAATACATGATATCATTGAAGACCTCCCAACTCTGTCCTTCCACAACAAGTCTCTCCAGTGATGTGCATCCGAGTCATGCACACCCAAAGCTTAGTATTCCTCCTCATATTCGCCATCCTCGTCCTCTTCGACTCCTTCAAGCCTCAACGTCTCCTCAACGGCTTTGCTAGCAGCCTGAACCGCAGCAATATCGGCCGAAATCTCATCAGCAGACGCATACTCCCCTCTCCAACACCTCTCTACAATATGACTAGCGACATAGTCATTCTTCGGAAATTCCCCATTAATAAATCGAGCATTGATCACCTTCTCATCGTCAAAGCTATCAAACTCCGGAAAAACCTCATGTCCAGCAATAAGATGATAGATGGCAGATCCCACAGCGAAGAGATCAGTAATAACGCTCGCAAAATACATATTCTCCCTCGGCATGTACGATTTGGAGCACTCACGCGTTAATCCATCAAGCATGGTCCTACCGGTACCGCTGGAGATGAGCAGACCCTGGAAGTCTGCGAGGACGGCATCGAAATTCTCGTCGAGGAGGATATTGTGCAGACAGATATCGCAATGAATGACGCGCTTGGAGTGCACGAACGAGAGTGTATCCACGAGCTGCTTGCACCATTCGAGGCGACGTTCGAGTGTCTCGTGGGGATGGGTCTTGATGTAGTTGCGGAGCGTGCCGTTGGGGTAGTATTTCAAGATGAGACCATCTTCGGCAAGGCCTTTAGATTCGACAATTCGGGGGTGCGAGCCAAGAATCTGCAGAATGCGGTGTTCAACTTTGATGCTCAATAGGTAGCCTGGGTCGTTGAAGTCGGAGGCATATTTTAGGACCGTTGTGTCATTTAGTTTCCCGATGTGGCAGGAGCCGCGTGAGATTACTTCTTCCACACCTGGTGGGATGCGTTCGTTTGGATCTGGGTGGTTATGTCTGCGGACTTGGCGTATTGCATAGCTTGTCATATTGGGCTGTGGGCACGTTGGTTATTCTTTGTTCGTGGTTAGGGTGTATTGGTCCTCACGGCTGGATTAGGGAACTCCATCATGCATGGGTTCTGTATCGCATTAAACAATGATGAGGGGTCAATGCAAAGACTCGGTTGATGGAGAAGAAGAAGATGACTTGAAATAGGGAGAAGAGGCAGGTGGGATACCTTATGCGTGTAAAAGGACTAGAAACTGCGTGATGTTGACAGCACACGACAAAACTAAACTCTTATACAGACTCGTATAGTCCACAAAATTTTGTTTAAATATGAATGACTGGGGAATTTTACCATGCAAATTATATTCCTGTAACCTCTAAATAGTTTTGTTTTATTAATGAAATTTATTTTGGAATGACTTCTTGAGAATAGTTGAAAGCGATTGCTTGTCCCCAAGTGGCTACTAGATCATAGTAGAGGGTTGAAGATATACCCTCCGGACAAGATTTGCCCATGGTAGATGAACTTTCCACAGTTGCAACTAGCCATAATTTCATAAAAGAAATGAGCTCGTCAAAATCCACCTGACAGGCTGTTGAAATGCATACAGAGAGCTAGAGACTCCATTGAATTTGGGAGGCTTGTGAAAATAGTCCATAGCCATAGAATAGGCTGTAGGTCAATGCCCGTGAGCTACTAGGACAATCAGCTTGCAGGGGTTCTGAGAATTGGAAGCAATGGACTCTGACCAGGCTCTAAGAGAGAACTTGTCATACTTGTCATACTAGACATAGCTCGGTCTTGGTGGTAGGCAGCCCAGCTGGTAATTGACCAAAATCATGATTAAAATAATGGATGTCTTTAAGAATGAGCTGGCTTGAAAGCTAGGAATAGGAAGGTGAAGCGAGATATGTGATATTTTCTTTGAAAAAAGTGCATTGCAAAACTTCTTCGATGAGATAGGGGTCGATCAACCAGCCTTTGACAAGTTAAGCCTGTATCATTAGAACAACCATCTAGTTAGGGAAGTGTAGTACATACGGAGTATCCAAAGGGGGGCACCCACTTCAACGCTGGATATATATATGATGGAGGTTAATATCTTTCCTGAAAGAATGAACATATCTAAACTTTGCACCTTAATCTATGACTATTTTGCTCAGTCAGTATATGAACATATCAAGGGCCTAGGCAAGGCAAAAAGTGAGACGAATAAGTATGGAGTTGTTCTATTGATTCTCTTTCCCTTGCGTAAACGTACTAGTTCATGTTTTATACCAGGGTTTCCTTCTCGTTACCAAATGATGGGTACATGAAGTCGCCCACTCCCATTGCAGGGCAGCCATGACGTCGGTAACATTAAGAAAGCAGGAAAAATACCAACCTGAGCGGTTTCTTTTTGACCAGGTCACAAGTGCACACATTGCGTAGACCTGAGTTTTTCCACCTTTGCATGTCTTTCCAGTTATGAGAAGGCGGTCTAAGCTGGGTTGCCTTCCAGCCCTTTGAGGAAATCAAATGGCAAATAAGGAAATATCAGCACTTAGACAATCTAGTAGTTTTGGCCACTCCAAGAATCCCGGTTCAACAGCTGAGGAAAAAGATCGCTTCTCCTGAGCTGGAGTCGAGCTCTCGTATTCTCCTAGATCAATAAATCGCCGTCTGTAACATAGGCTCAGATTCAACAACTCGAATTTGGGCTTGATTTTAGTTAGATCCTCGAATACGCTTTTAACGGGGATATAATCTAGCTCTTAATTGGCAAGGTGTTTTGATGACCCCAGAAAGGCCGCGAGAGGTGAGCAGAGACAAATAATGGTCATGTGGATCTCTTCAACAACGTCCTTATGCTTTTTATAAAGCAGATTGATAAGAGCCCATATACTGTGTTAACATCAAAGAGCAAGCCAGCATGCGACTAATTTTGGCACAGAGAGCGTAGTCGAAATTTGACGGAGGGCCGCCATATGGAGTTTGACAAAAGATCCAGTGCCATGAGCTTAATAGAGCCAGACACCCCAGAAACTCCAGCTTGATTGCACCGCTGCTTGGGAAACAGGGTTAGAATTATAAACTTCAAGTCGAAGAATGGCCATGGCGGATCTCTTCTACACGGTGCCTATGTTGAGACCATCTCGCGGTATGGAAGCAAAGCCTAGATTAGGCACTTTATGGTACTTATATCGCACATTCGATATTTTGATTCTCGGCCATAGAGTTCTCCAAGCCTTTGAATTTCGTCCGACAGAAAGGTAATGTCGGCTAAGTTTTCAGTAACTAATAGGCTTGTTGAAACTAGCACTGATCGCAGTTCGCGTCTTGCAAGTGACAGATGTCCACTGATGCATGTCGCTTGTCAATGAGATCTCAGGTTCGTTTTCTTAGCCCGAAATCCTCACCAAATTCCCTCACAATTTATCGCCGTCTGCAAAACTGGCTCGAAATACCCAAGTCAAGGCAAATAATATAGCGGGCCTGTTATATATGCACAGGAATTCATGACACAGATGTATCTGAACACATAGAAAACATCTCTGGCTATGCACCAAGGACCGTCCAATTACATAATTTGCTCAGTGAGAAGTATGATTCTCAATTGGGGTTGTAATTATCGGAAGACATGAAATTCAGGCTTCTGAACCCGAAAAGACCCGGTGGCTTTTTTGGCATGTAAGACGCAGATTAGGAGAAGTCCGTGTGCAAAAGCCAGCAAAGTAGGAGCCCGGCGGGCGGGTATAATGAAGGTCATTAACAACCTAACTGGAGACAAGTTGTTGTGTCCTTAATAATCGCCTTGCCCCCAAAGAAAGGGTGTCTAAACATATGTGGAGGTAATATCGAGAAAGAAAGCCAAAATTGGCTGTATCATATATAGGTGATGAATACCAAAACCGACCTTTGATGACTATTGAAGCGTGGAGCTGGTTCACGGCATTTTCTGGTTGATTTCTTTCGGCCTGCCCCAAGAGCACCATAAAGAGTATGTTGGAGAATAAGTGTTAGGGAGGATTGCAGCCGCAACAGAAAAGACGGGATGTGTTTAAATGATTTCTGAAATTATGTCGACTTATCACAGTAGATATTGGTCACGGGTAGATAGGCAATGTTAGGGGACTCGCTGGGGGTTTCTCAGATCAAGGAGTGTAACTATGAAGCGTGACTAGATATTATTAGATTTGTGAAATTGACCTCAAAGGGAATTCGATGCCCGTATGCCGTACTTACATGTCTTTTGATATTCCAGGTCAAAAGCGTATGTGTTGTGTATATGAGGGGTTACATGAAGAGAGTTGACATTCGACTAGGTTTTTCTGAGATGTAGATGAATGTTAAGGGGAATCCAGAGTGTTCAGGGTCTTTTTATATTCCAGAAGATTGCGCCTTCCCTCTAAGGCTGTGTGCAAACTTGGAAAGAGCCAGTTGCTAACCGCCCCCAGCCCCCCAATATGAGAGCCAATATTATGCACATGTGGATATTGGAATTCGTGAGACCACGATAATGGAATTCGCCCCTATAATAGATAGATAATGGTTAACCTGAAATTAAAGATAAATCTGGGAGTGGATGGTCTAGGGAGGGAGAAAAAAACCGATCAAAAATAGTGGCTCATACAGACCAGTAGGTTATAGATCGCGACACGATGACAGTAAAATTCCAATTCGTTATATACACTAGAACATATCATCCTCAGACTGGAACCCCAAGTCTCGATCTAGATCGCCCGTGATTTCGGGCCTTCCATTGTTTATTGACCGATGACGAGAATGCACTGTACGAATGTCATCTGTATCCTCTAAATTAAAAGAGAATGGATCGTTATGGGTTTGATCTTGATCTTTTGGAGGAGTCGCCTTTTGAGGCCTGGGAAAGATTTCCGTGTTGCTGTAATGATTGACATCAGTATCTTGAAACAGCTCTTGTGCCCAGTCAACAGTGTCTTGGTCTTGTCGTGGTGGTGATATATAGGGTTTACCCGCGTTGTTGGAGTTCGCTGGATCGGGAGAGGTTGAAATGTCGGGAAAGGAGTCAATGTCGATGGAGAGAAAGTTGAAAGGATTGTTGTCTATGATGTTGGGGTTGAGATAATGGTTAAAATCACTAGGAAATAAAGGTGGCGCGGGTTCATATATGGTTTCCATGCTGGGCTTTCTTTGATGTATGTTCTGTTGGACAGATGAGGTCTGTGCTTGCGACGTGGAAGTTTCGGTTATAGTAATAGGTAAGGTGAGTTGGAGTTGAGGGGTGGACATGGCATTGCTTGGCTTCCTGGTCGCCAAAGATGTGGCAGGAGCGTCGACGTTGTATTGCATGACCTGGAAGAATGTACTGGAGGCACCTGCCTGCATTTTGATGGCGGCCTCGATGTTGGCGAACTCTTGACCGGCGGCTGGATAAATATCCTTAAGACAGTGGAGGACTTGGATGCAACGATGGAAATTATCGACACTGCTTTCGCGGATAGCAGGGTCGTCGGACATGGTGTTGGTTAAATGTGCCACAGCGGCGGGTAGAATTACAGTCACGCCGGACTGCGGCAGGAACCTTGTAAGGTTGAGCTTATTTAAGCCTTGAATAATATGTGTGATCCCCCCAGCAGCATCGTTCATTTTTGTACGGGCGGCATTGCGCCACTCTGTCCGCGATTTGGATTGATCTTTTGAAGCAGTCGCCCAAGGCCGGTGAAGTGCGCTGCTGGTAGCATGGTAGAGCATACGTAGCATTGCGCCATGAAGCAGCAGCACATCCTCACCATCATGGAAGTTCTTCCCTGACTTTGGGATGAATTGTGCATCTTTAGGGAGCGAACTAAGCCACGAGTCGAGTTTCTGACCACATCGCGTAAACTCGGACTCGGAAGCCTGTCGGGGAATAAGTGTGACCGTAGTCCGGTCCGTAGCCCCGAACTGGCGCTGAGATGGTGTATATTGTGCAAATAATACCCTACCAATACATTGACAGAGCTTCACCTTCTCGATGAACATGGTGGCAAGGCGTTTCTGATGTGACACATCTTGGAGTTGACGGCAATGAAATTTGGCCACCACATATGGAGAGAAAGGCTCGAAATCAAAATCGTCCAGTCGAAGCATCGGGACACTGCTCGTTCCATCGTTAACCTGAAGCGGGCGCCGCATACCCATGGCGATCAGCCTATCTCGAGAATACAGACACCACCAGAGGCGAGAACGGAGCCTTTGAGTCCGTATATTAATTTCACCTGATGCAGGGTCTTTATTCAAACCGATCGACTGTGCTTGTGTGTTGCAAACGCCAATCCAATCCCAAATATCTCGCTGTGGACTGTTCTCCGAATCAGCCCAGTAGGTCATCAATAGCAGGGTTTGGAGAATCTCAATTCGATCCTCTTCACAGTCAAGAGAATAAAGTAACTATTGGCTAAGAGTTAGTCAAATGATCTCGCAGCCGCTTGAAGAAAAACAAACCCTTAATCGAGTAAAGAACGCATTACGCGCGCTTTTCCGGGTTGAATACCCAGCATCCTGCAGATGTTTAAGATCGACGAAGGCCGTACCAACAAACATGACCGCCTGAAATAGTAGGATGCTAACATTTCCCTCTGGGTCATTTTCGGCCACACATCGTAGGAATTCTTGCAAGTTCAAAACTGGCATGAAACTGTGCACCCATTGGATGTAGCAACGAAGAAGTTCATCCCGCAACCCACTCTCCGGAAGCGAAAGGGCACCACGGAATCGCAAGAACTCCAAGTCCTCTGGGGAGATTCGAGCTGGTAGGGGTTTCAAAAACCGGGGCTCGTCGTCTAGCATCGCCGTGAGTGGATCAAAGTTTGGGTCTATCAGATCTTGCACGGCGGATACCATATTTGCCAAGGGCATCGCGTGCTGCACATCGGGATTTCCCCGTGTTCGCCATATCCCGGCAGGCTCTGACTCGTGTAGCCATGGGGACTGCGGACCGTACCCATGAACATGGCGCTTAGCCGTAGGTTCCTGGTGAGATTCTGCCAACTTGCGTTTGATAGCTGGGGCTGAAGACATGACTTTCATATAAGTATCATATGGCTATGAGAACTCTGAGAGTAGAAGTCTCATGCAAATTTGCTACGCACAGACGTGAAGGCATAAGCAGGCCAAGCCCGTCAGAAGCCGATGTTCGGAACCGGGGGCAATGTGGGGGCGTTTTGCGGGGTCTTGGCACTGGGGAAATCACCGCCAAAGTTGGTTTATATCTTCATTTTTTGCTCCGTTTTCGACTTTTTCAATGGCTGAGATATAATTAGCTAGCTTTGTAAAGGTCTGGAATTCTTGAAAACCGACATTCCAACTTGCTTTCAATGACTGATTGCTCCAATATTTTTGGCATGTAGCGATGGTGGATGTGGGAGATCTACATCCTACGGCAGTATCCATATATAATCACAAAGAACTCTAGGTAGTTTCAGTATACAGCTAATTTGAACATATTGGCGACAAGACGGCCTCGTCTTTGGCTTGTCTACTCAATCGCAACGCTTTGCCAACATACCATGATCAAAGCTAGAGGCCTAATTGGGCATAGTGACCCCTAAAATCTCTCTATGGGAAAATCACAGTACCTTCCTGTCTTAGCTACCTCTAGATAATCCGGGAAATGAGCTTCTACTATTTTTACATTGATTCCACATCATCCACTTTGTGATATCTATATACCCACGGGACCGTTAGATATTTCCTTACCGCCTAAGATGTTTATATACAACAGCCTACTAAGCAAATATTCATTGTGGTAGATATCAAAGGTTATAGATAGAGAGGTCGTCTGCACAACTTATGCTTTTTACCGCTTTCGTATACACTTGAAAATATCCAAAAAGAACATATAGAAATATACATGAGTGTTCTTACATATAACGTCCTAAGTATTATCTTCGGCCAAACATACCTACGTTGTCAAGCACAGAGGCTGCATGAGCGGCTGACTATCCTTGGATTATATATAGAAGTTTTCACTAGAGTGTGCTGCTAATATAGTCGATACCTCTGCGAAGTTTCAAGGTTGTAATTCTTTTGTCTGATGCTGTAGCAAATGGTAACTCAATTTGGACCAATATGGATTTGATACTTGCGAATGAAATATATACATATATCTGCGCTTGCTGTAGTCGCCGATGGCCATGGGCCTAGTGTTGCCCTCTGATTCTCAACGTCCAGACTTCTCGAGAACGCAAGAAAGTAGCCTATCTCGTTATAAAGCGCGGTATAATCTGAGCGGTGACTCAGTGGCCCAGCTTCAATTGATTCCAAATTTTTAGGGGCTATAACATAGGTTGTAATTATCCTAGACCAAAATTGAATTGTACCAAACCGCTGGACATCCAGCAAATGGCAAAAACCCTGATATTCATGAATTTCAAAACAGGTCACAGCATGTCGGATAGTACATGCCATGCCAATAAAATATTGTACAAATTATCCAATCGAAAAACCACCGAGCGAAAGATGCCTCTGCATCATATGTTTTCCTTTGACCGACGCCAATATGCTTCCACAGGTTCAAAAGAGGGAGTCCGAGTAGTGTAATCGGATTTATAGAAGGCGTGATGGTTTTACATACTGCGCGAAGTTAGGTGATGTTCATTGGGTTAATCTGGATGAAAATGTGTTGGGTTGGCTCGACTTACGGAGGAAGGAGGAACTCTCCGAAGCTGGAATGGAGGAAGGCAATACCGGCCTAAAATAGATATTGTCAGTCTAATGGATCACATTGGGACGTCAAAGTCGTTTGTTAGCCAATACGTACGCCGAAGATCACGATGCTGCGGACAATGGTCTTGTTCTCGGGGTTGGTGGCCTCATCGTAGATGGTGCTGACGAAGCCCTTCTGGGGGCGAGAGCCGGAGGAAACAATGCGCTGGTTGGGGGCCATTTTGTATGTGATGCGAGGGACGAAGGTAGAGTAAATATGTTGATGTTGATGTTGATTGATGAACGAACGTCGAGAAATCTGCGGCCTCGGAACGCTTGGCGTCACTGCGTCTTTAGCTCCTGTCGGCAACCGTATTTATTTTGCCCGCGCAGTGAAGGGCGATGCGACAGCATCATCTGGCTAGCCTTTCCTTTATATTTAAATTCTATTCACTGGTGCTTTGGACATCTCACTCGCACATTTAATCCCATTCGTTATTTCATTGCCTCAAAGACTGATTGCCTTCGCATTGTCCATTGAACGGGCATCTTGGCCGTCGCAACCATGAATGTTGACGAGCTCTTTAAAGTGAGTTCCAAGTTCATCTACTGAATGGAAGACATATCTGACGTGCAAAGAAACCACCTGTTACAGGGGGCGCTAAGCGCAAGTTCGAGCCTGTTCAAAATCCAAGTACGCTCTTTCCCCGCAAACGTGCTGGTCGCAAATCCTGACAATAACCGGCAGATGAGGTCTACAAATCAGCAAAACTAGACCCAAGTGGTGATGCGAAATCAAAGGGGAAAGCACCAATTATGGAGGATGATATTGACGACGGCGAAGCTGGACCTGAGCTCCCTCCAGACTTTGAGGAAGATATACCAGACGACGAGGAGGGCCGTTTCTTCGGCGGTGGAATGGAACACAAGACAGCCCAAGCAATGGAGTACATCGACCAGCAAGAGGAAGACGAAATTGCGGTATGGAATTTGTGCTACACGAGATACTCGTTCAGGTGCTGACAGTATACTCATCTAGCCCGAGAAGTTCGACTCTGCATGGGTGCGCCGCTTCGCATTGAATTTTGAGAAGAAGATCTCCAAGAATGCTGAACTACGAGCAAAGTTTGAGAGTGATCCAAAAAAGTACGCGGATACCGGAACGACTATATGTACTAGGTGCTAATTCTGCTGCAGGTTCATGGCTTCCGAAGCCGACCTGGATACTGAAATCAAAGGCTTGTCTATCTTGTCTGAGCATTCTGATCTATATGAGGAATTTGCCAAAATGGGATGCGTCGCATCCTTGACCTCCCTCTTGTCACATGAAAATGCCGACATTGCCATTGATGTCATCCAGATAATCGGTGAATTGACAGACCAGGACGTGGAGGCAGAGCAAGAGCAATGGGATGCTCTTGTCAATGCAATGGTATGTTAAGGCATGGTACTATGAGTAACAAGTACTAACCATGACTAGATGGAGGCCGACCTCGTCGAACTGTTGGCTCAAAATCTCTCCCGATTCGATGAAGGGTCTGAAACAGACCGAGCGGGAGTATATTATGTGTTAGGTGAGTATTCTATTTCAATAAAGAATGTGAGAATTTGCTAATTCAATACAGGTGTAATGGAAAACTTGGCCTCTCAAGCATCACATGCGGAGAGAATTGGACAGGACGCTGCAATTTTGCCTTGGATCCTGTCCCGCATTCAGCGAAAAGAGGTGACTGTCAGCCAAAACAAACAGTATGCTGCAGAAATACTGGCAATCCTCTTACAGTCTACCCCGAAGAATCGCATAAAGTTCATTGAGCTCGACGGCATCGATATCCTCCTCCAGCTCCTCAGTACGTACCGCAAACGCGACCCAGCTAAGGACTCTGACGAGGAAGAATACGTGGAGAATCTGTTTGATGCGCTCATCTGCCTTATCGAGGAAGATGCAGGGAAAGACAAGTTCGTGGAGGCCGAAGGAGTTGAGCTTGCACTGATCATGCTCAAGGAAGGCAAGTTTAGTAAGCCACGTGCTTTAAGGGTTCTTGACCACGCTTTGGGCGGATTGGGAGGTGCCCCGGCTTGTGAGAGGTTGGTGGAGGCAGCTGGCCTGAAGACGGTTTTCGGAATGTTCCTGAAGAAGGTAAACTCAGTTCTCTCACAGTCAAATCGTGTTGTGCTAATATCCGTCTAGCAAGAGGGTCAAAACATCGAACATTTCTTGGGGATTTTCGCCTCTCTTCTCCGTCTTCTGCCCGGTGGTTCTGCTTCCCGTATCCGGACGTTGGCCAAGTTCATGGAGAAGGACTATGCGAGGATCGAGAAGCTCATCAATCTCCGGCGCGACTATGCCGCACGCGTCCTACCTGTCGAACAAGCCATCGAAAAAGAGCGCAGAACATTTGATAAGGAGGAGCAAGAGCTTATGGCTGGTGAATGGCTGTCGAGGCGGTTCGACGCGGGTCTGTTCTCATTGCAGGTACGGTTCTTCTTCTGTGCTGGCAAGGCTCTTTGCTAACTATTCCAGACAATTGATGTCATTTTGGCGTGGCTCATTGCCGAAGATGATGGAGCAAAGAGGAAGATTGTTTCACTTCTTGCGGACCGTGACGAAGATTTATCCCTGGTTCGTGGCACCTTGCAAGGTAAGTAGCCCATATCGCTATGATTGTCAGAGCTAACTCGAGTAGAACAAATCAAAGGTCTCAGCGAGGATGAACCGGGCCACAAAGACTTGGAGGACATGCTTAGCACACTTTTGCAGTTTGTTTAAACAATGTAATTGTAATGTATCATATATCAATGCTATCAATCAATCCTACCCACAAGGTCTAATACACTTTGGAATACCATATCAATTTGAACTGCGAACTGAAAGCTATCAACGTGATTCTAAAAGATGGATCTAAGATATCCGGTATATCTTTATCAGGACCTGGCATAATGGCGCTGTACATGGGTAGGTACATAGGTAGCTTATAGAGCAAGGTTGTCGGGGAACGCGGGTACAATGCGTTAGTCACTATATACATTCTTGTATGAGTAGACAAAACTCAACTGTTGTGACGATCTCGCTACAATCACAACACGTTAAGCTGTACAGTTTATGAATATAGATGATTCTACACTCCTTCAATTTGATCTCTATCTCAACTTTATGTGCTCTGTCATTCCTTATGTTTGCCTGCCAGAAGGATCACGTGTGGCCTCGATCGCTATATGCCTGGGCGGTGAGAAAAGAGTCACGTGTGACCACCCACATCGAGACTAGCGCCTGGCTGAGAAGCATCGAAACGTCTGGAGATCAGTCCCTTCATCGGAATATTGTCGGGGAGCCTCTCTTTCATCCCCCCAAGTTTGTCAGCCTTGCTTCTTGCATCTGTCTTTGACTTCTTGACTTTTTAACAACCTCACTTTCAGAAACTGACAGGCGAGCGTTGCAGCGCGTTGGGCGATTCTCGCGGAGCTGCTCCCACGCCGACGCGCCTTGCGCTTCTCTTGTTTCCTATTCTTCTGCTCATTGCTCCAATCGATATCTAACCTCAGTTTACCGCAATCATGGCGGACTACGATGAAACATACGAGGAGGATTTTTACGATGAGGCGGATGAGGGCATCACCTCCGAGGATTGCTGGACGGTGATTTCGTCCTTTTTCGACTCGAAAGGTCTGGTCTCTCAGCAGCTGGACTCATTCGATGAATTCATCTCCTCGACCATGCAGGAGCTTGTGGAGGAGCAAGGCCAAGTGGTTCTCGACCAGACTCTCCCCCCCTCCGAAGACGAAATCGAGCCGATCGTTGTGCGCCGTTACGAGCTCAAATTTGGCACAGTCATGCTTTCGCGTCCATCTGTTACCGAGGGCGATGGCGCAACGACGATCATGTTGCCTCAGGAAGCTCGTCTACGAAACCTTACTTACGCTTCTCCACTTTACCTCGGTGTCACGAAGAAGATTATGGAAGGTCGGGAGAGGATCGGCAAGCCCAACAATGATGATGATGATAATGAGGGCGAGAACGATAAGCCTCAAGGCACATATCTCGATTGGGAAACTAAGCAGCTGCCCCAGGAGCAGATGAAGGAGGAGACAGTCTTCATTGGAAAAATGCCCATTATGCTGAAATCTAAATACTGTATCCTCAAAGATCTGAACGAAGCGTCACTTTATGCTTGGAATGAGTGCCCCTACGACTCTGGTGGTTATTTCGTCATCAATGGCAGTGAGAAGGTTTTGATCGCACAAGAGCGCAGTGCGGGCAACATCGTCCAGGTCTTCAAGAAGGCACCTCCCAGCCCGACACCATATATCGCCGAAATTCGAAGCGCAGTTGAAAAGGGCTCGCGCATGCTTTCGTCGCTTACTTTGAAGCTTTTTGCCAAGGGTGACAGCGCCAAAGGAGGATTTGGCCCGACTATTCGCTCAACGCTTCCATACGTCAAGGCCGATATTCCTATCGTCGTCGTTTTCCGTGCGCTGGGCGTCGTTTCCGATGAAGATATCCTCAATCATATTTGCTATGACCGCAACGATACCCCCATGTTGGAGATGTTGAAGCCCTGTATTGAGGAGGGCTTTGTCATCCAGGACCGCGAGGTTGCCCTGGATTTCATTGCCAAGCGTGGATCATCACAGACGAACCTGAATCACGATCGCCGTGTGCGCTACGCCCGGGATATTATGCAGAAGGAATTGCTGCCTCACATTTCGCAGAGCGAAGGCAGCGAAACTCGTAAAGCCTTCTTCCTTGGATACATGGTGCACCGACTTCTTCAGTGTGCTCTGGGTCGCCGCGATGTCGATGATCGTGATCACTTCGGAAAGAAGCGACTCGATTTGGCCGGACCTCTATTGGCCAGTCTTTTCCGGACTCTTTTCACCCGAGTCACAAAGGATCTTCAGCGTTACGTGCAGCGATGTGTTGAGACCAATCGCGAAATTTATCTCAACATTGGTATCAAGGCTAGCACACTGACTGGTGGATTGAAGTATGCTCTTGCTACTGGTAACTGGGGCGAGCAGAAGAAGGCGGCTTCCGCCAAGGCCGGTGTGTCCCAGGTGCTGAGTCGTTACACATTCGCCTCCTCCTTGTCTCATCTCCGCCGGACGAATACACCCATTGGCAGAGATGGAAAGATCGCCAAGCCTCGCCAACTCCATAATACTCATTGGGGCCTGGTCTGCCCAGCTGAGACACCCGAAGGTCAGGCTTGTGGTCTGGTCAAGAATCTGGCATTGATGTGTTATATCACTGTCGGTACGCCTGCCGAACCCATCGTGGACTTCATGATTCAACGTAACATGGAAGTCCTCGAGGAATTTGAACCCCAAGTAACGCCGAACGCAACAAAGGTGTTCGTCAATGGTGTCTGGGTGGGTATTCACCGGGACCCCTCGCATCTTGTTACCACGATGCAGAATCTGCGTCGACGAAACATGATCTCCCACGAAGTCAGTTTGATTCGCGACATTCGTGAACGGGAGTTCAAAATTTTCACCGACACTGGACGTGTTTGCCGGCCACTCTTCGTTATCGATAATGACCCCAAGAGTGAGAACTCAGGTGGATTGGTCCTTAACAAGGAACACATTCGGAAGCTCGAGTCTGACAAAGACTTGCCAACAGACTTGGGCCCAGAAGAACGCCGTGAACAATATTTCGGATGGGATGGTCTGGTGCGTTCTGGAGCAGTTGAGTATGTTGACGCTGAAGAAGAGGAAACCATCATGATTGTGATGACTCCCGAGGATCTCGAGATATCTCGACAGCTTCAGGCCGGTTACGCTCTGCCAGAAGACGAAACTAGTGACCCCAACAAGCGAGTTCGGTCGATTCTCAGCCAGCGCGCCCATACTTGGACGCACTGCGAAATTCACCCTAGTATGATCTTGGGTGTTTGCGCTAGTATTATTCCTTTCCCGGATCATAACCAGTCGCCGCGTAACACCTATCAGTCTGCCATGGGAAAACAAGCCATGGGCGTTTTCTTGACGAACTTCTCGCAGCGCATGGAGACCATGGCCAACATTCTCTACTACCCACAAAAGCCCTTAGCCACGACTCGGTCTATGGAGTTCCTGCGTTTCCGAGAGTTGCCCGCCGGTCAGAATGCTATTGTCGCTATTGCAACTTACTCTGGTTACAACCAGGAAGATTCCGTTATCATGAACCAGAGCAGTATCGATCGTGGTCTGTTCCGTAGTCTCTTCTACCGTACATACGCGGATACCGAGAAGATGGTGGGACTGCAAGTTGTTGAGAGATTCGAGAAACCCATGCGGATTGACACGCTTGGCATGCGCAAGGGTACTTATGACAAGCTGGACGAGGACGGCATCGTTGCTCCCGGTGTGCGTGTCTCTGGAGAAGATATTATTATCGGCAAGACAGCTCCGTTGGCTGCTGATGCAGAGGAGCTTGGCCAGCGCACTAAGGCACACACAAAGATTGATGTGTCAACGCCCCTGCGCAGTACCGAGAACGGTATTGTTGATCAGGTGCTGATCTCCACTGGTAATGACGACCTGAAATTCGTCAAGGTTCGCATGCGTACCACCAAGATCCCCCAGATTGGTGACAAGTTCGCCTCTCGTCACGGTCAGAAAGGTACTATTGGTATCACCTACCGACAGGAGGACATGCCTTTTACTCGGGAAGGTGTCGTTCCCGATCTGATTATAAACCCTCACGCCATTCCATCCCGTATGACCATTGCTCATTTGATCGAATGTCAACTCAGCAAGGTTTCTGCTCTTCGTGGATTCGAGGGTGATGCTACTCCTTTCACTGATGTCACTGTCGACTCGGTCTCCCGTCTGTTGCGTGAGCACGGCTATCAGTCGCGTGGTTTCGAGGTCATGTTCAACGGCCACACTGGCCGTAAGCTGGTGGCACAGGTGTTCCTGGGTCCCACCTACTACCAACGTCTGCGCCACATGGTGGACGACAAGATCCACGCTCGTGCTCGTGGTCCTACTCAGATTCTCACCCGCCAGCCTGTGGAGGGTCGTGCCCGTGATGGTGGTCTCCGTTTCGGAGAGATGGAGCGTGATTGTATGATCGCCCACGGTGCCAGTGCTTTCCTCAAGGAACGTCTCTTTGATGTTTCTGATCCGTTCCGTGTTCATATTTGCGACGACTGTGGCCTGATGACACCAGTTGCGTGAGTTTTCCCATCCTTACTTTACGTCTTTTCGTCAGAGAACTAACTGTCTTTATAGAAAACTTAAGAAAGGTCTTTTCGAGTGCCGTCTTTGCAACAACAAACACCGTATCTCGCAAGTCCACATTCCCTACGCCGCCAAGCTGTTGTTCCAAGAGCTGGCCTCCATGAACATTGCCGCTCGGATGTTCACCGATCGCTCTGGGGTTTCGGTGCGTTGATTTATGGTTCTTGCTCAATTCTTCACATTTGTACTTTAATGATCTTGCTGGAAAAATGCGCATCTGCTTGGCCTGTTTCGTGGCGTCTCGGAGGATCGTTGGCCCATCGCATTACACTAACCGGCCCTACATATTTGAATTGAAACACTTTTATGTGTAGTTCTTTTTTCCCGGAGAGAGTACTCCGTACTCCGTACTAGATCTGTAATTTCAGTTGATGCTCCAACACACTCAGCACATTTACCCTATTCCTAGCCTTAACTCATCTTGTCTCCTGCCTGGCTTTTTATAGAGAGGGTTGTATTTAATCGGGATTTGTAGTTGCAATTACAGAGATCTTCACTCTACTCCGTACAGTGAATATGGATGCAGGTCATATCTCGTTATTCATTGGTATCTCAGAGCAAGACCTAAACCAAAGCATGAACAAGTCCATGACATCAAAGATGGTCTTTGGTTGAAGAGATACCATTTTTTTTTATCTTGGCCAGGCCTCCCTTAGATCCAGGAGGCTCATGGCAGATCTTGTCATCTTATGGCTTGTGCTAGTCATTCAGTTGTAACCTTGACTGGCTCAAGATAAGCTTGTCGGAGTCCACAAGGCTGGATCAGTCCAGGGTGGATGTTGTCCACATCGAAATATGGGAATCGATGTTTCCTTCTTCTTCTTCTCATCTTCCTCATCCTCGTTCTCCCTCCCCACACAGACAATCATCCCCGCCCAACCGCAGCGCAAAACCGGTTCACCCGCGGCTCGGGCTGTTTTTGGTAATTTATCGTTTTTTTTTAAACAAATAAAACAAACGCAATGACCAAGTCTCACCAGACTGGAACATTCAAGCGCAAGAAAAAATAGAGCAAATAACCTAGCAAGAGTGGCGCAGGACATAACGACCCTCCCAACCTCACCACCAGATATAACCCATCTACCGACGAACAACGATACCCTGACGACGAACAGCGTTGCGAGCACGGCAGTACTCCTCATCACTCTCGTACTCAGATTCAGAGCAGCTATCATCGGAAGACTCAACATATCCACAGCGGGCACCACCACAGTCGAGCTTGACGCGGTCACCCTTGCGGGTGATACCGTAGCGCTCGCAGCGGCAGTGCACGGGGGGCTCGCTCATGGACGAAAGAGACGAGGGTGAGGTGGAGCCTGAAGACGACCGCGACGAGAGAGATGATCCCGCAGAGCTGGGCGGGCTGTTGGAGTACGAGTACTCGTCTGACAGACGGGAGCCGGCGAAGCGGCGGGTCAGGTCGTCGACAGTTGGGGCGAAGTCTGCTTCACGGAGTTGGCGGGAGGCGTAGTGCTTGGTTGGCTTTGGGTGCTGGATGCGCGAGGGGGACAGGGCGCGGCCGGTTGCGATGTTGCTGCTGCGGCTGGTCTTGGGTGCGGAGGCGCGGCTGGTGGGCTTACCGCCGGGAACATCGAGGATGTTGAGCTTGCGGCCGGTGGTGGGCTCGACGGTGTATTCGACGGCAGGATCGTGCGACACGTGGTATCCGTCCATCATATAGTAGTACCAGTAGCGGCCTCCAAGTTGGAGCATTGAAGTCTGGAAGCGGAATTTGCCGACCCAGGCACCGGGCTTGCCTTCGCTGGAGAGGGGGATTTGGCGCTGGTAGTTGTCCCATGAACCGACGAGGTGGACGGTCTTGACGTTGGACGAGGTCCGGAGGGAGAACTTAAGTTGAACGGCGGCCATTATGAATCAAATGTATCAAAAAAAAGCTGGAATTTAAAAAAAAGTTGTCGTAGAGATCAAAAGATCACAAGAGTATCGTATAGTTAACAACCTAAAACTGCCAGAGTTTAAGTTGTCAAGTTGATCGGATATTGGACCTCTTTGTTGATCTTTGGGGAAACGGTCCGACAAAGAAAGAAGAATAATCGAGCGAGATTATATTAAGATTGTGTTCGTTGTAGGTATCTGTTAAACAGCGAAATCAAGTCGACCGGCGACAAGTAAACTGTTAATAGTTGTAAAATTCGAGGAAATCCGAAGCAAGGCAGAATCTCAAAGAGCACAGCTCGTTTGAGGATAAAAAAAGAGTAAAAAAATTAGTATAGAAGATAACGAAAGAAAAAATCCAGGCAACCAGTGCTCAGGATAACTCGAATAGGGCAGATAAACACAACAAACGCTCGCTGAAGGGAAAAAAGAGAAGGAATCCGCCTTGAGGAGGCTATGGCATTCTTTTAAACAAGTCGATTCGATCAGCAGTGCAGAATCAATCGTCCGGGGGTTGGGCGCGTAATTGACGGTGTTGGTTGGTTCGATGCATGTTGCACTGTGATGTGCTGCCCTCATGGCTATAGCCAATGACTGACTAGGATTTGGCGCTGGCGCTCGGACCAGAAGAGGAGAGAGTTTTCTGTACGAAGGGCCATTGTCCAAGCAATTTCAAGGGTTTTGAGATCTGAAGAAGTTGTCAGCCTCATTGATTAATTGTGGAGGGGTCGATGTGTTGTGTGTTGTCATGTCTAGACTGACATCGGGTGAGCCTCGAGATGAGTTTCCACCTCAACTTCCCCACCTTCCTTGTATAGATTAGCGAGGTATCGGATATGTAATGTGTACATATGGATGTAACTACTTTGTATGTTGTATATCTCACAGATAACTGACTGGATAGGATTTCAAACTATCCTAGTGTGTGCGAATATGTACTCCCCGAGATTGAAATATCCGAGTGAGAGACGTCACCGGGCCTTCCTAATTGAAAATGCGCCGAGACCAAGACGCGGGATAAGATGCATTAAACCTATTCAATCAGAGGCTGCAGGCTGACGGGATATTGCCAGGGATGGTGGACAGGGATAATTGACAAGGATTGGACAAGAGCATATGGCATAGGGTTGAAGTGCCGAACTCTCTTTCCGCCTTTCCACCAGGCAATTGACCCTCTCATCTATCTGACATGACATCTTCTTGATATATCCCTCCTTTTTGATAACAAAGAGAGTGGGGGAAAAAGCAATTCTACAACTTCCGACCAGAAGGTGGATTCCCCCGTTTGTCTCTGATTGGCCAAATCCTTCCGATCGTCCGCCAACGATTGAAGTGGGTAAAATATACCAACCTGGGAAAGACAAGGGGCCCAACTGAAAGTCGTTGGCCAGTTCATCAGATAGTCGAAGCACTAGAAAACTGGGAAGAGACATGTATCCGTCTTGATCCATGAGGGGTTCTTTTGTCTTATTAGCCTAGAAATCGGTTCAATAATGGAGTAATGGGTTTCCTGTCTTCTTTTTGAAACTGCAATTTGTTTCTTTTCTCCAAGAACTGCCAGCCATGGACATCTCCATCGAGATTGTGAGTGAAGATTTATAATCTAATTGATAGGAATCTGATATCGGCTACAGGACCCGGATTACTATGATCTTCAACGGGACGACTATGCAGATACCGACTTTGCTTCGTGAGTATATGCCCTAGGTTATTATCAACCATTCTAACCTAGCATTTAGTGAAACAACCTCTCTAGCATCATGCATTTACTGAGGAGTGTTCGAGAACGGAAGACGGTATCAGACCGTGAAAGAGGGTGCATCTTGGTATATACCTGAATATGAGATCGACCATATCCCTTCTAATTTCTCTCCAGGTGTACATCTGACGAGCAACAATTTGAGAGCTTAGAGGCAGGGTGAGTCTGATATCACCACACCAATACTAATACACAAGCTAACTTGCCCAGTCACCTCCTCTGTATACTCTTAGATGCCCATACCGAAAACCCACTCTTTCAAGCACCAGTGAAGGACCCCAAGGTATACATCCAGAAAGTACAGAACAATAAAAGCCCCCACTGAGCACCTTCAAGCAAATCCTAGACATCGGCACAGGCCGAGGTAACTGGGCTATGTAAGAGGACACCTTCCCCAAGCTAAGAACACCAATTTACAAGATACAGCGATACAGCCGACATGTTCCCGAACAGTAAGCACATGAATATATGCCCGATACTACCCAGTCAGTGAGCTAACTGACCCAGCAACCGTCAGAGGCGTAGACCTCTTCCCCCCACCAGGAGACTGGCTCCCCCCAAACTGCATAATGGAAGTCGATGACGTCCTCCAGGAATGGACCTGGCGCCAGCCCTTTGACCTAATCCATATACTCCAGCTGATAGGCGCATTCACACCTGTGGAATGGGACGGTCTATTTAGCCAGTGTTACAAGTAAGCCTGCCTACGTCCCCTCCTTGCCTTCCTAGACACCACACTAAAATCCAACTCCAAACCAGAAACTTAAACCCAGGAGGCTAGATCGAACAAATAGAAGGTGATCCACGAATTAACTGCTCAGACACCAGCATGTCTACAGACTCCAGCATGGTCCAGTTCACGGAAGCGGTGTTCCGTGCCGGACAGGAATGGGATCACCCCCTCGATACGCTGGATACGATGCGTGCAGCAATGGAAAAAGCCGGCTTTGTCGATATCCACGAGAAGAGGTATAGATGGCCTGTTGGGCCGTGGGCTCGGGACCCTACGCTTAAAGAAGCGGGGAGGTTGCATTATCATCAGTGGACGGCTGGTATGGAGGGTTGGGGGATGTATCTTCTTACTAAATTTGGGGTTCCAACGCCCTGGACAAAGGAGGAGGTGCAGGTTTTGTTGGCGGGGGTTAGGAAGGAGTTGCAAAATCCGCACGTTCATATGTGGCAGTATGCGTGAGTTTTCTTTCTTTCTTCTGACTATTGAGGAAGTGGATTGACTGATATTTAATAGGAGGAGGGTTTGGGGAAGGAAGCCTATGGCAGAGGAAGACGTGAAGGTGAAGAGTGAGGCCGTTGTTATTGGGGATTCTGGAATTTAGTCCGAGTCATGTTCGTTTACTTGATTTAACGATTTTGAAGGATACGAGGTACTCAATGTGAGCGATTCTATTCGAAAACTGCTTGTGAGGAGTAGCCATTCCTGCCCATTTCATGTTTTTGATCAAGACGCGAAGTGTTGACAATGGACGCGGACAGAGACTAATTTCAAGGATATTCTTTGGTGCAGGAGGGGCATTTGGGATTTCGGCCGTAAAACTCCCTCGATATCCGCCTATTCATCTAGCTCAGCTTCACGAATAAGATATTCTTGCTGAGCATGAAGTTAAAGCCTCTTTACGTGTCGTATGAGCTTAGTTAGGCGTTGCTGCAGTTATTGATAATGCCGAGCCTTGTTCATGATAACCATTTCACGGAGTTCACGTAACTGATCCACAATATCTAAGCCATCTTTGTTGTCGATGCTGTGTTTGTTGATAGACATCAAAATGCACAGGGATGGGCTGAAAGAGTTGGTGACTCATCATGTCTAATGAGTTCCAAGATTGCTCACAGCGTTTTTAGCTACCGAATCTGTGAGAGCCTGGTTGTCATTAGTCTATTGACGGCAAAACTGATAGAACCGCAAGGCTCAGTGACAACCATACAGGTATTGGCAGTTATATTTTAAATCAGTGATTGAACATAAACATATTAATCCCATTATCCATCTTGAAGAATTGCTGGGACCATTGACCAGCATATCATACCAGAACACGCAAACGTCTTATATAGACACATGACACTCCTTCATGCATATAAGGGGCTATTCTCGGTTTGACCAACAACTTGTCTAGACTGTCGCTGAGTGGGAATGGGAAAGTTGTCAGCGGCATAATCTGCAGGCTAGCTAATGGGAATCGTGGTCCATCCTCAGTCGGAATCGGATAGTCGAAAAAATTAGTGTGGCAAGTGCACTTGGGTTTGTAGATTTTTGTTTGATATATAGGCCAATGAGTCTGAGGCCGTAGATTATCACCGGAATGGCCATTCAAGGAATCTGAATCCCAAAGGCAATGAAATATAGACGTAGTCCTCGTTACCAGGCAGGTATTTTTTCGCTGGTATAATATGTTAGCTTGAACGAATCTCGAGACTACACCTGACTTACTTTGCCTTGTATATATACTAGCTTTTTGATAGGCCCATATCTCAGTTTAATGCACTGTCTAGCCTTTGGTATTTATATAATGAGCCTCAGCCCTTGCAACCCTGTTGTGCTGGGACCGCGGTTTGTTATAGTCCACTGATATATACTGGGCTATTGTGTTCACCATGTTGCCGGGTGTTCCCCATGTTGCCGGTTGATGAAAGAGAATAATAGAGGTGAAGGAGAGGAGAAAGAGAAGAAGGTATATGCTATGCTCTACAAAGACTTAAATAGCCTGTTGAAGCCCGTCAAACAAGGCACACAGGCATCTGCTCCAACAGAACATCAAATACAAACGTTTCTGCACCTATCCATAACATTCCCAACAATACCAAGGTACCGACTAATCTTGGGTAATTCTAGAATCGTGATATTGGATTGCTTCCGTAGCCATAAAACTAGGACCGAGTTGAAGTGTTTAGATGCACATTTTCTATTGCCTCGATCAATAAGAGGCTTTAATATTGAACCGCCACAAGGACTATTATAATGCAGCCCGAGTGTTTCTTCAGTCAATAATAAGAAAATCAATAAATACCCATGGACTTGTCAAGTTCGCCATGTAAGCACACTGAGCCTCATGCATGGCCCCTGGGGGCTGGGAGTCGTCTCTTTATTTGGGAGAATTACCAGTAGGCAATTCCGTCTAACTTTGAATAATATTGATCCTCTAATGCTAGGGCGACATTTCGTTTAAGAACCATTTAAACTTGAATCCTCTTTGATATTAATACACAACAATCAGCCATGATCGGCTAAATGATCTAGATGATCCAAATGAATACAATGACCAGGCTTCAGCCGCCACAGACAAAGATACTCTTCTTGATCCACATCCAACGGGAGACCGACGATGCTCACTGGACATACTCTGTTGCTAGTGCTCCTGTATATTTCCTTGACTACATCCTCCTAGGTCGTCACTTGCTACCTTTCATTTCATTCTACAACGACTAAACACTATGACTTTTAGGTTTAGGACAGCGAAAGTTCCAGTGATGAGCTTAAATAAGGCGAAGGATATAGTAATCGGTGAGCTTTGAGGGGGGGGAGATCTGTCGTTTTTGTTTCTTGTATGTGTTTCTCTCTCTATATTTTGGGTTGTCACTAACATCCTATTAAGCTTTATAACCCTTCTAGTTAAAACTCATGGCGGCACTGAAATCCCTTCAGGGAGAGCCAGAACTCACCATTAACGCCGATCAGTTCCTCCAGCTCGAAATAGTTCAAAACAAAGGACCACTTTTGATAATAGCAATCACTCTATCCGGCGATGGATCTTCTCTCCAATCCCGAGCTTCCCACTTGTAGAACTATGCCTCGAACCCGACGTCCAATTCATCTACCATGAGGACCGCTATTTCTGGGCCTGCCTGTGTGGGCTTACTGCGCTTCACACTTTTCTTACAGTCAGGATATGTTATGCAGTTGTCCCACAGAGACTTTTGGAGACTATATCACCAGTGAGGCTGATGGTCCCAATGACACCGAGGTTGATCTGATTATAGCTAGATGGCTTGACGTATTTTTCGTCAATGATGTGGACATTATAAAGAATGGATTCGATGTCACTGCATTCATTTCCAACCAAGTCTAGATGGAAAGCAGTATCGACGAGTTCTCAAAGAAGTTAGATATCAGCTTTGACATGGGCAGTGATACCAAGAACTAAGTCATCTTCCGGGGAAGTCTGATTCTGGCTTAGATCTTTTTAGCTCTGGATATGTTGATTTTCCTTCCACTTGCGATCTACGCGACTATAACCCTCAAGTTGGACCTCAACTCTAGATTCGCTTAGCATGAAGATAGGGGCGGCTCTTGCTGATAAGATGCCATTACTTATTAGTCGAAAGACAGACAAAATTTATGCACAAGTCAACTTCTAGAGTGTATCGGCGGTTAGTCGGAGGAGTGTGATGTCATTGGGAGATTAGGTCCGGGCGCTCAAATCCTCTTTGTTTCTTGGATTTGTACTGACACTAAATTTGTGTAGCGTTGAACATGCTAACAGGGATGATTAACAAGGATCATTAGCGCGCTCATGATTAGAAATCCACAGAACAATGTGGAAGAACTTGGAAAGAATTCCCAATATCTATTCTCATTTAAGCTCGGAGGCCCTCTCTGCTATTCTCTGCTAGCATTACTATTACATCTGTATCTTCCCACTGTGATTCTCATTATTATCGCACCATGCCAGTCCCGTACAATACTCATACCACTACGGACGAACTCGTCGCCGATTATAGCTCCTTAATCAATGGCAAGGTCGTCCTGACCACAGGCGTCTCACTAGGCTCTCTAGGTGGCTTCTTCGTCCAGTCAATTGCAAAGGCTCAGCCAGCGTGGCTTATTCTGGCTGCCCGCAACACCGAAAAGCTTGCCCAGATGGAGGCATCAATTACCGCAGCCCAGCCAACGGTCAAAGTTCGCACACTCCAAGTTGACCTGGGGTCACTAGAGAGTGTGCGTAATGCAGCCGCGCAGGTCAACTCATGGGATGATATTCCAGTGATTGATGTCCTTGTCAACAATGCGGGTATCATGGCAGTGGATTATAAGCTCACTACCGACGGAGTTGAGTCACATCTGGCAACGAACCATCTGGGCCCGTTCTTGTTTACAAACCTGATTGCGAAGAAGATCGTGGGTTCAAAGGAGCCGAGAATTGTTGTCGTCAGTAGCGATGGCCATCGGTTGAACCCGTTCCGATTCGATGACTATAATTTTGATGTATGCCATTCGTCCCCGGACATGTCAAACATCTCACTAACAGGATGATGTAGGAGGGGAAGACGTATAACCGGTGGTATGCCTATGGCCAGAGCAAGACGGCAAATATGTTGTTTTCCATCTCTCTGGCCCAGAAACTCGGAAACAAACATAACCTCCAAGCATTCAGCCTTCATCCCGGAGTTATCTGGACTAATCTAGGAGGTCACTTAGACTGGACAGTCGAAATGAGTGAACTGCGTAAGATCAAAACCCCGCAAATTGTCTGACAGCTTCAACCTAGCTAACCTCATCCAAGAAACCGCTGATAAGTCGTTGGGCAACGCAGAGGGCTGGAAGGAGTTTGACGCAAAGCCCCTAGAGAGAGGTGCTGCAACTCACATATACGCAGCTTTTGATCCAAGTATCAAGGGTATGTCTCCTGTGTGAATGCGGGTTGTGATTCAGTGAACTGACCTTTTAATAGCCGACAACGGGGCCTACCTGCTCGACTGCCACGTAGCTGATCCGCTGGTGGATACTGTCAAGTCATGGGCCACGAGCAGTATTGAAGCTGAACGACTATGGCGATTGAGTGAGAAGTTGGTTGGGCAAGAGTTTTCCTACTAGTGCCCATAGATAAACCTCAAGCTTGAGCTAGTAAATTGGTTCATCTAAAGCGTAAAATCGTTCAATGCTGAAATTTTCAACGTTGGAAGTCTTGATGATATAACTATCAATAGATATTGTCCCTGACTAACCGGAACATTTCTTTGAGTGGGTGGAGTTGCTCACTGTTACCCTTCGAGCTTGATCCAAGTTTTTTTTTTTTTAAGATCTTATTTACTAAGATAGCCTTATTAGTATATCTAGTGAAATCCTTAGCTCTGTCCTCTTATTTAATATTCTAGAGCCCAATACTAACTTATCTTATAGTTATCGAAGTCTCTAACGTATATTAGTCCGTCGATATAATCCAATTTATCACTCTCGACTAGTATATGAATGCTCCATAAAATTTGCGGAAAACAAACGGAGTTTCATTTATTTCATTGCCCCAAACCTAGATCTTTGGCTTGTATCGGGTAAAGTCTTTCGGCTTAAGAAAACTCTGAATAAATGCCAATCACGTACAATTATGTCTTCTAAGTGTACAAATTCGCGTATGTAGGTACTTTCCCATTAGCGAATTCTGGTCTTCTGTCTTTTGAGGAGTAAATCACAATATATAGAGACAGAGGAGGAAGAAAACCTTAAACATGTATGTATCGGAGGATCCAAATGTAGATCCTACACAGACTAAAATACCCGGCAAAAGGTATAGAAGAGAGCTTAAGCCAACTAGGTCAACTACTTTACTTGCCTGTCTAAAAATATCTTTCTTAAAAAAACCACTGACCTCTCTCTCTTCTATATAATGAAGGCTGCTGTATTATTTATTGACCCTGTGAATGGAGGCATGGTGCTGGCGATCCCGGTCATCGGGTTGAATAACAACCCTTCTCCCCCTGCCTGTGGATGCTCCCCATTGTGAGTTAACAAATATAGGCTATATCAAATAATTCATCGATAGCGTTATACTGCAAACCCTCACTTTGGTGTTAATGACATCTGTCAGTGTCGAGATGGTAAGGACTCTATCACTGTTGTATAAATTTACCAATTTTCATGAAACAAGCTCGCTTTTATCTCTTTAACCGTGCCAGGGGTAACTGTGACCCTCCGTGGGGTTATGTCGGCGATTCAATTTGCTCGCTGTCTGGATATCATTGCAGTAAATAAATGACGTGGAGTCTCCCAAATGCCAAATTAGCAATTCATTGATAGGTTGAAGGAGCGCTATCCCACTATCCCACTAGGTTATATAGTAGATATTGTCGAGTTGCATCATTATTTTGAAAAAATGATTGCTTGATTATAGGTTTCTCATCTCCCCCCCTTATTGGTCATTATTGTAATCCTCTTCGACAATCATAGGCGATGAAACCAATTGGATTGGGTTACTATGAAAAGGAGGAAGTGTGCCATAAATTTGCTTCGAAGTTTAATCAGAAGAGTCTGTTGTGTAAATAAATATGTTCATTTCTCATCTCGCTTGATGCTTTACTCTCACTTCCAAGCTGTTGAGTGAGGTTTTTAAGCTTTGTCAATCCTTTGAGCCGCAGACTCCAACTCCAACTCCCTCACACTTTCTCATCAACTCTGATCGATCTTTTTATCCTCTTTTCAAGTTCTCCATCAGTTCGAGCAAATCCTTTCCTCCTATGTTTTGCGAAGGTGGGCCGAACAGCACCACCACGCCTTGAGTTTCCTGAGTTTCCAAGACCCCTTAGCCTGAGCCTTTATTGCTCCTTGATAACTTTTAAGCCATCGCCATGGCTGAGGTGTCCACTGGACCCAGATCTGAACACCCTCCTCTTACTATGCACGACAAGCCTGCTGATAAAAGATACTGGCACCAACTTGGTGCTGTGTCTGATGTGGGAATGACCCAGAAAAAAGAGAAAATGCCGCAAGCTGTATGTATTGATGGTCGTACGATATCAGAGCACTCCAGACTGGCGCAATACGAGGGATCTTATTGTGAACATTCTGGATGACCTGAATCTTCCAATGGTAGGGGTCGTCATCACGAAGGGCAAAACATTGAGAGGGTGAGTTTGGCCAAAAGAAGGGAAGGCACAGTCGAGGCAAGCATGCCAAAGGCCAGGAAAGAATGCCCACAGTACCTGAAAATCATCAGATTAGCTAGAATTATGTGGATCGCCATTGATTTGAGATCGAAGAAAACAACAGTAGTTGACCGTGTATATAATAGCCTCGGTCCTTAATAGGGTAATACTTTGATAATCTGATTTATCTGGCTTGAGATAATGCAAGGGACGTTATGTGGAAGATAGCACTCCAGTATCTTTTGAAATGTCATCTTTTTAGACATTCTTTTTTTGTTTTCTCGGTGCTCTAGTTAGCCAGATTACTATTATAGATGGAGCTTTGGAATACACGCTCGGATTATCACTCTACAGCATAGATGCATACAAACCTGAAAAGGACGTGCATAGGAGACTTTCTCATGTGCAATCGGAGATGCCTTCCAAGATTCCAAGGTTCCAAAATTCTAACAATATTACGAAGCTTTTAGTAACATATCAGTTAAATAAATTCTTTCTCGATAAATGCAAAGATAAATTTCTCAATTCATTAATCTGATCCAGCCTACTAATTTGCATAGCAATCGGTGTGAATACCACTGGAACTGAAATGCAGAACAAGTAAAGACAATAGAAGATGCCGAGCACACAGAGCACCCGATGAAACGAACGGGATACAAGATGCATGTGTGCCATGAGGATGATTCATGGCCGATTCATCTTGAACCGAACATCAGTGGCTTTGGCGATCTTCTTGATGTCTTCAATGATGTTTTCAATGGGCGTGAAAAACGAGAATTTGGGCGCTGAGCCGGTGTCAGAGATCACACCCCCGATCAAGATGCCGACGACGACATGGGATTGTGTGAACACAAGTACACCTGAGCCACCACCTTCGGAAAAGTGAAACCCATGTTGAAAGAAAACGGAATGCTCAAAAGTCTCGGGCTTTATGGGCTGTCCATCTTCGATTTCATGCGCAAGATGGGCAGCCTCAATGGGTTGTTTTATCCCTTTAGAATACCCCGACCGCTGACCGTGAATAAACAGCGGTATGTCGTCAAGCTTTGTAGTAATAGGGGAATCTTTCAAATAATGACCGTCGGGCGTCTAAAGATAGAGATGATGTTAGCGTTTGCTTTGGACCAAACCACGCGAAAGAAAAGAATGTCAAAAAAGCATGAAGTCTTACTATGTTTTCTCCCACCCGGTCAGGGGGAACTTCGATGAGAGCCCAGTCCAGAGTTGATGCTTTCCCGTTGTATGAACCTGTCCTGAAGCCAGAGGCTGCATATACAGGGCCAAAAGATGCGCGCCGTGCCGTTTGGAACCTGTCGATATCTCTAAGGAACCCCTTCAGCTCTGAGAGGATATTGGTAAGGCTAGAGAAAGTGCATTTTGCCTGGTGACCTAGTTCATCCTGTAGCCCTTCACTCACCCACCCGGAAAGTCGGATATATTCTTCATTCCCTTCAATTTCGTGGATCTCATCTTTCAGTGATTCAACTTTGTTCTCAATGGCCATAGAGCTAGGGTGCTCGACCTGTAATCGATTCCTCATACTATCAGTGGGTGTGATTCCTTGCTTGTGCCATGCCCGCATTCTCTTGAGGAATTGAGGGTCCAGACCTTTCTCGCTGGGATTGATACAATGAAAACAGGTCAGTCCCACTGTCTTGTACACTGTTTCTCCGGGCATCTTAAGTTCCAGAAAGCCACCCAATGTGCCGGGATTGTTAGCATCCTTGAGTGCTAAGCTTTGGCCAAGTAAAGATGGCATTTGCACAGCTCGACGATCTAGCTCTCTTCCACTCAAGCCAGCCACGCCCCGGGCAAAGTCTCCCCGTATAAATTCCACTGCAACTTCCTGCAAGTTATTGCTGTGGAGAAGCTTGAGAATATTGTCAATTGAGCTTTTCGTATGGCGCGGGGGTTTCTCTGAATTGTACATCACAAGCCCCGTGGTTGCACTGCCAATGAAACTGGCACTTTCTCCTCGCTGCACGCACGTAATCACGCATACTTCCGTGCGATTAATATGTCTCAGAATGATCCGCAAGATTGAAGGCCATTTTCGGCATATGGGACGATTCTTGGAGACGGGGAAAGTATTGATCGTATGTGACAGGTCAGGTGCCTTGAAGTTGTTGACCTGGCTTGAAGTTCTGTGATCACGTTGGTGGAGGTTCTTTGGCATCTTGGAAGATGGCACGGCGATGCAGAGTGAGATTATTGTGGCAAACAAGGTGGGAAATGGCAGAGAAGAGTTGCTTGAAAGCATAATGTAAATATTACGGGAGGAGAATGATTGGAAGGATGATCAAAAGACTGCTAGAAAGATGAATAAAAGGATGATCGAGAAAGCTTTTTGAAGGAAAACTGAAAATGCGGCTCAAAGATCACTGAGAACACGTTTCGAAAGCCGATTGAAAGACGATGGGCCCAAAATAAGAAGTCATCTAAAGTGATGCCTGGGGTAAATGGACCGAGAAGGGTGTGCATCAGTAAAGTGCAAAAACTGGGTGAGTAATTGCCAAGAAAAGGTGAAGGGTTTCTAGGAAGACGAATGCCCAAGAAATCAAGTGCTTCTTTGCAAGAGAAATGTCTTTCTGAAGGTTGATAGCCAAGGAGAGCTGAGAGTCTGTTATCAGATTCAGCTTTTGTATTGGTATGATCATTGAGGGCTCTGGGGAGGGGGATGTAATGGTTTGTTTGGAGGATGAAACCCAATATCACGCCGACTTGTTCGAAGGTCTTCTCAAAAGGCTCTTGACAGTTGTCAAGCAGAAGGTCAAGCAGAGGTAAACACGACTAGCGCTGTTGGGATGTGCATCTCAATATCAATTATTTAGTTTCTCAAACGTGATTTCTTGCAGTTTTACTGGCGAAATAATGCCTACGACCCTATAGTGTTAGTTTCTTCGCATGTCTCCTTCACACACATTCTTTTAGCTCGCACTATAATCGAATATAATCCCTCAATTCTAAACAGAATACAGGGTGCGGTACACAGGACGCAGTCCGGCAAGCGATGAATGGATCAACGCCACCGAAGATGGATATCGTGAGATCTTCGACGCCTACGAGGCGCGGAGACAATCCAATTAACCCTACCCAAAACTTTACCTATAACATATGTTATCTCGACATCTCTTATGGCATACTTGACAGCGGTACCTTTCGACAGGCGCGCTGAGAGACTTTGCTCTCATTTAAAACTCACTTGGCCCCCTTAATCTTCTCTACCCCCACCTCTTATTTCATTCACATCTGACTTCCCACTTCAAACTTCAAACTTCTTATTTCTTCTTATGCCCCGTATCTTACTTCAATTCAACGTCAATCGCGTCAGATCTCTCACACTTCACTTCTCTCTGATTCCCTGCTTTGCGACCACCGGTTGTCGCGAGTTACCAGAATGGCACCCAGAAAGAGAACCGACGACAGCGCCTCCAAGACGCCAAAAAAGCCCAAGAAAAATCTGACCAACTCGGACCTCGGACATGGTATGTGCACCAAAAGACGAGGCTGCATATCAGGATATCATGGCGAAACAGCTGATCGAAGCGGACAAGCCCGAATACAAAGAACAATGCAAACGCGCCCAAGGAAAGGTCAGGAACGGCAGGCCAGCGTGGAAGCACGGAGAAAATGATTCAAAGCCGCTCGGTACCACAGTATCCGAGGAGGATGCCGCCACCGCGCCACTAGCTATCGAGACTCGCTTCAACTCCGCCAATGAATGGGACCAACCCCGAACGGTGTCAAGCTGTCCGACGAGGGCGTGTATATGGCAACGGAGTTTATGACAGCCAAAGACCGCGGTCGGCGATATCCAATCGACTTTGACCAAAACGGCACAACTACTTCTCGCGTGCAAAGCCCTTGTGCCTTGATCCCCATAATGTACCAGAGTGATATAAACACATACACCAAACCCGCGGCCCTGTCAATGATAAAGGCTGACAGGAAAGAGCTTCATAAGGCAGAGCTTCGGGGTTCCTAACTCATACATATGTCGCAAACCGGGGCATGCAAGGCTATAGAGATTTTGTAAATTGACTACACCCTACCACTATATATGTATAGGCAGACCAATTGAATGGAGTTTAGGCACTCGACCTTGATCAGACCAATCCAAAATGACAGGTCATATCCATGAGTCTCCTGAACCAGTGTGCGGGATATCAATTGAAGAACTTCCTAAATTGCAGATGAAGGATGAACCAAAAACAGCAAAAGAATTTGAATAGAAGTCGAAAGAATGAGACATGTAACAAGTTCATCCAAGAGTCTAATGGTCCAATTCTTGACGAATATTTTCTTTCTCCAAAGGTGCTTCTCAGTTAAAAATTCCGCAGTCCTATAGTCCATAATAACGACCTGACAGCTTTCGTGGAGAGCTATTTTGAAATTCAAATCCACTCTAAACAAAGCCAAAAATACGTCGTGTTAATCAAATGAATATTTTATATCGCTTTTAACATTCAATAGTCTAAATGTTAAGCATGCTATATAGCTCTCAAAAGCCCACATAAATCGTAGTGGTTCAAATAATCTACAATGTTTAAGGCAAGAGACGTTCATACTTCGGACGTTCACGGCGCCGATCTGAAAATTAGTCATCAATTAGTCAGCATATGTTCAACCTCAATCCATTTGTCCCTATAACGGGTGTCTGAATATCGACGCGCGCAAAGGCCAGCCTTTCATCTAGTCATCCAAAATTAGACAATAGGATCAGAATTGGAGCAAGCATTCCCATCCGACCCGGTTGAGCTGCACGGCACCCTCTTAGTATCCCGATAGGAGCCACCTTCAACCCACTTTACGACCAAAATTCAAAATGGCACACGGTGCAGAAGACTGCGCAACTGTCCTGGAGCAGTTCGTACACGATGTGGCGAATCTCCCGGCTGAGATCAACCACCTCATGGAGGAAATTCAGGCCAAGGACAAGGTCATGCAGGAGTGCCGTGCTACAATCAACTCGCGCGACAGCAGCATCCAGAAATTCATCAAACTAAACGGCAGTCTAACCCCGAACCCAAAAGAAGAACCATACGGCAAGACCATCCTACAGAATATGGACAGATCCCATGAGCTGCAGAACGAGAAGATCCAACTCAGCGAGAAGGCATGCGTCCTCCTTGATCGCCAGATCAAACGACTCGATGTGCGCATTCGCGATCTAGTCAACGAAGGCCTTCTCAGCAACGACCCGCCTCTCCCTTCCCTCTTCGACTCAAAAAACAAATATCGCAACCCACCCAAGATCTTCCTCCCTGACTCTGCCCCCACCGATTCCCCCGCCTACTCAACGCCCCTCAACCCAACTTCTGGAAATGCGAATCCCATCCTGGCTGCTGCGCAGCGCTTGAACCAATCCACAACTCCCCGCGCCACTAGCTCTACAGCCCAGCTCGGGCAGACCACGGCACGCAGCTCTGCCCCCGCTACTCCAGCAGCAGCAGCCGTCGTACACCTCCAGCAACGCCAACGCGAATCCTCCGCCGGCGCGGTGGACAGCAAGCGCCGCCGCTTGAACCCCTCTCTCAACACCCTCCCCGTAGCCTCGTCAAACCTGCGCCAGACTTCCATCGGTCCTGGTACACCGAAGCCGGGCACACCGGCAGGCAGCCGTGCAGGTAGTGCCGGCCCCCGTGCCAGCATCGGCGTCAAGAAGGCACTAACTAAGAAGGTCGCGCCGCACCAACAAGTCAAGAAGCTGAAGACTGCGAGCGGGAAGCCGATCAAGCGCTCCTCGAGTGCCAGTGGTCGCATCAAGCTTTCGAAAAAATCTCCCAATGGAGAAGGCGATGAGGATGATGACTCTATGCTCAGCAGTGCTGATACATCGGACTCGGATAAGAGTGATGGTGCCGCTGATGAGGATGTTGACGACGAGGATGAGGATGAAGGCAATGAGGATTCGAAGGTCTATTGTACCTGCCGCACTGTTAGCCATGGGGATATGGTGGCTTGCGACAATGATGAATGTCCCTATGAGTGGTTCCACTGGAAGTGCGTTGGCTTGACGCGGGAGCCGGTTGGGACTTGGTACTGTGATGAGTGCAGACGTACTCTGGGGAAGTGATCCTATCTTGTCTTCCTTGTTCTATGATTTGTATGACGGTTGATATACCCACGGCGTTTGAGGGACTTTTATGGTATTGGGGCTAGACTGTGCTGGCCAAAAATACATGCTTGTACCTAGTTTTACTGCATAATCCGAATCTATTTGAACGGAATCAATTTCATTTTCTGTCTATTCTAGACGAAAACTAACACTAATTCCCGAGAGAAAATAGGAAGCAGAGATTCCTCCTAGGTATCCATTCCCAGCTAGAGCCAAGCATATGTCCAAGCCGTGCCCATCTAGTGCCCAATATTCCTAGGGTCACCAGTGAGCCGGAGCCTAACCAAATCAAGTCGAAAACGCCATCGCTATGCACATATCCCCTTTTTTTGTTTCTTACATGCAAACATGTTGGCACATGGGCGCACACAGTGCGCCGAAAGTCAGAAATCAGATATTCGTGGAAAAGCCATTACTCGCTAATCCACTCAGAACCCAAGGCCATTGTTCAGCCACGGATCGAAGTACTCGCAGGTCTCGGGGCTCACTGCGCCGCCTGGCGCGCACAGTCGGAACACTGGGCACTGGCCACAGGGGGCTTCCGTCATGCCGTTCTTCACGAGGTGCTTGTTTGCAACGGAGAGATCGTCGCCATCGATGGGCGGCTTGCGGGACTGGGTTGCTTTGACGGCATCGGGGCTCTTGAGGGATCTGTAGAATTCGCCGTTGTTCAATGCGACGAGCTTGTTGTCATAACAGAGCATTTCGAGGAGCTGCACGACGCTCTCCTCGCCCAGGCGAACCGGCGTGATGCCGCTCTCGTTGACGGCCGACGTGATCTGCGCCACGCTCGGGTATCCTGCGTACCCATGGGGGTAGGGAAGGTAGGTTTTCTCATCAGACTTGATGTCTACCTTGCCAGAGGCGGTTTTGATACGCTTGTTCTTGCGGTCTGAGGTGGGTATTTCGTACCAGCTCTTCCGGCTCACGGTGTATTCGATGTAGCCTGCGACGCTGTTGATGAAGTTGGCATCCAGTACGCCGTCAGTGAACCAGGCTCCTCCGGTTACTTCTTCGCTCGGAGCAAGCCCGGCCAGCATGTACATCTTGCGGCTGGGATATTTGACATTGTGGAGGGATTTGATGTAGTTTTTCCCTTCAAGGGCTTTCAGGCATCGGTCGAGGATCGACTTGTGCAGGTTCGTGCGGTTTCCGATGTGTCGCACCCAGATACCCGTTCGTTCTGTGGAGTGGATGACATTGTAGACCATGGCCTCGTCCGGGGTGAGGTTGCGGAGTCTGGAAGGGAGGAGGGGTTAGTTATGTGCTTTATTGACAGAGATATCTGTGCAATTCCTACTTCTCAGCATCCTCGCGGTCAATGAGCTTCCATGTGAGCTTTCCATCTTTTTGGAGGAGTCGGAACAGATTTTGATTGACGAGGCTCTGCGTGCATTCTAGCAGTAGCGCGACGTCGTTCTTTGGGATCACTTTGAGATTGAGGAAGTCATTCTGATAGAACAGGTGATCGGAGTCAAATTCATTCACGCATGCATCATAAAGCTTGGAGGCAAGCTCGGCCACTTGGGACCCCGCGGAGGCCATTGTTGGAGATGCGACGGAGATATCAGGCAAAATCAAAGTTCATTCGAAGAGGCTCGTGAGTTTTCATGTTCAAGGGAGGGTGTTAGAGCCAGGGAGTGAGTTAGAGGAACATTTTGTGTCGATGTCGGCAAATTTGAGTCACAAATGAACCACACTTGGTGTTTTTTTGTCGACTTTTTCTCGGCGGGGATTGCCTTTGGCCCAAAAGGGTTTAGCCCCGCGGAGCTTGAATGTCAGCTTAGATGCCTGAGGCGCTAATTGCCTGAGGCTTAAGTTATTACTGCCTGAGGCAGTAGACTCCAACGGAAATTTCGAGAAGCTCCGACCGACTACTGATGAGCTCATCACATTCAGTTCATTGTAGTCTAGCTTTGACTTACATTTCCTCTTTTACTGCTCAATTTAGCATATCACTACAACATGGCTGACGCATTGAAAGCAGAGGGCAACAAGGCCTTCTCTGCTAAGGACTATCCTACTGCTGTGTACGCGCTACCCCACCTTTAACATTATGACTCTGTTGGAGCAGAGACTGATCAAAGACCAGTGAGAAATTCTCCGAGGCCCTTGCCATCGAACCTGAAAACCACATCCTCTACTCCAACCGCTCCGCTGTCTACTCCGCCCAGCGCGAATATCAAAAAGCTCTCGAAGATGCCGAGAAGGCAATCCAGATCAAGCCCGATTGGTCTAAGGGCTATGCCCGCAAGGGTGCTGCGTACCGTGGTCTCGGAGATCTCTGTATGTTATTCTAGTTACGCATGTGAAGTGGTGGGACAACTCTCATTGGTGACAAGGTGCTAACTGGCCACAGTGGCTGCGCACGATGCCTATGACGAGGCCCTGAAGATCGAGCCTGGCAACGCGCAGGCCAAGTCCGGCTTGGAGGCGACCGAGCGCGCCATCAACGCAGAGGCTACCGCAGACGGTGTTACTGGAGACCCAACAGGAGGTCTTGGTGGCATGTTCAACGACCCAGCTCTGTTCCAGAAGCTAGCCAACAACCCCAAGACCGCCCCTCTGTTAGGCGATGCTGAGTTCATGGCTAAGCTGCAGAAGATCCAACAGAACCCCAACAGTGTTGGAGAGGAGATCCGCGACCCGCGCTTCCTGCAGGTCATGAGTGTGCTTCTCGGTATTGATATGAACTTCGGTGGTGAGGGAGCGGAGCCTCCCGCCCCTGCTGCTAACCCCAGCACCTCGCAGCCCAAGAAGGAACCCACCCCTGAGCCCGAGCCAGTCGACGAGGAAGCAATCGCCAAGAAGCAGGCCCAGGAGGCTGCCGATGCTGAGAAGAAGATCGGTAACGATTTCTACAAGAAGAGGCAGTTCGATGAGGCCATTGAGTACTACACCAAGGCTTGGGACATCTACAAGGACATCACCTATCTGAACAACATTGGTGCTGCCAAGTTCGAGAAGGGCGATTACGAAGGCGTGATTGAGACCTGCCAAAAGGCTGTGGAGGAGGGCCGCGACCTGCGTGCCGACTTCAAGCTGATGGCCAAGGCCTACACCCGAATTGGTTCTTCATATGAGAAGCTTGGCGACCTTGCCCAGGCCATCAACTTCTACAACAAGTCACTCATGGAGCACCGCACCCCTGACACCCTGACCAAGCTCCGCAACGCGGAGAAGACCAAGATCACGTCCGAGAAGAACGCCTACGTAGATCCTGCCGAGGCCGAGAAGGCTCGCGAGCTCGGCCAGCAGAAGTTCCAGGAAGGCGACTGGCCTGGTGCCGTTGACGCCTTCACCGAGATGACTAAGCGTGCTCCCCAAGACCCCCGGGGTTACTCCAACCGTGCCGCAGCCCTCATCAAGCTCATGGCATTCCCCGGTGCCGTACAGGACTGCGATGAGGCCATCAAGCGTGACCCCAAATTTATCCGCGCGTATATGCGCAAGGGTGCTGCTTTGGTCGCCATGAAGGAATACAACCGTGCCCTGGACACCTTCACCGAGGCTGCCGACCATGACGACGGCAAGCACGCCCGTGAGATCGAGCAGCAGCAGCAGAAGTGCCTGGACGCCCAGTTCAGTGCTCGCGCTGGTGAGACCGAGGAGCAGACCATGGCTCGTATCCAAAATGACCCCGAGGTAAGATCCCATCTTCTCTGAACAGGATTATTCAGCAGGAAGTATATTAACCCTTCTCTCCAGATTATGGCTGTCCTCCAGGACCCCGTTATGCAGAGCATTCTCCAGCAGGCTAAGAGTGACCCCGCTGCCCTGCAGGAGCACATGAAGAACTCGCAGGTGCGGATGAAGATCCAGAAGCTGATGGCTGCTGGTGTTATCCGCATGGGGCGGTAAATTATTTAAAGGTGTAGAGGATTCGAGGGATCTAAATACGATTTGACACGAGATATCTTTGCTAGCATATTTTTTTTTAGTTTCATATTTCTACAATTCCATTCTGCCATGCTATATGGATTGGCGTTTTCTGGAGCAGTATTAGAATTGAGCCATAATGCCTAGAGATTGTGTATTGAATTGCAATATCACCGGGTATACGGAGTACAGAGTAAACAATCTCGTAAATTTTATATATCCTCTCGGAATTGAATTGTGTGATATACAACATATAGAAACACAGGCCAAATTAATATTAAATTCTCGTACCCCGTAAACCCGTAAATACTCGGCCTCAGCTCGGACTTTATTCATTTCCGAAAAGAAAAAGAAAAAGACGCAAGCGAGTGGGGGTGTTTTTCGAAAAAAAAAAGATCTTGCCGAACTACTTTATCTACCAATCATAATATCACTATTAGGGGATTCAATATCCGGGACTTTCTTCTATACTCTGTACTCCGTACCACATGAACACAGGAAGTGGAAATAACCTCTGAGACCTCCAGCTAGATCAAAGGGGATAGATTGACTCGTCATGCAGCACTTGGCTTGTCTATCACTTACTAATTGTCTAAATATACTAACTTTCTCAGCTGCATTGTATGATGTAGTGTACAAAGTACAAAGTACTAAATACTAAATACATACAGCATACCTCTCCATATTCCTCGGTAAACAGAACCTATTCTCCATATCTAAAGAGCACGGTGGATTTAGGCTTGGCCGATCGACCCAATTGGGAATAGGGCACGATGTGTGGTCGATAGCGTATATTATGTATGGAGTGAGGGTTTTTGTTCTTGTATGATTTGTTGCATTTCCTGCATGCCACGTGTACCTTAGGATTGTTGAGATTGTATATTAGTGTATATTGTAAGTATAAAGTACAAGGTACATACAAAGTAGACAACGTACCGTAAGGAGTATTAGCGCCGAGATTCTATATCTCGTTGCCTAGAATGGTAGGGCTGGTAAATGATAAACCGGGTATAATATATATCTCCAATAAATAGGGGGGATATTGAACCTAAGAAATTGGTTAGAATAACCCTAAAAACACAGTTGGGAAGGGGAATATTATCATTGTTGACCCTCTTATTGACCCTCTGTGGCGGTGCTGAAAGCTCGGGTCAAATCTAATAGTGTTTAGTTTTTTTTTTTGAGTAGTTTCCCCCTGATCCTCAGAGCTTTTGCTTATTTATAGATAATTGAACAGATATGGAGTAGGGAGTACAATATTATATATTAACATATAGATTCTTAGACTCATAGGTAGTATATAAAATATACTACATAACCTATAAACTAAACCTGATGATATATAGGGACGTACGTCACTGATCTTCGATCGACCTCGGAGCTAGCGATCTCCCCTTTTCGCCTCTTTACTGAATTATTATTTTATAGTAATTTTTAATAATTTAGACCCTATATATGTATGTAAATGGTAATATCCTTGTATCGTAAGAATCCCAGCCACAGTTCCCCTTGACGCAAGCGGCTGGGCTGAACTGCCTTTCGGTCCACTCCTCTCCTCTCTTGTTTTTCTTTCTCTCTGTAACTCTATACCTTGGTATACAATAACACACCAGGTCAATCTCCTTTCAACTACAACTTCCACGCCATTCCGGTACGTTTCTAGAGACGTGTATACAAAGTCCACGTTCTTCCCCCACCATCCCCCAGGTACCCATCGCCCACCCATGGATCGAATCTGACCACCCCCCCAGAACATCCTCGGTTCTCTCAATTCTCCCCGACCTGAACACAACCCTAACCGGCGATATGGCGTCCGCCGACGCCGAGAAGATGGAGATGAAGATGGAGGGTACCATCGAGGCTGCCCAGGAATTGCAGCAGGACCCACAGTCACACGTTAACCCGGATATTATTGAGGAAAAGGTCGTCAAGGAAGCCCAACAAGCCGGGTCTGCTGCATACCAATTCGACCCCAATGCCTCGCCTGAAGACAAAGCCAATGCCGCCAAAGGGGTGCGTGTCGCAAAATGTCCAAGTTTCGGCGCAATCACCATGCTAACTGCGGTGTCTTTCTTCTAGCGATTGCCGCCCAACTTCCACCATCCCCATAAACCCAAGGGTATTGCCGTAATTACGGATAAGGTGAGAATAACCGAATTTCTCGATGTGATGTCGACCTACGTGCTAACCCTACCTAGACCGATGGCAAAGCAGACTATGATCTCCCTGCACCAGAATCCGCGGCCGCCATTATGGCCGAGGAAGCCACGCGAGAAAGTGCGGGCGGGAAGCCACTCGATGAGGATCTTCGATGGGCGCGCGACAGAACAGGTTGGGCCCCGAAGTTCGTCGATGAGAAGTTGGCGGCGACTTTGGGTGAGGAGGGTACATTGTTGGATCATGAGACGTTCTTGGAGGGGAGAATCCCCGACAAGTTCTTTGGTGACTGGTACCAAAATTGCGGTATTATCATCTTTGCATGCTTGGCCTCATGGATGATCGCCGTGCTAGGCGGTGGTGTGGGTTGGGTTCTCATGATCATGGCGGCATGCAGCACATACTACCGTACCTCCATTCGTCGGGTGCGCCGGAACTTTCGTGATGATATTAGCCGCGAAATGTCCAAACAGCGCCTTGAGACTGACACCGAGAGCTTGGAGTGGATCAACAGCTTCCTCGTCAAGTTCTGGCCTATCTACGCCCCCGTTCTGTGCGACACTATCATCAACACCGTCGACCAGGTCCTTAGTACTTCTACTCCCGCCTTCTTAGATAGCTTGCGCCTCAAAACCTTCGTCCTCGGTACTAAGCCTCCTCGCCTGGAGCATGTCAAGACATACCCAAAGACTGACCCTGATACCGTTATCATGGACTGGAAGTTCAGCTTCACCCCGAACGATGTTATGGACTTGACTTCACGCCAGACAAAGGACAAGATCAACCCCAAGGTTGTGTTGGAGGTTCGTGTCGGCAAGGGTGTCTTGAGCAAGGGCCTCGACGTGATTGTTGAGGACATGGCTTGCTCGGGCTTAATGCGTGTCAAGGTCAAGCTTCAGATTGCATTCCCCCATATCGAGCGTGTGGACATCTGCTTCCTGGACAAGCCCGAATTCGACTACGTCTGTAAGCCCCTTGGTGGTGACACCCTTGGATTCGATATCAACTTCATTCCCGGTCTGGAGTCCTTCATCAAGGACCAGATCCATGCCAACTTGCAGCCTATGATGTACGACCCGAACGTATTCCCGATTGAGATTGCTAAAATGCTTGCTGGAAACCCCGTCGACCAGGCTATTGGTGTGGTCGCGATTACCCTCCACGGTGCTCAACAGCTCAAGAACCCCGATAAGTTCTCTGGCACTCCTGATCCGTACGCAGTGGTGTCTTTGAACAACCGCAGTGAGCTCGGCCGCACGAAGGTCGTCCACGATAACGACAGCCCACGCTGGAATGAGACTATTTACGTGATTATTACCTCCTTCACTGATGCCCTGTCCATTGCTGCATATGACTGGAACGAGTACCGCAAGGATAAGGAAATGGGTGTTGCTAGCTTCGCATTGGATAAACTTGAACAAGAACCTACCCACGAAGGTATCTATCTCGAAGTGCAGGCCAGTGGCCGCCACCGCGGTGCTATCCAAGCCGATATCCGCTTCTTCCCCGTTCTCGAGGGACGAAAGAACGATGCTGGCGAGGCTGAACCCGCCCCTGAGGTCAATACCGGTATCGCTCAGTTCACCGTGGAGCAGGCTAAGGATCTCGACGGAAGCAAGAGTATGGTTGGCAAGCTCAACCCTTACGGTGTCCTTCTTCTCAACGGAAAGGAGATTCACGTTACGAAAAAGCTGAAGCGCACCAACAACCCCATTTTCCAGAATGCCTCCAAGGAATTCCTCGTCACAGACCGAAAGAACGCTCGTCTGGGTCTTATCATCAAAGACGATCGCGACATCATGCAGGATCCTATTATCGGCCGTTACCAGATCAAGATGAACGACATGCTGAAGATGATGGAGCGTGGCCAGCAGTGGTTCCATCTTCACGGCGCCAAGGACGGACGTGTCAAGTTGACTCTCCAGTGGAAGCCCGTCGCGCTGGGAGGCATTGGCAGCGCTGGTTATATTGACCCAATTGGCGTCATGCGCTTCCACTTCAAGCGTGCGAGTAACCTGCGCAACCTGGAGGCTATGGGCAAGTCTGATCCCTACGCTCGCGTGCTACTTTCTGGTGTGACTCGTGGTCGCACTGTCACTTTCCGCAACAATCTCAACCCCGAATGGGACGAGGTCGTCTACGTGCCTATTCGCAGCTCACGCGAGAAGCTGACCGTGGAGGTCATGGATGAGGAGACTATCAACAAGGACCGAACTCTTGGCTGGTGCGACCTCAATGCCGCCGACTTTGTTCGCGAGACAGAGAGCGGTGAATATGAGATCGACGACGAGAAGCAGGAGATTACCAGCAATCTGAAGATTAGCGGCGGCTTTCCCAAGGGACAACTCTACTATACTGTTTCCTTCTTCCCATCTGTGCCGGTCATCAATCCCGAGGACGAAGTTGAAGAGGAGGAGGAATCCTCCGAGCTTCCTAGTACTCCTGGTCCGGACTCCACTGAATTCCCGAAGGGCCTCGAGTCCAAGCCCAAGGCTTTGCACACGAAGTCCGCTAGCGTTGACTCGAAGGCTTCGAAGACCTCCAAGGCTCTGTCTAACGGCGCTGCACCCATTACTAACGGAACCGCCAATGGCGAGCCGGCCACTAACGGCCGCACCAGTCTGGAAACCACTACATCCCGCCCAATCACCGGTACCCAGTCTGAGACTGCGTCTGTTCGTTCAGTCAAGTCCATTCCCCGCACTTTCGTCAGTGCGGAGGATCTCCCGAAATATGGTATGTTTTTTTTTTTTTTTAGTTTCCATCTTCATGGCAATGGCACAAAGCTAATTAACTATAGAATCCGGTTTCATTGTATTCAAGTTCCACGAGGGCCAACTGGCCGTTCCCCATGTTCAATTGGAAGTTTTGATGGACGATTACATGTTCCCCTCATATGTCTCCTCCAAGATTCACACCACAACGGCAAAGTTCACTGATGTCGGCGAGGCATTCGTTCGTGAGCTCGAGTTCTCCAAGATCACCTTGCGTCTTGTCAACAAGGATGATCCCAAGGACTCCAGTGAGGAGCACACAGTCGCCAAGCTGACAGGTGACACCCTGCCCACACTGATGCGCATGCTGTACACGCCTACCGAGCTCGTCCTCCGCTCCAATTCCGGCGAGGTGAGCAAGGTCACCGTTAGCGCCCGGTACATTCCGACAGAAATGAAGCTCGATCCAACGGAGAGCATCAACAACATGGGAACTCTGCGCGTTGACGTCCACGATGCTGCCGAGCTGCCCGCCGCCGACCGCAACGGATTCAGCGACCCATTCTGCAAGTTCCGCCTGGACGACGAGACCGTGTTCAAGACCAAGGTCCAGAAAAAGACCCTGCACCCAGCCTGGAACGAGTACTTCGAAACTCCTATCAAGTCCCGCATTGGCGCAAAATTCCACGTGGATGTGTACGACTGGGACTTTGGTGACAAGGCTGACTTCCTCGGCGCCACGCCAATCGACCTGGAATCTCTGGAGCCGTTCCAAGCCAAGGAAGTCACATTGCCACTCGATGGTAAATCAGGCGCGATCCGCCTGAGCCTGCTCTTCAAACCTACCTATGTGATCCGTGCCCGCCAAGGTTCCTCTACCTTCTCCGGCACCTTCGCCGTCCCCGGCAAGATCGTTGGCGCTCCCGTCAAGGGTGTGGGCTTTGTCGGCGGCAACGTCATCCGCGGCGCTTCTTTCCTAAAGCACGGCCTCATGTCGCGTATCCACAAAGATAAAGGCGAAGATACTGCTTCCATCATGAGCAACATCGAGGAATCTGAGACCCCCAGGGGCGACCGTCTGACCCCAGCCGCTTCACTCGTCGAAGGCCCCAACGGCTTCTCTTCTCCCCACACCCCACAGAAGGATCACAGCCGCAACCGCAGCACAGCCTCGCAGTTCGGCGATCGTCTCAGCGTCTTCGGTGGCGGCGGCTCCGCCGATAAAGGATCCGCTAACATCACCGTCGTCTCTGCTGCCAACTTCCCCACCGACACCAATCTTCGCGTCATCATTCGTGGCCAAGGTACCAAGGGCGCCAAGGAAATCCACAAGACCAAGGCGCACAAGAACTCCGCCGGCACAGTCACCTACGACGACACTTTCCGCGTCCCCAACACCACCGCCGACGCCCAGTACCAGGTTCGCGTTGTTGACCACGCTACCTTTGGCTCGGATGATGTCCTCGGCGAAGCGCCGTTCTTCGTTGACGATCAGGGTTCTGTTGCCGGTCAGGATAAGACTATTGCTGTTGGCGACGGTGTAGTTACCATTCGTTCCAGCTTTGCGCTTGCAGATGCTGGTCTGAGACCTAGTACGTCGCACTCGACGGCAGGTACTCCCGATGTCTCTGAAGGTATGGAGAGTCCTGATTCGAGAAAGCCCCGTCGCAGCTTCTTGAGTAAGAGGTCTGTTAGCGGGGTTTAAATCACCCTTACGTTATTATCCTATTATCCACTTTGGAATCGCTTTGCCTGTTTAGGCTGAAGAGTATATGAAAATATGAATTGCTTTCGCTTTGTTACTTTCTTTTTTTTTGTGTTGTGATATCCTTCTTTTTTTTTTACTCGTTTCCCTCCCCCCTATCAATATGAATTCAATTGTTCTGGTTCTTGGACTTGAGACATATACTACCATAGCATGGAGAATTTAAAATAGCCGAGTAAAAATAGTCATCAATAGTTTACGCCACACAAAAAAAATCAGAAAACCAAGGTTAGTCTAAGACCTGACGCTAATGTCTCAGTTTGGAATCTTAAAGGGGCGAGGAGGCTATCTCGCATTTTCTATATCGCATTTGCATGGTTATGGCTTCATATTAAAATAAGATTGGATCATTTCACTCGCTACTCTTTAATCCAAGTTCTTTTCCCCGAAACTTTGTGTGCACAGCCCTAAAGGATCTGCGTTTTGATGTTTAGGCCTCCTAGTACCCTCTAAGTACAGATACTGAGTAGATATGCATATGTACAGGTTAGGTAGAGGTAGGGATAGGGATGGTAGAGATGTCCGATATTCACTTAGATATTATTTTTAGATCCCATATTAACCTCAATTTTTTAAGAACGGAAAATGGTGTGGAGTTGATATGTAATTTGCTTGTCCCACTTACCGGAATTTGATTTAGACATGTAATTAGGTAGTCTACGGAGTAGAAGAATTAGAACGTGTTTGGAATAAGAAAGATAATAGGGGATTGAAAGAGAAAAGCTCTTTGCTTTCCAATGTAGCTACATGTACGGAGTACAAAGTACAAAGTACCTAGCTGCTAGGCAGGTTGTACATTTAGTAAATAGTACTACGGAGTACAGACTTAGCTATCAAATGTTGTTTGTGTGTACTAAATTATAGAGGTCAGGTGAACATCTAGTAAATACCTGATGAACATCCTATAGTTATTCTAAATGTCTACGGAGTGATAACATATATAATTAGGAGAAAGTAATCCGTATGTTCCAAACCATTGAACTGAAACTGAAACAAGGCGGGAAAAAAGAAAAAGCAGGATACATAAGAGCTTGTATTTGGTGGGGCCTAATCCTATTTGCAGGGACTAGCTCTTATAGGGTGGAGTGGGAAAAGGGGTCTGGATTGTGGCAACTGGACTTGTGTACTCCGGGCTTGGGGCTTAGGGGTATAGTTAATAATGACATGGTTAGGATAGTAATCCTGTCTAACTATATCACTACTCCATACAGGCTTAATATTAATATGTAGGAATATGTAGGTGTTAGATCCCGCATGTCTGTCAGTGGCTGGGTAGCTGACGACATCGGGATGCAAGGAGGACTGAGCGAGATAACGGGAATAGCAGGAAGAGGAGGATAGGATTTAGAACAGGAAGAAGAGTCTACATGAGAAGGATATAATTAGTATATTAGTATATTATATCAAAGTGATTAAATAGCTACATGAGTACTACGGAGTACTCCCTACTAAAATACATACCTAAATAGGTACATCAAGTAATAACAAATAATATAATCACGGGGTCTCCTACTTCTCCCCCACTCCATCGATCGTCCTTCACCCTTTTTCCCTTTCTTTTCTTCTTTCCTTTATAACTCTGGACTTCTCTCTCTTCTTTTCCCCTCATCCCTCCTAGGAATTGATCTGTGAGTTGTACTCTATACCCCGATGACGGCAGCCTGACATCCAATTGATTGACGAGTGGCGATGAACCCCTCCTTTTCTGGTCATTGGAGAGCTATCTGAGCTTCTTATACGGCGCCACGTTTCCCTTTTTTTTCGCCTTGAATCTATCACTGACCTTGTTATCACTTAAATAGCCAGTTCCCTCCCCGAATTATCCTCTATCCTACATACTCCATAACCTACAACTCATAATGGGCTCCAAGGCTCTTCCCACTCACCTTCGGGCCCCTGCTGAGAGCGAGGCCTTTGGTGGAAAGCACCATGGCAAGTCGCAGTCGCACATGGTAAGTTCATTTCAGGCGGTAAATCTCGAATCATGAAACTTCGTTCCTACCATTTTTGCATCGTTCCTGCTGTTTGGGAGTTTTGAGGGTTGTTTTGTTGATTTTTTGGACTTCGCGTCTGGATGAGACAACGTGATCCTCTTTTCCTACCAAATTCATCTTTCGCTACACTGTTATCCTTGCTTCATTTTTTCAATCCCCAATTTCATCGTATCTTGCGAGCCTTTCAATTGCCGTTCGGTTTATTCCCTTGCAATGGCTACTTTGGCTCCTTCTTCATTTGGTCCAGAGCTGACCCGTGAAACCTCCCACCAGGCATTCGAGAATGCCTCCACTAGTGTCGCCGCCTCACAAATGCGCAATGCCTTGAACGCCCTCGGCGACAGCGTCACCGACCCCAAGGAGAAGAAGCGTTTCGAAGCCGAGATGGACAACTTCTTCGCCCTGTTCCGCCGTTTCCTTAATGACAAGGCCAAGGGCAACTCCGTCAACTGGGATAAAATCGCTCCTCCTCAGCCTTCCCAGGTTGTTGGCTACGATGACCTCGGTGCCGACGCCTCCGTCGAGTTCCTGAACAAGCTGGCCGTTGTCAAGCTGAACGGTGGTCTCGGTACCTCCATGGGTTGCGTTGGTCCCAAGTCCGTCATTGAGGTCCGTGAGGGCATGTCCTTCCTCGATCTCTCTGTGCGCCAGATCGAGCACCTTAACCGCAGTTTCAACGTCAACGTGCCTTTCGTCCTCATGAACTCCTTCAACACCGATCAGGATACCCAGTCCATTATCAAGAAGTACGAGGGCCACAACGTCGACATCATCACCTTCAACCAGTCGCGTTACCCCCGCATCATCAAGGACTCTCTCCTGCCCGCCCCCAAGAGCTTCGACTCTCCCCTCCAGGACTGGTACCCTCCCGGACACGGTGATGTTTTCGAGTCTCTGTACAACTCCGGCACTCTCGACAAGCTGATTGAGCGTGGTATCGAGTACATCTTCCTGTCCAATGCCGATAACCTCGGTGCCGTGGTTGATCTCCGCATCTTACAGCACATGGTTGACTCACAGGCTGAGTACATCATGGAGTTGACCGACAAGACCAAGGCTGATGTCAAGGGTGGTACCATTATTGATTCCGACGGCAAGGTCCGCCTGCTTGAGATTGCCCAGGTGCCCAAGGAGCACGTCAACGAGTTCAAGTCCATCAAGAAGTTCAAGTACTTCAACACCAACAACATCTGGCTGAACGTCCAGGCTATCAAGCGTGTTGTTGAGGAGAACGAGTTGGAGATGGAGATCATCCCCAACGAGAAGTCCATTCCCGCCGATAAGAAGGGTGAGGCCGACCAGGCTATCTACCAGCTGGAGACTGCCGTCGGTGCCGCCATCCGCCACTTCAAGAACGCCCACGGTGTCAATGTGCCCCGTCGCCGCTTCTTGCCCGTCAAGACCTGCTCCGATCTGATGGTCGTCAAGTCTGACCTGTACCGTCTCGAGCACGGCCAGCTGGTCATCGACCCCAACCGCTTCGGTGGTGTCCCCGTTATCAAGCTCGGTTCCGACTTCAAGAAGGTCTCCGACTTCCAGAAGCGCATTGCCAGTATTCCTCGTATTGTTGAGCTGGATCACCTCACTATCACTGGACCTGTTAATCTCGGCCGCAACGTCACTCTTAAGGGAACCGTCATCATTGTCGCCTCCGAGGGCAGCACCATTGACATTCCCCCTGGATCCGTGCTTGAGAACTGCGTTGTGCAGGGTAGCCTGAGAATCCTCGAGCACTAGATGTTTTGGTCTGATTCCTGTCTTCCCCACAGATACGTCGCAGGGGTTTGATTTTCTTATTTTAACTGGTGCATCCTAGGCTATGGAATCCATGGAGTATGCAAAAGAAGTACTTGTATTACATTACAATAATCCAGCGTCTTTTTTCTTTCTTTCTTATTGGGTTGTTTTTAGTCTAGACCTGACTTTGATTCCCAAGTACTGCTTGTTGCTCACCACTCCCAATAAATGCATTCCAGTTCAGTTCAGTTCAATTCTGTCCAAATTATTGTAAAACTACATATGTAGTAGCTGTTCAGTCATATCTCAGCTCTTTCTTCCGCCACCAACTCGATATATATCCCCAACAATAGACCCCCCGCCCCCCGAAAACACCTCATTCGGCCTTGACAACATAAATCAAAGCCTCACATCCAAGATATCGAGGAATCCCAAACATGATACGCCATCGCCTTGGGGCAAATGAACTCCCATGACAATAGGCGGGTAAAAGTTCCCCATGATCTCTTCGCAACGTCATTCGCGGCAAAACAAGCCATTTGCCCTACTAAACCCTGTTCAAGTAGGGAGGTCAAGTAAATCGTCCTACAGTCATTCCAAAAACAGGATATACCTTGCACGATGCATTGAGCTTGTACAGTTTCAAATTTACTCTTTCTTTCTTGTATATTGTGGCCGGTACATATTCGACTATATATCTTGTCTTTTTACATATTCGTTTTTTTTCCATACGTGTTTCTCACATTGACGTTTTGTCTATATATTTTATATTTTACATTCATTTCAAAGAAAACGAAAACAGAAAAGCAAAAGCATACTTCAATTCACCTGCTCATATCAGAATATGAGTGGGAACCACCGCCGTATTGTACCAGGTCCCTCGCCTTCGGGGGATGACCATGACCAGGAAAACTACCATGATCCTGAAAATGGCAGTCCACCCGCAGAGGAAGGGAAAGGTTCTACGTGGAAGAAGAGAGTTTCGACTGCTTGTCTGGCTTGTAAAAAGTCGAAGAGAAAGGTGAGATTTATTATTAAACACGATACTACATCTACCTACCCTACATCTATATATATTCCATCTATACCCATATCATACCATAGCCCAAACTAACAAACCAGTGCTCCGGAACATCCCCCTGCACAAACTGCCAAACATTCAAAAGAGTCTGCATATTCGACGAATCCCTCGACCAACGCCGCCGCGTCGCCGCAAAACGCACAGCAGACGAGCTCTCTTACCACCGCGATCTCCTCTCAGATCTATTCAGGCTGGTCCGCGAAGCAAACGAACAAGATGCCCTACAGCTGCTAACAATAATCCGACACAATGCCCCCGCAGACGAAATCCGCGCATACATCAATGAAACACTCGCGTCACTCACCACCACATCCGCATCTACATCTGCAGCCGTCAAGCAGGAAACTGTCGCAAAACTCGAAGATATGCGCCAGCTTATCAATGTCGAGGGCACGGGTCCTACTTTCAGAAGAAAGGTTATGGATATCCATTATCTGTGTGACTCGGCGCCTTGTGAAGTGCCTGCGGCGCCGTGGACGAGGGTCACTGCGGATGCGGATCTGGTGTCGCATCTGGTGTCATTGTATTTTGCGTGGGATTGGCCGTTTAGTGCGGTCATGGATAAGGAGGTTTTTGTTAGGCATATGGCGAAGGGTGTGCTGGGGTCGGAGTTTTGTAGCCCATTTTTGGTTAATGCGCTGCTCAGTAATGCTTGTGTGGGTATTTTCTTTTTTTATTATTTTGATTCATTTGGGTTGGAGAGTGGAGATGTGTTAATGTCGGTTCGGTTGCTGATTTGTCTGTTAGTACTTCTCTGAGTTCTCCGAGGCTTATGTTGTTCCTGGTGATATCTCTTCGAAAGGAAGTGATTTTCTTGCTGAAGCAGAGAGGTTGAGAGATGAGGAGAGTTCGCAGCCTAGTTTGGCAGGTTTGCAGGGGACTCTGTTGATGTATGAGAGGTTTGTATAAACAACTTTGTCCTAATTCGAGGCTGCTCTGACACAGACAGATATGCAATGTCTCGCGAGGACGATCTGGGCTATATCATGCTGCACGAGGCAATCCGAATGGGCGAGGCATTGGGTCTGGTCGGCAGTACAGGACCAAGAATGGCCTCGGGCGAGTTATCCCAAGACATGGATATCTCATGCAAGAGGACAGCCTGGGGTTTATTCAATGTCGACACGTAAGTGAACCCTGCTAACACTCATCCTTGAACTTACATTCATATTCGCATGCGTAGAATGGTCCACACTTCATTCCTCCGGCCAAGTCTCATCGACCACGTCAACATGGCCCGTCTCGATATCAACCAGCCAGAAGACAAAGCCCTGTGGCAGCCATACCCAACTCATCGCGACCCGCGCTCGTCATTCTTCAGCCAGTACTTCGACGAAGCATGCAACCTGTCGACGATTGCGCGCGATATTTCACGCAGCATGTTCGCAGACCACAGGAGTAACACCGCTCTCGGCCCCATCCATCACCAGAGCCGCGAGGATTTATACGACCGTATCCGTCGCTGGCATGATCTTCTCCCAGAGGACTTTGATGTCCGGTACAGGCCAGCTCCGCATATTATCTTACTGAAGTGAGTAGCATGTCCATAATCCATCTATCTTAGCATCATGCAGGAGCGAAAGCAAAATACTTATCCCACACAGAATGCGCTATCACTCCCTCATCATAAACCTCTTCAGCTGCATCTCGGAAGACGAAGTCCCGCCCATACCCTTCGAGCCCAAAACACCCGAAAGCCCGCCGCGTCACACCCCCGAGCGAAAATACAACGCGCGGGAAGTAACGCAGAACGCGGCACGAGGCATCGCCGCGCTAACGCGTCTGCACAGACGCGAGTTCGGTGTTAGTCGGGCGCATCAGTTCGCGATGTACGCGATCAACCTTGCGCTGTTTACGATGCTCGAGCAGGAATCGTTCGATGTTCTGGATGAGGATTTCCTCACTCTCGCGAGCGCGTTCTCGATCGTTGCGAGTCGGTCTGCGCTAGGGAGGAATCTGTTCCATATTTTCCGGCAGTCAGTCCGAGCGAAGGCGCAAGGGTGTCGGATTCGGGAGGCGAGTTCTGTGCCTGATGAGTTGAAGGAATTGTTTGATGAGGAGTCGAAGGCGAGGGGGTGTAATCGATTTGATGAGTATGCTGATGGGCTTGAGAAGTTGAATCAGAAGGATAAGTATCATGGGATTGGGGAGGGGGATAGTAAGGGGTTGCAGGATTATCCTGGTCTTGGACTTTCAGATATGTTGGATCGGTACGAGAGTCTTAGTCTTGGGAAAGACGATGTGTTGGTTGAGAGGTATCGGCCTGTTGGATGTTAAGGGACAATATAGGATCCACCATGTCCGTCATATGTATCCAGTGCGGATCTGATTTGCAGATAGATTTTCCGTGTTTAACGGAGTGGCGACACTGTTGTATGGATTTGATCGGTAGATATACAAAGTAGATTCAAACGAGTCCATGGCGATGGATAAGGTGACACGAATGAGAAATTTGCACGAGACAGTTTCTGACGAGTCATTGGTAGTTATTGGCAATCATCGGCAGATTAGAGGATGATCCCAGACCCAGTGTGGGTTTTTAATAAGTTTTGACTGTGGTGGTTGGGAAGTTATAAAGGAGGAGTTGACTGGTCAAGACTGACGTCAAATCAGGAGCTCATCGACTCCACCAAAGTGGCAATGGAAATATCTTCTCCACGTTAGTCCACGTTGATCTACGTCCCTAGGAGATATTTGAGAAATGTCACAGAAAACAATCCCTGCGCTTTAGCTTATGAGTGGTTTTTGTTCTTTCACCTTTTTAGCCTTGTAAACACCCCATCAACTTTCAGTAATATATATTCATGTCGATAAAGTCGATACAGATACGATATGGATAATTCAGATGAATATGACTGGATGCCATTGAATACTGAATCTCTACCTCAACACCCCTATCCAACACCTATCCCTTTCTCACCAATTCAGCCCCCCGCCCAAGCCACCCAATATATGTCTGCCCCGTCAGCATCAGGATTAGGGAGTACAGCCGCGCCAAAGGTAGCCATTCCTCGCCTAGCCAGGTTTGACGCCTCTCTGCACGGGCGACGGCGATCAGCACGGGCTTGTGAGCCCTGTCGCCAGCGCAAAACCAAATGTGATGGTACCCGGCCGTCGTGCGGACAATGTATATATCATAACCACACCTGTTCGTATGAAGAGGTTAAACGAGTGCGCGACCAGAAACGACTGGGATCCTTAGTCAAACGAGTGAATGCATACGAAGCACTTCTTCGAGACTTAGAATCCGAGGTGGACATCCCCACAGCCCGGAGGATCAAAAGAGAATTGAAGGTATGTCCATCCATGTCACATCAAGTCCCCTAGTCTCACTCGAGGCCCGGATTTTATGATTGGAGTCCCAAATCTAGCCTCTGACTATTTGCCATTTGGCAAATTAAGTCCAAAAGTGGGGAAAACTCTAGAAAAGATGTCGACAACTCTGATGATTCCTGTACCTCCATTGGCTCACTCGATGCTATCGACTAGGTTGACGAAGACCTCGATCGAAACGAGGATACTCGTGCTGCGGGCTTCTTTGGGAAGAGTTTAGAGGCCAATTGGATTCGCAAGCTGGAGAGCGGCGTGAATATGCAAAGTTCGCAGGAACATGTACCGAATTCTTTCTACACGGACAGTCACCGTGATCCAGCATCTATTCAGCAGCAGCAGTCATTGGAAAGGCAAATCCCGACTTTTATGATAGATTATCATCTCGACTGTCTGGATATTCCATTGATCGAACCATGCGACCCATTCTCTGTGCCCCCGCGGGAATTGGCAGACCGATATCTTGACGCCTACCTCATCAATGTTCATCCGACATTTAGCACAATTCGGAAGATGACTTTTATCTCTCAGTATAAGCAGTTTTTCAACAATGCATCAACACCACCCCGGAAATGGCTGGCCGTTCTGAACATGATCTTTGCTATTGGTTGTCGCTACTGTCGACTACTAGATGATCCCCGAAGCACTGGCGAGGAAGACCTGATATACCTGACCCGGGCACGCCATCTCGGTTTGCACAGCAATGTGCTATTCGAGCACACCGATCTCCAGCAGATCCAACTCGAGCTTCTCGTCGCAGTTTACCTACTTTGCCTGGGACAGGTGAACCGGTAGGTAATAAGTCTCCATTTCCCCAATCATCATGTTAACTTCCAACCCCTTCCCCCCAGAGCATCCAAATTCTCCAACATGGCCCTCCGTTCAGCCCTTTCCCTCGGCATCAATCTCCGCCTAACAGATGACCGCACCAAAGATGCCGTGAAAGAAGCCCGTGGCCGTCTCTGGTGGTCCATCTACTCCCTCGAGCACCTCCTAACCTCAATGACCGGCCGCGCCTCCTGTGTCAGTGAAGGCCTCTGCTCTGTCCCAGCACCCCTTCCCTACGAAGAAGAAACATTTGACCACCCTGAAGCCAAGCACCTCTTCCAAGATCCCACCCTCCGCGAAGCACAACTCCGCTCCACCCTCTTCGAATCTGTCAGCCAACACCACTCCCCCTCATGGGTGACATCATGTCCACCCTGCCCATCTCTCTTCTTCAACTTCCTCGTCGATCTAACCCTCATAACTCACGCCCTCATGAACAAGGTCTACAGCATCGAAGGCCTCCGCAAAGGCCCCAGGCAAGTAGAATACCACGTGCAAAAATTCAGTCACCAAATGGACCGCTGGCTCTCAAAACTTCCCAATTTCTACCACTTCACCCTTTCACACCCCAGCACCACCCCCTGGCACCTAACACACCCACGATTAGACGATATCTCCACCCCATTCCTCCGCGAACGAGTCTGTCTAGCAATGAACTACTACTCCTCCCGAATCACCCTCTGCAGACCATGCCTAACTGACATCCATCAATCCACCCGCTACGCCACGCCAACAGGCGAAATTACCGCACGTGGCAAACTCCGCTTGGAAATGGCTACAAATTGTCTGCAAGCTTCCTGCGCGCTTATCTCTATTCTCCCAGAACATCCCAACATGCCATGGCTAGCCCACGCCGCGCCCTGGTGGAGTATCCTGCATTTCCTCATGCAGGCAACTACTGCTCTACTTCTGGGGTTGTCGTACTGTTCTCGCGCGCACTATGACAATACGGACGCCGCAAGTCCACTCCTCAGTCCTGCGACGCCGTCCTCGCAGGCGAGGTTTTATCCACTGTTGATGGAGACGGATTTAAGTACGGCTATTGCGGCGACGAAGAAGGCGCTGTCTTGGCTACATACTACTGCTGCTGTGAATCCCGCTGCGCGTAGAGCCTTTTTGCTTTGTGATGGGATTGTTAAGAAGATTGCGCCGGGGTTGGGGATTGATTTGAGCGAGTGGCCGGATAAGGGTTGTTTTGAGGGATCTGTGGAGGGGAGGTTGAGACATTCTAGTGGGGATCGAAATGGAAATGGGACTGGGAATGGGGAGAATAGTGGAAGCTATGGACATGGTAGTGGGAGTGGAATGGAGGCGTTTGAGGAGTTGATTGATTTTGAAGGCGGCGTCTTTTAAGAAGTTGGAGTCGTTCTTGATTTGATCTCAATTTTATGATAACACGATACCTATGTGAGTCCTGTGACCACTTAATGAGGTTGGGGAGTTCTATGTCTTGATACTCTTCCAATTTTGCCTCCAGCAAAATACGCATGAAAATTTTCAGGTGTCTGAAGTACCTAGCAACAATCTTGGGTGGCTCATAGTTATCATCGTAGTCCCATGAACTGTTAACATGCCTATCTTGAAGAAGCCACCACGGAGCCGAGCCCCAAAGTTGAGCAGGTTCCACATATGACTATTCCAGGTCCATGACTCCAACAACAGTACAATCTTTCTTGCCACGGACGATCAAATTCGCTAGTTCAAGCCGCAAATCAGCTTAAACTTGCAACAGTCACACTCTGCATGGACTAAGTCGGGTACCAGACTTTTTAGGACCTTAAATGCCACAAATTCATTTCTAGCATGATAAAAACCAACAGTCGAGTTTGGCTGCTGGACGAGATGGTCCAAGTCTTGCCCGACGATGTATTGGAAATACTTGTAGGTCTCGTTCAACTTGTCAACCCAAAGCTGGTCCTGTACCTCGTGGGCGAGATTGACAAGCGTGTTGGTATCCATAATATCGCGCAAGGCCTCGAAGTCTGAGTACGAGAACCGTGGTATTACAACTTTGGCGAGTGATTGAGCAGCAGCACAAAGGTTTGACCCCATCCTACAGGATACACAGTTGTTTACACCCGGTCACGTGGCGTTAGGCCGGAATTCTCTTGCTCGAAAGAAAAAAGAGCTCTTTTCTCTCCGCTCCTCTCTTCCCTTTTAGCATGTAATATCATTGTATCAACCTGCCCTAGATTTCAGCTCCTATAAAGATGTTATAAGTCCTTTGCTCTATTTCATAATTCCTTTTTATATAATTCAATATCAATATTTGAAGTCGTTTGATCTTTCATCGTGAGATAGTTCCACTACTGATATACTAGTACGAAATACGAAGAAAATAAAGATATTATTCCCGAATTCGCAAGAGTATAAGAAATTAAGAAAGATTGTAGTATAACCTCATAAAAATAAGTTCTATTCCAATATCTTGCCTGTCGTGAATTGTATTCCGTGTTTAGCTGCATTGGTCAGTGTTATTATATACAGGGATAAATCAATATATTAAGTCTAGGCTCTGTGATGACATGCATCGCATCTCATGAGAAGAGCTAGACCCCTTTGGGTAACAGCTCTGGAAGTTTAGAGGTTGTAATTTTAGGAATTAGTACTTATGTTAAGGCGGCTGAGCTGCATTAGCCCTCCACCTAAGTGGGTTAAATCAGCGCTGGGATATCTAGTGTGTCACAGAAGAAATATGGATAGGGGGTCCAAGGATATGAGGATATTTCATTAGATAATTGTTGGTAATAATATCTTGCCAGGTGGGTGTTCTTTATAGACAACCCAGATACCAGATCCTCCAGTGCCAAGTAACCCCTTACAGATGGGGGAAGAGAACGGGACTGAGAACTAGTTCACTGCTTTTAGGTAGCCTAACCATGTAGAGCGATGTTAAAGGTTAGTGGTACACAATTAAGGAAATGAGATTAGAACCGAGTATGTACTAAATTGAGAACATTAGATATGTAAGAAAAAGATTAAGAAAAAAAAAACCACAGGCTAAGTAAACGAAACAAGAAATGCCTGGATGCCAATGACACAAAAGGACTCAACGCCATAATAGGCCCACGGAAAGACCTGAGACTCCATGGACGTATAACGACCGACAAAAACACACGTGACATAATTGAGGAATGATATAAACACCGATGTTCTTTGGGATGAAATTCAAGTCAAAATATACTGGTCAGAAATAAAATTTCGATCAATGGATGTTGCATTAATCGAATGAAACCCATATCCTGAACCACATTCAGCACTCAGGTTGGTTGCGGCTGCATCTGGATCTGGAAGGTATGCTGGTGTTCATGTTGTGGTGCAGGCGGGGGAGGGGCCTGGCTCCGCTGCGGAATTGGAGGTCTGCGTGGTTGTCCTGGCATCCCGTGGACGGGGGACTCGGACGACATTGGGTGTTGCATCTGTTGCTGCATCGGCGATTGAAGATATGGCTGATGAGGGAGGGGTCGCGGGGGGTGAACAGGAGAATGGTGGTGCATTTGCATATGGGGCATAGAGAGTGGCTGACCGGGCTGTTGGGGTAGGGATTGGCTATGCGGCAGGTGAGAACCAGGCTGTGAGGCCAGATGTTGATTCTGCTGCTGGTGCATGTGCTGAACTTGGGGTTGTCCAAGATGCTGACTTGCCTGCGCCTGTGAAGACTGATTCTGTTGGAACATGTGAAGGTTCTGCTGTTGCGGTAGAGACTGGCCTTGAAGCATCTGCGGTGGTGTCGGGCAGGGCCGTTTGCGCGCCTCTTCGTCCACCGAAGAGGTTGCACGGTTCAGTGCGGTCGTTGTATCTGTGCCCTCACCCAATTGGGGATTGATCTCTGTCTGTGTCTGATCTCCACTGGCCGCGGCTGCAGCGGCAGCTGCAGCGGCAGCGGCCGCGGCCACATCAGCCTTGCGAGGTCTCCCACGTGGCCGACCCGTGCCAGGTGCTTTTGGTTTGGCTGAAGCTGGCTTCCTTGGTTTAGGCGGTGGTAAGGGTTGGCCCGTTGCAGCTGCCCACGCAATTTGATCGGCCTTACGAGGACGTCCACGTTTTCGCTTCAAAGGAGTCCCGTCCGGTCCCAGAATAGGCGTCCCCTTAGTTGTGGCGTTTGGTCCTGCGGAACCTGGGGCGGTCGGCGTCATATTTGCAGTAAATGAAGCTTGTCCTGGTTGAGGAATAGACTCGCCATTTTGTGCAGCCTGTGCGGCTTGCGCAGCAAGCCTGGCCGCGACTTCTTCCTTCCTAGGCCGTCCCCGACGACGTTTCGGAGGCGGTGTGGCAATTTGGTCACCTCCGACTGTGGACACGGAGGGGATCTGCCCTTGTCCATTGGCTTGTGCGGGGAGAGAACTAGGAACAGCCATGGGGGCATTGAGTTGAGGCTGCGCCTGAACAGGCTGAGATTGAGCCGGTGCAGGCTTCTTAGGTTTGGCTTTCTTCTTCGGTACAGGGCTCGACTCGTCGGGCTTCATGACCGGGCTTTCCGAGACTGCAGGGACAACCGGTGCAGGTGGCTGCGATGAAGGCACAGCAGCCGAATGCGGTCCTGGCTGATAGTGCTGGAATTGAGCCTGGTGCGGAGACGGCTGGAACTGTGTCTGCTGCGGCTGAGAGAATTGTGTCTGGTGTGGGGCGTACTGATGTTGCGATTGGGCTTGATGCTGTTGATACTGAGATGGGTGGAACGGAGGCTGGGTGTGTTGGGAAAAGGGTGACTGTTGTTGATATGGGTTGTGTGCCTGAGATTGGTGCTGCAATTTTTGCAACCTCTGCTGCTCCAATTGCTGCTTCTGTTGGTGCTCAAGTCGCTGCTGCTGCTCCACCCGCTGCTGATGCTGTTTCTGTTGCTCGAGCCTCTGCTGTTGCTGCTCTAGTATCTTTTGCTCATCTAGCTTTTGTTGTTCTAATTCCTTCTGTTGCTCAAGCCGCTGCTGCTGTTCTAACCGTTGCTGCTGTTCCAAACGCTGCTGCTGGATTTGTTTTTGTTGCTCCATCCTTTGCTGTTGCTCAAGTCGTTGCTGCTGGAACTGCTGCTGTTGAATCTGCTGCTGCAACTGTTGGTGTGTCTGTTGGGGCGACTGCGGTTGCGACTGCGGTTGGGCTTGACGCTGTTGATTCATGCCAAACATAGACGGGCTAGCCATAGATGGACTGGCCGAAGTATGATTATCCCTCTGCTGCATGCCTGCGTGAGGTAGTCTGTTCATTCCCTGCTGCGGCGAAGGAACATTCATGGGATGCCCATGAGTGAGTCCAGTTGATGGACTCATTCCCGGCTGCGGCCGGAGGTGGGCCATTGGATTAAACCCACGCTGGAGGTTTTGCAGCGCCATAGGGTCTGGGTTGCGAGACATCAGATCTGGGGAGCTCTGCGCCGCAAACTGCCCCGGAAATTGGCCAAAACTGCTGGTAGTGGGGTACCCACCTAATGACCCTGATGTCGGGGTCATCTTGCGCATATCTGGAGATTGCGACGCAGCAAAGTTTTGCTGAGGTTGGCCCCGAAAAATTGGCTTATTGCCCGGGAATGGACTGCCATGTTGTGGCAGCTGCGGCCCCGCGCCTAGCAAGGGCGACTGGGCATGCTGACGTTGAGGTTGCGGACCCAACGGATGTTGGGGTTGAACACCTTGATGTTGTTGTTGCTGTTGAGGCTGCTGTGACTGTTGAGGGTGGAATGGGTGACCACCGTAGTTCATCATTTTGACTCAATTTTAGAAATGCGTTGGGCACTTGGCCGTAAGCGGCAGATAATCAAGTGTTTCCTTCAACCACGAAGCATGCAAGGGCAAAACCCGTCAAAATGACCGCGAGCTAGCTTGAAAGGGGAGAGATGGAATACAGAAGGGCAATTTTAAACCAAGATGCCGCCGATGTTGCGCCAGCGCCGCCGATAATTCTATACGGGGAATCGCCACCAGAGTCGCGCCGAGGCCGCGTGTTTGTTGTTCCCAGCGGCCTAAGGCCACAAGGCAACAAGGCAAGAAAGAAACCGTGCACTTATTCCCGATTAGGTTTAGCGGCTACGGAGACCGAGGTGAGTCGGTCAGCGCAGTTCGAGAAAAATGAGTCGACGGTCGCTCAAAGGGATTCAGGGGGGGGATGAGCTGGGGGGGATCCTGAGAGGCAGCGAGGGTGATCCAAATCTATTTGCTAGAAGGCTCAACGGATAACAGGGCCCAGAAGAAGTAGATTGGAGATGAAGTGGATGACGCTGGGCTGGAATCCTCGATGGCGAGGGAAAAAAACATTAAAAAATAAAATAAAAAATAAAAATAAAAAAACGGGAAAAAATGGAATTTTCAGTTTCTCCTCTCCATGTCACGTGATGACAAACCAGGTATTCCAGTTGTAGGTAACTATCTTAACTATATATACCACTCTCTATACGGAGTACTCTCTATACCTCTCTATTATGTTGATACGTTCATATGTGAATATATACAGTTCATTTATGGTCATCATCTGTAATACCAATAATACTTAACCTATGGATCTCCATCTATGTATCTCACTTATCCTCCCCCTTAAAAATACCTAGTCGTCTGGTTATCTTCCGCAATCCTTGTAAAGTATAGAATCACACCATTCACAAGTACTACACAAAGTACGTGCTACCTGAAAACTATAGAGACATCATATCATGCTGCTTTTCCAACATCCTTGTCCTCCGCTACCCGAAGATCTGCCAAAAAGGGCGTAAAAAAAGCTTGCCGGAACCCCTTTCAAAGTGCCAATACTCACGATGATCCACAATACCACAAATAGGGGGCAGATCTGCATAGAATTAGCCGAGCACTACTTTGTATATATATTGGATCATGAATATCATCCATTTTAGTGATATTCTTTAGGATAATTAACAATTTCGTTCAAGCGTCTTTGCTATCTTTGCTATCTTTGCTATTCTCTTCATAGTTGTGAGATTATTTTTATGCCTCAGTCATCCATGCCTCTGGGAAGAACACAGTGGCCGAGGTTCAACGGAAAGGATACTTCATTTCGAAATATAAGAAACAAGAATAGGGTTTGCCGCTTATACGGCATAGTGAAGTCTTTTTGATAGTAATTTGAGAAGTCTTAGAACTCTGTAGATCTTCCGAGTAGTGTTTTTAGGTGTCTTGAAAGTATGTTGTATCTATCTTGTCAGATATTGTTTCGGATGTCTCCTTAGTTGTAACTTTCTTCTAGATATTTCTTCCCTTGGTCGATGCTATAGTTAAATATAGAATAGCATATATAGGCCGTAAAAATGGGTTGATGTGCAAGCCGAATTTTCCATATATGCCACTCGATGTTTCCTATATAACCGTGCAAGTGTAGCTAGAAAAGTGGCTTCAAGTACTGAAGTGAAAAAAAGAACAAACACTAATATAAGCTGTAAAATCCACATTAGAAAGAACTAGAATGTGCAAGGAAAGCTACATGTATATAATCGATTTTTACGTTAATTTCTCAAGTAACTACAAGATTCATTGTTGATGGAAGACCCTAGTAGGTTTTTCAACTATGGTGAGCACTGTGAGTTTCAGGATAAGGATCACTTTGCCTGCTCTGCCACAAGAAACTCTTCCCAGACTTTTTTAATATCATTTTGATAAATGAAATCCTTGTCTTCAAATAGAAAAGTGTCGATTTTGGCTTGCAGAATGATATCAAAATCCTTCTCTTGTGCTCGGAGTTGTTCCGTTTTGTCACGTATTTCGTCTAGATGCTGATACCTGCGAAGTATTAGGATGGCAAGGCCAGATCCGGACCATTTTGCGCATAGTATGAAGTTCAAACTTACATTTTAGCATAATATGGAGCTCGAATCTGTTCAAAGATCTCCAGAGCGTCCCGCGCAGGACGAGAACCAATCCGTGTAAACTGGAGCGCACGTGCGAGAATCCAACCATCCTCCATGGCAAATGTCGCCCCAGAGCCAAACGCGCCTGGAAACCCGTTAGTGCTGTATATGACGGCAAGCCTTAAATGAGAGTACTTGGACTCACCCGAAAGAGGGTGACTGGCATCTCCAATAAGGGCGATTTTATCCCAGTCGGTGATCTTGTTCAGACGAGGTCCAGCGAATGTCGCAAATTCCCTCCATTCTCCCTCAGTCACTGCGCTTATTGCCTCTCTTATTCTTTGGTCGAATGTCTGTATTAAATGTTAGTAATGAATACACTTTTTTAATCTAGAAAAGCTATGTCGTACTTCAACACGCAATCCTACTTTGTCGTTGGTTGCAGGGATGCCCCAAAAGACCGTCTTCCCTGATACTTCAGGTTCATTGTAGGATCGAACAGTGATTTCAAAAAGCGGATCTTTGATTTCTTCTTCGTTGTCCACATCGGAGAGATAGACATGACCAGCTTCGCCCCACCACCATGATGTTGTATTCGTTATGTCCGGGATATGAGCCAGCTGGGACTTCGGAACCAGAACACGGAATGCAGAATTGCCTGTAAAATGAAGTTGATGATCAGGAAACAGGGCCCTACGAACAACCTATATCGGGGGAATTTGTCAGTCGCAAATGTCACTTCTAACATAGGAGGCTTGACGAACAGAGTGTATCCCGTCCGCTCCAACGACAATGTCCGCAATCGCCTCGGTGTGATCCTGGAACACCAAACGAACTCCCTGGCCCGAGAGGTCCTCCAAAGATACAACTTTTTTGCCAAATTGGATCACGCCCTCCGGCACTCGCGATAAGAGAGCTGACTGTAGTCGGGTTCTGCGAGCACGGATTGATCCGCGGTAATCTGCAGCGGAATTTTCTGGATGCTGGGTGATTCTCAAAACCTTCCCTGTGTAGGCATTTCTTGAAATTCAAGGTTAACATATGCTCCAGCTGTTACTGCGGCTGGGAAAGCACTGCTTACCTTTGGTGTGTATTGGATTTGGAGCCTCCCCTGACCCCATCGCTGGCTCCAAGTAAATCCAGAACTCTCCACGCATTAGTCGTCAAGCTGATACCTGCCCCGGCTTCTCGGGGCTCTGTGTTTTTCTCGTACAGGGTCACCTTCAGGAATGGCAGCTGTGAGAGAGCAATCGCAGTTCCTAATCCTCCAGGTCCGCCACCAACAATGGCCACAGAAGTAAATTCCTGTCCGACCATATTCGAGAAACGATTCTGGGTTTGGATATGCTAACTCTCAATTTTTCCTTCCTTGCTTATATATCTATAGTATTGCACCTCATGGTCGGGAGTGGCCGGTAGATAACTAAATCGCGCCATACTAAGCTTCAAATGTGCCATGCGCCACTAGTGCCTTGTTGTCCAATCCCACAACAGCGAGCTAGGAATCACTAAATATGGAAAAGCCAGACCCCGCGTGTGGACTGTCATGGAATGTTTTGTTCCAGCACGTTCTAGCTTGCTGGTGGTCGATCGGACTATGCCCTAACAGATAGGAAAAGTGATGGCTGCGGGGTCTCTCTACGCGTTCTTGCAAAATTTCGGCGAAAGAAACATCGGCGTCCCAGCATATCCACCCTTTTCTTGTCGCTTTTTATAGATAGGAGCAGTAGAAGCCGACTGGAGACCTCTGCGGATGCAGGTGTCGAGTATTTGGTCCCAGGGTATCTTGTAATAGAGACAGTGCACTGTATCGTGTAACCCACAAATCTCGTTGATTGTTTGTGAGTATAATTCCTATTGGAAACTAGAAAGCAAAGACCGGTGCAGTTGTAACTTTAAAAGCAGGACATAAATATACCCATAACACCCAGGCTACAACTGGACAACCAAAGCAAGCGGTGTGTCGAGATTCTCCCAGAGGGACTAGTAATATCAGCGATGACTTATTTTTCGAGTCTTTGGAAATATCCATGGAACGGTTTGACCACCTCATAGTCCCCCGGAATGGTTCCTTTCGAGTCTAGGGCGCAATTTGTGGAGCAAGAGACATCAGTGCCGTTTTGTCAGGGCCTTGATAAAATATGGCGTTGGGAGAGAGTCCCGAAGAGGCTTTGTCCCAATATGCAAGTTGATCCAAGCCCTTCAGTTTCTGGAAGTTGAATTGGGCCTATTTGCAAGTCCTCAACTTCGTGTACCTAATATTCCAATATACCCACTCATCAGACAGCAAGTATTGGAAAACTATGTGATAAGTGAGAGCACGGCGGCTCAAGTGTAACACAGGAGCCTATTGAGCCCACTATGCCATTTTCAACTCGACCACAAAACCAAGAAAAGTCGACGGGTGATGTGTAAATGTCATACATACATGGCTGCGTTGCAGGAGGTCAAGTGCACCGTCGGAATCAACCACGTTACACTCGCTAGATCAATGGCTTGGGGGATGGGGTATAAGAGTGTGCGATATGGGAGCATGATCTACCCACAAAAGCAACAATACCTCTTGCCGTCATTATTATCGCCCGGTCTTCAAATCCCTACCTCAATCCGCTTCCTACCATGCCTAAGTCCCAGTCCAATCTTACTGGCTCCGATAAGCCTAACACGGTCGCATACGGCAAATGGGACTCCTTTTCTTGGGAGCCCTTCCCTGAATGGGAGGGCACCAAGGCTATTATGTTCCGCTCATCGGATGGCAAGCGAGTTGCTGGTGCTTTCCGCGAGTCTGCAACCGCCAGCATGACATACACCTGTGACGAGTTCACATACGTCACGGCGGGATGGATCAAAGCCCATGTTCATGGTGGCGATACATTCACCCTCAAGGTGGGAGACTGTGTCTACTTTACCAAGGGTCAGACGGTGGACTTTGAGTGCAGCAAGGACTATGCCAATGTCTCTGCGTTCTTTGGTACTGAGCCTGTTACTATCGTTTGAGATCAGTATCTGGCCAATCGCCAGTGCGATAGAAATAAAATGGACTATGTATTCGGCAAATTGAATTAGAGGCAATGACGAGTATTCCCCCTCCTTTCACTCATGCTTTTTACTGTTCATCGCATCAAGTCTGACCATGGTTACCGTGGACTGTAGCTTTGAGAAATGGAAAGAAAGTAACAATTCAAGTATATCTAAATTTTTTTGATGAGCATAAGCTTAGCTTATAGTTGTAGTCCAAAGGCTTCCGCGCTAGGCATATCTGGAGGAGTAAGATGCGGATGTACCTAGGAGAGGAAAATAGATGACTAATGCTGCGAAGGGCACAACGGCCAATGTCCCAATGGACTTTTTGGCCTAGTTTATGCCTGAATGATGCCTGATTCTAGAGCGCTTTTTTGACCGCTCTATACAGTGTATTGTAAATGAAGCTATTCCCATCATCATTTCCATCATCGTCATCGCCCTGGAGCTATTCCTATCCCCACCCATCGTCTATCGATATTGAGCCTCATAAAGCCGAGATACTTGATCTTCTCTAACAAAAAACCACCCATGAAGCTATTCGCACCATTCTCAAGGACAAATACCAGATCAAAATCAGCCGGACGGGCTTAACTAGGCGCCTTTAACGATAGTGAGCTATATCATTGGATTGGTATCTACGCTTAGCGTCTCGCACCAACAAATGCGGATGAAAACAGTTGCGACTTCAACTTCGTAGAATAAGCGGTAGGCGGTCGGGGGGCGGGTGCACAATATTTTGTATGGTGGGAATAGCTTCATTTTATTGGACTCGAGCACTTTGGGTACTTTGCTTAATAAGACATCTGTCATTGTAATTCAGGTATTTTAATTTCTGCCTGTTTGAAATAAGGCACCAATAAAGCATTTTAGGGCATAAACTAGGCCAAAAAGTCCATTGGGACATTGGCCGTTATGCCCCTTCGCAAATGCAGTGTTTGATTGTAAACAAGTCCAATTGGACGGGGAAGAAAACCAAGATAAACTGGCGTCGGCAGTTTCGTGCCAATGCTGGCTTTGAGATCGACCCCTAGATAATGTCCGCTGTTCACCATCTTGGAGGTACTGTAGTGAGTCTGATAGGTTGGACAAATATTTTTTTAGGAAATGTTATGCGAATATTGCTTTATGATAGAGTATTCACTTAGAATACGCATGAGGCGGGACCGTTCAACACAGTCCATGACTTTCATCATAACCGCTTTGTATTTCTCTGTCGTCAACCGATGCCTGATCAGTACTAGGTTCCAATCCAACCTTTTCGGTATGACCTACCTGATGACAACACTATCAAGTTCATGCAAGGTGATCTCCACCGAAGTGGTAATACCACTATGCTTTTGAAACCACAGTGCCCTTGTTATCGTTGATTGGGAACTGTCTGGCTGGCTGCCTGAGCACCAGGAGACCCACAAAACGGAGTTGACTGTTGATGACGAACAGTGGCTGGAATATTTACCGTTGATTTTGGCTCAGCATGAGAGCACTGTGGAAGCATGGTGGTGGTATATGGCATCTCTGGGTGTTCAACTAACAGCGAGCCCCGAGGCTACAATAATTTAGGAGTCTACTCAGAGAAAAGGCTTTCTGGCAAATCCTGTAGGATGCATAAGGAGAGAAAGGAACTATCTACAGTGGGAGGACTAGATATGCTAGGATTCGAAAACGAGCTCTCCAAGCAGACTCTCTGCATAATGACTGCTTGCCATGGTTGTTTACTCGTCAAACCAAGGGTCTTCCAAAATCTGTCTTGCTGAGGCTCTTGCTGACGGCTCAAACAGCAACACCCTTCCAATGATCTGTCCCAGCCTCGCGATATCATCCCTGGTAAGATCAGGACTCTGCGGGCTCTCAAAGTACACTTCCTCTAGCCACTCCTGCAAGTTGGGTGCGGTGCCTTCTGGGGTTTCGCCGTCATCTGCGTTCATCATATCCCATATCTTGTGCCATCTTTCAGGCAGTTCATCACTTACCATCTCTCGCATCTGTCCAACGAGAATTGGGGGCGTTATCAAGAAGGTGTCGAAAGGCGGTTGACCAGCAAAAAGTTCAAAGAGCTAGCATATCCATCAGTTTACTGTTGTATGGTGTTTAACGTCGAATGGCTTCACCTACCATGCATCCCATGCTCCACAAGTCAACGCGGTAATCAATGCGATCTTGAAAAATGACCTCAGGTGCCCGAACAGGTAGAGGTGTGTAGTGTTTGAGGTACCGTAGTATGTAAAAACGATCCCCCAAAGTCGATGATTTTGATCGTCTGGGCGGATATCAAAGAATGCATTGTCTGATACGAGGTAGGCCTAACGACATACTCGGGTAAACTAGATTCGAGGTCTTTCCCGTCGCGACTTCGGACATAGCCAATATCTGGATTTCCTAGCATCTTAGTAAACTTATCTTCAGTTAAATTGTCTATAGAAGGTATAGTAAAGGCTAGATTGCGGGTATATAGATCTATATTATATAAGAGTGGGTCAAAAATTTCCTAGGAGTATGAACTATAACATACGTACCTCCATGTGCAATATTCCGTTGTTGCAAGCTATCAAGACCGAGAAGACTTTGCTTCGCAATGACTTTGGCGAGCTTCCCAGGGAGCCTCCCATAGGGAAAATGTGCTTTAGTTGCGTCCGGAACATTAGGCCCCAAAAGCTCATATACCAGACAGTTATAAGACCCATTTTGGCCCCTCAAATTGAAGTCATCAAGTATGTGTACCGTATGGTCTAAGGGAGGGCGATGAGATGCTAAATTCTTCAGAGTTTGGAGCTCTCGTATCTCTGCACCATTATCACCTTCTGCAACAGGAATTTTGACAGCAACATAAGCATTATCTCTGAAAAAATGCAACTTTCCAGTTAGCTAGGTCTACTATGAGTCACCCAATTTTGTACAACCTTTGATCTCTCGCCGCCCAAACTGTTGAGTAACCTCCCCACCCTAGTTTATGTAGCACTTTATACCTTCCAGATTTCAGGTATTATCCCAGGACAACTGGGTGGTATCCACCTTGCCGGTACCGGTGAAGTGGCTCCGCGTCAACGGGGGAGATATAAAGTGGCTAGTCCATCTGACTCTTGTCTGAGTGTGTGGACATCGACTGAGAGACAGTGAGAAGCCGCAGGATTGTCCTCCGTGGGACAGTACGTCTCGGTAGTATCCAGGCGATTGCCATGTAGGTGATGTGTCAAATAAATATTGTCACAAACTATAGATTGTGATGTGATGACCCCTGGATGCGCCTGCCCAGGAATGGATGACATAAACGATATCCAATCACATGATCTGTATACCCGCCCAAGTCTTTTTTCGCGGTAGGTTATTTGGCCAAGATCACACAACTAAAAAAAATGAAACGGTCGCTGATGCATTCTCAAAGATACGATATGTTGATTGGATCCATGGATATGGATATGGGAACTGTTGGCAGTGCTAAGAGGTACTGCTCCTGAAAGGTTCAGATAGACCTCCGCAAAGCCCACAAAGCCCAAAGCCCACTAATGGGCTGGGTTTTGGGGCTAGTCCTTAGGCCCACCGGTGGGTTATGGGCCCGGGGTGAAAGCCCACTGGGCTTTGAATAGGGGCCTATCAGGGCCCAAAAAGCACCAAACAATACAAATATTCCGAAAAACGTGACTTTTTTAATTACTATATGTATAGATCCCGTTTCTCGCCATTATCTAGGGGTAATATTCTATTATTATAATTGATATACAGTAAATTTATAGTGATATATATTAATCAAGTTTAAAAACGCGAGAGAACGCGAGAGAACGCGCGGTTTAGGAATTTTATAAATTATAGAGTTTCACCAAGAAAGTGGTCTCCCGTGTATATCTCAAATATATATCTGATGTCGAAGTATATATTGACCTTTTTTCGACATCCACTGGTTGGATTTTATTTAAAACTAGAGTATACACTGATATAGTAATTGCAATTATATACTTTAAATTTAAAGTCTATACAATCAGTAGAAGGGTCAGAATACAGCGATTAGAAGATTCTAGTTGAACCCCCTTAACGGGCTACAATGGGGGCCTTATGGGCCCCCACGAGTAGGCTGTGGGTTGGGTTGGGCTTCGAAGGTTAAGCCCATAGCCCACTGCTGGTTGGGCCTTGGGCCCGAGGTCCGGGCCCATTTATAGGATTTGCGGAAGTCTAGGTTCAGATGACTATGCCAACAGCGCTTACTATTATCCAAAAAAAAAAAAAAAAGAAAACATAAGTCATTGGAGCACAAAACAGAACCGAAACGCTCTACGCAATATAGCGGCAGCAAGAACAGACATGCACAGGCTTTGGCAGAACATATAAACCAGTACCCTGCTGCTCTACGAAGACGTATCTAGGTTTATAAAGATTACCACTCGTTCATGTACTATGAAGATTGCGATATTTCTATCAAACTTGGGGTCCGACATATCTCCCATTCTCCGTTATTTGAGATTTTGCGTCGGTATATTTTCCATAGAATGGAGAGAAATCCAGAATCGGGGGAGCTATAGGCGGTCACATTTTGAAGAATAAACTGAGCTGTGTTTGCGTTTGCTCGTTAACATCGCTTTTCTTTCAATATATTTTCTCGGAATCCGAAATAAGAGCTACCCCAAAACTGTTCGGCCTCGCACAGAAGTCCGAAATTTTGATCCTAGCTACTCCGGCTCTATGTGGAGCTCTAGCATGTGCTACGAAGTGGGGTTTGGGACAAGAATTTCCCAAAAATGGGGGCTAACGGTTTATTTAGCTGCGATAAGGACGTGCGAGGAAGACATAGGGCGAGAAAGGGTACAAACTGTATCCTATCTGGGGAGGCTAGCCCCAGGAGATACGACGTTTGGTCACATCCGCTTGGATAACCATAGGTGGCTTGTCATACTCCATGTATGAACATGAAAGTCAAGGGGTTGGAATGTTATCCCAGGGAGGAGATGTTGCTCAGTATAAGAATCCTTTCAAGTAACCTCCGCGCTAGTGATTTGAAAAACTAGCAGTTCAACAATACATCATGATGTCTGAATTAAAATCAATTGAAATGGCCAAGGTACCCTACCCTGAAGTAGATACCGGCCAAACCATCTCGTATACAGATACAGAGGGCGAGAGGTCCTATGTCAGGAAAATTGACTTCATTGTGCTTCCAACACTATGCTTGGTGGGTCACCTGGCATGCGAAACACAGTTAATGGAAATATTTGCTAACTTTGAGGCTTGTGTCATCGTACAGATGTACTTTTTTGACTGCATGGATCGGGTAAGTGCGATGTTAGACAACGGCATGATGTTCTGGAACCATGCTAACTATAATCCTAGAGCAATCTGGCCAATGCGAAGACAGATGGTTTGGATGAGGACTTGCATCTAAAGGGGAATGACTATTCTCTATTGATCCTTCTCTTCTATATCCCCTTTGGGCTCTTCGATCTGCCATGGAATCTTTTCATTAAGAGATTTTCAGGTAGAATCATGCTGTCTATTTGTGAGACACTTCAATCTTTTAATAATTTTGATGAGGCGTACTGACATTCACGCCAAAGTGTCTATTGTGTGGGGAGTTCTAGCGCTTTGCCAATGCGCTGCTAAGGATTTCGGTTCTCTGCTTACCATTCGCATCATCTTGGGTGTTTTCGAAGCAGGTTTCTTTGCTGGAGCAACCTTCTACCTCACATTGTTTTATACGCGCGGAGAAATGGGATTCCGCCTGGCTATCATGCAATCATTTGCAGTTCTGGCATCTGCCTTTAGTGGACTGATCTCCTTCGGAGCATTCCAGATAAATCACCCGGCAGTCAAAGGATGGCAGTGGCTGTTTATTATTGAAGGATCGATGACATTAATCACTGGCGCTGTGGCAATTTTCCTGCTACCAGATGGGGTACAGAAAGCCTGGTTTTTGACCAACAGAGAGAAGGCGGCGGCGACAGCACGTCTGCTTCGAGATACCTCGTTGGAGGTGAATACCCAATTTGATCTTAAGGCCTGCTTTCAGTCGTGGAACGACTGGAAATTCCCAGTGTGGTGTTTGATTACCTTCACATACCCTGTTGCTTATGCCACTGCAATGAATTTCTTCCCTTTGGTGAGTACATATCGAATCCCATATTGTTGGAAGTTGGCTAACTATAGCAGATTGTTCAACGATTGGGATACTCTGTCATCAAGACTAACCTCTGGACAGTGGCGCCAAATCTCGTCGGAGCAGTTGTCCTACTATGTGTGGCCAAGTCATCAGACTATTTCCGCGAAAGAACGCTCCATATTGTCTTTTCTTTGGCAGTTTCATTGGTCGGAATTATTATATTAATTGCGATTGATGTTCAGAAGAACAAGGGGGTAGCATACTTTGCCTGTTTCCTGATGGCGGCAGGATCCTATATTCCGTCGAGTCTTGTTCATGCGTGGCACAACAATAACAACGTACACGAGAACTCACGAGTTGCGAATACAGGATTCTTCGTAGGGCTAGGCAATTTCGCTGGAGTATTGAGCGCAGGCACATTTCGAACTCAATATGCACCAAAGTAAGAGACTCTGCTGATATATCAAGAGAAAGTACTAACCGAATGCATAGGTATTTGCCAACCCTCATCGCAACTTGTTGTTGCAATGCAGTGTGCATCGTTCTTGTCCTAGGATTGGGAGGTTGGATGCGCATGGAGAATCATCGCCGTGATAGCAAGCAGGGATTGAGACTGAGAGAGGATCAGACTGACACTAGTCAGTTCAAAGAGGGCGAAAAGAGTCCAGAGTGGAGGTACTTCCCTTGATATGTTCAAATCGTCTTTCTATAACCCCCCAAAGTAGTCGTCCCAGAGAGAAATTCGTTGCCGTGGTTTAATTATGCATTTGAATTGGTGCCGAGCAAGCTTTTCCTACCTAGGTAGGTCATCTGTTTCATCCAATTTAAATAATCAGCCCATGTAATCCTTACTATACAAGTGGTCTTACTATATCTCCCTTGCGTATTTGGAAAACTACCCCCAAAGACCCCAACCTCCGCAATCCACCGTTGCTAGTTGGAAAATCCAAGAGCATTAAGTGGCTGACACTCCAATGAACGCTAGGTCCTCTCGATATGAGCTTTGCATATGATATTGAAATTATACCAATCAGCAATTAGCACGATCTTGCCCCCCGCATTCTTATTAGTAGACCAACGGGTTGAACTCCGAGTGAATTATTATCAAAGTCATTGAAGTAGCTGGCCAGGTATCATTTCGCACCTGGGACAACTCAGCCATAAAAAACCAGGAAAAGCACCCATGGCAACACCCAGGTTGTAGCAAGAGCTTCACGCTGGCAGAGCACCTGCGTCGCCATGCGCTCAACCACGAGCAGGCGCGCAACGGGTATACCTTTGAGCGTTGCTCTGTTCCCTTCCAGCGTTCAGATCTGCTAGCTACATGAAGTTTATTTTGGTGGTTAAGCATGTGCTGATGAGCCTAGCGCGACATATGGAGCGCAGCTAGAAACGGGATCTTGAAGCTGGAGGGCCAGGGCAGGGGACTTTGAAGACGCGAAAGAGCACCCGGAGAGCTGAGGATAGTTCTATTGTTGTTCGTCCTTCGCCGCGGCAAATTAGAACTGTGGCTGCAACTCGATCACCTATCTCGGCGAATCCTTCCAGCCAGGAGACAGAACTGCGAGATGAGGAAGAGTATTTCCATAATGATGTCCCATTATCACCACCTCGCTCGGGCACTGAACCAACATCGATGTCTATCGAGGATACAGATCCTTTCTTGGCTTCGTTGGTGCCAACTGGGACCTTTGAGCCGTATGTTGAGTCATTGTCTGGACAGTTTGATGCAGCAGATAGGTCTTTTGGTGTGCAGTTGGATGGGATAGGGGATTATTTTGGGATGGACACTGGTATGGATGACTCCAACTGATCCCTGGCAATTTTCAGCCTGACCTCAGCAGCAACCGACTTCAACCTCCCATTTGCAGCTACGTGTAACTACAATTGGCTATTCGATGGTTCCTTCCCCGACGATGCTTTTCATCAATTCATCATACCTCTCGTGTTCGACACAGCCCTTATTTTGGAACAATTTAACTCGAATTTAGAAGAAATAAACTAGAAATAAGATGGTCCATCAGCCTTGCTTATGGCATCAATTATGGACAGAAGCACAGCATTTGAGGAAACCACCCTACCTGCTCTACCCAGTCTGGTCTAGGTTGGGTCTATATCACGCGATGTAGTAAAATTGTATTAGATAATTTTAGTAGAGAGGCGTCACATAACTAACCTTCTAGTGCAAGTGTAATAGTCATCCTGTTATATTCGTTTACATCACTCATCCACTCTAGTCGATACGATGGCCAAAGGGTGACTGCCGGGCAGTACTAGATATCGAGAGACTCACCAGCATCTTAGAGGCTGGGAACGTACGCGTTGTGCCACGAAAGGACCTCCTCGAGAGGTACCTCAGCACACTTCAAGAGCAAGCGTCCAAAGCGGCCCGCCATGGAGAGCATCTAGTCCAACTGATGTTTGGGCACGGCACCCCAGCCCATGAGATAAGAGGTCGGAGGCTCTATCCTACATATGAAAGATCTCCGCCATGTACTCCAACTAATATCCTCCACTACCAGTCAAAAAATAGTTTCAGCGCAAGTCCTGCGAGGAATATTGTTTTGGAGACTTGCCTCTTTCTCAGCGACCTCACCAGGGGTGGAGGTAGACCTAATCCTGGGTGAGCACACCATCTCACTGTCTGGGCTTGAGTACTGTGTGAAGGATATCCAGGCAAGGACTGTTAAAGGGTATGTCGGAGGTGAACGTCGAGGATTGCGTACAGAGGTGCTGAAAAGTGCCTCCGCCAAATTATTATCCATTGTTATCCATTGAGAGGCTAAATAAAAAGAAAAAGACAAGCACGATGGCCTGTGTCATGAATTCGCTAACCAATGATGACCCTGACCCCCACAAACAAAAATAACCTATTGATTCAATCCAAGAGGGTTATCCGCAGTCTGCTGCTGGCCCCCAAGACTAGAGAAACCACTCTGCACTCCCTGTCCAGCACCCTTCGTGGTATTCCCGACACCCTCTGTTGCGCCCGAGATTGTATTTCCGAGCCCAGATGTTGCGCCGCCCACGGTTGAGCCGAGACCGCCGACTGTGGTGCCCAGTGTGTTTGTCACGCCGCCGACTGTCTTGCCCAGGGTATCGCCTAGGCCGCCGAGGAGTCCGGCTATTGATATTGGTTAGCTGGATTTTGAAATTCGGGACTGGGGTATGGGGAACGTACGGTTCTGTTCGTTGGACATGGTGGTTGTGTGGAGAGGTATGTGTGGTTTGTGTGTTGTATGGAGTATGTGGTTTAGTAAATTGAAAAGATCAAGTGTTTGGATATTGTATAGTGCTGATTGAGATTGTTATGCCAGAGTTACATGCATCGTGGTCTTTATTTATATCAGCGCCTCGCCCTGAAACCGGTTACATCGCCATGATATAATGGGTGCAACATCCACTCAGGCATATGAATGAACCACGCGCCGCAATCGAGCGTACCCAATGGGAGTACAGGAACAATGGCGATCTCTTTCAGACAGCCACCCATGATCGGGGTTAATATCTTGCATGTATCCATCTGACGTATGGCTGTATCCCATGTCCCCCGCAGCCTGTAGTATGAGGTCATCATTGGTTGATATTCTCCGGTTGGGTGTGGATAGTGGCTGACAGTCTCCAGGACCATTCTAGAAAATCTGTTATATTAAAATGGCTGTGGCCAATGGTGGATGGTTGCTGTGATATTTCTAATTTCAAGTTTAGAGTCCAGGGGTATGATGTCATCTATTCGGTGCTTCGATTGGGTGGAATCAAGCCAGGTTTTATATTAACTGTAGCTGAATGATCTCATGTCGGGCAAAACGACTGTTTGTATAGGTTGATTTGTTCGTATCGTGAAGGCTAAATACGATTTAGAAGCACAGATTGGTCAACAACCCATCGTATAAATGAGAGCACGGTCCATATCTGGGGTATCATCGGTATAACCAAGAACGACCAACTGCATCGACATATTTACAAACTCGACTTTCCGCGAGACTCGTATGGCATGAATAATACAAGAATACCTGCTGCGATGAACAGCGCCCCGCTAACATAAACAGGAGCAGCGGTCGTGAGGTCAGCAAACATGGCAATGATAGGAGCCATGATGCCAAAGATCCGATTCGCAGACGCGGTTAATGCATTTCCTGTACCACGGTCCTTGGTGAGAAATATCTCGGGCGTGTATGCGTATAACACGGCGTACATGAGACTGCTCATGAAATTAAAGGCGCAGTTCCAACCTAACAGAGCATTAGATGTAGTAGCTGTTGTTGACGCAAGAAGAAAGGCTCCAGTTATAGCTGTCGAAGTGCTGAGAGCACCCTTCCGACCAAAGCTTGGTAGTTCGACCAATACTCCGCCGACCAAAGACCCTGGGATGCCCATCACGGCAATGATCAACGAGTTCCGATACGTGATGTAAGTCGACCCATCACCGAATTCAGCGCCTCGGGACTGCTGGATGTATGGGAGGAATGCATTATACAGTGGAAAACCGAGACCGATGAATGCCCAGACGAGAATGATCAAAGTTGTAGCCCATGCTCGCTTAGGGGTATCGAAAAGAGCGCGGATATGATCAAAGCGCACGGTTTCTAGGCGTTGACGGACGATGTTTGCCGCACTGAAATGCTGTATCTCACCCTGGTCCAAGTTGTCAAGCTCGATTCTCGTCAAATCAGACGTTTTTCCATTCCTCCTAGCAACTTCATGGACAACGTCCACAGCCTTCTCGTTCCTTCCCTTTCCCATGAGATATTTGGGAGACTCGAAAATCGTGAAAAACACAAATCGACCGACAAACATGAGCATCGCGATGCCACCCATCGCGATCATGAACCATCGCCAACCCATATTATCAGCTTTGGTACATCCTTCTGCTGAACCACACGTCCTATACCCTAGCAGCGGCCAAGCGATCAAAGTGGCGAGCAGCTGGGCTAAGGCCCAATAAATCGACAAAATAGTCAAAAGGTACTGATGTGATCCAGGTAAGAACTCCAGGAAGATGGCTGAGTCAACCGGCAGGTTCCCACCAACACCGACAGACCACAAAGCCGCAAATGCACATATGGCCGCAAAATTTGGCGATCCTGCCGCGACCAGGCCAAACACCGCCGTGATTCCAATCGTCAAGTTGAACGCCCATTTGCGACCGAAGACATCGCATCCAAATCCCCAAAACACAGCACCTACCAGCAACCCGATGTTTTGCGCAAGCGTCAACATTGGCGGTTTCGATGGATGGAACTCGTTGGACACCACGGGGAGAATTAGCGAGGTAACGATTGGCCATAGATTGTCGCTCGCCCAGCCGAATCCGATCACAACAAAGAGCTGCCATTGGTATCGACCCATGCCGATCGTTTGAATCGCGCGATTGAGGACCTCGGCTTTTGCTTTGTAGCTCGTATCGGAACCTTCATCCCGAAGAACAGTTGAGTCCTCGATCGCCGTTGGCTCGAGGCCAAGCGATTTGGGCGCTGCTGACATGTCGTGTTAAGAACAGAGAAGAAGTAGGAACGCGGGGAAGGGAGAGAACGGCTTATAGCTTGACAGTCCGCATTCTCGCTCTAACCCTGATTAGTTTGGATCTCCATATGTCTAATCATATCCTATGCTACAACCCTAGATCAAGTTTATTCTGTGGATTTCCTTCGTTTCGGTCGACTTCGATTGGATATTCTGATGGCGTGCTCGATGCGTACTTTTGTGTCACAAGGGAGTTTTCCAGGCATTTCCCCAATTCAGAGAAGAGCCAATCCCGGCAATCCTGGCACATTGCAGGGATGTCTTACATGTCACGTGGGAGGCTGAGAGGCAGTTTCTTAAACCTTTGTATGAAGAATCATTACCACCGAACGAAACTCACATAATTTCCAGCCTGTGCTCCTCATTCTCCAGGCACTATCGATGTATTGATGGTTAGTATATAAATGAATGAATATCGTGGGTGATATAGTTGACCTAAAGGCTGAAGTTCTCGAATTGGAGATCCTTCACATTGCCGCTGCCGCCCTTGCTCTTGATTGTATGACTACATCTAATCCCAGAACCAGATGTAGATGTTGCGATAGGTGATGTCGAAGTATTAGTTCCTAGTCTTAGTTTTGTCCAAGGTTTCGAAGGTTATTGGGCCGTTAAGAGATCGATCGACCAAACGAATCAGCCATATCCCGAAACCCCATTATATTGACTGTCCGTCCACAACCATCAGCATGCCAGACGTTCAGTCGTGGTATTCCGACTCGGAACGAGTTACGGGAAGAAACGACGAACTACTTCATGTTTCCAGGGAGGCGAGCATTCGTGATAAAACATGACTAGTCAAGCTTGAAAGTTGATTGATGGACGCGCGAATGTTCTCGTGGAAAATGCGGGGGCTAGCGGCCGTTCTCAAGCCCTTGCCTTTGGGGCTTGGGGTTAGTCTGTTTCGTCGCATAAGCCGCAAACATTATTCCCTGTCCCTGTTCATTTACAACATTTCTCTATGAGCGATATTATCGGGATAAAATATCACGCCGATCACCGACCAGGTCAGCTCACCTGTCATCTCAGAGACTCTATGTGTCACATACCAGTTTAGATTCGCTTGTTCATTCGTACATATATGTATGTTGTAGTCAATGTCTTTCTATTGAGATATTCAGGAAATCAATCAGCTTTTGAACTCCCAGGCAAAGAATATTAAAAGCTTCGAATTCTCTATGCCTAAGTCCGAATTCTCGTCTGGTTTACTTTTTCATATTATACAAAGTATCCATGATTCCGAGGTGATAGTGGGGTAATTGCTGTGCAAAGTACAAAGTACGCATATGCAGTTTGTGTGAAGCTGACTGCATAAACGCTAACAGGCTGGATCAGCAGCGCTAATCTTACATCCGGACGATGATTCGATTTTGAGGCTGCGGGAACAACCAATGGGGATCAGTGTTGGAACAGCCCCAATTCTATGGTAGGACTAAGCTGCAATCCTCTAGAGAATGCTTCGAGTTAAATCATCCTAATGAAACACGAATCTGTGTGCATTCACTATAATGGAGGCGGATGGACAGAGAGTGTAAGAAAGAGAGAGGACCTCGGGAAGAGGAGTCGAGATATATCTATCTCATTACGTGGGTCCTGCCCTTTGGGGGACCAAACACCAAACTCTCAAGTACGGAGTAGTCCATATTAAATTATACCTCGTATAGGTCGATCACTCCAAGTATTTCAAATTGATGTCTCACACACAGTTCTTGATGCTGTTAGAATTCTCTATAGTAAACCCCTATGAAATGAACAGTTAGTACCCCCAACCAAGATGCGTGCATTATTGAATTAACTCCGTAGCCCCCAGTATCCGTTTGAGCCTACCTTTCCTATGAAATATCGTCATGCAGAAGCATCTGCTAGTTATCTGGCCCTACGTATCTATAGCTTGGGGCACCGTAGTGTGTGCTTCTATTCAAGCCCGATATACGGAGTAACCAAAAGGCAATATTGCAGTTCAGAATCAGAGGTCCAATATGGGGCGAGGTTAACATTTCACTAAATTCTGTAAACCATCTACCCACTAACGAGTAATGAGTGACAAGTAACATGTTGCTTCAAAGTTCGAACATAGTATTGCACTGAATTCCAAAAACCCAGCCAGCCAATTATTTGATGTTGAATCTTTCCAATTCGCCTCAGTAGTTCTGGTGGGAGAATGGCCGAAATACCACTCCAGTCCCATTCAGTACACTCGCTATTCTCACTCTAGCACTTGGCTCCACCCTCGATACCACCGCTGCAGGAGTTGGTTCCACAATCCTGAATCTCTGTCCACTTTCCACCCTTGCATTCGACCTTTTCACAGAAATATAGATTAGCAAACGTGGTCTAATACTTCAACTTGGATATGTGAACATACAATGCCGGTCCTGTCGCAGCCACAGAAGTGTCTGTCTCCATTGGATGCTTGGCAGGGGCTGTTTGTACGTCTCTGAGCGGGATCATAGCCGGCTCCGCACGCATCACGCGCCTCCAGGACTGAAGCACTGACGGCGGTGGCAGCCATGAGAGTGACGAAGATGCCTGTGAACTTCATTGTGAAAGATGTGTTGTTGTAGATTGAAACGAGATTGGTTGTTGTTTGTTTGAGATTGTTGATTGTTTGAAAGCTTGATATCTGAGAGGATGAGTTTCTGGAGGATATTTCGACGCCTTTATACCTTTCGGGGCAATTGCCAAGGCTTCTTGATTGATTCCCCAATACAGCAAACATCTTGCAGATTATTCGCATTGAATGCCTAGTATGGAAACATCATGTACCGAAGCAGTTAATTGGTTCTTAGGTTGGAGTTGCATTGCAGTAATCTGATCAGACAACACTGCCCCCGAGCTGAAAAGACAGCTCATGGAAATGTACATTCGCTTACTTGAATAGTAGAATCTCTGCGTAGATCAATCTTGGCGGATAGAGAATACGAATGAGCCTTGGTGAAGATCAACCTAGGATGATTCAGCTTATGCATCTAAGCCAGTACAAATCATAGGTGCCAAAACCTGTAGTGGAAACATCGAAGATAAAAGTGATGAGTCGGCTAAATGATATGATTTCTGGTGTAGATAAAGAACCGGTCATCGAATCCTTGAATTCTCAAATGTACCTGAACTCAGTTACATATCTCACCAACATCTTCAATTATAATGGAGTGCCCAGGTTATCCAATGAAATACACAGACCAGGAGCTACACCAACATCAAAGACAAAAGAGGATAATACAACCTTGTCAGCCACAATGGGTCTCATGCCGGACATTGGCCAATCGAATGAGCTTGGCTAGCTTGTCCTAGCTATGAACACGAGCGTGATGTAGATATGCAGGAAAGGAGATGAAGATGACTGATAATGTTATTCATACTTGTTATGCTCTTACATAAATTGCATGTTATTACTACTTTGTACACAGATGTAAGCGGCGGTCAGGTACCAGCACTGGAGGTATTACACCCGTAGTTTAGATAGTTGAAGCATGTGTACATATCCGATGCATATCTCTCTCATTTCTTCCCGGTTTTTCACCTCAATCTAGGCCATTAAACTGGCCCATCAGGCTATCGCATAGCAATTGCCGATGGCAATTACTAAGACCATTAGGCCACCCAAGTACGGGGCACGTAAAGAAGATCTTTAGGGTTACATGATGTTTTTGGCTTTGTGGCGTGGCGGAGCACGGGAGATCCGCACGCCTCCCCCATCTTTGCCAAAAGTCCGATGTTCTCTTGGAGACGTACCTCTTGTTTGGGTCTAAATATAAGAGTGAACTGTCAGTTTCTCAACATTATGACCTATTAAAAATCATATTCAACTACACGGAAAATATATCTTTTTTTTTACCTTGGAACTTGTGGTTGGCATGATGTGAATGGTTCGTTACCGCAGGAGCTAGAGTCTCTTGGCAAGGACTAGCTATGTATGAAGTACCTACCCCGCTGAAAGCATGGCCCAACGGCCTAAAATGGCTAGAGGCGGAAGCCAACCGGCCGACCATGGAGTATGGACATATGTTGTAGGTATGGAGTATATAGGAATGTATTTCATGATCTTCTCTATAAAAAGATATACATATCACATACCCATTGGAGACGATCCAATCAAAAAGACATACGAGCGCGCCCCCGGTGAACCGGCCCCCGGTTACATTTTCAAGCCAAGAAGTGTTAATATAAACGAGAACTATGGCCCCGGGGCCCAAAGCCGGGGCCCACAGCCGTGGCCCCCCGAGGGTACACCCAATGTTCAGCTGAGCATTGACCATCAGGTACGGAGTACTGACAGCTCAAGACTAGCCACTTGGTATGATACCTGACAAGTCACTCAAGACAGACATTATCTCAAATTTCTCTGAGGCTCAGATAAGGATAGCCATATGATCTGCCAACGCAGGAATAAATCCGTCTACAATGGTCTCACAAAATTTACTACGATGTCAGTTCAAAGTTCAAAGTGTCTGAATTGTCCCGGCTATATACCCAAGCAACACCTAGCCTGCAAAGCTAAACCAATTCGGTTGCGTACTTGAACAACAGTAAGTCCTCATATCACAGAAGAAATCCATCGCAAAAGGTAACAGCCAATTCCAAATCCATTCGGAGTCCAATCATCCTCCCCATCATATCCAAGATAAAATCTTAGATCATGAGACGCTCAACCTGGTTCTTGATAGCCCGGATCTGAGCGCTCAGCTCACTGGCCTCGTTGGTGGTGATGGAGGCAGCGATGACGGGGCGGGAAACACCGGTGGCACGGCCGAGAGCCATCTTGCTGGGAACGTAAACGTAGGGAACCTAATTTGAATTATTAGTCTAGATTCTCGGCGTACAGCATAGGACGAGTATTTGACTCACGTTCTTGTCCTCGGCCAAAAGAGGCAAGTGAAGGACAATAGCCAGGGGGCTGGTATCGGCGGCCATGATGACGAGCTCGGAGGTTCCACGGTTAAGAGACTTGGTGCACTCGTTGGCGCCCTTCTTCAGCTGACGGTAGTGAGCGGCTTGCTGGACAAGGTCGAGGAGGCTCTGGGCGAGGGCCTCATCGGCGATGGGCCAAGCGGCACTGGTATCTTCGGCCATTGTTGTGTAGTAGTTGGGAATTCAAACACCAGATCTTAAGAAATGGCTCACTCGGTGGATCACGGCCGTGTAATTGCAACGGAAAATAAGTGAGGAATAGGATGAGGTTAGGTTGGAGATGATGATCGTGGGAAATTTTTTAGGAGCGGACCCGTTCAAACACACCGCCTGCTGAATTTGCACATCTTTCTGCAGTGATTATTTACCGCCCTTTGTCCTATTGGTCAACCTACATATACCGCCACTGACTTTTTATGCCTGCTTTGTCAGGCAGAAGACGGAATTTTCCTTAATTCGATCCTGTGATAAATGGACCACAGCACTATTCAGTGATCTCTCACCCTTTACTAAATATGTAAAGAATCAGTGTTGAGGTGTGTAGATATTATCCCTCGTTCTGTTCGCACCTACTCTCACTAATTTAGAGCCATTATCGCTGTCTCCCTCCTAGACCTCCGCAAAGCCCATAAATAGGCCCGGACCTCGGGCCCAAGGCCCAACAGCAGTGGGCTATGGGCTTAACCTTCGAAGCCCAACCCAACCCACAGCCCATTCGTGGGGGCCCATAAGGCCCCTATTATAGCCTATTAAGGGGGTTCAACTAGGATATTGTAATCGTTGTATTCTGACCCGTCTACTGATTGTATAGACTTTAAATTTGAAATATAATTGCAATTACTGTATAAGTGTATATTCTAATTTTAAATAAAATCCAACCAGTGGATGTCGAAAAAGGTCAATACATACTTTGATATAAGATATATATCTTAGATCTATACGGGAGCACTACCACTTTCTTAGTGAAACTCTACAACTTATAAATTTTCTGAACCGAGCGTTTTCTCGCGTTTTTAAACGTGATTAATATATTTCACTATTAATTTACTATATATCAATTATTATAATAAAATGTTACCCCTAGATAAAGGCGAGAAGCGGGGTCTATACATAAAGTAATTAAAAAAGTCACATTTTTCGGAATATTTGTATTGTTTGGTGCTTTTTGGGCCCTAATGGGCCCCCATTCAAAGCCCAGCCTATTAGTAGGTTGGGGCGGGTTGGGCTTTGGGCTTTGTGGGCTTGGTGGGCTTTGCGGAGGTCTACTCCCTCCCATCAACTTGTAGCCTTCTTATTCTCTGTTTTGCCTGAAACAGTCGTTTCTACATTTTCGCTCCCTCAGATATCTTTTAGGCAATAAAATTAGTTTGGAAATTTCATTTTGTCCTCTTACACTCATCAGATCTACATACCACTCGAAAACTTCTACAATGGTCCAGGTCTTCTTCAAAATATTTCCTATAATTCATAATGAGGGCCCTCATTTGATGCCTGCTGGTATTCTAATTTCCAAAAACAACTACCCAAGTTTTTAGTTTGTGCCGTTCACAGTGGCGGAGGCAAGTTTAGAACGTGCACGCAAGGCAGGGCCAAACTTGAACAGAATGAACGGAATAAACGTCAAGACAGTCGCCACCAATGCCAACAGCAATCCAGCGTACTGACTACCCATGTTGTGGAAGAACTGCGAAGCAAACAGTGGGGACACAGCACCAAGTGTATTGCGCATGAAACCCTGACCGGCAATGGCAGAAGAAGAGTGTTCTCCATAACAATCGGCCGTGTAACTGTAGCAGGACTCAAAGATGAAGAAGATACCGATGGTGATGAGGGCAAGTCCAATGACTGGGCCGATCCAGGGGAGGCCCTCGTACTGGGTGAAGCTGTAGACGAACAATCCGATTGGCAGCCAGACTGCTCCGCATAGGGCACCATACAACCGAGCTTCGGGTGCGATCTCAAGGTTGGGGTCGGAGGTGAGAGAGTTGTATTTTCTGATTTGCAGAAAGTTGAGACCGAAGCCGATGGTGGTTCCGAGGCAGAGGGATATGTAGGGAAGACCCGAGATTCCTTCGTTCCAGCCGCGCTTTTCTTGGAAGGTGATTGGAATGACGGAAAGGAAGAGGAAGGTTAGGAACCAGGCAAAACTGATCCAGAGACCAAAGGCGAAGACGACTGGCTCAGTAAAGAGCATCTTCACGGCTTTTACAGAGGAGTTGTGCAACATGTGTTTAATCCCGGGGGCTTCGATATCGTTGTGGGTCACGAAACGGTCGTCGCCAGTGGCTTGGCGAATTTTCTTCGCACGCTTGGTAAGGCATACACTGCCACGAGTTTCGGGTAGGCAAATGGCAATAACGATACCAAGGGGGATATTTGCCAGACCCTGGATACCCTCGAGCCAGCGCCAGCCAAGAGCCTGGTCAATGAAGCCGGCGTAGATTGGTGCACCGACTGTACCGAGGATAGCGATGAAGGAGAAACAAGCCATGGGGATAGCACGATGCTCGGGGGTATACATGTCTCCAAAAGTTCCGCCAACAAGGATTGTACCAACACAACCAAAAAGACCCAGCAGGGCACGACAGACTAGGATTGTGGCAATGTTCTTGCCTAGCGCAAGGCCAATAAACATAAGACAGAAGCAGACATAGGCACCAACATAGATCACTCGTCGACCAGCCAGCTCACAGAATGGGGCAAGGAAAAGGGGAGCAAGTGCGCAAGTAAAGTTGAAGGTGAATAGACCAAGCTTTCCAATTTCCTCTGATGTTGCTAAATCCGCTACCATGCCTGAGATTCCAGAGCTGTACGCTGTGGTAGCGAGACCAATGAAAAGTGTCATGAGGCAAAGCTGGGCACTGATGAAGGCCTTTCGGCCTGAACTCCAGTTGAAAGGGTTCTCTTTATCTCCATCCACGAATTCAAGCACGATGAACTCTTGGCCATCGTGCTGCTTAACCTTTGTGGCTGTAAGGGGAAGATCAACATTGACCTCTTGCAATAAGCTGCTATCGGATTCCTGGGTGTCCTCTTCTAAAACTTCGTCCCGGTATTTTCCTCCGACGATTAGAGCCTTAGTTGTGCGTTCCTGGTCGGCTGGGATGGTGTGAAGTGAAGGCACATTCTCGGTATGGGAAGCCGAGACCGGCTGAAGATTCTTGGTGGCCTTCATGTTGAATATAGTCTTATAATCTGAAGGGTAAGGCTGAAAAATCTGCCCCGGAGAGAATAAATAGGATGGGTGTTGCTGCCTTTCTATGACTTTCAAGCATTAGTACTAAGTAAATGACCTACCCACTCTACGTCACGCTCCGGACTCCAGAATTTCAGAAGAACTGGGGCTGCGGGATAATACGGAGGGTAGGGGAGAGTATTCCCCGGCAATGATTGATCGTGCTGCCAGCAACAGCCCGAGGAGGAATATTTGGATCAATGAACGAGTGAGAATGTGAAGTGAGTGGATATGATGAGATCTGCGTGAAAACCCCTCGTATCTGAGACTTTTTATTCCTCCTATATTGGATATAATTACCGTCAATATCGCCAGGAGAATTCCTGCACCAATATATATTCTTCAAGTCCGACTCATTATATTCCATTCTCCGTTGTCCGTCCCCGTACTTCAATATATAGGGCACACTGAGACTGCATATATATTTTTACGCCTCTGCCAGAACCAAAATAGTTCATTTTTCGGACGATCTCCGGGCATTTAAGCTTTGGATATATCACCGACGATGGTCCGAATAAGCTCCCGACCCGGGTTGCTTTGATTGGCGCATGGTTTCATAAGGGTCGGCATCCCGTTTTGCACCCGGACTACCCGAGCGGAGGAAACCTAGGGCGAGAGAGTTCGGAACAGATCAAGTGTGTGATAGACTGTAATGAAGTTGGATATTTGCTCTATAACTCCCCTCAGAAGTATAGTCATAACTGTTCACATATGGACTATTAACCAAGCTTCACATTGACCCACTCGGAACTATCCACCGGGCCTTCCCCCAGTATACTCTTCCCGGTGAGTCCGATTGAACCCCCGAGGTTTGCCCCGAAATTGATCCCGAAGATTTGATTAGCTGGGTAATCTTCGGGACTTCATATAAATATGTACCATCATTTCCAATAACATCCTGTGCCTGCACTGATGTTTCTTGACGCTCCCCATCAGTCTCATATCTCAACCTGATTCTGCTCAAAAGTATTGGGGGTCCACTTGACAATTTTCCCGTTAGGTTCCGAGATATGTGCCACGGGGAGAAGAAACTTCAACGCACTAATGTCCCATTAGCTCAGTTGTCTATCGGCTGGCCTAGTCATATTGTCGGGGCTCGTTCTCTTTTCGACGTGATGCATGTATAAATATCAATCGAGGCTAGTACTAGCGTTTATGTAGTGCATATCTTACCATAATATCTTGCAACTTGCCCCATCCTTGTATGAATCAGGCGATTAGACGATTATATTACTGAGGCATTTAATTTTGACTCAGTCCCGTCTGAGCCATTTATACTAACTTCCCATTGATAGGAGTCGCAATACCAATCTCTTTCCCATATTCATTCAGTACTCATTGATGAAGTTTTCCTCTGTTTTCCGACTGTCTCGCAAATCCCACATCAAGGAGGAAATTTTGTGAAATTTCTTTTCAATGATTGATTCACTGTCGCCTTGAGCTTATCTACAGCAGATCGCTCGCTTGCTAGGATTCCAGACGTGCTGTAACTCTGTGGGACTGCAGACCGCATTCCAGATCTCTGTTACGATCGCACGGCGAGTCTCGCAGCTATGAACAGAAGCACATTTTCGGCATCGCTCAGGGCGCATAATACACTGCAGAGTGCGTTGAACCTGAGCTTCTCGAGCTGGATTTGGAGTACTTAGGTGTAGGTGTAGGCAGAGTGGTTAAGACGAAGTGACAAGTAGATTTGTATATGTGATCTTTTGCGTCGATTGGAGACTAGTCAGAGAGAGATGTCGCCGCAAGTCCAGTATGTTTGATTTCAAATGATTTGCGAAGGATTACACCATGCGAGATATAATTGAGGCGCTCAGTAGGATGGGAAACTAGGCGTTCGTTGGCTTCGCTGATCATTCCGCGCAGTTGTTCGAGTGCAGAGGCTGTGTGCGTCGCCTTCATTGCCACAATCAAATTCGTATTACTGCTTATTTCTGCGGCATTATAACTCCCTCCCGATTCGGCAATTGAGTACCAGTTTCAGCCGCGAGGTGTTCTCAAATCATATCCTCCATGTTCGATAATCTGACCCGATCGGGCTTCAAATGAGATCTTGTCTCCATTATCGCGGTATGCATCGCGAAGGAACGGTTGGTGACAAGGGATGGTCACCGGGGGATGGTCGGATATATCGAACAATGAATGTGCGGCAAATGTGCCGGTTCTACTGAGGCCTAGGAGATATACCCTGGACCTTCCTTATGTAGTTGTTGCACGGTTGGTCAACTACCGGACAGAGGTTGCCATACTGCGACGTTGTGGAATAGCCTGGGGTATTAGCAAAGTCGAAACACTCATTTGGGAAGTCTACGGAATGGAAGGAACTAGATTCATCCTTGAAAAAGACACAATAGCAATATTTGGTGAGCTTTTTTCTTTCTTTTCTTGAAATACGTCAAATTGTGGAGAGAAATAAATGTGCCTTTGACCCACATGTTTCTGATGGGGAATGGATATCCTTGAAATTTTGTTGGAGATGCTGGTGGCGAGTTATTCGAATTCAGTATCTGTAGCATTAGATCAATGTCCTCCGTAGCAATGGTTATTATACTCCGCGGGGAGTATTTGATAGAGCGGACCAATGAGCTGTTAATCCTTATTTGGCGGACAACGGCGATTCGATAGCGAATTGACTGTTTATCCGTTGCTCATATCCGCCAAATTGCAAATATAAGATGACGATGTAGTTCATTTGTCTTTGGGCTATAAACCCCAATTTATTTCATTATCAACATTATTTCGGTCTCTAACCATTGAATTGCTCTGTGTTCATCCCTTAATATATTTCAAAATGTCGCCAAACTACGGTCCTGAATATACTGCCTCCAAGCTTACTACCCATGGCTTGAAGTTCTACAACTGGGCTGGAGCTGGTGAACAGGCGGCGGAGCATTTTGGACTCTCCCATGCTGTGATCATTCCTGCAAATGCTCGCCGTGTATTGATCGGAGGCCAACTTGGAATTCGAGATGATGGTACGATCCCCACAGACCCGGCAGAGGAAGCGGATATTGCCTTTGAACACGTTGAGCGTGCCCTGAAGGCAGCTGGCTTCGGAGATGATGCGTGGGAATATGTCTATAAGGTTTGATATACCAAATCGGAAAATAAGTGGGAAATAACTAATCGATAGTTTCAATAGATTAACACCTACGAGATTGCAGGAGAGGGAGTTCAGCCCGGTATTGGGAAAGCAGCTCGCAAGTACTTGAAGAACACCCGCCCGGCATGGACTGGTGTGAATGTTGCTTCTCTCGTGATGCCAGGCCTCCATTTAGAGATTGAGGTTGAGGCATATCTTCCAAACTGATAACATTGCGAGTTTTCATAGTTGCAATTGATATAATTCTTGAAAATAAGCGTGCTTGATCAGACCTTTGTAAATGAGAATATTATATCCATTCGTGGTTTCAGCATAGTTCATATTGCATTTTAAAATGCTAGTAATCTCCTACTTATATCGTTAAAAACATGTCATTTCAACCAATCAGCATGTTAGCTCAGGGGAAGAGCGCCGGGCTCATAACCCGGAGGTACGTTTCACCGAAACCAGGTTTCCCATTCGAACATCAAACTAACTCACAATAGGACCCTGGATCGAAACCAGGACATGCTATGTCTATCTTTTTTTTTTCTCAAAGAAAAGGGTCTATATACTCTTCCCATAATCTTTACAAACACTTCCATTTTAACCTTGGAAGGTGTCTTGACGTTTTTCAAAAGTATTATTTTAATATCTACGAGCTCGTCCACGTCATTGACATCATTGACATCATTGACTCTCGGATATGCAACCTTCTTTCAATTGTACAGCCTTGCTTCTTCCCCATAGCATCATACTGATGTAACTTATGGGCGTCTATTAAACCTACTGGTTTATATTGTATAAATATTTGATCCAATGTCGCTAGGAGGATAGCCTAGCTTAGTTTTCTACTACATCCCTTTGAGTGAGAACTAAAACAAGATGGCGGAAAATAGCTCACAACACCACCTTCACAAGTAAGACGTCCATCCAATCCCAATTAACCCACATGTTGCTCACGTTTGAAGTGTCGGCAACTGGATGCCAGCAGACCACAGAGCCCACAAAGAATGGCTAGGAGGAATAATCCGCCAAGTGGATGAAAGCGAGGAAAAACCGCTCCACCCAGTCCTAGTCGAATTCAGACAGCTCATCGAAAAAAACACACGTGTATACATGCTCTTGACTTCGATGTTCAAGGAAGTCCCACAGAAGAAGCGATATGGACACGACCCAACAGGCAACCCGGAAATCCGTGACTATTGTCATTTCCTGCATGTTCTTAATCACCTTCTGACGACTGCACCTACCTGGACCGACAAGGCACACCGTGCCGGTCTAGTCGGTCTGCCTATTAATGCCGTCCTCGATTGGCCAATGGGTACACCCAGTGGATATGCAGCCTTCCTAGATCCTGACATCAACGCTATTCTCAAGAAGGTCTTGAATGTGTGGGGCGAGTTCTTACGCTCACCTGCTTCTGCTGATGTACTGAATGACACTTCTCACGGGTGGTTCGGCAAGACCGGCACTCGGGATCTCACAGCTGCTGCAAAGGTCGGCCCGATGGCTGCAACTGATTTGCAATTCCACGATCTATTCGAATGTGACCCATCTGCACCAAACCACGGATTTAAATCCTGGGATGACTTCTTCACCCGCCGCGTCAAAGAGGGAATTCGTCCCGTCGAAGACCCTGAGGACGGAAGGGTTATCGCTAATGCGTGCGAATCGAGACCGTACCGAGTTGCGCATCATGTTCATGCCCGTGACAAGTTCTGGATCAAGAGTCAGCCCTACTCTGTCCTCGACATGCTGGGCCATGATACTCTTGCGCCGCAGTTTGTTGGTGGCACTATCTATCAGGCTTTCCTTAGTGCGTTGAGCTATCACCGTTGGCATTCGCCTGTTACCGGAAAGGTTGTCAAGGCTTATGTTGTTGACGGTACTTACTACTCTGAGCCGCTGTTTGAAGGCCTTGGGAACCCGGGTATGTCACAGAAGGAGATTGATATGGCGGGTCAGGTTACTTCTCAGGGATATATCACTTCAACTGCAACACGGGCACTTATCTTCATTGAAGCCGATGAGCCAGCAATTGGATTGGTGGCATTTATTGGAGTTGGTATGGCAGAGGTTTCGACTTGTGATATCACTGTCAAGGAGGGGGATAGAGTGAAGAAGGGAGATGAAATTGGTATGTTCCACTTTGGTGGTTCGACACACTGTCTTCTTTTCCGAAAGGGTGTTCATGTGTCTGGGCTCCCAGAGCCTGGGATGGCAGAGAACAAGCCAGTGCGAAGCAAACTGGCAGTTGTCTTATGAGGAACGAATGTGCATGCTCAAATCGCCAAATTTGGAGTATAAAAGATTGGATTTAGGTTATATATTCTATATTTTCTCTTGTTCATGGTATTCAGTACATAATACGATGAATGACATATTATTCGAACGACAGCTTTGTAGATGATGAAAGCTTTCTGAACAGTACATCGTGCAACTTGTGGGTTGTTCAGTGGAGTGGTCTTGCTCCTCTTCGTGCTTTTTCATGGATCTCTTTAAATTCCCCAAATTCTGCGGCCTTTATGGCCTCTTCAAAAACACAATCGCTCTCCGCTCTTCTTGTTTCGTTTCTCGATCTTCTCCTCTCTTGTCTTCGCGCTTTCTTGTGATGCCTTTACTCCTTCATGCTACTGGGCCTGCAACATGATGCATGTTAATGTGAGCGCACGGATGTACTACTTGTACGTGTATTGACGACATAATCACTTGGGCCCCATTAATCTCCACCACTAGTCGGTGTGGTCGATCACGTTTATCAAGTCCATCACGCGTGAAACTTGAACTAGCTACAGCCAGCCCCCGGGTCGTGTATGTACATGAATCTGCCGATCCGAAAAGCGTCGCTGCCAGTCAGCTGCTAGCAACTCTAACGCAAGATTCTGGGTTCTGCGAGGATGAAGATGTTGCTCGAAGAATATCGACTGCTTCGTGCCAATGTGACACTGAACTGTATAGTAAAGCTTCTTGGGTGAGTAAGATAGCGCTACCACTGTCGTAGGGGGCTGTTGCAAAGCTTCCGTTGGAGTGTTGGAACATCTATGTTTTAGCAATGGACAACCCGCGTTCTCCTACTCCTTGCTGATTTAGGGTAGCCAGACGGAGTCCATTGACCTGGGGTTGAAATTCAAGCTGCAGATGGAAATTTGGCAGAAGCATAAGTTCAGTTAGGGGTCTGAAAGGCTTTCCTCCACTTGTTGGTTGTACTGCTATTGGGGAGGGCTGGACATTCTATATTCTAACCGGAGTTGAAGATTCTGGTGTGTCGAAAGAAGTAGTGAGTATATAGGCTTTTGACTTGGGTAGGATGGCTAACTCCTTTTTATGCAGTGCATCTGGGGTCCTTTATCCGACTTGGATGGTTGCACTACCGAGTTCGAGTCATGTAGTACACAACTGGACAGTACCAGGAAGGAATTTCCCGAGCAATGACTTCGACAGTTTGATGGTTTATGCAGGTGGCCTCCTGCTTATTCACAGTGCGACCTAATGTACTTTCAAAAATTTTTCCAATGAAACTTCATTTGAACTCCATTTGGAGCCTTTAGTCTGATATGATATTTTGATGGTAGTATAGAGGTAGGAATGCTATTCTAATTACAAATTCCAAGTTTTGACGTCGCAATGCGATGGTTCTACTACTTGAGGATATCCAAATCAAGAATTGCGTATGGCGCACCGCGTCATGCTCCCTCTACCTTGTCCATTTCCCCCGCCTCAAACTGCTTCGTAGCTTCTCACCGACCCCCCCAAGATGAATCCGGAAATTCCGCAAAGTAGAACGCATGCGGTCTGTGACGTTGTTTTGAGCAACGCTCTACCCTAATATTAGGAAATTGTTTATTTACAGACCAATTTCCCGACTTTGGTTGAAAATCAACTGCGAGATGAAGGCTGAGTTCCTGATTTTCGTGTTGTGTTTGCTTTTGAGCCAGGGGTTGGCTGAAGATCGGCACCCCCTTGTTGCATCCCTTGGTGCTCTCCGCGTATTGCACTACAACAATCTTGGCCCTCAGAACAATGGAACTTCAGCTGTTTTAGCATACGATCACTCGAACTATGCTGATGCCACTGCAAAATGCACTGCCATTGGCGAGAAGCTCTTTCCGTGGTCTTTGAGTCAAAACAATAGTCAAACCCACATCGAACTCGATTATGAACTGGATTATCTCGTCTTTACAAAGGAGCTAGGAGCTGATGACTACTTGTGGCTGTCGACAGAGCAGAAGAATCGCAAGAGTTGTTCTGCTTTCTCGATCTTCCATCGCAAGACCATACAGAAATCATGCACAGACAAGCTACCAGTCCTCTGTACATCTACTCCGCCCGCGACAACCGATCTCGACGAAGCTGCAAGAGAAACCACGAAGCTGACCGTGACATCCAACGATTATACCTTCACTGGATATCGAGATGCGCGATCCTTCCGCTTCCTCGGTATACCCTTTGCCAGTCCCCCGATCGATGATCTGCGCTTTGCCCCACCGCAGCCCTACACAGGACAGAAGAACCTCAATGCGACTAGAATGGGAGATTCATGTATACAATCACGTTCAAGCTTAAGCACCGTGCCTATCGGTGGAATGTCCGAGAACTGCCTCTATTTGAACGTCTTCACCCCGTTCCTGCCTCCAAATTTCAACAAAGCCACCGCCCTCCTCCCCGTGGCTGTTTATTTTTACGGGGGTGCATTCACAAAGGGCACCGCAGCTATGATTGATTATGACGGGGGAAATTTTGCCAGCCGTAGCGATGTGGTCGTCATCACCCTTAACTATCGACTTGGAGCATTGGGCTTTTTGTCGACGGGAAACCTGACAACTGGGAGCTATGGGATTCAGGATCAGATTATGGCTTTGGAATGGATACAAAAGCACATATCTGCCTTGGGAGGGGATCCCTCACATGTTACTATCTTCGGACAGTCTTCTGGTGGTCAAAGCGTGGTAGCCCTGCTCTCTTCTACCGCAGCAAAGGGACTCTTCTCCGGCGCGCTGGTGCAATCAGCAAATTTTGACCTCCCATGGTTCCCTCGCGGAATTTACTCTAGATATATCACCCCAGAAGTCGCAAAGGCAGTTGGCTGTGATGGGGACATTTCCGAAGCAAACCTCGTCGACTGCCTTCGTTCCGTCCCGGCTTCAATGTATCTGGATAACTCGACCGCTTTCCGAAATGCTACAAAGGCCTTCTCATCCAGCATCGCAAGTCATTTCTACAACACTACAGAACTGATATCCGCAGCAGAGCCATTCATGCCAATGGTAGACGACACCGGATCCGGCGTCGTCGACGACCAATTCAACAACCTCCTAACAAACAATAATCTTCCCATCAACGTCCCGACAATGTTCACCACTGTTCGCGACGAGGCAAGCCTATACACGGACATTCTCGGCCTCGGCTCGACCCAAGCCCCACTCGGTACATTGCTTAAAGCCATATTTGGCGATGCTCTTGCGACAAAAATAATATCCTCTGGCGCGTACAATGTGGACGATTCGGATCACGATGCCGTCCTTAAAGCTGCTTCCGATGCCCTGACGCATAGTCAATGGATGTGTCCACTGGGCTATCTTCTTGACAATTCCAATTCCAATTCCGCCTTCCCCTCCCTATACGAGCTCCAAATAGCAGACGGTCATGCGCAGACGTTACAGATGCCGGCTATATGTTCACCGAATAGTCGATACAACGCTTCCTGTCACACCTCAGATATCTTGCTCGCATGGGGTACACTGAATACCAAGACGGAAGACGTTCAGCCGTACTACGACGATCGGGATATTCTTCACTCGCAACTTGTCCATGATGTCTTTGGGGCATTTTTCCGCGAGAGAAACCCAAACCCAGATTTGGAGTTCTTGAAGGTTCGTGGTCCTGCATATGCAAGTACTCTTTCTATATTTGAGGGTGAATTTAGTTCAAATTCCTTGCTTGGGCGTGCCGAGAAGGCGCTTGTTATTGAACAATATACGCCGGAACGGAATATGACCCTTCTGGGGATGCTACCGTCTAGTACGAATAATTTTGAGGACGAGAATATCTGTGTTGCTCTGCGTGATTATGGGTTTACTTTCCAACGGGCACAGCTGTCAGATTAAACCCATGTTCAATTTAGCCATTGATTAAATTGTCACAATGGACACTTCTTGAATGGGTAGAACTCATATCTCATTACAACTGCAGGACAGCAACATTCAACCACCCATTGTAAATTTCTCATCGTAGGATGCACTGTGAATTATGTATGCGACTTAGTTTTAACCATTATAGGATCTACATGATGCACCTTCGAGTTTATGCTGGTTTGCTCTGATCAATTTGAGCCATTCAATATGTATTCGAGTCGTGAGTATCATTGGTATGAAAAGGCATAAAAAACGAAAAGAAAAGAAAAGAAATGAAAAGCTAGATACAGAGGCGGCCGCCAAAAAGAAAGAGTGGGATGCTACATGTGTCGTGATAGAGATCAGATGCCAAAGGCGGCTTATTTGAGACATGGTGGTGAAAGAGATGGATAGAGCCAATGGAAAGTAAAATGGTCATCTCATATGCTCAACATGACAGAAAAAAGAAATTCGTTAAATGTATGGTCATGCAGCATGTCGTCAAAATTATTCGTAAATGGGGACCCTCCGTGAGGGAACGTATCTGTCATCCTCAGGCATAGCCGCCTGGTTATATCGCTTTGAAGCGGAAGTCCGAGGGCTTGCCCATCCGGTTGTGCGGGGGTGGAATCCAGCACTGCTGTATGATCGCTGCCGCTCAGATCCACTTCCTCCGCTACTAGGTCGGCTATTGCCCGTACTGCCACCACTGTAGCTTCCTCTTCTCATATCATCTGCGGCGTAAGTTCCCAAATGTCTAGGTACCGCTCTCGGCGGAGGGGGAGTTGGTGGCCTGTAGAATGGTGGATCTGGAGCAGCTGGAGCAGGAGCCGTATCACCGAATATGAATTCGCGGAATTTGACACCAGCGGTACGTGATCGAGAACGGTCTTTTGGATGATCCTTTGGGTAATCTCTCGGATGATCCCTATCTCTTGGATAATCCCTTGCGTGGTCTCTCGGGTGAACCTTTGGCGAAGGCTCAGAGTGTGATTTACTCGATCGCGAAGGGTGACTTTCGTGCGAGCGGCGCTGTCGGGTAGAACTTGTAGGAGACAGATCTCGGAATGGTCTGCGAGTGTAGGCTTCATGGGAGTGGCGTCTGGCACTACTGTTTGAAGGTGGTGAGAGATGACGTCGTTCTTGGTGCCTATTGGATTTCGAACGATCCTTTCGGTGGCGTGCAGACTCATCTGAAGACACGTCAGAGACATCTGAAACCTCACCTGTCTCGGGGCTCAGTGGATGGCTGTGCCGGCCAGCTTGGTCTCGTCTGCTTGAACGGGCCGGACGCTCTCGCTCTCCCCATGGTGGAGGTGACGAAACTCTTGGGGTTGAAAATCCCGGTCGATTTGCTCCAGGTCTGCGTGCTGTGAAGGCAGGATATTCTCCGCTGTGGTGTCGGCGGTGATGGCGATGGTCGCTGGGCTGATCGGGTTGCGCATAACTCTGACGCTTTGACGCCGCCCGGCGTGGACGGGAGAAGTAATCATCTTCGTCGGGTAGAGGATCCTTGCCACTAAAATGATAATGATATGACCCAAAGTCTGGCGGCGAAGCACGCTTCGTGTGTCTTTTCAAATAATCACGTTCCAATCGTCGACTCACGCCTTCATGCCATTCTAGCATCTCTGGGTCGGGCTCGGAAGGAAATGCATCTCGAGGAATCGTCTTTGGAAATATCTCGCCATTTGCGTCTACAATATCCCAAAGCTCGACCGCGTTCTGCAAATACACCGAGTGTTCATCTGGGTCCATCAACAGTTGTATTGTCTGCCATCGCACGAAGCCACTTGGGAGTAGTGACGGAATTGATGGGGGTTCATAAGGATTGGTGGAGGGTTGTAGGCTGTGGAAACATCCTAGGGACTGGTAGATGAATGACAGGGCTTGTGTCTTGGTCTCAAGGAATAACGGATCGTAGTTGCCGCCGACTTTGCGGTAAAAGGCAGCGAGTCTGTCGGGGGTGATATCAGTGGTGCCGTTGGAATCAAAGGAGGACTATGGAGATTTCAGTATGTTAGTATGGTCTCCAATCTACATTAAGACGGTCTAGAGCTTACCATCAACTGTGCGATCCCCAAACATAGCTGTTCCAGCAGCGGGGCTGGGCTTTTGTCTGAATTTATCAGCGTACCCCAGTGGTTATCCGCAGAAGCCATGGATGTGGGGTATGAGGTAGTGAGAAGTGCATGCAAGCAGACGCATCAAAGCATTTCATCTCACAGGCTTCGAGGTTGGGCACAAGAGAGAGAGAAAGAGTGGTGACAGCAAAGAGGGAACAGAGCGGTCAGGCAGCACATGGGACCCACTGCGGGGAGGAACCAAGAATGCGAACTATGAAAGTCCACGATATATAGATGTTGAACAAAGAATACTAGAGAATGTTGGAAATATTAGCATTCTCTGCCTCATATATCTAGCTGAAATAGCCAGCTGAATAAAAATACATGTGACTTGATGTCATCTACGATACCCTTGACTCACATACAATGTTGCATGACTATAACGCCTGATGTGGCGCTGTATGACCCAATCAGCTATTAGTTGAAAAGAAAATCGTCTCAATTAATTTGTGTCTTTTGACGTTCGCCAAATAATAGTATCAATATAGACTTGAGGAATGTCTTTTTGGACGCCTCGATTCTCCGAAATCCCCTTGGATTTTGCAGGATATATAAGCCCAATGACAGTGGTACCAAAAAGTAGGAGTTTTGGTTTGTTCTTCTATAGTCTACATAAAAATACCTGCCCTTCACATATAAATAGTGTACATTTCTATATCCTCTCTTTGCCCTCGGAGCATTTTGTACAGTAGAACATATGTCGGGTTGTGCCGGGAGACACTATCGGGGAACGTAGGAAGTACTGAATCAATGAGGAATATGGGATCGTTAGTTGGACAAGGTAAATGGCAAGTAGATAGTTATTGCGTATCTCTACCTTGCCACCAATGCATCCACTTTATACAGAATACCTTGCTCCCTAGGTAAGAAATTTAGTTATGTGGAATGCCTTGTATTTTAAGGATGCAGTTCTTCATACATAAGTAACTACATGCGCACTACAACATTCATAGCCTTGGGAATACACTTTCCCCCCTCCCAAATTGATGCTATGAAGTTCAAAGACACATCCCCAAAAGATCTAATCCAAGTGATTACCATCGACGTCCGTATCCAAAATGTGCCCACTATAACCACCGACCTCCTCGGGCCTCCCATCTGCCATCCACACTACAGTGTCCAATCCTGGTCTCATGTCCTTTTCCAGGGCTTTGAGTCGGTGGGCAATGGCAATGGTGGTGTGTCCTTGGTTTGTAAAATAATATCTCAGCATTTCCTGCATCCTGATTTCCGTTTCGAAGTCCAAGGATGAGCTGGCCTCATCCAGAAGCAGGATGGGCTTTGGTTGGCTAATCATAATGTCGTCGGTCTGACCTGATGAACGGATTCTTAGTAACGCCTGCGTGAAGGCAAATATCTGCCTCTGGCCCGTAGAGAATGGCGGCAAACTAGCCAACGGTTGGTCGAGAAGATCCAAATTTGGGGTATCTGGAACAATCATGTTTCCTGTCCTGCTCAAGGAACTGTCTCGGATCTTTGAAGGAGATATTGTTGACCAAAGCCCAGTCTTGGACAGAATTTCGAAGATTGTATCATCTCGATGTTGATCGTAGGGATCGAGGTTGAACCGAAGGCTTGCATCAGGCAGTATGAAAGGGTCCTGAGGTACAGCAATGAAGCAGCGTCGCCGTACAACATGCACCGGCATATTAGAGATATCAACGCCATCAACCTCAATTGTTCCACTCTGGGGTCTCAACAACTGCAGCAGGGTAAGAAAAAGACTACTTTTTCCACTGCGATTACCCAGTCAAAAGTCTTCAGTCAGTCTTCAATTTTTTATTGATCGGGAATTCATTGCGACCTATTTAATTACCTTCCAGTTCGGCCACTCAAAATGACATTTGAGCCACCTCGAATATCCATGTTAACCCCGCGAAGAACTGGCACCTGCGAACTGAAAAAAAATAAAACTTGTTAAAAGCGATTCGTCTACCAGTCCCGGCAACTGATACTAACTCGTAGCCTGCTGATATGTCGCTGATTTTCACGGAACCCATGCTTGGCCATTCGGGAGAGGGCTCCAAGCAGTTGCAGACTTCATCTTCCGAAGGGGTGTCTTGATCAATGGATCGCAGGCGTGATACTGCGCCGAGGGAGGTCTCAAGATTTGTCCAACTTTCAACTAGGCGGAGTAATGTTGTGTTGGCAGCAATGACCATGTTCAGCGCAATGCCCATATCAGCACCAGTGGCTGTGTTTCGAAATCTCACTGCGGAACCAATTAAAACCACAGCAATCCCGGCAATTAACAAATCCAGAACCACGTTGAGCCACCTCTGTAAACAAAGAAGAAGATACAATGGCCTCTGCGAGATATCGAGTTTCTCAATGTTGTTGATCGCAATTCTATCTTCCCATCCAAACGCGCGAATTGTAGAAATTCCTTCAATCTGTTTAGGAATCAGCATTAGTCAAAGCTGGGTCCGACATGTCCTGCTCACTGTCTCTAGGAAACTTGTATAAAGTTTTGCTTTTGACTCTAGGTCGATGAAACGCAATTGGCGAGAAGTTCTGAGATAGATCTGCTGAATGAAGTATACACAAATGGCGCAGAATGGTAAAGTCATAGCTACAGCGGGCTGAGCCACAAATAGGAGGATGGACTGCATGATAAGTTTGAAGATTTCTGGTGCCTTATGTTTAGCGTGAACAAGTAGCTAGCATATATGGTACTTAGCATACGGGTGCTGAGATTTGCGAAGGCAGGAGGCATTTCCTTGTCGACTAATTGGATATCCTGACCAAACCTTGAATGAGCGCAATTTAGTAAAGCTACGATCGAATGGGATCAATTTGCCAGACCTGTTCAATATGGTACCAATCTCGTGGGTCGAAAAGTAAAAAAGCGGCGCACTATTCAAATTAGTAACCTAGTACTTCTCACCGAGCGGAGTTCGGTAACAAACTTGATTATTCTTTCAAGAAGTCGAGAATGCAGGGTGGAGCCGGATCGTGCAGCGATTATTATATGAGTTGACCTGAAAATTTGGTTGAGTCATATAGCTAGATTTGACGGAAGAGAGGGATACTAACCACATGGTTCCATTTGTTGCTATCCAAGCCATCGAGGACAAGAGGAAATATACCAGACCATGTAACAATGGGCTTGGATTATTGGATTCAGTCCACCACTTGAGAATGTATTGTGAGAAAGTAAGACAGAATGCATATATTGCAGTGCAGCTTCCCATTAACAGCATGTTTGAAATGCCCGCTGAACGAAAATAATAGCCTAGAATTTGCATCAGATCGCGCTCATAATTTGCGCGTAGCCCTAGAAGTAGATCACTTACCGTAAACTGCCGAATCCCCAGTCCTCCTTAATTTATCGACAGCGGCATCATCTATTCGTATTCTATATGTCTGTGAGTTGGCAACAGTTTCGGGTTTATCGTTCTCTAGCTTCTTTTGTGGAATATGGCTTGGCGTTTGAAGGATAGCATCGGAGGACCTCTGGGCTTGTACTTTTCCTTCATCGAGTAGAATAATCTCATCGGCCAGGGGATAATACTGAGCTGGGCTATGTCAGAAATGATGTGTCACTGAAAATGAAAGGGGTGGAAACACACTGCCCTGAGTGATGAGAAAGACGGTGGTTTTCAACGTGCGTAAAATCCCTTTAGGGCCAAGCAAGGCATTGATGATATGGTTCTCGACTGCTCCATCAATGGAACTAAACGGATCATCCAAAATCATAATACGACAACGAGAATAAACTGCACGAGCAAGAGCCTTGAAAAGTTTTGTTAGTGCTTTCAACCGATCGCGTGAATACGTAAAAACCCACAATGCGAGACTTTTGTCCCCCAGAAAGATTGATACCACCACTTCCAACCCAGGTCATATCTCCATCGATTAGGGATCCAAAATCGGTATTAAGACTGCAGGCTTGGATGACAGTCTGGTACCAGTCTGCATCAAAGATGCTTGATTGTCCACAAATAACATCCCGTATGGAAGCAATAGGAAGCCAGACAGAAGGGCTGCAATACGCTATACTGTCATGTGCAATAGTAATCTTACCCTCAGTGGGATTGATTTCCCCTAGGATTGTCAATGCCAGGGCTGACTTTCCACTGCCAATGGGCCCTGAGCACATGGAAATTGTACCTTCAGTCATCCGAAGATTAACATTTTGAAGAACTGGCTGTGAGCTAGAGAGTTGGATGCTGACATCTTCTAGCGCGAATGCCAATTTGGGACTAGGTTGCTGGTTGTCCTTTCTCCCTAGGGTGCCGGAAGATGTAAACACACGCTCATCTCTCAATGATCCTTGAGTCAGGTAGACTTGTATCCTTTCAAAATTCGCCAAGGATGCAACTGCACGAGGTACTATCGTCATGACCATATTAGCGGGATGAGTGACCAGGCCAAGAAGAGCGATTGAGGTGAAGACAATATCAGCATCTAGGGCATCCTGTGCATTGCGAGAAAATGCGAATAGCACCAATGTCAAAACCGGGGAGAATATCCCTAGCGCATTAGCTAAAGGTATGGGCTAAAAGTCAGCCTCAAATGTATGAAATGTATGGGGGAACAAGTTTGTTCTGAAGGAATTGGTGGAATCCTACCGCTGGCGTTGTATGCTACCATAATCCACCGCAATCTTATCGACTTTGCAATCTCTCGGGCCCTTAGATTTGAGACAAGCAGGTTAGTGGCCTCATCGAGACCTAGAATTTTCATACTTCTAATACCCCCAAGGACTGAGGTAAGCATTGAAAGGCGATCCTGAGTTGCAGCACTCCAGTCCTTCTGTCTCCCCTGAAGATGCTTTGCAACATATGCGCTCATTTGCGAACACCCTAAAGTAAGTTAGCCTTTTGTCTCGCTCGTTGATGTGCGAGAATGCCATACCAAATACAATCAGTAGGGGTAGTAGCGCAAACCATCCAACTTGGCTTGCAAGGAGAGTCGTTCCGACCAAAGTTTCTATGACTTGTGCCCAAGTCTCGTGGAACATTTCTGCAGAGTTGGTGAGGCTATCGACATCTGAGCTCATAAGTGTTAAGGCCTTTCCATCCCCAATAGGAGGTTTTTCAACCCTGAGTGACCGATCATGAAGAAGGCCAACAAGAGCCCCCCGCATCATAATCTGGAGCCGGTTGAGCTTGTGTCGATATATCGATGTGGAAACCTATAGAAAAATTTCATTGGACATCCTAGTTCAAAGTGGTCTTTTAGGGGACCTACTGCTAGACCGCAATATATGACAGTAGTTAACACGATTAGCCAGTATCCCGAATCAACATTATCGCGCTGTGGACTGTCAATCCGCACAAAATTGATAGCAATCTTAATTAGACTCGGCTGTGAGTAGCGGAAAGCTATCAAGAACAAACGTGGTACAATAGGTGATAGAAACTCTGCCCGAAAACAACCAAAGAGAACATGAGGCAAGGCGAACCTGCTCTCTGGTTTTGCTAGACCAAACGTTAATGACTTCGTTATTCGAACATTGTAGTGTGTAAAACTTACATCTCTCTGTCCAAGCCCGGATCAACCGCTTCCGTAACACTCTCGAGGAGAGAGCTCGGTCAAGGTTTGGTAAGTCATCTTGTGTTAAAAAATCATCGTAACCATCCTTGAGAATAGGGTTGATCCACCAAAACAGCGCTCTACCAACAACCCCGGTAAGCTCCTCGGGCGCAAGATATTTATAGTGAGGCTTTAAGATTGCAAGCTTGTTTCGAAGCTCCATTACTAGTATGCTCAACTGTAGCACTAATCTTATTCTCACGAGGATTTGACTTCTAGTTTCGATATCACCCGATGGTAACGTCAGGGCAATGAAATCCTTCATGCAATATATGGCCACATATAAAGTGACTGAACTCGATGGCCGTACATTCCTGTGGTGTTCAAAGAATGACAGTATAGAAAGCTCGGAAGTAGCGATAATGGATGCAAATAGTGGAATCTGGTAATTTAAATCATCTGCAAGGTGTATGGTTTCGATGAGAGAAATGAGTTGGGTGATGGTTAGCCCTAGGACTAGGATCTATTGACTCCAGGCACACGTATTAGCAAATTTTACCCCCCTCACATAGAAAAAAGAAGAGATATCCGACTATTTTGAAATGGCCTTGAAGATTAGGAACCACTTTGATGGCTGAACTGCGTAAATTCCACAACTGAAAAGACGCGTGTAGCACGAAGATGACTGATACTAAAGACGAGCACAGATTGAGCCAATAAATCTCGATAGACATGGTTGTGAAGCACTCTATTCCGTGTAAAATCTATGTCAGCGCGTGCAGGGTGGTAACCAAGGGAGCTTTCCAGAGATGACAACACGAACTGATCTCCAGGGCTGTACGGAGAGAAAGATAAGAAACGGAGGAAAAACCTATCTACTATAAGTACTGTCCCATTGGGGGCCTAGGCCTCAGGCCATCTAGCTTCTGGGAATAAATAATCCCTTGTTATTTTCCAAACACACTAACTATATACATAACTAGGAAGGTTACATTTGGAGTACACCGCCTTTTATCCGAACTAGCCGTTAGGTGGTTTCAGTATATAGAAAGATTCTACTCCGTACAAAGAAAACGAGTGCCTTGTTTATATTTGGATGATCAGATCGGAAGTGTTGGGTAGCCATATAGAATCATTTATTGGAGTCTCTTCCCAAGCTCAAGGGCGAAAGGATCATCGATGAGGGTGGAAGGTTGAGATATATATATAAACGAAAGCAAAGAATAGGGAAGGCTTCAATACCCACACCCTAACCCTTTTCGTGACTATTTCGAAAGCTTTCAGAAACATAAGATTGAACTTCTCAGTCCCCACCGTCTAGCGCTAGAATGGCACGGCGTTAAATAATATAGATATCCCCCATTTGATCTGAGCTCGTTAGTCTCGAAGTTCCCTAGCTGGTCTCTGGTGCTTTGCTAGTCAAAGAGACGGTCGCGCCTAGATTTGGAGCAACCTATCATCTTTGCCAGTCAATAACGGCCGTTATATCGTTGGCCACCATCGAAAGCCTGGGGTAGTGAATGCTGGCATAACCAAATGTGCACATGCATTATCTGATGTTGTTGACCACGGCAAAACTGTGATGCCGTTTTTATTTGTTCTAAAGACCTTGAGTCGTCGCTCTTTCAAATGCTTATTGCTCCATTAAAAATCCTACAATACCCGATCATGAAGTCCACAGCGAAAGGTTTGGCCACGAGTATACAGTATCCGTAAGAGAGGGGTCCAGCAAGTCAAAATCAAGGCCTGGCTGAGCTAGGAACTGTTCCATGCTCTCTCCTAGGAAGGTCATGTCGTTTGCGGTGTTTGATGGCACGGTAGCTTCTGGAATACCGGAGACAGTAGTATTCCCAAAAAGTCCCAGTTGGTTAGGGGGAATGACACTAAGTGGGTCATTAAAGGTCTCTACAACACGAGAGACATCACTATGGAAAGAACCGCCTCCTGACCCTCTGATATCATCCAAGCACTGCTTCACGGATTCCAAATTATCGTAAAATTCGGTCGCAGCAAGATTTCCGTGGCTGCTCATTGCCCGTAGAATTTCGAAAGCTGCCTCGAACAACGCAAAGTCATTGCTATTCTCGGGATATATAAGGCTGGAAATAACCATTATCAGTGCTGACGAGAAGAGGTAGTGAGCATAGAAATATCCAAAGATTGGGAGCGATCCGTTGGTCCATTCTTCCACGATCAGCGAGTGGGTATGTCTGGCAGCATGGATACATGCATCGCTGAGCGTTTTCAGGGTCTGGCGGATATTCGTCTGGGTAATATCCTCTGCAATAGACTCTGGTGATGTAGCTTGGATCAGCGCGTGCAGAAGGATCGGCCGACTGGCTAGCATTATACACTGCATTAGATTAGCCGACGATCTCTCCCTGCCTAGGGTATCCGCTTACCTGGTTGAATTGAAGATGCAGCGATATAACATTCTTCGGAACGGGGCTATCGCGATTGAGCCGAATTTGTGGGGGAAGGGCACAGCACCACTCCTTGAGAGAGATGAGCAACTTTTGCTCCCGCTGTAAGAAAGACTCCGAGAACCTTTTTCGACTGTACACACGGTCAATGACCTGACCTGTGATCTTGGCCAACTCAATACTGGCAACGAGGAATTCAGTGTCGGAGGTATGATCGTCGTGGATATCGCCAGGCACATTCGATGGCATTTCAACGTAGATGTCTGCGTCGGAAATCTGAATCGGCCAGCCGACTTTGGAGCCATACATTCGGTCGAATACGTAAATTGCCCACCATAGTCTGGTCCGATGCTGACGCTCCACGGGGTCTGGGCACTTGCTTTCGGGGATATTGTGATTTAGACCTACAGTCAAGCCTAGACGCATAGCGCTTCCGACCAACAGAAATGCTGAATGGCGTCGGTTCAAGAAAAATGAATATAGCGACTGCAATCGTCAGTACATAAGCGACGTATAATGGAGGTGATAAGTATCTTACCAAAAGTAAAAGGGTTTCAATATGTGCCAGGCTTGGTCGCTCCGGCAAGATGGGTATCATCGTGATCGCATTGACATAATAGGCCACACCAGGGACGTTACATTCAAAGCTTGGGATTGATCGTGCGGAATATACTTCTCCCAGAGCAAAAAGAGCAAAGAATTTACACGTCAATACGGGGTCGTCAAAGTTGCTCTTGCGATAGGCATCCTCGAGCTGGTCAGTGGTCGACTTGCGAAGAACCAAATGGTACACTCGGGTCACCTGAGCGAACACAATTTGGAGCAAAAGGCGAGCCTGCGGCAAGCTTGGCCATTGCATTGCGGGATTGCGTATTTTCATTAACGTATCTTCTGGTGTGTATTGCGTCCGAGGCATATGAGAAGTGGTCTCGCTCTTGGTAAGAACCTTTCGGATCCTGGTAGCGAATGCCGTGCATGCTGCTTCACAAACGTGGATAGGTGGTAATGAAGGGTCGTGTGGCAGGAACCATGCCCGTTCACCGAGCATTGGATTCCGAACATGTGTATCTGTGTCTGGTTCGGGCACATCTAGAACACGGCGTCAGTTGGAGTCACCGAAAAGACCAAAGAAACTTTAAACACCTTCATCTTGCGGTTGACGTTCTCTTGGCGTTAAGAATCTAGGTGACTGAGATAATTGGTCACGCAAGCGCTGGTTCTCTGCAGCTAGATCCTCGAGATAACTGGAACATTTAGCCTTGAACGGAGTAAGTCCAGCCTAGTGGGGCATACCTCTCATGCACTTTAATTTGACGATCGCGATTGACATAGTTACATTCGGTAGGACAACCGGCCTGCCGACATTTAAGACACGGTTGACCACCGGTGCATTTTATTTTGTGTGAATGGCATCTCCGGCAGCTTGAGATGGCATATTAGTGGGCCGTGGACCCGGGGTGGGTTCTCTGGGACTCACGCGATGGACTTCTTTTTCTGTTTTCTGACTGCATCGGTGTTTGGGATCTTTGACGAGGACTTCATACCGATTTTAATATAGCAGATCGATCATCTAGGAGATGAGCTTCGTACGAAGTAAGGAATGAAATTGGATTTTAGCCGACCTCGGGATGCTGAGCGGTAAAATTTCACGTTGCCGAGCCAATCACCGTCCAAAATTCGGCCATAGAGTCGATACATCCATAAACATCTACGATACAGAGTGAGGATAATCAAATACTAAAAGAAAAAAATATTGCCATTTATGCATGACCTGAACAAATATATTCAATAATCGACTAGGTATATGCTCATGGGATGATCTGTGCTTACACGCAAGATACTGCTATTACTGTTATTGAGGAAAACTAAGACAGGGCCCCCAGCTCTAAATAAGTACTCGCACCTTTCACGCGCAGTGACCTTTTTTGAGATATAAGTAGACGTAGTTAACTACTTCTGTTTGTTTGTAGACAATCAGTTTCGGCAAAAGGCTTTTCGCCGCATTATCGAACATTGAATCTGTTTTCGTGTCTTTTCACCTCGTCTCGGGAAGACGTGAGTTTGCCGACTTCTCCACAACAGATAGATTGTCCTTGATATTTTTCTATGGTTTTTTTAGAATGGAAAACAACTAAAAACAACATCCAGTGACCTGGTCCCCAGGATTGGATTCAAGTTATTCCGGCATTTCTCACTTAATTCGGGAAAATGATATTTCACCGGCGCCTTCCCCAAACTAGAATCGAACATACTTAGTACTTAAACGATGGATGCCTTTAGTTGAATATCCAAACATACACATGTGCATCATGAAGTTCTCAAATGTGGAATTCGCTGTGAACAGCTCGTCTAACTCGCCAACTTTCAAAACCCACGACATAATCGATGGCGAGATCGTTTTTACGCCTCATCAAGAAACCGACATTGAAGACATAAGCATCACCTTCCAAGGTACGCGCACGATGGAAGTAGAATTATCCTTGTGGTATTAACGCGGTAAACAGGAATGACACGAATCGAAGCCGCGAACATGAGTACACATCTTCCTCTGCCCTTCAACCGACTTCAGAAACCCTTTCTAAGTATGGAGTTGCCGATGTACGATTACTTACGGGGTACAAAAACTCTCAAGCCTGACAAGAGATATCGGATACCCTTCAAGTTCGTCGTCCCCAATGAACTTCCCATCCACGCCTGTCATCACCAATGCGCCAATCATCAAATTCAACAAGAACATCTGCTGCTACCTGCAAGTCTTAGCTACCGTGCTACTAAATCCCATGAAATCCACGACATGTCACCAGAAATGGCAGAAGTGATTTATAGCATCAACTTTGTCTTGTGGCAGCGAGATGGCAAGGCAGGAAGGTCGAAGAAAATCCAGGAATGCACACATCCTGTGCAAATCCTCCCAACAAGAGACGAAAATCCCCCCATTTTTGTTCCAAGAAAGAACAAGTTTTATAAATTGCTAGCAGAGAAATCCTTATCCACGGGAATACTGCGAAATGCACGTGGCAAACTTACTGCCTGCTCTGCCCAACCACCGGCTATCCAGTTACAAATTCTCCAGCCAACAAATACAGATGCGTCAACTTCTTTGAATATTACTCTTCAATTTGACCCTTCTCATCTGGGTCAGCTGCCACCAAGTCTTCTTGCCGTTGAATTTCAGTTGCGGGCGATGACTTTCTTTGGGCTAGAGTCGTGGCAAGATTATCCAGATCTGATTGATGTTTCTACATGGGGTCCACGACGAGAATTCTGGTCTGATTATGTGACATTGGCTCCGAACAAGGAAATAAAACTGGACTGGAAGTCTCAAGAAGAAGTGGAGCACACGATCTTCACCGCATCCATTGAGGCTTCGGTTTCACTGCCTACCTATCGACGCTATCCACCCACTTTCCATTCATGTTTAGTGTCTCGGGCTTATGCCCTGAAGGCAACTTTGTTCTATCGAGTAGATGGAAAGTCTCGTGGTAGATCATCCATATCGGTTTCTGTGCCAGTAGAGATTTGTGCAACATGATGAGATACCCTGGAGGCGATAGAGCTATACGGAATGTGGGTTATTTACAATATCATTGTTCAGACAATCACATCCATCTGCCATGCGACGCATGATCTACGGATCAACCAGTCACCCACGCGAAACAGCTTCGAAAAGTGATATCAGATACGATATGTTCCTCGGCCTTGAGCGTGCTCTTCCATCAAGTTTAAAAACTAATCCCGTTGCAAAGCAAATTGAGGCCCACATTCCTAAACCACATCATCACTTCAGTGCTAGCGATTAACAATTCCATCCCTGATAAGTCTCCCACTTAGTTTCCAACATTCCACGCTCAACATGCCACCTACGCCGGCATTTAACCACAACAATAACCAATACCAGCATCCCATTCTCACCTGCCAGTATGTCTCAGCCTTGATTATATTGTCTATGGAGTAACTGTCAAAATTCCACACGCGGCATTTTGCTCAGGCCCCTCTATCCAGAGGATAAGTGCAGCTGATACCCCTAGACCACGGCGTTTTCTCAAGAGTTTACGCTTTGCTTTCTTCAACTTACCAATTTGATCAAACACAGATCAACTCTCTCATTATTTGGGCTTCTCCATCTCGAATTTATCGCTCGATTTACTCTTGTGTCTTCATACACCAGTGGTTGCCCTCTTCTCAGCCAGCCACTCGACCATCCCTTGGGCCATCCAACCCACCACAGCACAACAGTCTACGCTGCGCCACGGCCCAATATCACATCATATCATCATGGCTTTAGTTCGAGATCCATGTTTCTGGAAACGCTTCTCAACTGCAGTCCACATGGACGAAGAATCTAAAGCAGTTAATCAGGGAGCACACGCGAAGCACGACGCGTAAGATATCCTCATTTCCGATAATATTTGGCGAACCTCCACTCATCCCTACAGGGCATCATGGCTTTCTCGTGAGCGACGAAAGAGCAAACGTTCAATTATCTGGGGCTGTGTCATTTTCCTCGCTGTGGTGCTCATCATCATTGTCAGCGTGGTTCTATCGTGGCTTGCTAAGAACAATTGGCTCCAGCCTCGATTAGATGTCACTAAATAATCGGGCTTTGGTTAGTGACATGCGCTTTTGATTTGAACCTTGGCTTTTGGCGTTTATCTGGAGGTCGCATGGCATTGGAGATATACCCGCCGCTCCTCCATACATTGGCATCTCGTTTAGATAGCTTTTACATTCAGCCGCATATATAGTTATAGACAATTTTAACTCATACATCTATCTTTATCTCACTTATCTCGTTTATCTTTCACTATGATATACAACATAATCCAACCAATCTACGAGCGCATATACCTGCTGTAATAGGCATAGTGTGTCTTAGCTGTGACTTCTTATCTTCAAGTGAAATTGCCGCCAGCGTTTAGTAGCTAGCGTTTAGTGATTCTGTTCAACGTTTTGGCATATTTATTTTGAAATCAAGCCAAAACAGACATTAGCCCAAATACGTATAATATAACTTGTACAAAAAGAAAAGCAAGAGACATCAAGTGTTCATGACTACAACCACGGCTAACCTCGGTGCTACCCGATATCGCGTTCTCCACTTCTCCAATTCCCCGCATCTTATAAGAACCCGACTTTCCCCTTTCTGTTCTGTAACACACCGCCATCATGCTTCCCCCATTTGACTACTTCGCCTACCGGCGCATACGGTAAGCTTGTCTTTATCTTACATCCATATGACGCTGGGCTAATATCTGTAGAAACCAAAAACAAAGCGAACGAGAACTCCGCTTCACAGGTCTTCCCGCCCACTATCACCTCCACATTACCGCCAGGGACCGTAAGATCATCGACCAACCTATAGAGGAGCTTGTTCAAGATGTCCAAGACTCGGCTGTATCCCCACTTGATATCCTCCGCACCTATGGAAAGGTAGCCAAACGGGCACAGGAGCGGACCAACTGCATTACTGAGCTGATGCTACCCGAGGCTGAGTCGTGGCTGGAGTCAGAAATTAACTTGAAGGGACCATTAGCTGGTATTCCGATTTCTTTGAAAGATTCTATTCACGTCAAGGGATTCGATGCAAGTGTTGGGTATGCTGCACTGGCTGGAAAGCCTATCTTAGAAGATGGGCCTATGGTGCAGCTCTTGAAAGATGCTGGTAAGATCATGATTCTCAAGACACGTTCTTTGATAGCTGGATTGTATACTGACTTCTATAGGGGCTGTTCCATATGCTAAGACTGCTTTGCCAATCACCCTGCTCTCTTTTGAGTCAGATAATGGGCTCTGGGGTCAATGTCGCAACCCACATGTCCCAGCATACTCGCCCGGTGGCTCAACCGGCGGAGAGGGTGCGTTGCTAGCGCAGGGTGGCCGTATTGGTATTGGATCCGATGTTGCTGGCTCAGTGCGCGTGCCCGCCGCCTGGAGTGGTATCTATTCACTCCGCTGCAGCACTGGTCGCTGGCCCAAGGGCGGCGTGAACACCAGTATGCCCGGCCAGGAGGGTGTTCCTAGTGTGTTTAGCCCCATGGCTCGCACCTTGAATGATTTGACCTATTTCACTCGTGCAGTTATCCGCATGGAGCCCTGGAAATATGAGCACACTGTGCACCCCATTGCCTGGCGCAGTGAGGTCGAGTCCGATGCTCAAGATAAGCCCCTTCGCATTGGTCTGATGACTTCCGATGGTATGTATTAATCACTTTACCTCGACAATGAAAGCCAGCAACTTACAAATTTCTAGGTGTCGTCCCCCCAACCCCGGCCATTGAACGTGCCATCACAACAACAGTAGCTGCCCTCACCGAAGCCGGCCACACCGTCTCAGAAATCACCACCCCACCCAACGCAGACCCCTTCACAGGTCTGAACCTCGCCTCGCAACTCCTCAACTCAGATGGCTGCCACCACTTCAACGCCAACCTCAAGAGCTTTGAACCCTCCGACCCAGGTGCCATCCAACTTTCCCGCATCGCTCACCTCTCCCGCCCGCTCCGCTATCTCTACTACTTTTACGTGCGCTATATCCGCCGCGACAAGGTCTCCGCCACTCTCATCCGCGACTTCGGCCCCAAATCCTCCGCCCAATTGTGGACCCTGACTGCCCAGCGCGAAACCTTCCGCGCCGTCTGGCACAAGTGGTGGGACGCCGAGCCCCAGCAATTCGATTTCATTCTGTGCCCCGTCAACGCTACCCCAGCTCTCCCACATAAGGCCATGCACGATGCCGTTTCCTCGTGCGGCTACACCTTCCTGTGGAACTTGCTCGACTACTCCGCCGGTGTGATCCCCGTCGATCACGTAGATCCTATCCGCGACGCCCTTACCACACCCTACAAAACCGCCCTCAAGCGTCTGGGCTGTGACCACGGTATTGCTCGCGGTGCGTGGAAACACTACGACTCGGTTAAGATGGCTGGTCTCCCTACTGCTGTACAGATCGTTGGTCGTCGCTGGCAGGAGGAACACGTTCTCGGTTATATGGCCGCCGTGGAGAAGGCACTGGAGCAGTACCATGACCCGCAGACTGGCAAGAGCTGTCGCTACACCTTGCTGGAAATTGATTAGGTTGGGCTAGCCCGCAGTACGTTGATTGGACGGGGAGACCTTCCAGACTAGTATAATATTATTCCTTGTTTATCCGTTTGTACACGCATACGGTTATGTCGCTAGATCATATCTGGGATAGTTGCCGTGCTGTCATAGGATGATTGAATTCTTACCTGCGCCGGTGGCCGAAACAATGAAATCGTTTGAGTCCCCAAATATTTAATTCCCTCTTTCCTGCAGCTTATCTACTCTAGTCACGGAGATTCATGTAGTGTAACGGTGCTAGGTGTGCTGATGTGGGGGATAATTGGTGAGAGAACCGGACCGTGTTCTGTAGGGATTGCCGATCTGCACGGGAGAATCCTTTTGTCTCGTGTTGTCTAGACTCGACTTAACGTTGGCATTTCGAACACCAATCGTCTATATCCTCCACACATCGACCTCATTTCTCATCCATTTCTCATTTCGAACACCTAGATAATTCCCTGTTGACTGGACAAATATTAATGTATTATAATCATCCCTTCCATCCTTGGAGATAAACTCAGGATCGACGGGGTCAATGTCACCTGCCACTTAGTCCTAATCAATGCAGACCCCAGCTGCTGCAGTCAGAAAGTAGTCACCCTAACAAAACCCCCTGTATCATATGTACCCATCACGTCAAGCGTTAAATGCCAGCGCTAATTACTCCGTAGCTCTGCATTATTGCCTAGGCTCGCCCATTAGCCTTTCTTCAAGCCATCTGCTTGCAGATATTCGTCGTTTTTTTTCTCTTCTATTTCCCCCGCTGATCATCGGAGGCGTAGGGCTAAAGATGAGACTGCGTATCTCCGAACTTCGGGCTTAATCGGGCCAAGTACTGATGTTAGCTGGGGGCTGGCAGATCCCAAGGTCCTTGTCTTTGTTTTGGGGGTCGAGAGGTTGAGGGGAAACATAGCTGAATCATGCATTGCCGGGAGGTAGTATACTCCGCAATTGTTGGCTGGAAGTTTTGACCGGGGAAAACTTACTGTCTATGTAGATAATTGTAGGTGGCTAACTGGACCTAGGTCAGAAGCACATTTTGTCTCATATTTCGGTCAACTTGCCGCATGGAGAGAAACAATCACCTCCGTAAGGGGGAAAACCCCCAAACGTGCTGACAGGAAAGCGGACCCGGAGGATTGAAGCGGGCGAATTACACGAGGCGAAAGCATATCAAACACAATAGATAACTATTTCCAAGTATCTAGACTCGATGTAGACTCAAGGCCCCCCTCTCCATCATTCTCCCTCGAGTCTGCCACATAATTAGCCTCTTGATCGACGGGGTTCCACCCATCAGAACCACTTTTTTTTTCTTATTTTGCTTTTTCATAGGCCCTGTCAGAATATCAGAATAGGTTAAATCCGGTTGAATCGAATTTTTTTGTTCAAGCTCGAGGTATATACTAATACTGTACTCCTTACCCCGTAGTAGTATAACCGTTCATCGCCCCTTTTACCTAAGGTTTAACAGTAGCAGTTTCACGTCTAGGGGAATGGAATTCCGACGGGGACTGTACTGTGGTAAGCATTAGTATATTATGGTCGTAATACAAGACAGGTGCAATATAGTGAACATTCTGTTCACTCTAGAACCATATATGTCCACGATACTGGGATTCCCGGGGAATGAGGGGATATTACTTGGTCTAGCCCGTACCAGAATGTTAAAAGAAAATCCCCTGGTACTTTGATATTATGCCAGGATGATCTTCGCATTCAACGGCCCATTCGGAGTTCTTTTCCAACATCTTTAGGAGGCCATAGCGAAGGTTTGAAGATTCTGGGTGTAGAATACTACATTGTATATACGCAGTAGGGATCTCGGGAGTACTCCGTACTTTGTCCCTGCTCTAAGAAAAGGACTATTGACAGCCTAATGCAGAGCTAAGGATCCAATCAAAAATGTAGGTATGGAGTAATATTTAATACATGGAATATTCGAATAAAATAAATATGTACAAAAGGAAAAAAAGGGGAAAAAAAGAAAAGAAAAGGAGAGAGAGTATGATATGTACAATACTAGCAACCTCGCGAATTGATCTGCGGTCACGGGGCCTCTTGAGCTTGTTATTCCCTCTTTACCCTTTTCTTCCCCTCCAACACCTTCAGAGCTGTCACAGGAAAAAAATTACGAAAATGGGATGATCGGCTTTTCTGTCAATATCAATACTCTTAATAAATTGTTGAAAACTTTATTCTGCCGCACTTCAACCTCTCTTTCCTGAAGATCATGCAGGATCCATCTATCATATACATCTTTCACCGCTTACCGCGCCGGTGATATGATAGGAAATGGCGTCACGAAAGAAACAACCCTCTAAGAAGAAGGATAGCATTCATTTTGTCAATGCCAGACCCTCCACCGAGAGCGAACGACTGAAAGCCCAGCGTTTAGTGCGTGCGCATGTCGGGCGCTGGATTTCAGATCAAACCAAGGACCGATCCACAGGCGAATCCTCCAATACGCGCGGTCGAGCTGCCCGCAACGCCGTTCCCCCAATACCTGTCATTGACCGCGCTGGGCCCGGTCCCTCCTCTTATACCATCGTCTCGCGCCCATTAAGCTCCCATCGTGAGAATATCTCTAGTCAAACCTTCGCTTTCGCGCACGATTCCCGCTCCAACCAGGCTGCGTATCGAGGCTCGCCATTTCCCCCGTCGCAGGCCAGCGACAGCAGTGATAGCAGTAGCAGCGACGATGCGAGTACCGTGACCGCGTTTTCTTCGGAGGCGCATGCTATCGCCCGGTTCAATAAGCGTAATTCTCCTGAGCGGCTTGAACGCAACCTCTCTGGAATCTTCGACCCGTTTGCTACATACCCCGCCCCGCGGAATTTCGAGCAAGCGATGATCAATCTGTCAGAGCGCTATCTCACAAGTGTTGTGTGGCCGGGACTTGCCCCGCGACCGCGGAATGTCAAAGCTGCGGCTAATAAGTGGTTCGATCTGTCTATGGCAGACCCAGCTTTGTTTACAGCGTTCATGTTTGGTTCGCTGTGTCACCTCCGGGTACAATGGCAGAACAACTGGGTACAGGGTACGGTATTCGGTCAGAGAGAGCGTCGCGCGCTACAGTTATGTGAAATGGAATCGATTAAGCTAATCAACCAGGCTGTTCGCGACCCCAATCGTGCGGTCAGCGATGCTGTTCTCCTTAGCGTTATTTGCATGGCTCATCATCAGGCAGAGGAGGGATCAGTACAACAGCACCGGAGAACACCGTTTGATCCCCCTTTCCCGCGCCTACAATGGATCGATGTCTACGGTTGTCTACCACCGAATATGATCCATATCAAAGGATTGTTACAGTTGATTAAACTTCGAGGCGGCTTAGCAAATATCCCCACAGAGGGTCTGGCCGCGACAATTTCCTTGTATGTTTCGGTTCTTTTTGATTTCGCTTATTTTTTGTTTATTGGCTGCCCGTACTAACCACCTATAGCTCGGATATCATGAGCTGTAGCGTCCTTAGCATCCACCCATGCTTTGATTTCTGGCCCCTCGCCGATTGCCGATTAGGCTTGTCTACCCAGGAACTGCTCGGCTTCAGTCCATCAGACATAGAGCAGGGATTCGGCCATTTGCAGGAATTTGGCGCCACTCCTCAAATGGCGGAAGCTTTCCAAGCGGTGCACACTTATATCGGGATCATCAAAGCGAGCCCGAATTCCACACATGATATCTCCTTGCTCGCCGATCAGCGCAACTTAACCCAACATACTCTCCTTTGCCTCTCTCCAGCCTCAGAACTCCAGCTCCACAACTTCTTCTCCTACCCCACACATGCCGCCACCTATGAAGTCTGCCGTCTAGCGGCACTGGTCTTCGGTGTCGGCGTCATCTTCCCAATCCCCGCACAGAATACCCCACTCAATACTCTAGCACGCCTTATCCGATCGCTTCTCCTCGAACCCTCCTCTTCAGACTTGTGGTCGTTGCCATCCATGCGTTTCCTTCTTATATGGGTCTTGACCCTTGGAGGTATCGCAGCGAACGATGCCCCCGAGCGCGCCTGGTTTGCCTCCGCTTTGGGAGATATAGCCCGTAAAACTGGTTTGAATTCATGGCCTAGCATCAAATCCGTCCTTGGCTCGATGTTATGGTACGACGCTGCCTGCGATCTTGCTGGAGAGACTCTCTGGCAGGAGAACACTAGCAGGTATAGCTATGTCATTGAGTGAGCCCCAATTTGATCATTGGGAAATCCTCCGAACCTCGAGAAGCGCGAATCACCCGCTTCCTCTCCGGATCTGCAATCAGCTGCAATGACGCAGTCCAGGTTCCTTAAGTTCCCCTCTCCGTCCTTAATACCGTCGCTCCCGTGTCATTTTCACTATTTTTGTTTATCCCCGGTTGTCTTTTGACATGGATATATGGAAAATATTGGGCTTTCTTTCCCCGGGATACATACCATCACAATCACCAGCGACATGTTTCAACTTGGACATTGGGCATACGTAGATATACCCGAGGGTGCTTTTGACCACACCGGATATAAACCTTGCGTGCTGTGAAACCCGAACACTGTCATCGGACCCCGGGTCCGGGGCATTGCTCTTTTTCCTTTTATGGATTGCACATGATATAATATGGATCTGCTTGGGGATCTAGATTTAGATTATAATATTCCCCGACATAGACTGTGGCTTCCTCACACCCTGTTGTCGCCGTTGGATGTTTGGGATACATCCGTATATAGTATACATCGCTGTTTGGGAACAATCAGAGACATGATACATTCCAATATTCTCATTTCTCCTGTCCGCACACTGGATGCACATACGATATACCGTGCTCATACCCAATCGTATTCACATTTATGTTCATCCTTAAATACTCAATGCAAACAAAACTACTAGCTAAACATACTCCCTGCGTCATATAAAACCCGTGATCTCAACTCCCATACCCTCTCCCAGGTTCTTCATTCCTCAACAACGGCTCTCTCTCCCTAACATCTTGACGCTGATCACCATCAGTCTTCCTCCTACCCTCTAAGATACCCGTCTGATAAGCAACAAACCCAACAAGTCCACCCCCGACACCAGCAACCAACACCGTGAGCCCAATATTAACAGGCACAGGATTTCCCCGCCAAACCTTCAATGTAAGCGCATCAAGTCCTGCCTGCGTGAAATTTCCAACACCAGCAAGACAGATAATAAGCCCATAGACCTTCCCAAACGTCGCGAATCCAAAAACCTTTGCCGAGTAGTCCGATACAGCGGTATAATAAAACGGTCTGTACAGCACAAAGAGAATAACATTTCCATACGCCGCAGTCGGATGTGGTATACAGCCGAGCACGCCGATGATAGTCGCCGACACGATGAGGATTAATAGAACAGTGCGCGTTTGGAATGTATCTAGGAATGTTCCGATAAACGGGATGGAAACGAGTCCGCCGATTGGTAGGAGGATATCGAATGTTGTGTTAATTTGTGCGGCTGTCTCTGCAGAAAGCAGGTAGGTATATTGCGATCGAATCGTTGCTACGAAGTAGTTTATCCGTAGCATCATTAAAACAGTGAACCCTGTAATTAGGACGAACCATGGTGTGCGCAGTTGAGAAAGTGCGCTGTGCCCGTGGAGAACGCCCCAGATCCCGCCTGGTGTCGGGATCGGGGTGGCTGTCTGTTGTTGTTGCGTGTGAGAATGAGGTGTTGTAGTGCCATGGGTTGTTCCTTTGGTGGTATTTGGATCGAGCTCGGTGTCGATGTTGGTGTGGAAGACGGACTCATTGATGGCGCCGCCGGATAATACGGATGCTGTGCCATCGTCTAGTAGATCTTGGATCTGGCTGACAATGCTTTGGCGACGGAGTCGTCTGTACATGCGCTGACGTGACCCCTCGCTGCGGTCGTTGACAGTGTCGTCTATGCGGTCGTGTATCTCGTCTTCAACCTGCGCTTCGGCTTGTAGAACAAGCTCGCCAGCGGTTTTGTAGGACGTTGCTGGCATTATAAAGATCTGTGCTATGACGATGAATACCGGTACGATGAGGTACACTGCGAAGAAATTGTTGATTGATACGAGGCCCTCGGTATGTTCGCTTAACAGCCTGAAAAGCAGGAATAGAGCACTCGAGGCATCGAATGCACCTGTCAGCATTGATAGGATCAGGCCTGATCGCTTTGGGAACGTGTTTGATAGATGGAAGGATGTGATGAATACGAATGGTCCGCCAAGTGCGAGGAATAAGTAACCTGGGATATATCCATCAAATGGAAGCCGGTTGGCTGTGCCGAAGAGTACTGCTCCTATGGCAAGAGAGATACTGCCTATGATTCCACTGACTCGTGGTCCGTATGCATCTAGGATTGTTCCTACAGGTAGGGCTGAGACATTTGTTACTACAGCGGCGATGGTGAACATCAGATTTAACCTGTTAGTGTAAGTATGAGAGATCCTTGAACCAGGGAGTACATTGGGAATCTTGAATCAGGGTTGAAAACATACCGAATCTCCTGCCCATAGCAGACATCGACATCTTCCTCAAGCTCCGCCTGGGAGCAGAGGTTGCGATATACTTTCTCTCGAATAAGGATGGGCTTGAGAGCTGCAAAGCCGAAAACAACCCCGGCAGCCAGAAAGCAGTATACAACAGCGGTGCAAACCTGGGCTTTTACAAGTTAGCATATCCCTGTGTATCAAAAGATGGATAGGATTTCCATTAACCTACCAATTCTCCTAGCAGCGCTTACTTCATAAGCACCAGTCGTTTCCGTCCAAGGGGGCGTCCGAGCAACGGTCCCTGACTCCTCGTGCACAGTCCGCTCGGCAGATCCCAACCCCTGCGCTGGACTTGAACCCAAACCCGCATGTCCTTCATGGGTATTCGCTGGAGAGAGCCCAAGAAACGAGGACCCAAAAAACGAGGATCGATCGTCATGTGGATCCTCTAGGCTCTCATTCCAGCCTGGCCCCGCATATGGGTTGAAATTCAGCCTGCTATATGTGGAGGGAAATGAAGACGATATGGATCCCTCGGGCAAATCCTGGTAGGAGTCCGGATCCGAATCCTCCGCTTCGGGGTTGAGAAAGGCTGCGGGGTTGCGCTCCCATCCTTCAAGGAAGGAGATGCGGTTCAGGGACATTATGGTATTTACGGCTTGGAGATTAGGCACTGCATGTGAGTATCACAATAGTAAACAAAGTAGCTGTATAATTCAAAGCTCTCCAGGAGCTAGGCCAGCAAGGAGCTCCTAAGTTGAAAGAAAAGTTGGAAGTTGGCGTAGCTTGATTCTCGATATGCATGGGTGCCTGACACATAAGGCATCAATAACATCAACGGCCTCAATTTCAGGCATCACTATCATAACCTTCTCACGTCTGTTACTGTCTCTCTTTCCCTCTCTCTCTTTCTTCATCCCTCCCACAATTCACTTCTTCTCCTTGTTAACTTCAACCATGGATTGAAACTACTTTGCCGATGAAACGATTAATAATTTAAGTGGCTTTTCGTTTTCGTTCTCCGGGCATTTGACCGAAACAGGCAGCTCATAACACAAGTCCCCCCACATATCCAGTTGCAAAAAGCAAATCGCCATTTGATTTCTATTTTGACATGCCGAATTTAACGTTATAGCATTGGAATTGCTCTCAGATGGCATCTTCGGCATCATTCTCGGGGAACTTCCTCCAAGATCGACAGGGTTCGACGGGTCCGGAGTACTTCTCCCACGGGTTTGGAATTAAAAGCCAAATCTCATTTTCATCGGCAAAGACCCACAAAGCCAGGATTCGTCAAGTTAATCTTAATACTCTGTACGGAGTATGTATCTTGGTAATGTTGGACCAACGTGTGGGCAAATAATAACGAGAAATAGGGTTAAGGTCGCCACCATGTGGCTTGGGGAATTACAATTTCCGCGGGTTCCTGGACCCAAGTCCGGTGAAACCAATCGGCAAATGAAACCTGAAAAAAAACAAAAAGTCGAATATCTTCCAACGCTAACACTGGTTCTTGAAGCTTGTCGACCATTCCTACCGTCCTTTTTAAGTTGTCTTGAGAATCGGAACTGATTACCAATTTATACCAACCCCCGGGCCCTCCGGGTTTCGATGGAGACCAATCCCGTTTCTCAATCTGTTATTGGCTTACATCCTCATTTGAAAGAGTCCTCTCCTTGAAATATACCCACATTTACGTTGCAAAAATTGAAGACTACACACATCGCTCAAGTCTAACGGAGTACTCCGTACTCCATACCATTATCATTCATGCCGAGAAGCCGATTCACACCGGAAGATGACATGTCCGAAGATATTTCTGGATATTTCTTAGGTAACGATCAGGTTCTTCTGATTGGGGACACGCATGGGTTTAGTCGAATACGTGGGGGAGCCGATCACTCAACCAGGACCAATAGATGTCTGCCCAGACTCTGGCGTGGAGATTTTTGTTGAACTTGGCGCGATGAGCCTGTCGGTGATGAACGTTTTCCCATTCGGGTTATCCCCATGACTTCTGCGCCGAGTTAATTTCCAATTCAAAACCCGCCATCTTATATTTTAGCCAGTGTAAGCTCTGATCTTCTCGAGCTAATCTCCAACTAAATTCACGTACCTAGTACGGAGTAGTCACTGGATATACCCCAAAAAAAATCAAAAATCAAAAATCAAAAATCAAACGTACGCAATCCGTTAGTTATCTGCCAATTATTCTGTACACCACCCCCCACCCATCTCCGCTTCTGTATGGGCGTTGGTCTCCAATAGACATCGACATGGATGAGTTTGATAGGGAGACTTGCCCTATTTACATATCTGAAAACCCTCGGGCCTGGCATTCCAAATACGCTTTCTGGAAGCCTTGCTTGTTTGCCATTGGACTTTTGACTGCGTAATGAGGGGATGGTCAGTTATTTTTGATTCGTTATTTTCAACCCCGACTAACACACCTTTTCAGCCTCACATGTCGTCTGCGCCATCTGAAATGTATGTTGACATATTCTGCAATTGTTTCTTCGCGACTAACAAAAAACCTAGGTGACAAATCCGGGTCAAAATGTATCCGCTGTCAACGCTCTGGTCGCGAATGTGTGCCAGCCCCCGGCAAATCTGAAGAGGTCTCTTTCCGACACGGCCAGAACCCATCCTTGCGAGGAAAGGGGCCCCCGAGATATGGCGAGAGTGATCTTGCTTTCCCGGATGACCAAGTCTGGGTTGAGACATCTTCCGACTGTATGTGTAAAACTGTCTTCATGTTTATCGCTTTACTAATAATTACTTGTAGTCGACTTCAAGGATGAAACAGATCAGACGGCAGCTGAATACTATGTTGTACCTGTGACAAGGCAGGCGTCAATTTCAAGATCTTCTTCTGAACGTTCGACGCCTTCATCTGCAATGGATTCTTCTTTGACAACTCCAAACCTTGTCATTCCTGCTTATGCCGCAGGCTCTCAATTGGGCTCCAGGTCGAATTCAGTGAACTCGCCACGTGCACCTACCACGCCTATTGCCCAATCGAGGCTATCCAACGTGACCGAAGCATTTTTGTTGCGGCATTTTCAAAAGTACCTTGCCCCGTGGGTAAGTTAAGAACTTTTGTCAAATTCTCAACTCTTTTGACTGACAGCTCAGCTCGACGCATTCAACCCTGAACGAAACTTCTCAATAGATGTCATCGAGCGCGCGACTCAATCTCCATTATTACTGTATGCATGTCTAGCAGTCTCAGCATGTCATTTATCCCGAACAACAAACTCCATCGCCGGCGATGTCGCACACGGATACCATGAGCGCTGTATCTCAATTATGCTCCCGGTCCTCGACAAGCCCGAATTTGAAATCGGAATCGACATCCTACTTTCATCAACAGTCATTCTACGATTTTTCGAATCAATCTCCTGTGCGTGGACCACCAATTCATCATCTTCAACGCAGAATAATTACCCCCGACTAATCCACCAAACAGCCCATAGTCCCCCAAACGACCAACAACACCATCTCCTGGCCGGTTCAGTCTATGTCAGCTCCCACGTGGACTCCGCTATCGCAGGCGGACTAGCATCGGCTTCCTTCTGGGCCTATGTCATTCAAGACATCCAATTCGCCCTTACATACCAAAAATGTCTTCGGCTATCATTCGCGCCGTTCGATGATCGTCTAAGACGGTGGTGGATTGCAAAGCCTGCCTTGAGCGACGGTGACTGGACCAACCGCGCTATATGGCTATTGGCCGAGACTATCGACTTTTGTTATAATATCTCGGGCCGAAGCCATGATGGTAGACTTGGGAGTGCAGGGGAGACTGCGCTGAGACATCGCATTCTTGAGTGGGAGGCCGGCCGACCTGACACGTTTGTTCCGTTACATGTTTCGCCGCCGGATCCGGGGAATGGAAAGCCTTTTCCTGTTGCTTGGTATACGAGCTTGTGGCATGGTACGTGACGTATTCCCTCGCCTGGGGGTGATGTGCTAATTTTGGTGTCTAGCTACTGCGATCCAGCATATCTGTCTCACGAAATCGCTCATGCTCATTCGCGAACTCGAGTTTTATGATCGTAGCATGTTAAATTTAGAGCAGCCTGTCAAATTGAGGGTCCGTTTCTTTTCTCCGAGATGCCTCGTTCTATGCTGACCCAGACAGAATGATCTCGCCGAAACGCTCAACTTTATGTTCGGCATCGCCACATCTGCTGATGATGATCCATCGCTGCGTATCACGGCTTGCCACGCACTTTTTGCTTGTAGGTTTTGTTCCAATTCGATGGATGTGAGTTTACTAATATGGCTATAGGTGGCTCTTGGGTTGAAGACCCTGTTGTCCAGAATTTGCTGATTGATCTGCTTCGCCGAACGGAAAGGGAGAACGGCTGGCCGTGGGGGTACGTGCATAACCAAGTCGTGCAAGCGTGGAGGACAATATAGTACATACATACCCAGGCTGTTTGCATATAGTATCATGATATAGACCAAATAAAATTGCCCTTCTTGAGCGCTAATCGTGCTGTGAGACTCGGGCAGCTCCACTAATTGAATTCTTATTCCACATTTATAACACCGATTCTTGTTCAATTTTTGCACTTGTTTTTGCTTGGACAAATATTTAAGCAGGCCATAAGTTCTCTATAATGGTAATAATAAATAAACATTCTAGGTACACACTTTGAGAGAACCCAACACTTCGTCGAGTGATAAAGATGGTAGTCCCTATAATTAGCAGCAACCTATTTGCGGTGGGACAGGCCGTAAGTGATATGTTGCAGCTTATAGCACAATGTTCCTTCCTCAAAGTCATCCTCGTCAACGTCCATATATCCCTCCTTGACCAGACTCCTGGGAACAATGGCAAATCCGCGCCCTTCGTCGTAAAGTTAGACACAATATACTTGAAAAAAAAAAGTTAGAATGCGCGAAAAGGTGAACTAACCGTGAATAGACTTGTCACTGGCGATGCGTGAAATGCAGTTTACGGAGTCATCACTGTGTGCAAACTCGGAACCCTGGGCAGCGAGCTGGCTACCTAACGTCTTGACCACGTTTTCATCCATGATGGGCGTGGCGATGAACCTATCTCGATGAAATTGAAAGTCAATACTCACGGTCTAAAACCTTGCGTCATATAAGGGAAGGGATGTATTACCATGGGGCCACGACATTGACTCGACAGCGGCCAAGATGTCTCAAAGCCCGCATAATTGCCCTCACGCCAAACTTTGTGGATCCGTAGGATGGGCGAGAGTCGAGATATCCCATGATACTAGATTTCAGAATTAAGCACTTGTCTTGCTGGGCTGAGTCTGCTGGCCATTCGACGCTGAAGTGGTGTAATGCTAGCCGGGCCGTGTACATAGCTCCAAGCAGGTTGATCTCAACGAGAGTTGTATCTGGTTTCTTAATTTCAAGCTCATCAACTATTAACTTTGCTTAGTATGTAGTAATACCCGATGTGGATGGATTCTCATACTGCCCCGAAGTAATGGATCATCACCTGATATGCCCGCGTTCGCGATAATCACGTCAATACATCCATTCGCAGAGCTGGCAATTGCGGCGTCAAAAGCCTCTTTTTGTTCGTCCCAGCTTCGGACGTCACATTTAATGAATCGAACGCTTCAATGGTTAGCCATGTTGAGCCAGCGCTGTTATATGCAATGGAATAAATATTTAATTCTAAATGACTTACCCTGGAAGTGTTAATTCGTCACTGGATGGCTTGATGTCCGCATTGGTAACAATCGCACTTTTAGATGCCATGAGAAAAGCTGTAGCATACTCCTGAATTCCTTCTCACTTACCCAGCGTTTGCGAAGGTTTTAGCATACTCGTATCCTAGACCACTGCGAGCTTTATTCAGACCTAGGATTAGTACACGTAGGTATAAATCTGATTTTTGTATGTTTGGACCTCACCCCCTGTGATCAAGACCGACTTGCCCCTGATACCGTTCAAGTCAAAAGGGAGTGAGCAATCGACTGGCCCCGAGTTCTCATATTTGGATAACATGGCGAGTATTGAATTGATTCTGGCTTGCTGTGCGCTGTAGTATCTGATCCAGGTTCTTGGGGTTTGGTTTTGTATTTATATTCATAGAGAGGGGTAGCAATTCTACATTTTAATACTTTTACATGGCAACAAATTGCTACCTAGGTATAGTTCAAAGCGCTGTCAACATGTAACTAGAACTAGGAATGCCGATTGCCGAAGAGCCGTGATTCGGCTCGACGGTTAAGCTGAGGGTTCAACATAAACCTATCATATGATGTCATGGGACGATATATCGAGCAGTGAATATTATGTGCAATTGTGCAGCTATCTAGTGCGTCTAGGATCTTCAGGGACATGAGGATTGGCAAAAGCCATGTGATATAAAATTCAACCACAGTCGGCCTGTATTCTGCGCTGAGTTCATCTATATGAAGGATAAATGAACCTATCTGGTTATTATATGAAATATTTCACAGAAGGAAAATTTTCAAAGCATTGACTTTGACCACTCTCAACGGGTATATCGGAATGACTGTAGACCTTCAATGGGCTTCCCTCCACTCTCCACCCTCTTGTTTGCACGAGTATACTTCAAGGCCAGAAGTAAACTGATAACAACAATAAGACCATTTGCTATTATAGTCGCAATGATACCTGGCCGATAATCAGGGGCGTCTCCGGTACGAAAGACAGTGCCACCAATGATACCTCCAATTCCACCGGCACCAACGCTCAATGCAGATGTCATCGCTTTCTTCCATTGACCTCGAACGTTGTTTGATTGCCATGCAAGGGTGGATGGTAGGTTAGAGGAACCCGACGCAGTTGTAAGGAAAGCTCCCACCAGTCGACTTGCTGTGTGAGATGTGAAGCCGAGAAGACATAATCCTATCATTCTTCTAGTCGGCGGATTATATAATGGCAGGCAGCAGTTAACTTACCAATGATTGAACATAAGGCGTTGAAAATCACAAAGGACGATCGGATGCGCAGCCTATCCGATATCCAGCCCAAAGTCACCATCCACAGACATGCTAGAATATAGGGTGGAGCAGTCAAGCACTGGGATGCGACCAGTGAGAAACCCAATCCCTCACGGAAGATGATAGGAAGGAAATACACGACAGCATAGTTTGTTGTGGTTGTAAGACAGAAAATTGCAGCGTGGGCCCAGACCTTCAAATCAGCTGCACTAAGTAGGTATTGGCGTAGATTGAATTCTTCTGCGTAAATGTCGCTGCGATCTGTTTCAATTTGCGAGACGACAAATTCTGCCTCCCTGGGTGTCAGAAAGGGCACCGACCATTTTTGCACGCCACGCTCGAGCACCACTTCTGGGAAGTCTACCACAAAAGGCGAACAGATCAGTGAGGCCCCACAAGTGATAACACCAAACATGATGAAAATCCAACGCCAACCAGCGATTCCTCCTTCACTGGGATCTTCAGTTCCTGACCACCAAGATGGTCCAGCTCCACGTCCTGCGAGTTGGGAGAATCCGTAGGCCAGAATCCCTGTAAATGCGGAAGCAAGGGTGCCGATGAAGTAAAAAAGAGCCACACGCTGCTGGAGCTCATATCGAGGGTACCAGCAAGTCATCATGTACAGAGACCCAGGAAACACGCCAGCCTCAAATAATCCCAGCAGCAGACGAAGGGGAATCAAGTCGTACCACTGCCGAACGAATCCCAAACAAATTTCCGTTGTACCCCAAAGCAAAGCAATAGAGGTGAAATAGGATCTCGCACCCATCTTGCGAAGAAGAATCACGGCCACTGGTTGGAAGCTGACATATGTGATAAACATGAACAAGACTACCATCGAATAACGTGAGCCATCCAGCTTCAGGTCCGTCCTCATTCCTGCTATGTTGGCGTTCCCAAGGTTGTTTTTGTCAATTTGGCTAAGCATGTATAGAACTCCCAGGACGCAGGTCACTCGTATGTCGATCTTGCGCCGCAATTTGGTTTGCTCCGATGCATTCAATGAAATGCTATCTTGGCCGGTAATATCGTCCACATGTTCAAAGGAACTTTCTGGTTTATCCATGATGTTGGAAAAAGATAGGTTTAGCGATCCTCGAACAGGGTGAAAATGAAAATGAGAGGAAGATAGAAGGCTGGATGGAACGGAACACCCTTCCCCTTTTTGAAACATAATTTGAACGTCTAGAAAGAATATCAAAGAACTAGATTTCGGTTATAAATCTACGAGTACCGAAATCAATACTCTACCGACTACCTATAGCCATTGCGAAACTCTATATTCCTACTGAGAAGAGATTTCACAAAAGGATATACTGATATACTGAGGATTCTCTCCTATCACGAGCATTCTCGATACTGAAAGTCACGACATCCAATATTTAACCTTAAAATCACTAGTTCAACTAAGAAAATGTGATTCCTAGAAATATTAGTAAAGAATAACTCAGTATACGGCAGTGGAAACCTACCGCCATCACAGATCATGGATTGACCGGTAATGTTTCTAGACTTCGGGCTGGCTAAAAACGAGACGAGGTTTGCGATATCTTCTGGTGTCTATTTCAAGTTCAAAATTAAAATCGAAGGACTTACCGTTGTCAAGAACAGATGACTTACCGAGGCACGTTTGAAGGCAGATCGGGCCTGGACGGACTTCTCAAATGCCTCTCCTTTGGCTAGGCTATCTCTCTTTGCAAGGCATTCATCGACCGCTTCCCACATCTATTGTCAACGTTAGGGTTTCCCTGGTCCAAATTTTCTGATATTTCTTACCGCGGTACCAACTGGTCCGGGACAGTATGCTATAATGGCCTCTTTGTTAGTTGACCTATTTATTAAGTGATATACTGAATGCTCATACCATTAACCTGTGAATGTTGTTAGTTGAAAGATCAATAAGTATGTGCGGAGGGCCATGCATACATTAATATTGTACTGAGCTAGATCAAGCGCAACTGCTTGGGTCAGTCCTCTGACGGCCCATTTACTAGTCGAATATGCTAGGGCATTTCCAGACTGAATATTCATTAGCAAATGACCTCCATTTGTTGAGGTTGAGGATGTAGCATACCGGGCGATAGCCAGCAATGGAGCATGCGCCAATGATCTTCCCTCCCTTCCCTTGAGCCACCATCTGGCGGCCTAATTTGGACGCGTTAGCTTCTGTCTGAGATGCGCGTATTCCTTTCAGCTTACCTGCTTCGCGGTAGCAGAGAAAGGCACCCGTAGAATTGACCTAGTCACCAAGAACCAATGTTATTAAAGGGTGGGTAATACAAAAAAGTGTTTGCAGATACAGCTACCTTTTGAACCCCCTCCCACTCAGCTAGAGTAAGATCCAATACTCCTTTGGTAACCATTATACCAGCATTAGCGACCATTACCTGTTCATTATGTCCAGTTAGAATCTCAAAATTATGAAGGTAGCAAAGTAGGACATCGAACATTCAGCTCGCCAAAGCTGTCAACGGTTTGCTTGACCATGCTCTGAACCTGTTCCTCGTTGCTGACATCACCCGTAACGCAAATGGCGCGTCGCCCTATAATCAGTTAATTTTTTTTTTTTTTTCAATATAGGCATAAAAGGGGAAAGCCGTAAGATAGTTCTATACCTTTTTTCTCAATTTCTTCCTTTAGTGACTCCAAATCTGGAAGATGCGCTTGGATATCATTGATCTATTCGAACAATTAAAAACGTGAAAAAATTATCTAAGGGAAGGAAAATGTTAGACTTACTGCGAGATCCATCCCATCATCCGCTAGCTGAAGGGCAATGGCCCTACCAAGTCCCCTCGAAGCGCCTGTTACAATCGCAACAACCATGATGTAAAATAGCTTTAGTAATGTTAACTTTGAATTTGAGGAAACTGTATGATTCAAGTTTATCAATCTTGTGGCATTTACATGTATTTATCTTACTCCATCACCCCAGTCGTTCAATTCGTGTTGTCTCCGCACTGTGTACGGCGCTCGGCAGACGGTTACTCGAACTTGATGAAAGAAAGCCGAGGTATGGATACCTCGGTCTATTAGTCCGGCAGAGAAGAAGAATGGTTGTATTTCTATACCAATTGTTCGGGAGTACCTACCTATGGGCCTAGGAGGGGTATCATAAAAGACCTAACTACCAACCGCCAATGCGCCATAACGAATTTTGCCCGCAGTAATATTTGTTATATGTATACGTATTCTATAGGTACAATTCAATACTACCCCACAGACTCCATAATAAATCCACATTTATAACTTGCTTAGTTTCACCTCGGGGCTATCATCACTAGCGAGACTAATGGGATTAGATCCTGTTCCAATAGCTAACGGACCTTATAGAGGTGTTATCTGAATTAGTAGAGCGGCCTTCTTCATATTCTATTCCGAGTACTATTACTATCTCGTACGGAGTACGGAGTATCGAGAACTATGATCTTAACTTGCAGTTCCTATAGGCTCCACCGAAATACCCTAGTATACGGGAACAAACCAGGAATAGGAATAGTGTCCTAGTATAGTACTGCAGTACTTGTCAAGGCCTAGCTGATACTGCACTTCTATTCTAAAAGAGAGACGAAATCTCATCTTTATGAGGCTCAATGTTGATAGCTGATAGAGGCATATTATATTGGAAAAGTGGGGTATGTAGGAAAGGCGGGAATATATGTAAGAAATGACTTTGATGAACTGATTACTACATAATAAGCGGTAAGCTAGGCGGTTGAAATTCACCATGGGAAAAATCGTTATGGCGCATGGGCGGTTGGAGACTGCTGTAGACCTACATAACCATTATATAGCGCATGTATATATAATACCCAGCACCATTTGATAGATTTTCGTAGAAAACACCACCATTTTAATAAAGAGTAGAGAGAAAAACAAGCAGAACGGTTGGGACTTCTATAGAAACTAGAGTACTAGGTGTAGGTTATAGTTGGTTGGATAACTATAAACACGTCCTGTAGTGAAAACTAATTCATCGAACAGGAATGCAGTATATAATGATAGATAAGCAACCACTACGAGGAGCAACCTAAATCTGCTTGGCGGCTATGTCAAAGTCTCCAAGGAAAGTCCACAGTGTTCTCTCCCGCCAGTTATTCTCCTTCCAAGCATTAGCTGACAAGGGAAAGAGATCCACACATTTCAACAGGCTGGGATCGTGAGCATATATAAACCAGATATTGCTGTCTGCGTCAGCCACCTGAGCTTTTTCGATTGTATCAATCGCTTGTTTAATATCTAGCCCCATGGCTGGTCGGAAGAATGGCTTATCCAGTGATCCAGTCCGTTGGACTAGCAATTGCTCGTATACCGAGTCCCCGGGACATGGAAATGTGATAGGAGCAGTGATGCTGCTCGGTCGGATACCGTGAGGAATGTGCATATGCTTCGAGGGCCTGATTTCCCCACTGTGATGGCAGAGGTCACCTCCCATGAAAATAAATGTGTCGGGGTTAGTCGTGGTACGTGCCAATGCACCAAGGTGACCGACTGCGTGACCAGGACTATCTATGATATAGAATGAACCATCCTTGAAATAATCAATAGCTCGGAACTCGCCAACTTGGACAGAGTTTGAGAAGTCCATTTCCCGTAAATTACGTCCACTTTCGTAAGGTTAGCATTATATATTCCGCGCGAAACGCCATTTAAAGACTCACGCAAAGTCACTTTCGCGTACAGGAGCATCTGGTTTCGCTGGATAGCCAGGAAGGAACTCATCCTTGAAACCAGGGCCAACGATGAGTTCGGTAGATGAAGGAAATCGTGATGGGTCACCAATATGGTCCCAGTGCCAGTGGCTTCAAATGCAAAAGGTTAGCAACTTATCAGGGTAAACAAATAATACACTCACCTCCAGATGATAGCGGAGATTTCATTTGCCGCGATGCCATTTTTATTGAGAGTGTCGATCACCTCTTCCTTGACATCGATTTCCCATCCCCGTTCTTTAAGAGTTCCACATACTATCGGCGCAAACGAATGTAAATCCTTCGGAACTCCAAGATCGAAAAGAACCCTTTGACCCGAAGGATGCTCGATCAGGAATGACCAGGAGGGAAGAAGAGGCATATGTTCCATGCCCTCCAATGAAGGTTCCATGAGAAATCCCAGCTCTAATTTGCCAATCCTGGTAGTAGAATCGATGATTCTAACCTGGACGTTCTGTTCGCCCGGCGGGACAGTGAAATTAGAGTTCGACATGACTAGATGTCGAGAATTAGAAAATCACCTCAAGAGATACATAAATACTCGAGAGTTATTCTATGCTTGAGTACCGAGTGCCGGAGCAGAGTGTTTGATCATCTGGGGTACTGAAATGCGGGGTATGGAGTGGAGAGTACTAACCCCCGGATCTTCCAAGGTTATTATGAATATTCCCAGCTTCTTCAACTTGGATTTATGCAATGCCAGAAACGTATGTGCGAAGGCGTGCAGGTGTGGTGTGTGTTCAATGTCATGCACGCAAGGTAAGTTATCTTAAGATCAAACCGTTGCCTCGGCTAAATATACCGCTAGGTCAAATGCGACCTGCAGCAGCGACAACCCGGACCATGTCTGAACTGCCTTAAGATAAAACTGCCGTGCCAGTTAGTGCGCCGCTAATTTGAATGAGCTGCAGCTAATTTTGGGAACAGAAAACGTCGAGGCTTGCGCAAAGAGGGACAACACCGCCAACCGGCAAACTCGACTCCCGTACTACGAGTACCCGTACCGGAGTTGCCAGAAGTGAGTGAAGCTGATGTTGTCCAACATCAAACTGACTCGCCCGACAAATTTTTGGGTTATCTTGCCAAGGAGTCCTTTCTTTCCAACACATGTCACCCTGATATCAATGAGGCCGAAGCTGTCGTATCTCCACAACCGAATCCACCCACTCTGGATTCTGCTCTGACCCTTGCTCCAGAGCCGATACTCAATGCCTTTTTCGATGTCTATTTTACCAATTTCTTTCCATTGGTGCCGGTGGTCGATCGGCTAGATGTGATGACACACCGTGATTCCCCTCTGCTTATACAATGCTTGTGCATGCTTGGCAGTCACTATCGTTATCCCCGGCTGGCATCCATCCCAACCGCGGAATCTTTCTATGGCAAAGTCAAGACATTAGTGAATAAAAACTATGAGAAGGATAGCCTCACTACCTTGAAGGCTTTATCTCTAATTGCCTGCCGGAGTGCTGAATCACCGACAAACGTTAGCCTTGATAGTCCATGGCACTGGCTTGGTGTGGCCACACGTTTTGCCTTTAATATGGGCCTGCACCGCGAGATGACATACCAAGGAAGACCTGCAGCCGGGATGAGCCGACGGATTTGGTGGAATCTCTTCGTGAGTTCATTGTCCAACTATATCATTGATCTAAACGGGGTGGCCTGATTATTTTCCAGAACCAAGATAAACTACAATCTCTTTGCTACGGGCGACCCCCAGCAATACGCCTGCATGAGATCGACGTGAATCTACCTACTTTACAGGACTTCTCTGTACCTCATGCTGATAACGAGGCATTTCTCCAAAGAACAAAGATTTGCATTATCTTGGGAAAGATCTCTGATGCTCAATATGGTCGACATCAACGTTCAATACTCGAAGAAACAACAAATATTGACGAATACCTGAAGCAATGGATTGATGAACTCCCTCAAGGCCTACGGCTCTATGAGTTCGACGGTCAGACCCGTGCACCTTACCGACGAGCTGCATCAGAACTCCACATAATGTATTTCACCTGTATCATTCTATCTTATCGCTTGACTGAGAGCGCGCGTCTCGGGTCGGTATCTCTCAAGGTTTCCATAGTTGCCGCGTCTTGCATGCTGCAGCTTTTCAAGGAGATATATTATCGAAGCGAGATCGCCTTTCTCCTTCCAATCAATAATTGGTACTGTATGGTAGCCAGTGTGCCTCTCATCCATGCTATTCTAGCATTTCCAGAAGATGCTGCAATGTACAGAGAGGAATTCGATATTCTACGCCTCGTACTCGTTGAGATGACACATACCTCGCCAAGCACCAAATTGGTCATTAACAACATCGATCGTGTCCAGCGGTCTATCTTGGCAACACCCAGCGAGGAGCTTAACTCAAGGGCTTCTCTTGGATTGATCAATGCCGCATTCTCTGAAAGCCGTGATGCTATACTCTGGACTCGATTTCGTCCTGTGGAATCACGGCTACTGTTTCCGTTTCCTTCTTCCATGAGCCCATGTATGCATCTGCTTCAGTCTGTTGCTCAAATTACTAAAGATGCTGCTGCTTGCGCTGACCTGCCCATGGATTCGTTGCCTGGAGAGGAGCAGAGAGCTGGAGAGGAACCAGATCACATGGAATTTCCTTTCAACTTTGATTTTGGAAATGTGCAAATGGATGATTTCTTGCTAGCGCTTTCTGATGTCGAAATTCCTCAATTTGAACAAAATATCTTACTTTAGGCTTACTTGATTAAATCATTTTTGACAAAGTACATGTGCCCAAGTAATGTGTGTAAATAGCATTTGTTCAACCACACTGTAGCAAAAGGCCAACCCATTAAAAACTAACCCACGATACATGGAAATGACTCCCAAAAAAGGTTGTAAAATATGACTGAAAGCATGCCAGAACATATTAAACATGCTAGGGCTCATAATACAAAACACCAACCGCATGTATCGGCATTCGGTACTCATGACATGCTCTACCGAACAATGCTGTCATCCCGCAGAATCGACATAATATATATAGAGACAATACACACAAGATACCTATGATATTCAGTCTTACCGTATTCCTGGACAATATGACCTCCCTACCATACACCACCCAAGCTGCTGGGAGCAACAGCCAAGATGAGTATGCTATTCTCGAAGAGCCTCTGGGTACTACCCGTCATCTCCGCATTGTTACAATCGGAGCTGGAATAAGTGGATTGAATATGATACGGGCTTTGCGGAAGACAATGTCAAATTATGAGCATGTTGTGTACGAAAAGAACCCCGAAGTCGGAGGAACTTGGTACGAAAACCGCTACCCAGGCTGCCAATGTGACCACCCATCGCACAACTACCAGTTTACATGGAATCCAAACGCGAGATGGTCGCAGTTCTCTGCCAAAGCACCTGAGATCCAGGAGTATATTCTTCGCTGTTGCGAGGAGGAAAATATGCGTCCCGAGATAAAGCTTTCACATCAAATCGTTGGCGCATGGTGGGATGATGCTTCCAGCCGATGGAGTTTGAAAATCAGGAATCTAGTCACAGCGGGAATGGTAGATGATCATTGCGACTTTATTCTGAACACTACCGGGATTCTGAAGTATGTTCTCATTTTAATCTTGTACAGAGACAAACTAATTCTTGTGCAGTAATTGGAAATGGCCGGATATTCCAGGATTAAATGATTTCAAGGGAGATCTTGTCCATAGCGCTGCTTGGAAAGAAGATTTTCAATATCAAGGCAAACGAGTTGCTGTCATTGGAAATGGATCTTCGGGGGTACAGATTGTGCCAGCAATCCAACCGGGTATAGCATCTCAACACTTTTCCTTCGTTTCCAACTAATTGAAATTTAGATGTCGAGGAGCTTGTACATCTTATTCGCTCGCCAACTTGGATTGCCCCGCCCCAAACCGAGCGAATGCTAAAAGGTGCATCCGCCGAGGTCATGAAGTCAGCCCGCATGGATGGCGAAAAATTCACACCAGAGCAGATAGAACGATTCGCGGGGGACTGGGAGTATTATCGGTCTTTTATCAAGGCCACAGAGGAGCAGGTCAATGCTCGCTTCAGAACCGTAGGTTTCACATATAGCCATGCTTTTATTCTACCTGCGGACAGAATATGAATCGCTAATCTGATACAGATGGTGAACAACGACGGACTTGCCGATCAGCTCCAGCAGAATCTTGTAACTCACATGAAAGGTGTTCTCAAAGATGACCCAGACCTTATTCGCGCAGTTATCCCAACTACCTTCCCTGCTGGTTGTCGAAGACTCACCCCGGGCCCGGGATACCTCGAATCTCTCAGTGAGTCCAACGTGAGAGTAGTCACGGAAGGCATCCGTAAAATTCTACCCGGGGGTATTGTACTCGTTTCAGGGGAGTTTGTGGAATTAGATGCCATTATCTGTGCAACTGGATTCGACGTCTCATTTTGCCCGCGCTTCCCAATACATGGGAAGAATGGTCATAATTTGCAAGATATTTGGACCAAAAACCTTCCCGCTGCTTATATGTCCTGTGCGGTTGCAGATATGCCCAACTACTTTGTTTTCATGGGCCCAAATGCACCGATCGGCCACGGCAGTGTACTCAGCATTGCAGAACAGGTTGCGAGGTATATTGTGCGGATGCTAAAGAAATGCCAAATCGAAAATATCAAATCGGTCACCGTCCGCGCCGAAGCAGTTCAGGAATTCACTCAACATACGCACACCTTTCTTCCCCGGACTATCTGGGCGGGCAATTGTCGCTCCTGGTACAAAAATGGCACAGTGGATGGTCCGATCACGGCTTTGCATCCTGGGAGTCGAATTCACTGGTTCCATATGATGGAGATATTCCGTCCAGAAGATTATGAATTTGAATACCAATGTCTAGATAATCGTTTCCAGTTTCTCGGGAATGGCTTCTCTGTCAGAGAGAGCGCGAAGAACCCGAAGTGGTATTTGGAACAGCTGGATGACTTCTCAGAAGCTTTATTTCCCAGTTAATTTACTTATTTGCCTCTAATTCCAGAATAATTTTCAGTCCTTATGATGTTGAAAGACCTAAATGCTGAATGGCGTCTGAAATCGTAAATTAAAAGATTTTCAATAATTGAAACAAGGAGATATACTAATTTTGCATAGCTGGCATGCACATTATTTAGGTATTGTAGTCAGGATGTTTCTATTGAAATTTAGTAACAATCCAGAGATGTTCTATAGAAATTTGAAGACTACATGATATTCATAGCTCATCATGGGCTCAATGACATATAGACTACCATGAACGAGCAATATCAAAATCTTGATCATCGAAATAGTAGCCAATTACTAAGTCCCATCATGTTGGACTGCCGCACCAGTCGGTAGTCGTCAGTTTCAGTATAAGTCAATCTGATGAAGCTGCTATTGCCGAGTACCGAACGGTAATGCCAAATTTAAAACTCAACCCAATATATATTCCAAAGAAATAAAAAGAGAGGGGTAAGTAAATTTCCAAATATTCCAGTCAACTCAAGTCTATATCTTCAACTTCTCCTACTTCTACTTCACAGCCCAGTGAACTACAACAAAATCCTTCTCGCCCAGAATGAATATCATTACAGCTGAAGCGATCGAATCTCCATTCGCAAAAGAAACAATGGGGACATTTGAGGGCGATATATCTCTTAGACGTCTATACAAAGATGAGCACATTTCAATCCTCGATGTCCAATTTTCTCCATGTGCTCGAACACACTGGCACCACCATGCGAAAGGCCAACTCCTGGAGATAACTACGGGATCGGGATGGGTGTGTGATAAGGGACAAGAGCCTCGGAGAGTCAAAGCTGGGGATATCATTTGGTGTCCCCCCGGTACTACTCATTGGCATGGTGCGGATAAAGAGGGCTCTATGGTTCACCGTGCGATCACTTATGGGATTGTGGATTGGTATAGCCCGGTTTTAAAAGATGATTTGTAGTGATTTTATTGAGAAAGTTAATGGGAGGTCCTCGGTTTTGTCTTTCAGTTACTGGTTGAAGTGAGGATGAAACATCAGCTTTGCTGTGCTCGTGGTTCCAGCCTTCGAGGCGAGGCAATCTTTGTGCGCACTATTCAAAAGCCGTAATTGAAAATATACTAGCAACAGTCTATTTCTTTTCTTTTCTCCCTCCATTACTCGTGATTCTAGATCCTATAACCGACTGCGGATATTCTGATACAACCAATCTCTCCACTCTTGGTCAGTCAAGATTGATCTTACACGGGCCTCGAGCCACTCTGTGTTTCCCCAAAAGCCCCACGAAGCCTGGAATCTACACCAGTCAACCAAAGCCGTCTCCCAGTGTCGTTTGAACGTTTCCCATTCGTACAGTTCTGAATCCTCGTCCTGGAGGGTTGTGCGATACCGCTCTAACAGTCCCCTCTCGCCATCACACATAGACAGCTTCTCAGGCAAATTCTCATCACCATCAATCAGCATATGCAAAGGAACCGAACAGGTAAACAATTTGGCGAGGTCACAGACTCCCAGACCGAGCCCGACGTACTGGAAATCAAAGAACGCCACCTTGTCTCCATCAGTCGTCGTGAAGAGATTCTCCGACTTGACATCGCCATGAATATACGACTCAGTCGCCCTCCCACAGGGCGTCAAGAACAATGCAACCATCTCCGCTACAGATAATAAACACTCTTCCGAAATCCGGCACAGCACATCTGACCACTCCGAGTCTGTGTCCTGCGCAAGAGATGCATACTCTTTACGTCGCGTCGCAAGGTACGTATATCCCCCGTTGAGCCACAGCCCGGTGCAAATATCCTTTTCTGAACTCTGTCTTCTACTGCTTTCTTCAAGCGGCGGCAGCACGTATTCGTCAAGACTAGCTGGCAACAGTCCCCGTGAGCGGCCATGGAAGCTAGCTAGCCAATCTAGCGCTGCGCGCACTTGTGTGCCGTTTAGTGCACCCCTTTTCTCACCCGCGACGGGGAATTCAGGACGCAGATCGATCATGATCGTAGCCATAAGTCCTTTGAGTTCTGATGAGCCTGTCGCGTTGCCCATGTCGCGCGTCGAGGCAACGCATTTTGCTATGGCTATGTCGGAGCCCAATTGCGGAACTACTTCACTATAGAAGTATTGCTCTACCTCATAGCTTAGCATCTTTCGTAGATGGCCCTCATCTGCAGTGCTGGTGCTTTTTCGGGGCGGTGAGATAAGCTTTAGGATGAGGGGATACGTTGTCCCCACACGACCTGGTTCCACCCCACATAGCTTACTGAGATGTTCGGCTGCTTTGTTCGTTGTGGCACGCACTGTGATAGCACATATTTGCCCGTAACCGGCCCATAGGGTCTGTAGGTTGGTACATGAGATGAGTTCGAGTGAGTGCCACGAGAGCATGATGCTAGCGACGTGGTTGGAGTCATGACGGGTCATTTTGACTGGCAGCGGTTTAAATTAGTGACTGAAAGCCACAAGCAGAGGATATTTCCTTTGCGGATATTATTGCGCTGGTTTGAGACGGGAGGTGTATAGTGGATCTGGGTTGCCGCGAAGCTGTGTGTACCTACGGAGCCGCGGAGAATGGGATTCTCCGAGACTATCATTGTGTGAATTCATTAAGTTGAATATCAAATTCCAAGATTGGTTGTGAAGATTGGTCATTTCATTCCTTTTTAAAGGTTGGTGTTGGGTGACATTGACCAGGGAATGTATGAGGCAACCCAATCGGGAAGGTACGTGGACTGTATATCCCTCGCCCATATTTAAGATCAAACATCCGTGATGATTCGATTCTTTGCCCGAGCCCTATAAGAGCGACATAGTGATGCGAAAAAGCACAACAGATATAGCTTCCTTCCAGTTGCTCTATTTTTCGAGAATAATACATGTTACGAGATTGTGAGTGAAATTGATATCATACATTTGAAACAGCAACGGGTATAATAAACATAACAATAAAGGAGAATACAGAACACCACAACTGGAACGCAAACCAGACTCGGGCTAGAATAAATTTCCATCAAAAGAAATCGGGAACGTGAACAGTCCTTCATCCATAATATTCCCTAATGTAAACCACGGATCACCGAAATTGGGGTCTATGCCTATCTCCGGGGCCATTCCCATCGGAGGGGCAAGCTGTATCCCAGTCACGGTGGACATGTCCGGGTATCCCTGAGTCTGTGCGGAACTCGACGGTAGATCTGGATAGTTATGTGTGAGTTCAGCGGATGAATAGGGTTGGTAGTAACCCCTCGTCTCGATGTGGTTCGAGTCCGAGGTCGGGAGAGTGATTGGGTATGATGCCCCAGATGACCAGCTGGTTTGGGGTGGATCTGGCCCGAAAGTGGATGGGCCTGGCGTTGTCATCGGGTTGACTGTTGAGCTTGTACTGTGGTTTGAGGAATATGATTGCCCGGCTACTGAGCCTGGGCGTTGAGAGTTTGGATTGTTAACTCGGTGTGCTGGATCACCCATGGCTACTTCACTTAGGAAATGGAGGGGTGTCATGCCCGATGCCATCTGCGTTCTTGGATCGGTAGATGGCGTGTTCGGGGTATCATGGTTCTGATGTTTCTGCCGGTGACCAGAGGGTTTCTGATCATTTGAAAAAGCCTCTTTTAATTCCCGGCCATGATCTCCCTGGTCGCGTTTTTTCAAAAACCAATTGCGCAACAGGACCATTATGTTTCCAAATTTCGCTGCTGCACGGCCACCATCACGCGCGGCGGCCGTGCGGTAATGCGCGATGACTTTATCCAGATAATAATCGAGTTTGAGACTCTGCACGTCGAGAATCTGCCCGATTCGAGTGTCTGGCGACATGAACAATGAGTATATTTTTATCAAACTGACCACGGGGTACGTTGTCCGCGCTATTGTCGTCGTAGGTAGGGATATAAGTCGGTCAATATCAATGGCGCAGATAGCATCCACACTCTGGTGGATGCAGCGGATGGCCGAAGTCAACGCTTCGGTCACCGCTGCAATTGATGGGTTGTGCAAATCATCATAAGATGGAGAGTTGGTGCCAGTTTTGTAGGTCACACACATCACAGATCCGTGCACAAAGAGATTCAGGACAAGTTCTGTGTGAACCATGGGCCCTAGAAGAATGTGAGCAGACGTTAAAGACAAATCTCAAGACCAGGACTTACCAGTGTAAACATCCCGCGGGATCTCCTTTCTCCACTGTGCTAATCGACCCTCAAACACCTTAATATTATACCACAGCTTACTATCTGCAAAGGTGGCAATGGGTTCGGGATCATCTGCAGAAAAGTGATGTCCAGCATCCTCCATTATCAATCCCAGCTTTGCCCACCATTTCAGTTTCCGGTCAGAGGGTAAGCAGTCTGGGTGATTTTCTAGAATATCAAGGCACTCATCCATGTACGGCTGCCAGCTGACCAGTTGTACTCTCCTCAAAGCCGCTGATACCCTGTCAAATGTTAGCTGTTTGTTCACACATCAGAAAACCCCGATCAAAACTCACTGGACAGATAAGTAATAACAGCCAACCCAAGTCCGCCTTGCTTCCGGACCCTCTGGATCAAATGGCGGACCTGCCGGCTTTTTCGTCACCAGCTCGCGAATCATGCTATAGGCCCGTCTGTTTTCAGAGACGCGACGGTTCAATCCAATCTCCATTGCCATGACCACACACATGTGGGTCAAAGAATAGACCTTGAGCTCCTCGAAGTTATCTGGTGGCTGATACCAGAGAGAAGAAACCATTATAGTCTGAACAAGCTCAAGTGACTTATGGCCTTTGACAACAACATGCTCAGCGATCAGGCGATATGTCTCATTCATAAGGATTAACTGTGCATCGGGGTTGAAGACACTAATGGCAACGGCAATGATGGCGAGAAATAAATAAGGTTTATTGCGCCGAACCTCGCCCATCGAAGTTCCCGGCGGGAAAACCACAAAAGGCATCTCTGGTGCCATTTGATGGATATATCGCTCAAACGCCGCGCTGGCAGTCTTATAATCTATAATCCCCCGATCGATCATATCAGCAAACTCATTATCAGCCTCATGTTTCGGAGGCGGCAGCGTAGAGTCACCAGCAAGAGGTCTACGCCAATGCTTCGACGCATGGCTGGGAATCTGCTCTGCAGACGGACTACCCGGCCGCGAATACCGTGGCGCCAGCAACTCACCAGGCGAATCCTTGACTTCGCCTGTGTGCTGCCGCTTGCTCCCAGCCATCTTCGACTCCCCAACAGTCCATATCCGACTAGCCACCTGATCATCGCGCAGCCTAGACGGCGATGGTTGCTGCCCCGCTCCGCCAGAGAAGAGCGCACCAGTCGAATGCGATGCCTGCAGTGTTGCTGTCAGAGCATCGATCTTCCGCTCCAATTCCGCTACCCGGCTGTCGGTCTTTTTCTGCCGCTTGCGCGTCGGCGCGGTCACAACACATGTCCGCCGCGCTTTTGCGCACCGCTTGCATGACCCTTCCGGGTGCACCGGGTCTGGGTCGCACCGCACTTTGAGCTGTCGGCAGGGTTCGCACGCCCGCGGCCGTTTCACGTCGCCTGCTAGCTCATGCGAATCTGGGGACTGGTTGCTGTCTGGACCCATCCCGAATGACGGGTGCGTTTCCCCGTGCCGATGGCCGTGCCCATGTCCATCAGTATGTATGTCCCGGATTTGATAGGGGTTTAAAGGTGAATGGGATGGAGGCTCCGGGTACTCCGGACCTGGGCTCATTTTCGGTCGGGTCGGAGTGTAAAAAGGCCGTTGGGGGTCCCCGTCTCGTACGTGTTGCAGCTGCGGATCAATTTCCATGCAGTGCGGGGCTATTCATATGATACCGGTTCCAGGACCAGATCACTATTACACAGTTAGTGTCAAATTTCCGTTAATATATGTATGTATGTAGATATATTGGCTTTTGCCATTGTTTTAGTGGCGTTATCGCTGACAGCTCGTGTGGTTGTTTGGGGAGAGATACACGGAGAACGGTGATCGCAAACACCGATCACCGATGTGGAGGATCAACATGCCTCAGTGGGGTGAGTTCTGTCAAGCAAGGGGAATACAAAAAAGCAATGCTTACCTCTCCCTTATAAATTCCCTTAGTTCTGTTTGACTTGTTCGTCAATTTGGGGCTAAAAGTGAAGTGAGAAGTTCTTTTATTTTTGAGTTCTAACTAATATTTTAGGGTCCACGTGACTAATCAACCCACTAAGACTACCTATGTATGTACATACATTATCAGCCTGGGCATCTACATCTACATATGATGCATTGATTTATAGATTGAGATTAAATTAGATTCATTGATAATGAGATCTCCTTGGAGACCCATACGCTGAGCGCTGAGCGGGATATCAAAAACACAAATCCCAGACACCGTGAACCAAAACATAGGAAAAGCAAAAAGCTAAGCTAACAAAGATTTCTCGTTGAAATTCACGCTAAGTGAATATGCACCATATTAGGAGAGTTTGTGGACAGGGCACTCCATTTTCCTCTCAAACCAGTCAACAATACAGTGCTTGTGAAACTTGCACAGACACTCAAGGCGGGCTAGGGCCTGCCCAACCTCGTAGTCCTCCATACAGATCGTGCACTCAGCTGCCTGGCCATCTTCACCGATGCAGTCCTTCTCCGTGGCCACAAATGGAAGCATGCGGGCTTCCGGTGGAGGATGGGGCAGCGGAGGACCCTGTTGCGCGGATGATGTCCGGTGCAGGGCAGCCGGGCTCAAATAACCTTCAATACACGCCCGGGTGTGCGCCTGGCGCGCCTCAACAGGCTGCTCGGGGCCCAGTGGAGGAAATTGGCGTCGGCATACGGGGCAAAAATCACCCTCGTCCAGCACAGGTCCACGGGGCAAGATACCGTCACGGCTAGAAAATGAACGCCGTGGTCGGGCTACGCTGGTGACCGGGACTTGACGGGGTTGGGAGTGCAGTTCGTTCAGGTACTGTGGTCGGTCATTGGCACCCATGGTTCGTCGCTCCTGGCGAGCTTCGGGGTTCTGACTCGGACCCTGTGCGTTTTTATGTTAGTTCTTGTTTGATTAGGTAAAGTGATAGGAGAGAACTAACTGATGAGGCATGATATGCGTGAGCCATATTTGATGAAAGAGAATGGGTGGGCCGGTGGCCGTGTGCTCGCATGGTATTGTAGCCAGGGGGATTCGGGTTTGGATCTGGCACACATGGATTGCAAAGTCGTACTTCTTCGCCCCCACCAAGATAAGGATTCAGTGTCGTTGATGTTGATGATGAGGCATGGTCTTCGCTTGTGAGATCAACGACCGGTGGAGGATGGGAAGGCATTGGCGGTGAATCAGGGAGGAGGTCGACAAAATCAGGAGGGCGGACAATATACTGTCTGGGAATTGTGATCCGATGTGGGGAACATGATGCACATACCACTCTCCCACACTTTCGACAATGATGCTTTCTGTGCCAGAAGTTGAAGACTATGCCACAGATCGGACATTCTGATACTTCCGAATCTGCCTGCCACTTGGGGAGAGCAATATCCATAAATGGTGGGGGTGGGTTATTGTCAAGAGATGTGGCCGAGCGGGGCTGATTAATCCATGGTGTTGGATCTTCCTGTCGAGGAAGACCCGGCAGTTGCCCGCCAGAAGTAGAAGAACGAGGCGTTCCTGGAGGAGAGGAAGAGATATCAATTGCTGTTGCGATTGAGGAGCCAGGTGCTGCAGAAATAGAACTTCTGGTGCGGGACGAGGGCAGTACCATAGAAACAGATCTATGCGGCAATATGCTTCTAGATGATCCCCCATTGTTTCGGGCCGGTCCAGCCGTGCCCCCAGATCGTTCCCATTGTAACCTCGCATCTTCGCCGGTACTGGTCAGTCGTCTCTTACGTTCTGACCCGGCACGAATGGGAAAGGCTCTCGCCCTGGAGCTAACTCCTTCATAGCTGCTGTAGCTTCCAGATTGGATTGTACCATGTACCTCTGGTCTTTCGCCCGGTCTCGTGCCTGCCCGCGCCCTCGGCTGGGGGCTGGACTGGATCGGGCTGGACGACGCCGTGCTTGATCCAGGCATTATTATTGCTGGTTCGATTGATATGGATCCTCTGCGAGATTATGTTCACCACAGGCAGCGAGATCGACCCTCGGCCGTTGGGGTGACAGTCTTCATGAACTAGGTGGCGATGGTGAGGGAAATGGATGGCGGGGAAGTTCAATGATATAGATGTAGAGGATAGACAGTCCTTTTGTGCAATCTCGGGCTCAGCTTCAATGACGTTGACGCTTTTTGCCGAAGATCACATCAAGGAGTGATAGGATGACGCTTATCATAGAGCCAAGGCTGATTGGGTCGGATTTATGAGGCTGAGAGTCTCGTGGCTATGCTATCAGATGCCAGCAACACGATGGCAATGCCAGCAGCAGATGAAACGATGAGAAGAAAAAACCCAGCAGAGTAACTTTTGACTCACAGATAAGAGAGAGGAAATGATGTTAAGAACATTGCCTGTTTGGCCCAGATACGGCTGTTATCGTGGGGTGGGCGGTGAGGGCGGTGGCGATTGACAGTATCGGCCCGATCTGCCCGCGTATCATCGGCCTCGGTTGTTTCTTGTCTATAGTACTCTGTTTAATCCCTCGGTGTTTTGACCTGGGCCTCAGCATTCGAAGGATAATAAAAGCAACCAGTTCTTCTAAGATATCTGCAAAGAAATTCCCACATCGGCGTGTAGATATCATACACTAAGGAGGCTTTCTGTACATAGGCATAGCCGCAGGACTCTTGCAAGAGATTGTCACTAGTAGGGAGCCATGCATGACGATGCAACATGGGACATGGCTTACATGTCTATGCGTAAAATTTTGGTTACATCCATCTTTCGAGTCATACCACTGAGTGACCTTCATATCACCCCAAGAAAAAGCACTAATGAACAGTCCCCATTAATTAAGATCTCCCGGTACTATTGTGTCCTAAGATTAATACAAGAAGAGCGAAAAGACACGGGTACAGAAAGAAACAAGGCCTCCAAAAAAGCAAATGTCCTGTGGCCTAGATTGAGCGACAGCCTGAAAGACGACAAAAAGCCAATGAGCTCGCTCCCCATTAGGTGTATCTGGGATCAGAGATAGAACGCCATCGCAGCAATTTTAGGTAGAGACACAAAGCAATAGACGGACGGACAGAAAGCAAGGAAATTCGTGAGAGTGGCATCAATTCGCCAGATATTCCGGGGAGGAGACGTGGTGACGATATCAATAGCGCTAAGTGGGAAATAAGTGATGAAATATCCATGATAGAAACAGAGACAGAGACAAAAAGAGGTAGATGGCGAGCTGGAAAAGGAATATACTGGTTGAAAATACATAGATAGCTGCCTTTTGTCATTTTTCTAGCGTTCGTGCTCGCCCAGTGCAGCTTCATTAACAAGTTCTGCTGAGCTACCGGTAAACGACGGCTCATCGGGGCTCGCTTCAGTTATTTGTTCGTGTGCGCGATGTTGAGGGACATAGCCCATACTCGAGGGCCGTTCCGCTCGAGGGCCCGTCTGCTGGCTCGAGGCGTTTGACCTTGATCTTGAAGTAGAGGTCATAGACAGGCCTCGTTCACGAGATGGCGAGCTATTCCCGCTGAAAGGCAGACGCGCGGTGGTGGAGCCTGCGGGCTGGAGATAGTGCTCAGAGTTATCAGAGTGCTTGCCTACCTCAGATTCATGGGACAGAGTTTCGGTCACAACTGGAAGGCCAGCCGCAGGTCCGCCTGCGTCTTGTTCGCCGGGCGCTTGCGTGTACTGAGAGCCCGTTCGACTGGACAATTCAATGCCACCGCCAACCGAAGTATTAAGTTGTGGCAGTACTGGTGGCCGTGTCTCACTTGACCGCTCGGGGTCATGGTCATTATCTGGATCCTCACGGGGATCATTTCCAGCAGACACATTCCGAGAGTGGCTGGCGGTTGGCGTGCCCGGATCATCCTGATATTGTTCATTATAGTCGCCTCCTGGCGGGAATAGACCTGGAGGAGGCGCACGAGCACTTCGGACAACCTCAAATCCTTTGGCATTGTCCTTAGTCTTCCCTTGGAGCAAGCTTCGGAACCAGCCTGTCGCAGACGACACTGGGCCTGTGGGATCGGCTGGGCCAGTTTTCAACTTTCGAGTGCCGCTGTGGGACAGTGGTGGGCCGCGGACACCGTAGTAGAAATCAACTTCACGAACAGCATAATCCTTTGGCTTCCGTGGAGTATCGAGCTCCATATCGTCCTTCGGTGCTGCTAGATATGCTGGAATGGGTGTGGCCCGGCCAGACATGGTGCCATCTCCCAAGTCATCCTCCGTATTAACTGCTCGACGGCTTGATTTTGATTTCAAGAAGCCCATTGACGGGCTCTTCCCCTTCTCCAGCAGTGGATTTTTACGTCCCGGACGGGGCGGTCGATAATAGGGATCACGAGGGTTCATCCCCATCATGGTACCGCTGCTAGGCGAGCTCGGGAAACCGGCTCCTTGATAGGCGGTTGAGGTAGGTGTGGGGAATCCTCCACTGGCGGCACGACTATGCGTGCCCCCTTGCGAACTCGCATAATCATAGGCAGCGCTGGCTCTGCCATCACTAGCTGTAGCACGGTTCAGAAGCAGACCCGAGCTCCCAGAGAGACTACGCGGGCGCGATCCATCAAACTGAGAAGACATACGGTCGTCACCATGGCCGAGCATAGCAGCCTCCGATCCCATACTTTGTCGAGTAAGATCACGCCGCGGAGTGCGCCTGGAGAGCTGGCGCATGCCAAGCACCTTAGTCAAACCGCCACGAGTGGCACCGCCCGCACCAGCCAGTCTTGCCAGAACCTCAATCAATGTTTGCATCGCGTTAAGGAAGAAGCCGAAGACAAGGACCACGGCGTGTAGCACGAGAATCAAATATCCGATCCAGCCTCGTGCCGAATCCGAAACAGTCAATGACGGGACAAAGATGACGCTCAGGATGACAGTCAAGAAACGCACAATAGAGAAGATGCAGTGGTACAGGTTCATATGAGTCGGTCCTGAGAAAGGTCGGAAAGCCAGCAGGGTTAGGACGGAGACAACTTCGCAAATGGCCAACATTACCACCTGCGCGATGCCAGATGGCTGCAAAGCACCAATAGCTATCCCGCGAGCGATGTTTAAGACAATCGGAACGATACCAAAGGCTGCTGCATCGTCACAGTAAGTATTATATAGTGGCCCGTACAATAACACCGTAGGAAGATCATCGAAAAGGTGAGACTTAGGCCGGGTAGAAATAATCACTCGGATCACCCAGATGGAGAAGCAAGCGAGAATAACAAGTACCACGGCGGCCAAAGTAACACAATAAGCAGCGGATTGACGAGCAAGAACCAGCTGGAAGAACGAAAGGGAAACGATTGGCAAGAGAAGGAAATTGAAGACAATGCGAATGAGGTTGCCCATGGTAAACGGCATGTTTCTGGCACGCAGATCCTGATCTGTGTTGTTTGCCAACTCACGATACAGCCATCGAAACGCGAATGCGATCTGGAACAGCACCGTCACAGAGGCCAAAATTACCAGCACCCATATCATCATCCCAGGCCAGATATCCTGCGATGAGCCCATACCAACCAGCTGATTCAATCGGTCGAGGCCATAAGTTCCATTGATGGCATATATACCATCGACAACTGGATCGCGACCCATTTCAGTGCTCATGAAACTCTGGTTGAACATGAGAGTCGACCATGCTCCCTGGCTCACTGCAGGCTGGAAGAAGCCTGGATAGTCTAACGAAAGCGAGCCCGTCAAGACCACGAATTGAAGATACTGCAGGCAATCCGCAAACCCAGGAGTGACAAGCCGGAGAACGTCCTCATCACGGCCGTAGTTGCTTGTCCACCGAAACAAATCAGTTGTACCCCAGGGGCTATACATAGCGGCAGCGATGGTCGCAATTCCCACGAGTATCAAAATGACAAGAGGCACATAAGCGATGGCATTTTTGAGAGGTGTACCGAGGTCCGGTGTGACTTTGACTGAAATACAAGCGAGCTGAACCGCGGATGCATCTCCAGTGCGAATCGTCAATAACGGTACGATGGTTCCGAAACGGTATGTTGAAAGCATATCATGTTGAACAGAGAAAGCGTGTAATGTCGACAAATCGCTCCTACACAAGAGAATGGCGTCAGTTAAGAAGAACAGAGATTTTTCTTTCCCAGCAATAGCTTACATGTTGTATTCGAAGGCTGGACCCAAAGGGAGGGTACCTTGCGTGAGTGAGTCACGGAAACGAGAGGCGTTGTGAAAGGGATTGAAGCTGAGCACATTGAAATCCGTCATCAGCGTGCTGTACCTGTTGTTGCTACTGCTCACATCCTCGATCTTCCCATCGGTCCAATCGGGATCTCTCCAGACGAGGGAATCCGGCGCCGGGTAATTTGCGGTTCGAGACACGGTTCCAGACACATTTCCATATACCGTGACAGCGAGCGGGTGTAGAGGATTGGTAAGGTTGAATGTGACGGACACGTTGGTAGGAACGAATTGAAGTTGTAGAGGATCGGACTCGAGGACGGTTTTCGATAGACAATTTTCAAAGTCCAATAGAACAGCAGCAGCTGGCGATGCAAAGCTTACTAGGCAGATCAATGCAATCCACCACACGGGACTCCATAGTTCTGCTCGTTGGCGTTTCGAAGTGTCGCACCAGAGCCGACCTTGCGAAACGTGTATTTCACTACGTCGCGGCAACCCGGTTTCTCTCCGTCGAGGAGAAAATAAGGAATCGTCCAGCTCGATCTCTATCGAGTCGTACATGTCTGCTTCGGGCATCCGGGATGACCTCCTCGGGGAGGTCAACCCCCGGCGTAGATGATCGAATCCACGTTGTGTTGACAATGGGTCGGTGTCGGGTTCTCGTCCACCGTGCACACCCCTTTCCAGGGTTGATAGTTACTTCAGATTGAGAGGAATCTCACTGCAGGGAATGGACCAAGGATTCTGGAGGCTCGCGTGATGAGGTTGGGTTCGAAGTTAGGCCGGTGCCTGGAGATACGGAAGTCTGTGTATGTTGCAAGTTGGCCGCTAAGCTGTCAAACGCGGCACATCTCGGGAGAAGGGATCGAACTTCAAAGTCAGAGCGACACACAAAGTGGAAAAAAAAACGACTTAATTTTCGCAGTGGGTTGGTCTGTTGTTGTTGCTGCGCCTTGTTTGGTCTGGCCCTGGTGGAGTTTGATGGCTGACTACTCGACTTATGCTAATAATAGGCGGCCATATACACTTTTTTTACCCTTTTAGAGCAGAGTAGGATCATGAACTAAATACAAATAGAAAATAGAAAAAAAAAGACTCTTTTTTTAGGACTAGTATTTCCAATCCTATCGTAATTGCACCCACGGTGTCTGTGGGCTGAAGCTGAACCTCCTAAAAATAAATGAGACCCCGAGTCTTTACATAAATTTACTACGCTTTGGTTATCATACCCAGAGAATATCGTCTTCAATTACGAGGCAGAAGACATGCCTTGATGCCTTTATAATTTTATCATGTGTTTCAGATCCGGTCACCCTCATATGTCTCAGCCGACCCTAAATAATCGCTCAAGGTGGGCTGTCTCTTGTCTCACTTACTGATCGGTGATCATGCCGAAGATCAAGCCTTCATTTATGCCGATCGACATCCGGCAAGACCTATTATCGGCTATGCGGTGGAACTATGAGTTTGGAAGGTTACTCTATGTTGATATTGTCTCGGGTGGTGAATAACATGGGTTGGGGATGAGCCTGGCTGATATTTCATCTAGCCAATTGAACAGGATCAATTGAATGACCACAAAGGTGCAGATAATGGCAAAATTTTCAGGGTCCAATATCCTTAGCTGTCTAACCCCACTTGGGCTTAGCGATGGAGGCTTCTAATAGACAAGGGCGGTGGCTTCAGGCCCTCATATATAGCTATGGAGATTGGTGTTCAGTTTCCAGTCGCTACTGAAGTCATCTCAGGATACTCAATCCATATAGATCTAGAAAGTTGGAAGTATACTGAGTCGTGAAATATCTGATGTGTAGGGCTATACTCCGTACAGGTACAGCATAACCCAATAATGTTTCACTCCCTGATCGACGTGAAAATACTAACCAAAAGCTTAACGCCACAATGAAAAAGTTCCTCGTTTAGCTCTCATTTTCATCCCAATCTAACCTGAACTAACCCAGTTCCGTCAGCCAAAAGCCGCAAACTCCTCGCTTATTCCTTCCTTAACAAATTGTGCCGATGCAAACAACATTCCTACGTTGCTCACTTTAGATATTCGTTATTGCTGCCCTGAACAAATCAAGATGTTCAGCCTTTCACTCTAGATCTGACATTTTTCCTAACTAGCACTAGTATCTTGTTTTCATGTCTAGCCAGGCTGCTATGTGAGGATATAACCTTGACTGTCTCTATGTGTCTGTCTCTGTCACTGTCGCAGCTCAGCGATTCTATACCGCGATCATGAGACGACGGTGACGAATACTAGAGCTCACGGTATAGATGAGGACTCGGCTTTTGTTCTGGACTCAGTATAGATATGGTTACAACGAACCTGACTAGCTTCAACCAGTCTACTACCAATATCTCTGACGGTAATATGCTCTCCTACGGACTCTTACAGTTGTAATATCCTCACCTTTTCTCGTGATACTCAGCAGTTCTATAATTAAACATTATTGCCTCATGATTTGCAGTCTTATCTACTAGTCAGTAAGCGTGTCAATCCCACCAACACCTACCCAGTGTAGGTGGACCTGATGGTGAATTCTAAGACTAGGTATCTTTTGTATATCAAATCCATACAAAAAAAATATATAGGCACAACATAAGCATAAAACATCGATTTGGTTAACCCTCAAATTACATAGCTAGGGGTACTATAGAAGGATATATATTATACAAATGAAGTGAAATTTACCTAGTATCAACCTTAATAACAAATTTCAAGTATACTTGAAGCAGGAGAGTAGTCAAACTTTTCATACTGAATATTTATCTATTGTTTTTTTCAAAGTGTTATATCATATAACTAGTTATTTAGAATTAATATTATTAATAGATGGATAAGACCAAACTTTATGAGATTTTGTCTTGTTGTTTCTTCTTAAGCTAATTTTACCGTTAAGAAAATTGATATGAAGCTTGTGTTTGCAGTTATGTACCTTTTGTATGGAGTTACTACACAAAAGATACATCCTGATATTTGTTATCTGGTGAAGCCCACCAACACTGGGTAGGCGGCTTGGTAGGGTTAGTATCCAATCGCCTGTGAGTTTAAAGGCATTTAGAAGACTCGGATTCTTCGCTTCTGGTGATGTTATCGAGATGATACATATATTACGATCTTGTCAAGTGAGGATATTTATTATCAGCCTGGTACAAACACGGATTATGTGTAGTGCGTAGTGTGTAGAAGTAACTTACTTTAGTATGTTGACGATCTCAAAATTGCATACTGTGACGATTTGAGAGTTCTGCCAGTAGTTACCGTTTGGTGATGTTTCCGTTTTGGGATGTTTATCTCGTTTGTTAAGTTAGGGGTCGATTGTTTGCATTGTCTGCACTGCGGAGCGGGACCCCACAAATGCGAGTTCTAGTTGAAATGCACTCTTTGAAAGAACTGGCTGGTCACAAACGCCGTAGAAATTTAAGCTAGTTGGATGTATATAAGACCCTTAAACAAGACGATATTTGCATTGATATGTTATTCGACCCGTTGAAATAATTACAGTTACTCCTAGTTCCATTTATTTTCTACAATACTGAGCTATAAACCAAATACTAAATTATACCGCCGAAAACTGCATGGACTTCCCTATTTGTCCTATTTGTCGGCCCTCAAAATGTTTGGAGGGCCGCCCTCTTAAGGATAATAAAATAACCTGCCCAACCTGCGGGCAGGCATCGCCTGCCATCCGCCTGCAAAAGCACGGGGCTGCAGGCGGTTATGAGGTCTAGCCAAGATTGGGCCCCGGGGAGACAGGAGGATGACTAACAGTGCTGGGCAGGTGCAGAACAGAAATGGTAAGAGGTGGTCAAGGGACGCCTGGCCGACACTTGTTAAGGGTGGAAAGATGGCCGTTTCTGGTGCCAAAAGTGGTCATTGTCGGAGTCCTTTCCACAGGTCCTCATATTCTAAGTGTAAAGATGAGATTGGCCGTAGGTACGTTCAAGGTCCACCTATGTAGGCATGTAGGTAGGCACTAAATACTGGTGAGTAAGCAGCTCTGAAGGCCCCGGGGACCCGAAGCCGGGACGAACTACGGAGTACTCCAGGGTGTGTATGTAGGTAGGTATGAACGCTGGGTCTGACAAGCGGGTATTCCAAGGTTAATAGTCTAGGTACATAGATGCAGGGTGGTCCGAGCTACTGTTGATCTCGAATTTCTTTGTCCTTTATTCTTTGTTCTTTGCATATAGCGTGTGGGTTTTAGTCGAATGCTCTCTGGTCATGGTGCGAAGTATGTTCTAGCCACTTTTTTAAGATCAGTCAAGGAACTAGGATATATACTCTACTTGATGAGTGCAAGACATATATGTTGTAGCGGTGATAAACAAAGAACATTTACTCGCAGGTTCCTTACAGTCATCCGCATCCCGATCATACATATATCTATGGATATATAAGCGTAGCGAATTAGAGAGTCAAGTAAAGTACATATGTAGGGATCTTTCATGCGACTCTATGAGTCTATGGCAACGGGAGGACCAAAGGGGGAAGCCGACAAACGGGCATCCGATCAAATGCCAAATCGAGGAAGAGACATCACAGCCAAGGATTCAGTCTGGAGAGCAGCGAGGGGGTATATTAACAAATGAGCCAATTAATCAAAGCCCAATTAACTACTTATGTATACTACTAGTCTCAAAATTTTGGGCGCTAAGAAGCCCCTAGATGAGATTAGGGGAAATGGTTTAAATAGGAATGTTTATATTATTTCCTATCGAGTAGGTGATACAATAAGACATTAACGAGGTAGTAGCTAGGTATGGATGCCCAACATCAAATTATCTAGGTAGTCTGTACTGTACTCCGTAATTTGTACTCCATACCTCTAAAAAATTGATTAAATAACAATTTCTATCTTTCAAAGCTCTCAAAACTCGTCAGCGGCGGGTCCCTTGTTCCGATTGGGTCTAGTGGGGTTTCAGTATGAGACGAGCGGGTTGTTTATGCTGATTGGATATAATAGCCACTTGGTGGCTTTGAAGGCGTTCTGTAGGTGTTTGAGGTATGTGGGCGTGTATAGAATTTATAGATATGGAATTGGAGCACATGCTCGTATTAATTGTCTATTAATTGTCTATTACGGAGTAATTGTCCATTAAATGGGTATTAAATGGTCAATTAAGCTATTAATATCCTATCTAATACCTATTAACCACATTATATTAACCTATTAATATCCGCTATATACTAAATCGGATCCACCAGGGAAAAATCCCCCAACTCCACCGCGGCAGTACCTGCGGAGTATCTCCAGGGCAAGGTTCTTTGCCCCCCCTGATGTACTTTACCTCTTCTTACCATCTCACGTCTCAAGCTGCTGGTCCAGCTACTTTAACAATTTAATCTCAGTAGGTAGGTTGCTTTTTTATTCAAAATTGAGAGCTAATCTTCTGTATATTTTATAGTCTTTCATCGGAGCACGGACGTTTCGATTTACCACCCCTCCTTCCACTTGACACTTGACACTTTGACACTTTGGACTAGTTTGAGACATTTGATACTTGACACTTTCACACTTTCCCACACCTTCACACTTCATACTTCACCTCCACCTCTTCCTCTTATCTCCTCTCTTACTCCCCATTTCCCCTTCCCCGCTATTCAAATCCTTATCAGGCCCAAAGCCCCTGTCGATCCTTCAACGCACAGGGAGAGGGGACATTTCACGAGGACTGGTATCCTTGGTGTGATTAAGTGCGATGTGGACTGTGTCTACTCGCCATCTTTCCTGTCATGTCTGCCGATGACCCATTCTCCTTTCTGCCCACGGAGCAGGCCAAACCCGCGAAAAAAAGCCATTGGAAGAATAAACTGTTCTCAAAGGATAAGAATAAGGCTGCATCGCATCAACATCAAGAAATCGCAGACTTCCTGAGCTCTCGAACCCCAGAACCAGCTCCAGCTCCAGCTCCACCGCCTATCGACCCGAGATACATTCCTTCCCAAAACGTTGCCGCCCACCGTTTCCCTTCCTCACAAGACGTCTCTGCATACCCTCCCTCCAAGCCAGCGACTGTGCCAGCGCCAGCGTCAGTCCTGCCTCGCGAGAACTATGTCCCTTTAAATTTCTCAGACCAAGCTCCTACCTTGCCCGCCCTCACTCCTGCCTCTGCCAGGCCCAGTGGTCGCAAAGGCAAAGGGCTGCGGGTGGGGTTCAGCCCCCAAACCCCAGAAGTAATTGGTGAAGGAGGTGATGAGACCGAGTCGCCAACAATTGAGATTTCGCGGGCCCGTGAAAGGTCGGACAGCAGGGGGACCCAGTCTGGCAATATCCCTGCGTCCCTCTCTGACCCTTCGCGATCGCATCTGCCAAATCTCCGAGTTGACACATCGCTGGACGATGGCGATGCGCAATCCCGACAGGTGGCTTGCTCGCCTCGGCGTGATGAATCCGACTGGAAACCCCCGCTGATGCAAAATTCTCAGGATGCAGAATTCCTGAGGTCTCTGAGCCCCGGCGGCTCTCGATTGTCATTCCGTGGCGATACCGAGGCGAGTTCGTTCGCACAACGTGTTCGCGACAAGATGCAAGCGGAGGAAGGTCGCGCATTGCATCATCGCTATGAGGAGGATACATCGTCTCCTGGAGCTGAAGACGACGATGTCTCAACTCCACCCAGCCCTCCCAGCCCGGAACCACCCATAAAAGCTTACAACCCCGAATCGACCTACGAAACAGCCCCAACGTCGGGACTTCCGCATGCGCCATCGATTTCTCTGTCGATGAGATCTATTGTGGACTCGATTCGGAATCCCCCAAGCCCCTCAACACAACACGCACCAGCGAATCTCAGTCCAATTGACCCACGAATGCCCACAAATCTCATGCCAGGTAGCCCCGGCAAGGCTTCACCAACACGTGCCAAACCGCCACCCCAGGACCTGCCTGCATCAAGTCGGGCGTCACCTCCCAGTCGCGAAGGCCAAGAGCCGCCACGTAGCGCCAAACCCCCGAAGTTCTCTCTTCGAAATGTTGCCAACCAAGTTGGCGATACTGCATTTACTGAATTCAAAGAGTACAATGTACAATATGAGAGTTCGATTAAACTCGCAGCAGAAGATGTTAAGCCGTTGCTAGAAACATCACTAGCCGAATGGGTTCGGGCTGCAGTCTGGTGGTTTTTGCGAGGAAAGACACGATTAGAAGCATATGCTCGTTCCCGTTCTACATTGCCACCTACCTACGCCAAGCAAGCTGTGATCGATCTTGGAAAGGCATCGTGGATAAATGAAAATATTGTGCCCAGACATCATGAACTATCTCGATATGGTGCCATGAGTGTTGACGCCCTACTGGCTGTTGCGAGTACCACCGGCGACAAGGAGCTGGCTGATCTTCTGAGTATACATCACACTCTCACTAATCATCTCCGCTCGCTGTCCATGTCCATGAAAAGAAACAACATCCTCGCCTTGGTTGTCTCAGATGAAGGCTCCCCCAGCCAGCTGGATACTAGTATCTGGTTGCGTTACCCTTTCTATGCCCCCGACGTCTCAGCAGTCTTATCTGGTGCGGCAACGAGATCAATGCTAGTAGATAACGCAGGAAAGACACCAAGTTTGGTCCACATGATGCCTTTGGGTGACACAAGTCGATACTTCAGCTATGGTAGCATGTTCGTGCAGGTCTGCGTCAGCTCCAGTGATGACGATGGGCAACAGCAATATGCCATGCCCTGCGCATTGACTATCGTCCGTGAACGAGCGGACTGGTATGTCTTTGCGGCAATCACTAGCCAAAGTCAACTTGTCAACATTTTGGTTCAGTCTGACCGGAAGCAGGGGCCGACTTGGGAGGATGTAGATTGGCAAGTCCGTTCCCATTCTATGCGAGTCAAGCTTCCCCGGGGATTCGAGTTGGATGTCCTGTTTAAGGAAGATGATTTCAAGACTCTTTGGAATATTGTCAAATACACTCAGAAGTCAGAGAACAGTCTCCATCCGGAGGCAGGTGAGACTGTGGTATTTGAGAATACTCTCAAGATTTTCCAATATATGGACCCGAGCACACCAAAGGCGTTTCCTCCAGACCCTACAGAACGGTGCCGAGTCCGTTTGTTCGAGCGCTCTGTCACTGTGACAGAAGGCACCGGTACTCGCAATGCGCATCGGGGATTCCGGCTAGCTGTCCTAACTAGTCCGAAGGTCAAGACTTTGAGTAGTATTCGCCATAATTTGGGCAACGGCTCACCCATATTGTTCGGTCTCTTGCGAGGAGAGGACGGTGCTCCCGCTCTTCTTCTCAAAGTGACCGAGGACGGCCGTACGAGATCCATGTTAATGACTTTCCATGAGGTGGCTGAGCGTACGAAAATACACTCTGTGCTGCTTGGTATGATTCCACAGGAGGGAGAGATCAAGTCACCAGAATTCGCCATCCAGTCATATTGCATTGAGCAGCCCGAAGATCCATTCACTGGTCAGCCCGCGGTCAAACACCTCCAGTTCCCCGCCGGAAGCGTGTCCGTTATTGACCAGGAGCATGCTTACGTCGACCATGGTTATGGCCCAACGATTCTATCAGAACATTTGAGGGCCTTTGTCGCCACTGAATGGGGCTCTGTCACGGATCGCATCAACTTAGGTGGGGGATTTTTCTTATCTCCTTCTCGCCTTGAGATTGCTAATTTTTTTCAGGGCCTGGTGAATTGAAAATCGGTTTGGATGTCCATCGCCAGATGAGCATGAGCTTGTTCCGTTCCGCACAACAGGATCTGACCCTTTCGCTTGCGGATAACCTTATTCGCCCAGAACTGGTAGGGCAATTAACCAGCTTCCTCGAGAAGATTACGGTGAAGCCTATGATCCGCCGACTAGACTTCCCAACCATGCAGGGTATGTCTGCTTCTAACATTGTGTTTACGCTGCTAATTCTATCCTAGATCTTCATGCTTTCGAGGAAGCTGTTACTGGATTCCAGGTGCTTTACGATGGGTGAGTACATCGTATCCATCTAACTCTTACTTAGAATCTCTTACTGACCAAGCTAGCATGGCTACATCGTTCACAATTTCCCGCCGACGGAGTATGGTGCCCATTTACAAGAAATGGGAAGCTTCGCTAGCACGAGTTCAGATTGTTCGACAAGAGAAAGTCATTCAAATGCTTGCTTTCTTTGGAAACTTCCAACATGGCACATGTATGAATTTTGTTCTTAAGGGTACTGATATCATGGAGTCCTTTGGCCGATCCGGCAAGTTTGGCATTCGTATGGTAGATGCCAAGTTTGCGCTGCCTAAGAAGGATGGTGATCCATCTTCCAACTTTGTGTGCCTCGACATGCCCGAGTATCCCATCGAACACGATGATATCGCCATTACGTTCGATACCGAGGCTTGTGGGTTATATTTATGCCTTGTACTGTTCTGCTGCTAACTTCTTTCGATAGTACGCGCAAGTTTCAAGGCAGCTCTTCCTGGATCAGTGCGAGAACCATCTCGCATGGGCTCTATCCGTCGATAATCCATTTGTTCCCCATCCCCCGGTGATTTACCGATCACGTGACCAATTACGTGATGCCCCCCCCCCCCCCCCCCCCCCCCCCTTCTTCCCCCCGCTCCCGAGATCGGATCCCTGCATTTTCTGGTGTATTATAGCTCGTTGCTTCGCGGACCCTTTTTCTGTGCATACAATTCAAGAACCAAACATAGCATTTTTTATCATGTCGTACTCTACCGAATCCATTGGCGCCTCCACGCGCTCACTGCATGCTGATGATGCCTTGAACCTTGTTACTGATGTTGCTCCTCCTATGCATCTCTCTACCACATTTCGTTATTCCAATGATCCAACCCAGCTAGTACCGGCTGCCGATGCCACGCCTGTATGCACCTTGAATTCGCTGTTCTATGTACCATTATTTAACTCATATATCCAATGTAGGCCGACTTTGATCCAACCTCCCACATCTACTCGCGTATGTCCGCACCGAATCCCACCCGCTTCGAAACAATCCTCTCCTCCCTCCTACACGGCCAGGTCATAAGCTACTCCTCCGGCCTATCAGCCTTGCACGGCGCCCTCACTCTCCTCAACCCTCGCCGCATCTCCGTCGGCGATGGCTACCACGGCTGTCACGGTGTCATCGCTCTCTTCACCCGCCTAACAGGCCTCCAAAAGATCCCCCTCGACTGCCCACCCGACCAGCTCGAAAAAGGCGATGTAATCCTCCTTGAAACACCGGTCAACCCCCAAGGCACTGCTTTTGATATTGCCTCATACGCCGCCAAAGCTCACGCTCGCGGAGCATACCTTATCGTCGACAGCACCTTCGCCCCACCAGGCCTCCAAGAGCCATTCCAGTTCGGCGCAGATATCATCATGCACTCAGGCACCAAGTACTTCGGCGGCCACAGCGATATGCTGTGTGGTGTCCTCGCCACAAACCGCGACGACTGGGCCGCCCAGCTCAAAGCCGACCGTCTCTTCATCGGAACCGTTATGGGCAGCATGGAGGGCTGGCTCGGCGTCCGCAGTCTGCGCACATTGGAGATCCGCGTCCAGCGTCAGAGCGAGAATGCCGCCCGTCTCATTTCCTGGCTTGATGCGGCTTTGCATGTGCCTAACCCCGCGCCTGACAGCGACGAAGCGGCTGTTCAGGCTGTTCTTGGTGAGGTCCTCCATGCTAGTCTGCAGAAGGTTGAGGGTGACTGGTTGAAGAAGCAGATGCCTAATGGATTCGGGCCTGTTTTCTCTATCATTATGAAGGAGATGCGCTTTGCTCGTGAGTTGCCAAGTAAATTGCATTTCTTCCAGCATGCTACTAGTCTGGGCGGTGTTGAGACGCTTATTGAGTGGAGGACTATGACGGATGCAACAGTCGATCGGAAGTTGCTGAGGATTAGTATTGGGTTGGAGAATTGGGAGGATTTGAAGGCGGATATGGCGAGGGCCTTCCGTGAGCTTGCGCTTATGAAGTAGATTTGGAGATTTAGTTGTAGTATTGCCTAGATAGGATACATACACAGACTGTTTATTTCTTCCAAGGCTATAGATCGAAGTATACAAGCTTAAGTATACAATCTCTTATTTGCTCGTGGACCCCACCATTGAGTAATTAAATTCTATTGGTCATCATCTAATCTGGTGCCAGGGCCTCTATCCAACTTCTTCCTACCTGTACACCTGGGGCACCTTTTCAACTACTACACCCTCTCTCCCTCCTTCCAGTCAATTCGCTGCAATCCTCTCCGCTATACCCATCATGTCGGAAACATTCACAATCCACTACTTTGCGACAGCATCTCAATACACCTCCAAAAACACAGAGTTGCTCCCCGCACCCCTGAAACTATCCGCTCTTTTTGGCGAACTGGAGCAGCGATACCCCGGCATTACTCCTAAAGTCCTGTCTACCTGTGGCGTCAGTCTGGACGGGGAGTATGTTGATATCCAGGAGGATGGGGATATCATTATCCAGGCTGGGAGTGAGGTGGCTGTTATTCCGCCTGTGAGTTCGGGGTAGCGTTAGGAATTACCAGCTAAATGTGATAAAGAATAATGTTCCCACTCCTATCTAACGTGTCTGCATTAAAAGACCCTTTTGAATCATTTGCGAGAATAGCTCTCTTCGTCTTTTTATACCTAGGCAAACTATGTATTTTTGGCTAAGGAGATATTAAATGTAGTATCGAAAGAAGCTCTAACTTGCTGTATACCTCGAATTTCATAGTAGACTAAACCCAATCCTTTTACTATTTTAGCTTATATCTACTATTAGTCTTTAGAAGTTTCGCTGCCCTGGATATTGGTTTGATCTAAAATGGGCTATTAATACATGCGATATAAGAATCATCATAAAAAAAGACATAGAAAGCAATTGATCCAACCCGCATCTCATGACCTCCAGATCCCTATCATTTGCCATTCATATAATCTCATAAACCATTCACCCCTCAACAAAATATTAACCATTCATTACTCCAAACTCTTCACGGCAGGAGCCTTCTTCTTTTGTAGCCACAAACAAATATTACAAATAACAGAGAAGAAAAAGAGGATACTACAAAATCAATCCCAAAGTCAGTAAATCCCCAAAGAAGAACCATTCAGAACCCAAGAATAAAAACAAAATAATGAGCTCACCAAAGTCCAATACTCAACCCCCAGATAGCCTTTGTCTCAATACAAATCGCTTTCGAAGCCCCAATCCAGGAAATATAGTCAATTTTCCCACTAACACTAGCAAGATAACTCGAGAGTCGAGACGTAAACGCATACAACGTAGCATCTTTATCGCCCAAATCTGCCAATGCCGTACACTCCAAGTAAGAGAGAGGCTTGCCGACGATAACAGCGACGACAATCAGCGCGATTAGCAACAGCATGTCTAGCACTGCGCAGGGTAGGAATGGGAGGATGTCGTCTATGTAGAGGATTGCAGTGATTATGCAGTAGATTGCTGCGATACAGGTCTGTGTTGGGATAGTTAGTGGGGCTGAGATCTCTGGGGAGGGGATGGGTTGAGAGGAAGTAGTGTGTAAGTGATATTAGTTAGGAGTGGACTTGGACTTACCACGCTGATTGTTGCAATTAAGATGTTTGGGGGTGTGCCATTGTTGTTAATTATTACGCTGATGAATTTGGCTGTCATGCCGATTATGGCGATTAGGGAGCAGGCTTGAAAGAGGCGAGATAGTTGGAAAGTTGCACCGAGGGCACCGTAACGAGGAGACATTTTTGGATTGGATTGGATTGGAATGAGCCGGATTAGAGTAATGGAAGGTTTGAAGGGTCAATTGGTTGGGCTAGTTGCCGATGTACCGAGAGTCGAGTGGATGACTTGAGAATGGTATTCAAGCAACGATGCGGTAGATATAGGTGAAATGAAAGGCTTTGAAAAATTAGGAGAAAGAATAAAAGTACCCAAGAACAAACGGAGTGTGTTCTGAAAGAAAGTGAAGCTGATTGTCAGATTAAAGACCAGACTGGTTCCGGCTCTTTATATAGACATCAACAAAGGCATCTCAATGACATCAATTGTCCGAAGTCTAGACCAGATTAAATTAGTAGATCTAGACTCTCTCCGAGCTGGGCTATGTCTTTGTGTGTTACAGATTCTGGAGAAGCGTCGCAGTTAATAGGATGACCCGACTGGCTCTCATTAAGCTCTCTGCCGCAGCGAACAGCATGAATGGTAGCTTAAGATAGTATGAGAGCTCATAGCTCTTTGCTAAAGATAATATTATTGGAAGAATACTTAGAATAGTACAATAATATCTGCAGTAGAGGTCCGATTGTCGAATCCACCCGGGCGCTTGGAAGGAAAACCCTAACTCGTCCCGGATCGCTCTCAGCCACTCGTTCCCTGGGCGTCAGCGAATCTGAAGCAGGCGCCTACCTTTGACCTAATTATTGACTAGGATGGGAAATGCAAAGTAGATCAAGTTTCAGGACCTTGCATCTAGCCCCAATATTTAGCAAGGGTGTGCTATTTTCCGATTGGAGCTGCTTGGCAGGGATTTTGGTAACGGGAGGTCTTACTACAGAATATATCATGGGCGGATCGCCCATGCACATACCTGCCAGCACTTTTCTCTTGACTAATGAGTAGAACCAATTGATTAAGTCTTTGTAAATACAGTTATAGATGAGTTAAATATATCCAATGCCTAGACCGCCTCGACGATTAGTCCAGCAACCTCCAGCCTCCACTGGTCCGGTGCTGGAAGAACCCTTCGGGATCATAAGCCTTCCTCGTTTTCAGAGCAAGCGCCTTGGACGCGGGGCTAATACGGCCCCAGTAATCCTGGCGGTGGTATGCGTCATTCATAAACAATGGTCGGTACACGTCAGGAAGAAGACCCTTGTCGATATTCTTCTGGGCCAGGTTGTCGAGTCCCTGGTAGAGTGCGACAGTGGCTGCGTCCATCTTGTTGTCGTCGATGGATAGACCGTAGGAGAAATCAAGCTCAAAGATAATGTACGGTTGATCGGAAGGAATATCGAGGAGGTCCTGGGCGTTTGTTAGTAATGTAATCTCCTTGTTTTCATTGGGAATGGAATTCTTACTCCACCGCGGTCCTTGGCCTGCTGAGAGTATGACTTGGGCATGGGCTGGAAGGAAATTGTGCCAAGTGAGCCGGCCACTCCTAGGACGGACCCGGACACATCCCGGAAATGCTCATAGTACTCTATGAGCGGGGCTGCTCCCACAGTCTTGTTAGGAAGGGGGGTGGTCTCGGTGGCGATGTTGTAGCGTTGTCCCCTAGTAGCTAATTAGTAAGTGACACAAGCATTGAGATTTGCTCGTCTTACTTAAGAATAAAAAAGTCGTTGTGCTTGAGCAGATCGTAGTAGCTATCCCAGGTCTTGACGTTCGAGGTGTGTTTAATAGCAGTGAACTCGTCGAAGACTCCAGCGGGGGGCTCCGGGCCATCGTAGAAGACGAACAAAAGACAGAAGTCAAGCAGCAGACCGCGCTCGAATGTCACGATGATTGCCGCCTTGTCATCGGGATACTCGTCGGTGAAGTTCCGTGTCGCCGCAAGAATCTCGGGGGCTTTGTCTTTTGTGAAAGCATAAGTGCCACCCCAAACTTTGTGGTCTTGGGGATGCGTCTGCACGGTGTATGCAGTAACAACTCCAAAGTTGTTGCCGCCTCCCTTCAAGCTATGGAAGAGGTCTGTCCAGTGTTAGTGTTTCGACGATTACAAGGTTGGCATAGTGTCACTCACCTGAGTTTTCAGTTGCGGTTGCATGGACGATGGTGCCGTTGGCAAGCACAATTTCGTAGTCCAAAACACTGTTCGCAGCCCAGCCGTACTGGGTGCTCAGGAAACTCATACCAGCTATAAATCATTAGAGATACATTCAGAGATGATTTTGGAACCACAAACCTCCAAGCATGTATCCACCGACTCCAACTCCTCCCATTCGGCCTCCAACAATGGTCCGGCCAGTTCCCTCTAGGCCTTTCTGGGCCTCTTCCCATGCAAGGCCAGGACCGATAATAGCAGTATGATCCTTGGCATTATAGTCAACCTGGTCCAGATTCTTAGTAGAAACCAGCAATCCGTCGTGGATACTAGAAAATCCATTGTTTGGATTATGACCACCACTCTTGATGGCACTATTTAGGGTTAGTCAAGATCATTGCAATTGGCACAAGGAGAGAACGTACAAGAGAGTATCCACGTCGTGCAGGTTCTTGATAACCTGTGCCATCTCCGCAGCACTGGACGGAGCTGCAATGCATGTTGGCTTGAGATCAGCGCATCCCTTGGACCAATACTCCCTCTGATCGGCCTTGTATTTCAATGAAATAGGGTATTCGACATCAATGCCGCCAGCCTTGAGCTTCTCACAGATATCTGCCATTGCCTGAGGGACGAGAGCCAGTGATAGCGCCAAAGCGCGCCATCCATTGCTTGAGAGCATGTTGTCAAAAAAAAAAGGTAGACAATATAAATATAATAGTATAAAAATATATAAAAGAAAGAAATAAGGTCTGAAAGGGGACTGGAAAGAGACGGCCCAAGGTCAGAATGTATGCCCTCACAGATATATGCACTCGAAATCAGTTCCACGGTGCGGGCCGATGGATTTTTATATACCTCTTCAATACCTGTGGCTTTGAGAGACTCTGTAATCGGAGGATATTTTCAAGCCACTGACCACACCCGACAGGAACGGAAACTAACACGGGCCAAGAGAAGGATCCCCTGCAGAAGGACTGTTCAGGGACTCCATTCTATCCAGACTAGGGTTGGGCCATGCGATTCTAGATTGGGTAAGACCTCCTGCTTATCACTTCCGGAAGAGCTCACAAATTGGACATCAATATGTGACGAGTTCATCACCGTGCTCCGTGGGCGCATTTGGCTGTAGCTGTGGAGCTCGCTACTGCACACTCTGCAGATGGGAGTGAACGGAGGCGCATGACAGCCGAACGGGCAAGCACAAAACCTCCGACTCTCCTTGTATGCCTGTTTTGGACATATTTTCCGACTCAGCTATGCCTGTGGTCGGGTGCCTATCTTGTGCCGATCGCCGCACATCCTGGCATCATATATGGAGTATTTGGCCTAATTTCCATGCTAGACAAGGAGAGGATATCGTGGAGCAGCGGGTCCAAATCGGGAAATTTATTTGTCAATCGAAGATGTCAATGTCTCATCGGCTAAAATTGCGGAATGTGCGGTATACTTTGTAGATTGAGTGGGAGCGCAATAACCTTGTCCAGTTTTGGCCCCAGTGATCGACAGATCACCAAACAGGTATTAACCCTTGGCGTGCTACTAGAGTCAAAACGAGATTCCTGGACAACGAACGAGGCTTCACTAGTTGAAAGTTAGTGCCAGCCCAGCCAGCCACAGTGCGAAGTGGGATAGGAAGAAGTACATGAGATTTTTTCATAGTCGAGGACAAAAGTGGATCAACTGAGACAAGAAAAAAGGATCAGTGAGACGGTTCTCTTTAACCTCCACGTCGAATGTCCAACGTGGAACTTGTGGGGAATTGCCCCTGACATGTTCCTGATAATGCGTCAGATCTCGCTTACGCCAATTAGGAAATGATACTCGCAACCTGTCAAGGTTTTTCTTTTTTTTGTGGACCGACAGGCTTGCGATAGATCGACATCAATAGTCTTATTTGACTTTTATGAACTACTACTATGCGGTTCGCTCCGAACCGGGGGCCGGAGCTATTCTAAGAGGGCATGGAGCGATAGCAAATGTTTCCCCGCTAATTTCTGGTCATCAATCTTTTCGGTTAGAAGAAAAAAAATAGTTGGAGCGGGGAATTGGGATCGGCAGCTCATCTTGAGGTTGATTTACGAGGTTTTCAATGTTGGGCATTGTTACTCCGTACTTTCGGAGCAAGAGACTAGGGTACGGAGGTATAGCCCAACAACTATGGATTTATGTACAACATATGCAACCTGGAGTACTCCGTAGTCAGTCCGATAGGCTGCATTAAGAGCATGGGTCAGGACATAAGTCAAATCACTATCACTATTCCGTAGACACCCTTGTCTTGAAAAGTGCCGGTACAGCTCCCAACTCCACCAGGTTTGCAATAATTCAAAGCCCGGACTTCGGGGACTATCGTATCTTGGCATTCCGTGGATGATTTTTTCCCCCAAAGTATGCAACATAGAAGAAATGAGACTGTTGATCTCTCGGGCAAATTAATCTTGAATGTTGGATCTTATGTTGTTATGCGAGGGATAACATACATACAACATACTTTGTACAGAGTATGCATGCTTTTCATAGGAACGCGATATTCATGACACATCACTTATACAATGCAATCATATACAACATAGCAGTTTGGATGGTCCGCGGAGTGTTCTGTACTAGTTTCATAACACTGGGGATTGGGCAGCTTGTTGCGGATCTTATTGCAATGATACAATCGAACAAGTACCTCGCACATCGCCACCGCATTCATCTGCTGCATAACTGACAGATGCAAGTAAATTAGAGATATCCACGTGTATGGAGTATAAACGGATTGAATGTAACTAATAATTGCTCAGGGGCCTCCAGGGCTACAGCAGGACTTTTGTCAATGGATGTAGTGTGGGTCTCCTCTTCCTGGGCTGCATACCCCCGGAGCTGTCAAAGTGAGCGTATCCACATCTTTTGCTCTGATTCATGGAAACTTCAACGAGGAGAGCATTCTCGGTGGCTGCTGCGGCATTGTTCGTAATATTTCTTCAAAGCATTGTCTGGCAAATGCTTGCTTCGTTTTGTAGGCACTAACCGCGTATTCTTTCTCCGACTCTTGAGTTACGATGTACAAAGTAGACACTAATTATGACGATTATGACGAGCGTAGTAGCACCGAACACGCCTTCAGTGGGGCCAAAATTGCCCCTTGACTGGGCCGATAGGCAGCAGCTTCTCATGGATCTACCTATCGAAAGCGAGGCGAATAGATCCTCTCGTACGCAGCATGGTCTCAAACGGGTATTCCGGCGGGCGAAGCGGGCACGAATAAGGGCATGGAGATCTGGTTCTTGTAGACGGCAATTCTAGGGTGACGAGAACGGAGCTACTGTCTCGCGCTGTGTCCGACGGCCTGGCAAGGAAGAAAAATAAAACGCGGAGCCATCGGTGCGACGGTGTCCGTCCACACTGGTGCCAAACAGCATCCAGCCAAGTTCTAGACCCAGTTTATGTTGATCACTGATTTAGAACCTCCAACCAGCGCTGCTGTGCACTAGCTAGCCAAGAAAACGATGGATAGTAGTGGCGGAAGATGCGCGCGCCGTATCGGGGCCATGAACGGTTCGGGCCGGCTAAGGTGGTGTGACACTTGCCGGTAAGAAAGCCCGTGATGTGGTGGTGTGCTTGTAGTCGACAGCATGCAGACATAGAAAGACGTGGATGTTCGCCTTGTTGCGCCCGTCTGACGTATAAGGAGTGGTGTTCTCTGCGAAGTAACCCGGATGCTTGATGGCCCAGTAGGCGTATAGAGAGTATGCGGTTCTACTTATGCCGTCCTACATACTAACAAAAAGAACAGGCTCTTTTCGTGGGTGATGTGAGGAACAATGAATAGCCTCCTATCATATGTCGGTCAGCCTCATGTGCACCTAGACTCGTATACGAACCTACAATCTATAGGCCACATTAGTTAATTTTTAGCCATAGATAATTGGTAGATGGCTCGTATGCTAAAGATTGGGCTATATGAAAACCTCATAACCCCCTTCTGCCAAAAGCTGCAAGGCACGATCATCAAATGTGGCTAACATATTTTGAAGTCTACTTTTATCGTTTTCTTACGCCAGATTAATCCTGTTTCTGTGAGCATAATATCATCAAAATGGAGATTGTCCAAAAAAAAAACGAAGCCTTCAAAAGGATTGATAGCAAAATGCAGTTTTCTGATGTCCAAAGGTTTGTCAGGCCAGGCGGCAGATTATATTTTGGAAAATGGATAAATCGATTAAAGTAGCCAAAGAAGCTGGCCAATCTCCAGGAAGTCAAGGAACTTCTAACAGAGGACAGAGGCCCAGAGGTGGATACTACTTGGCCAGCAGGCTACGTGAAAACACTTAGTCTCCTCGCGTATGTATGTGGATGGAATCTTGAAAAGCAAATTATTCGCGAAGTTGAAACATGCGAAACTCTTCGCAAAAAACTCCCATACAAACATTGCGACCTACTATGGTTACTAGGAGAATCGTGATCGAGTTTCCAAGCTACGCTTCAAGTAATATACATCCACACTACTTGAAGTGGTCAATCCTCAACGGCGCGAACTAGTGAAAGAGAATATGAAAACTAATTTGAAAGAAATTTGGGTCTCTATCAAACGTCTTCACTCGCTTGGAATTGTTCATAACGACATCAAGCCCGTAGATATCATGTTTGACAAAGACAGTACACCCAGGTATTCTGATCGATTTGGATAGCTGTCGGTATATCGGGGAGTTTTTACACGAGACTAAAACAAAGAGTACCAATCACTGGAATGACCTTCCTGTAGATATGTCGCTCGAGAAAAATGGTCTTGACGCTTTCAAAGATCTACAAATCTGGTTGACTGGATCGGCAGATGAAGAACTCCTGTTTAAATGATGGCCTTTTCTTTATGACTCACAAGTGAGGGATAGTGTAATAAAAAATGATGTTTGTTGCATTCAAATCTAAACATAAGAACAAATAAGACTATTAATCTAGTCACGAAAGAAATTGAGATTCTTCTGGTATAGACACCTGGGCAGAATGCTATACTTCTGTGCTGTGATGTGATTGGCCGAAAAAGCCTCCGAAATCACGGGACAATTTCCATACCGCCAAGGGCGGTACCGCAACTGCGGGCAGAATATACTTAGTTTTCGAGCCACCGGCGCATTCTTTCTGCGTAAGCTCTGGCAATGGCACTTACAAGAATAAGGTCTTTGCAGAAGCTGACTGGTGCAGGTTGTTCACCGGTGCTCTGCAAATGGAGACAAAACCGCGCAGGATGTCCGTCAACCGCGTCCGTCATTCACCTTCCGGTGTTGTCTGGGGGGCGACGCTTCTTGTCTACCACGAGGAAATTGGGCTCAGCTGAAGCTATTCGAGCCAACAGTGAGGTAACTTTTTAGTGAAGAAGAGGCTGCTATTTCTAGCTAACGTTTTTTCTATTTCAGCAGGAAATATTCGAGTCAAGCGAGCCCCCAAGAGTTTCTATCGATAGCAATATCCTCCTTAGGTCCCAATTCGAATTGCATGGAGATATTCGAGAGTACCTACAGAAATGGCAGGATACCAACCCCAATGATTTGGACCCCGTGCGCCGATCCGATTCCAAGAATCGGCCATTGGATTTACCGGGTAAATCCGTTGGCACAATGCCTAATGGCCGCGACACAATCGATGCTTGGGGTGACCCGAACAGGCTAAGCCAGGATGCTCTGGATAAAGATGAATTTGAAGGTGAACACCTCGAACAGGGCGACTTAATCGCCCGGTTGAACGCAGATGGCGTGTTCAACTACGGAATCTATGTGCGATCCATTCACAAACAGAAACAGTTCTACAATAGTAGTGGGAACTGGCGCATCTGCTCTAACGCGGAGCTCGACTACGTTATTAAAGGATTTGCACCCACCGAACTTGTCGAGCCTCTCATCCCGTGGTTCCCGGATACCGAGACTGTTGCAAGCCAAGATATTCAGCTGGCCCCCGAGGGAGGTCTTCCTAGGCCACTAGGTGCCCCTCTTCTGAGAATGATGGGCAACTTCAAGACTCATATCTTGAAATTCTATAGAGAAAACTCCCAGATACTGGACAATCTTCATGATAAAGTGGCAGATGAGACCGAAGTTCTCTGCTTGAGCCTTGAACAACTGACAATGACTGCTCTTGGCATTGAGGAATCTGAGCTGACCAGCGTCAACATGTTTGCTGTCCATCAGGCTGTTCGCCGGCATCCTTTCCTCATTGAGAAAGACACCAGCTCCTTGTTCAGCCGGATTTATATGGTGCAGCCAAAACGGATCGCCAACATTGTCAAACAAGTCGTCGACTGGACCCATGAACACCAAGAACATTGTATTCGTGCCACAATGCGCAAAGACACCCAGGGGTCCAAAGACCATCCTATGAATAAATTTATCGCCAAAGCACAGCGGTTGATTCGTCTTAGCAGAAGGCTTCGCTCTCCGACTATTATGTCCAGTGTGGGACCATCCTCCAACAGGTATTCGCCTGGCCAGGATGGAAACCCACTGGTGTTCCGCGAACTTCCCACCGAAGCTTTCAGTGCAGAGGACTCAATGATCATTGAATATCTGAAGCTGTACTCTGTTCCTGCCATTGTCATGCCGTCGGGCACCCTGAGATCAACAGCAACACATATCATGCGTGCCACAGGGATGTACAATACCTCTGGTCTGAGCGAGGCTTCAACACGTCTTTTGTTGCAGGAAATAGGCATTTTAGCACCTTGGGAGAACCTTTTACCTCTTGACCAGTATCTGATGCTTCCTGGGCATGGCGTGTCCCTCGCAAAGGACATGGAATTTGAAGAGATTGAGAACTCTTGCAAGGAGCTTACTGCCGATCAGTTGCAAGATTCTATGCAACACCTGAGAAAGGATTGGGGAGATATGCCAGTCTACTGTGTGGATGATGTGACGGCGCAAGAAATTGATGACGGAATATCGCTGGAGCCCATCCCAGGATCTCATAATGCATTCTGGGTGCATGTCCACGTTGCTAACCCCACAGCCTTCATCGAGCATCAAAATCCCATCATCCAGTATGCAGCCTCACGACTTTTCACCAGCTACATCCCGGAACGCACGTATCCCATGCTTCCCAAAGCTCTTACTGAGCCCCACTTCAGTTTGGCTGCTGGTCGGCCGGTACTCACATTCAGCGCGAAGATGAATGTTCGAGGAGAAATCATGGATAGTAAGATCCAAAATGGGACAATTCACAACGTCATCAATCTCACCCACAAAACACTTCGCGACTTCTTCGACCCGGATGCCGAAGAACAGTTGGAACCCCTCACCATAGGTGGGGTGTTCACCGAACCAACAGTACCACATGGTAAAACAATTCAACAAGGCTTGCGGCCCGAGGACAAAGATAAATTCCACATCATGCGTCAACTCATGCTTGCATTCCGCAACACCCGCAGAAAGAACGGCTCCATGGACCTCACTCCTCTTAGCCCAGATCTTTCTGTCTCAGTCCAGTCAGGCGACGCCCCGATGCCGCCTTACGATTTAGAAGCCACGACCGGACGCCACTATCTCGGTGACCCAGTCATCCGGCTCAATATGCATTCATATGATCCATATGAGGTTCGTGATCAATCCCGGGACAATTTAGTCTCCCTAATCATGAATGTGGCTGGGCACATCTCCGGCCAATTCTGTGCTGCACGCAACATCCCCGTTGTCTACGATGGCACCTGGTACGACCCGGAGTACGGACGCGTTACCAACAAAAACTTGGCCAATTTCGGCGGTGAGGGTTTCTATGAGCTCAGTGCGCCGCTGGCCTACTCTTCCTCGGTCCCAACCAAGCACCACACCCTGGGCTTGGATACGTACGTCAAGAGCACCAGTCCACTGCGCCGATACACAGATGTTATTGCGCATTACCAGATCGAGGCAGCATTGCGTTTCGAGCATGAACATGGCCGCCAGTTTGACGCTCTTGTTGATAGCCCTGATCCTGCAGAGATCGATCTAGTAGAGACGGAGACAGAGATAGAGACGGAGACGGAGACAGAGACAGAGTCAGCACAGACAGATCTAGCCGAGACTGCCACTGAAATCGCCACCGTTGACACAAAGACCATTCTCACGTCTCTCCTCCCCTTCTCCAAATCCGATATTGACGCCTATCTCACCTACTCTCAGCCCCTACGGAGACGTCTCAAAACTCTCGACAAATACTCCTCACAGCACTGGGCTTGTATGCTCCTCTTCCGCGCATTCTACTTCTCTGAGTGCAGTCTCCCAGTCACATTCCCATGTCTGCTACGTACTCCGCGCATCAAGCCGAGACATCTGGACGAGGAATATTCCGGCGTCATCACCAATCTTGGCGTGAACTGTTCGGTCACCATTCCCGAGGATTTCCCAGATAAGGATAAGCTGGATATCTTCTGCATGGTCGAAGCCCATATCACGGCTATTGATATGGCATCTTTACATGTGACCATGGAGGCAACTGCGTTTATAAAGCCGTTTGAAAGGAAGGGTGAGTGGGCTTGAGTCTGAGTGACTCCTTGTACAATACTGTATTATACTCATCTCCAATCGTTACATAATTGAAAGATTTCACGCTTTGGACCATTATGAAGCATTTGCAGGCGCTTTCTGTTCAGTAGAAGAATGTCACCGTGATCAGCCTGGGCTCATCCCCTCAGCGCCCTAGAGATTCTTCTCTAAGGTGGTCGCTTTATTGTTCTTCTCGTGCATTAAGGTACCACCGTTGAGCTAGTTAGGATACAAAACCTCGAATGCCCGAGCCCCGACCGTAGTAAAGCTGCCGTATAGTCTGCTAGTGGATCTAGCGTTTTTAAAAGTATGTCACTTAGAATGCAATAAAACTGAATTACTCGGCCGCATATTTCCAATCACATACCATGCCGCCTCTCTGTTCCAGAAATGGACCTTGTAGTTGATCTGATTGAAATTCCGAGCCAGGAAGATGAATGCAGTGAGACAGTGAGATGGGAGATGAGTATTTACTACTATACTGTGATAGTGCTTAATCCATATTGTCTGGCTTACAGGTAAGAAATTACTGCGGTCAGAAACAGAGGGAGAACGTGCCATCTGTAGCGACGGGTAATACAGCTGGTGCTTAATGTTATATCGTAAATGATTGGGGTGAGGGCCACCTGTACGGATTTCTAAAATTTATGCGATACTAACATACTAAGATCTGGAGAGATATGCCAGAATATCCTGCAAGAGTTTTGGTCTCGCGAACTGCCCAGGCTGTGATCCCGAGGACAATTATTGAACTGAGGCATTACATGATAGGGCGATGGTTGAAATTATGCCACAGAGTATTTGAAAGACCCCATGTTGATAATTTATTAATTTATTAATTCATTAAATGTTTAAAATTAGTGAACTGTGTAGAGTGTACTAAGGGTTTTGGTCTTTCTACTTCCCCAGAATGGTGATATCACCACATGTAGCCAAAGTCCGGGACAGGCCTCTTATTGGCAACAGAAAAGAAAATCTCTATTCTAACGCACCTATAGATTAATTAAATTAATTATTATATGCTACATTAGAATATACTCTCTACCTAAAAGGCTGTTGGACGAGCCTCCACATCTGGCCGAGTATACTTTTCGCCCTGAGGAACCCGTTTCTTAGTCCGAACAGAGGGCAGGAGATCAATAACAAAGGAAAATACAAAGAATGCGAAAATAAGGGCGGCAACTGTTCAAGTTAGCTTCTTTTTTACACAATCAGACAGGGCTAAAAACTTACCCCATTCACAAACAGCCGCCGCGTTCTGCTTCTTTCCATTATTCATGCATACGCCAAATGCAATCGCGACGCCGAGTTCGCAGACAACGAAAAGAGCTTTGATAGCGAAGCTAACTATTAAGATTCGAGCTTGTGGATGGTAGAATCGACCGATTTGGATGTATTCCAGACACACCAGGAGGGCGCAGACCACGTAACACGCTCTGGAATCCAGTTAATGTTTGGTATCTAGAAGAAAGGAGGGAAGTCATACATGAACATGCCCAAAAACCCGTTGTGGAGGTTATGGTGATTCTTTGTGTCGAAGATGGACAGAAGAATGAGGCCTATAGCCCCAGCAATGGAAAATATGATTGATCCAACCGCACAGGTTTTGTCGAACTTCCCTTTGTTTGGAGCAAGTTGACCGGCATGACGAAGCCAACGCTCAGCGAGGAGACCGAGATCCATGAACACGACTGTTATTACACTCCCTGTAATGAACAGCGGTTTGAGTCCTTCGGCTCCGATATGGGAAATATAACTAGTGGTTCAATCGACTCAGTCTATGTTGCCGGAGGGTTCATTGGTTAGACTTACGGAATGGTGAGCTCGGCGTCCATGGTGATATATCTTGGCTTTCCGTCCACTGCCCATCTTGACAGCATGGCTACTAGCGTAGCTATAAGGCTGTTAGTAAAGTAATCTCAATCCTCCGTGTGTTTCGATCCTTACCTATCCACATGCACCCAGATATCACAGGGAAAAGCCAGAACGAGAGAATCCACATGGTGGCTGGCTATGAGACCCGTCGGGTGCCAAAATATTCAGATAAAAAGACAGTGTTGTATGGGAAGAGCTTGTATTTTATTTGTTGCAAGGGATACTCCTTTTTAACGATTTGAATGAATGTGAAAAGTCAGGGGTCGAAAGGGGGGAAATTCCGGATCTATGTACCAGGCGTGGCAGCAAAGATTCCTAGGAGCCTAGAACTGCAACCCCACAGATCTGAATTACCGTATTCAGATTGTCTATGTAACTTCATGGCAGACAGTCTATATCTCGGGCGCGTCCTGGGTACCCGGTGCGGATCGACCGGATGCTGACATCAGCGGGTTTTGGTGGAGCTTTTTTTAACCTCATTTCCGATTGACCAGGGTGTGATCAGAGGGTAAACAATGAAAAATCTGTCAAGAAAGTGTCATTGACATCGTGTTCGCTTGCAATTTTTCCCGTTTCCTCACATCAAAGTGGGTAAATCATAATACAATAAAGTATGCGAGAACGAAGGTCCATTTTGGAAAGTGCGCGTCGAGTGTGGAGGTCGCGTGCACACTCGCGATGCAGTTGTGTAGTATCACGATTGCAATGGATTTCTCGTCATTTCGACACTTGAAGGGGACCAGGGTCCTGATCGTTTCCATCGCATCTGATTTTACTTAATCGAAATGAATCATCTCCATACCTTTGTCGAGCTCCAAGGTTGGGTTGGTGTTTGATGTTAACAGCCCGCTCAAGGATATCAAAGTTGCTTGATAAAAACTGATTTTGGTTAGGAACAATTTTGGTAATCAGGATAGAAAACTTACTGTACACAGAAGGCGGAGTTATGTTGTATTCAGGCAAGGCAGATTGTGGGAAGTCAATTTTCCAACTGAGAAGACTCCGAGATATTTGGTGATATTGATACCCATCATTACTGAGCCGAAAGCTGGCCCAGAATGTTTCAAGGCGAAGGAGAAAATCTCATTCACAGTGACTGCAATGACTGGAGCTGCCAGCGCTGGTTATCTCGCTCCGATATTTTATTTTGGGAGCCTCATTAGATAAGTGAGGGATAGCAAAATTGCCATCAACGACATCTAGAGGTGTGCTTGACTGACTCTCAGAGTGGGTTATATACCACCAGTCTATGATAGCCCAGTCCTCGGCCTCCTGTTAGTCTCACAAATACTTGCGGCAGACCAAATTAGGGTTCGGGATTTGGTATTTTCACTGATATTGAGGTGCCAAGCTACTTCAGATCAAGTTATTCATGTTGAATGACTGCCATAGACAAATGGTATATCAAGATCAATGCTTAGATGTAGAAGAGAGTGAAGGATATACATATTCAAGTCATGTGACTCTGAACTATATTTCGATGACGTAGACAACTCCAACCTCAAACAACACTGGTCTGGCAGTGTGAGATTATTCTGTGAATAAACCAAAGTACAGTATCTATATACATGTATGCCTGTTGAGTTATTGGCTGGTTACCAGCTCCACTAATCAACAAATAAAGAAACCAGTCTTCCCTCTACTTCCCCTATCAGAAGTCCGGAGTACCAGGTTGTAACGTATATTGTACAACAAAACTGAGTCTACGGCGTAAGAACAAGATACATAGTTTTAGTCACAGTGAGCTCATTCTAGTTCATGCTGGTTGGCTATAGAATTGACTAGGATATGCTTAGTACAACTCTGTTCAGGTGCATATAGTTGGCATGTTTCTTGGCAGGCCCTAAACATATGACGTCATTGTTTTGGATTTTGATACTTGGCGTTTAATCAAGGATGATGGCCAGTTTTCTAGAGAAGACATCTCTAATTTAGCCCTTTTGTGAGAATTCCCTGATCTAAGTGGCTGGCTGACTCTATTGATATACATCATATCCAGTAGATCATGGCACCTGAAGGCGTTTGCTATACTTTCCAAGGTGAATGTGCATTTGTACACCATCACATTGAAAACATGAACGTCATAAATTATAATGTTTGCTTGAATCGATGTACAAAGAGGATATAAATACCCTCTTCTTCCCCAGTCTGAGGAAATATATTCTTACTTTCTCCATCAACCATATCCCACATCACTCGATATCAACTGCAACCAACTTCAACTTTCATCAAATACCACCAATATCAATATCAACATGCAGTTTGTACGCAAGGTCGAAGAGGCCCTGACTAGCAACAAGGACGAGTCGCATGAGTCGACTCAGTCATCCAACCATGGACCTCACAAGTCAAACTTGGCCAACAAGCTCGACCCCCGCGTCGACAGTGACAAAGGTTTGTCATTTCATTACACTTCAAATATCTTATCCCTCAGACTATTCAATGATACTGACTGATTTCTCAGACAACCGTGCTGCCCACACCGATGCGACTGGCGCTGGTCTTGGATCTACTACCCATGGCACAACCCCTGCTACAGGCACCCACAGCTCTACCTTGGGCTCTGGCAATACACACAGCACCTCAGGTGTGACTAGCACCGGTGCTGGTCTTGGAACAACCCACGGTACTACTGGCAGCACCAATGCCGGCCCCCACAGCTCCAACATCGCCAACAAGGCCGATCCCCGTGTTGACTCTGACCGCGACAACCGTGCTCGCCACGAGGGACTCACCGGTGCTAGCACCGGTGCCGGTCTTGGATCTACCCATGGTACAACCGCTGGCACACACAGCTCTACCCTAGGCTCTGGTACTACTCACGGTACTACTGGTAGCACCAATGCCGGCCCCCACAGCTCCAACATCGCCAACAAGGTCGATCCCCGTGTTGACTCTGACCGCGACAATCGTGCTCACCATGAGGGACTCACAGGTGCTAGCACCGGTGCTGGCCTCGGATCTACTCATGCTACTGGCACTACACATGGCACTTCAGGTGTGACTGGCACTGGTGCCGGTCTTGGATCTACCCACGGTACAACCGCTGGAACACACAGTTCTACCCTAGGCTCGGGCACTACTCACGGTACTACTGGCAGCACCAATGCCGGCCCCCACAGCTCCAACATCGCCAACAAGGTTGATCCCCGCGTCGACTCCGACCGCGACAACCGTGCTCGCCACGAGGGACTCACCGGCGCTAGCACCGGTGCTGGCCTCGGATCTACTCATGCTACCGGCACTCACGGCTCGACCCTGGGCTCTGGCACTACACATGGCACTTCAGGTGTGACTGGCACTGGTGCCGGTCTTGGATCTACCCACGGGACCACCGCTACAGGCACTCACGGTTCGACTCTGGGCTCTGGAACTGGCGCCACCCACAGCGCTTCTCACAGCGCTCCCATTCCCACCCCCGGCAGCAGCAGCACAAATGCTGGACCCCACAGCTCCAACCTCGCTAACAAGCTCGACCCCCGTGTTGACTCGGATCGTGACAGCAGTGCTCAACACCAATCTGCTTTCGCTGGTACCGGTGCTGGTACTACTACCCAGGGTTCCCACACTCGTGGTGCTACTGCTGCGCCCACTGGCTCGGCGCTTGGTGGCTCCGGTCTTGATACTGCTGGTCGTCAGGATGCTCTTGCTGGTAGCAGTTACAATACTCCTGCCACTGGAACTACTACTGGTACCACTACTGCTCCTCATAGTTCAAACATTGCCAACAAGATTGACCCCCGTGTCGACTCGAGTGTTACCCGTGCTGAGAATGAGAGTCTTCACCGTCAGATCTAGGTGAACATTGGACTAGACTTTGGCTTCCATTTCGGATCAACGAGACAGTCCTTGATATGATGCTACGAATTTGGAATTAAGAGCAAGCAATTTAGTTTTTTAACAATACAAGAAATGCCAAACGATTTAATTCTTTAAGCTTCTTTGCTGAATAGTGTTGTACATGTTTTTCCTGAGTAGAGTATTAGTCCACAGATTTCCATCACTCACCTCACTCTAGGTCCATATAGATTTTCAATATTGTACAGTGTGATTGTTTTCTTCAAACACCAAAGACCTCTTTCACAAGTGCCTTCTTATTGACCTTCCCCATCGCATTCCTAGGAATGGCCTCCAAAACCTTCATCTCCTGCGGAATCTTGAAAGAAGCAAGAGAATCCTTCAATGCGCGCCGCATATCCATCGGACCCCAGGACCGACCATTACGACCTGAAGCAGCTGCATCAGGAGCAAGAACAACCACAGCAGCGACTTTCTGACCCCACTGTTCAGATGGGAGACCAACAACCGCAGCTTCGGTGATTTGGGGACTAGAGCACGCATCGTCAGTATAGATCTTTTAAGTGAACATCCGAAAGAAAGAGAAACTTACAGAGAAAGCAACTCCCTCTCAACCTCCAACGCGCTAACCTTCTCAGCCCCAGTCTTAATAATATCAACACTCTTCCGCCCTTGGATGAAATACATAGGACCCTGAGCCCAAGTTCCACTCGCCCCACTACCAGCTCCATCAACTACCCGACGGTTCGCGACATCGCCGGTGCAGAACCATGCTCGGCCTCCATCATCACTCTGCACGAAACTCTCTCGCGTGGCTTTCTCATTTCCCCAGTAATGGTCGAAGATCGTTTCACCGCGGAGCTGGATCTCGCCTTCGCGTTCTCGGCCGCCGGTATTCTTTTCTTCCATTGGGATGATCTCACCCGTCTCAAGGTCGGCGAGTCGGGCTTCGACACCTGGGAGCGGCCAGCCGACGCTGCCATCAACGCGGTCTGCGGCGTCCAGGCCGCAGCTAATCGCCATGCCGACCTCGGTCATGCCGAAGCGTTCAAGCAGAACGTTGCCGTTGCTGAGGTTTGTCCAGGCGGTTTTTGTTGGGGTTGGAAGGGCTGCAGAGCCAGAGATGCTCAAGCGGAGGTTTTGTGGGGAGATTCCTTCTTTTGCGGCTTTTTGGAGCTCGGGGGTAAGTTTGGGGAAGGTGGTCATGAGGCGGTTGTAGATGGTTGGTACAGCAGTGAGGAATGTGATGGCTGATTTTGAGGTGTTGGATGGGAGGAATGGTGCTGCCAGTCGTTTCCAGACTTTGTCTGGGTTGAAGGGGTACATGAACTCGATTGAGGAGCCGGCTACTATTGGTGCCAGGATTGCGTTTACCACGCCATGGATGTGGTGGAGTGGGAGCAGGTGAAGAAGTCGGTCATCTGGTGTGTACTTCCATGCTTCTAGTAGTGAAGATGCTTGCGCAGCCAGTGCCGATTGGGGGATGAGAACACCCTTCTGTTTTCGAGTTAGTAATAGCTCCTTCGTTGCAAGAAACTAACTAAGCCTACCGGTCGATTCGTGGTCCCAGATGTATACAACATCATCCCACCGGACGAAGGCTGCTTCAGATCGCGCAGGGTTACGCTCTCCCTGGATGCGCCCTCTGTGAGCTTATTGCGGATAGCAAATAGAGGCTCATACTCCAATCCCTCTCGCAAGATTTCCTTGCCTTTATCAGCATATTTCTCGGTTGTCAGTAGCATCCTAGCCTGCGAATTATCCAGTATATACTTCAGCTCCGCAGTCGGGAAAGACGGCGAGAGCGGGAGCGCAATGGCATCACTAGCAAAGATCGCCAGCAGTGTCACTATATGCCCATTAGTATTCTAGGTATATATATTTTAATGGAATTCAAGACAACAGTACCTACGTAGTCATAGCTGTTCTCTGCGAGGAAGGCAACCCGCTCCCCAGCCAATTGGCCCTGTGTTTTCGCAGCCTTCTGTTCCAGGTCGTCCTTAGCGCGGACGATGTCGGCAATTAGACTACCGTATGTGAATGACCGGGAGGAGGCGCTATGCACAACAGCCAGGCTTTCAGGGTCATGGTTCTGGAGTGCGCGGAAGATATGTGTGTTCGGGAGAGTCGACAAGAGTCTTGCGCTGAGCGCAGGCATTCGCCGCGGAGTGATGCGAACGCGCGCATTCGAACGCGAAAGCAGGGAGAGTAAACTGCCAGACATTTTGAATTTCAGATATTTAATATTAGGAATTCATCTCATAGCACACCCATTCAAAAAGATGAGCAATTGAGGTGTTGAGCGAAAGACAAGTTGATGTCATGAGAGTGAAGTTCCCCGAAATCAAAAACATCCGATTGGCTTTGCGGACGTTTCTCTCCTCCTCGCTCCCTCCCTTTGAATGCTTCTTTCCTTCTAAATGCTTCCTCGCAGCCTTCCGGGTCTTCTCCCTCGCCGTCTCTTCTCTGTTTCTGCTAGGATGGCCTCCAATACGCCGTTGGAGGATGTCATGCGCGACAAGGTAAGTTATGCCTCCGTGTTGTTGATTTGCATTGCTAATATCTCCTTTCTTTTTTGTAGATCGCTCACGCATTCACACCTTCTAAACTAGAGATCCGGAATGACTCTCACCGCCATGCGCATCACGCTGCAATGGAAGGGTCGGTATCGAAGGAGACCCATTTCCAGTTCGTTTCCCCCCACATCCGAACCGCATACACTGTACACGAACTGAATGTCTAATCTCTTTCAGTGTGACTATCGTCTCCGATGCCTTCGAGTCAAAGATGCAGCCCGCTCGACACCGTATGGTCTACGCATTGTTCAAGGAAGAGATGGCTCGCGAGGGTGGACTACATGCACTGCAGTTGAAGACGAAGACACCGGCTGAGGAGCAGCGCGAGAAGGAAAGGAAGGAGAAGGTATAAATAGATAGTAGATTAATTGGGCGTTCAGGTGCTCTCATTAAGAGTCTTGTCGAGTCGCATACCCCCAGACAATGGCTCGAAATACATTATGTTACACTGTACAGACTACCTACGATTTCGGGACTCGGCTACGGTATATATCAGACTCACGCGCGGAGGAATCAATTATTAGACAGTATTACATAGGATCTAGCAACAAACAGGGGGCCGAAGAAAGCAACAATCTAGTATATACATCCATGCGCCGCGACATCACAAGCCCCGAAGCAGTGACAATCATCAAGGGCAATCGCGTATTAGGCGCGGAGCAGCTGTACACGAACACGCAGGTACAGCTAGGAGGCAGAAACACAAAAGAAAAAACGGTTTGAAGGGCATTGCTTTTACACAGGAAGGAAATGCGAAGGGGTGGTATAACGAGGGGACAAAGACAAATGGGAGGATACGGAGATGCGGAGATCCCCAGGAAAGGTCGTACGTGGAGGAGACAGGAAAAGAATGTAGCGCAACAGACAGATCATTTGTTGGCCTGGGTGACACCGACGGCCACACCGACGACAATGGCAATGATAATGACTAGATAATTAGGTTAGTAGACGGTGCGGATATTGATGCGCAGACAGCTAAATACTTACTGATGATAATCAGTGCATACCACTTCCAGCGTCGAGCGTTCTTGGCGCTCTGAATAGCGCTGTCAAGCTTGGTGTTGGCCTGCTCGACATTGCGGTGTGTCTCCTCAGCTCCCTGTTGGATCTGCTGGACTGCAGGCTCCTGCTGGTGCACCAGCTCTGCGACCTCGTTGTACAAGTGGCTAAGTTCGATCAGATCCTGCTCGATCTTGCGGATGGCGGCGGAACGCTGCATAGTAGCCTGACGGGCATCGTTGGCCTGGCGAGTGCGAGTACCGGGAACCTAGTCATCAAATATCAGCAACTGAGTCCTCTATAAAGATTCGACTCCGGGAAGACATACAACAAAGCTTTGCTCCTGTCCCATCAAGACATTCTGTACACCCTGCTCCAACTCCTCGGGGGTAGCCTCGGGGTTGGCAATCTCATATCGGCGGCGCACTTGCTCCTCCAGACGCTTCTGGAAGTCGCTCTGTGTGCGCTGGTACTGCTCAATCTCACGGCGAAGGTTGCGACTGACGTTCTCAACTTGGCCCTGCACACGCGAGTCGCCAGATCCTGGGGTCTCCTTGATGCGCTTGAACTGATCGCGCAGGTAGCGCAGCGCAGTGTTAATCTCATCCTCAATGTAGTCGAGTGTTTGACGTGAAGCCTGGTCTTCCTTGCCGGTGCTGGAGTCCAGAAGGGACTTTTGGGCGGCGATCAATTGAGTCTCGCGCTTCTTGGTCAGCTCGGCGATGCCCTCGTTCATCTCCTTGCACTTGTTCAGAATCGCAGTTGGGCCACCAGATGAGGCTTGATTGATGTTGGACATCTCTGTCAGGAAATTAGAATCGTTCCAAGATGTAGTGCGATTATCGGGTCAGCATACCATAGCCACCATTTCCCTGCTCTGCAGCACCGCCCTGGTTGTAACCAGCACCATATCCATAGTTCTGCTGTGTTTCCTGGGCCCCATAGGGATTGCTCTGCTGCTCACTTCCGTACGGGTTGTACTGGCCGTAGCCACCTGCAGCGTTATCCCCTAAGCTCTGGTACTTAGGAAAGTCGCGTCAGAAAGCAAATCCAGGCAAACAAGGAGGTCAGATTGGTTCACTTACACTCATGGTGTAAATTTTGAGGTTCTCAAATCTGTGCAAGGCAATAGTAGGGGGGGAAATGAAGGAGGGAAGGGTGAGACGGGAGAGGGTGGAGGGTACGGCAGAAGCGCTGGCGGTGTCAGGAGAGCAAAGCCAATAAGGTCCGGGTGTTAGTCGCGCTGAACAGCAGAATTAAGCATTAATTTGAGTTGGATTTGATGGGTTTCAAAGGTTTCATAAGTTCATGGGTTTCATAGGCCTTCAAATTTACTTTGTTTTAGGGGACCCCCCTTATTTTTAACAATTTCCTACAGAGTGGACAGTGCACTGTTCCTACATTAGTACGGAGCACAGAGTACCCTTGCTATTTTGTAGAGTGGAGTCTCAAAAACTGACCACTCACCCTGTGTGGCTGTGTTCTATTTAAGACAGATCGGCGTGATTCGATGGATTCGATAGACTAAGTGGAATCAGGCGTTGGGGGTGGGATATATTTTCCAAGGTACTGGATACTTGACTTTGATAGTGATCTTCACTTTGTAAGATGTATCTAGTACTTATTCAAGATCCGCTGTGGCAATGTGAGTCTGCACGTCATGGTTATGATGTATCGACTTATGAAAGACCTATGTATGTAGCTATAGACTACTCCAATAGGAATACAATCCAGTTAGAAAGACATCAAAATGCTGTTACCTGTCAGGCAAGAAGTCGGAAATAGCATGCGTGTAAGAAGCTGAAAAATTGTGCGTGAAACTTGGCCAATCAGAACACTGGGCAACAACAATGAGCCTCATCTCAGGCATCTAAATATATGTTTAGTAGATGTATCCTCCGTATAGATGTATAACTACAGGAGACGATAATGTTGATGCCTTCGCATATATTCTTTCAAGAATGTCAAATATTACTGCCTGATTTAGTAGAATATGATATAGCATGACAACCTAATTAGGAATCCTACATATACCTATGAACTGAGGCATCTAGATTTATATCCGGGTTTATATATAGAAAAGTATCTTGAAATATCATGAAATATCAGGCTATAATGGCTATAATGGCTATAATAGATGTCAGCCATCATGGCGCCTAAAGTAGTAACTCGGGCCTTCCTTCTTTCTACCATCCTTCTGCCTCGAAAAGCCCTGGGATTCCCGTAAACATACATCCATGGATGTAAATATGCCTTGTCATCGTCCTAATACTCTCACTTCTCTCAAAATGGACCAACTGCTCCTAGTTTTGCCGTCTATAATGGTATTAATTAGTACATTCTTGAATTTCCAGCCCTGGTGCATCTGCCATGAGATCAAACGATGCTTGCGCCTCTCGACCCCGACATATCTGCTACAGGTAAGTCTCCAGGGATATTCAAACGTTGCCATGGATTTCTGTAAATACTCGTTGTATTTAGGCAGGTTACAGGCAACTTGACTTATGCTCGGGAGATCTGCGGCCCCTTCTCCTCGTGGGTCGAGGACGTTGTATTAGGACACCCATGGTTCCTTCCAGTGAAGAGAACGTCACCTAGATCTATCAATGCCTGTTCCGTAGATATTTAGGGGCAACTTATTCCCGAAATCGTCAACAACAACATCCTCCTCGGTCTTTGGTATCGCTCATCTAGACTTCACTCCTCCCACGAGAGTCGACTAAGTCTCAACCTAAAGTAGAGGAGCTCTCTCTACGGCTTTATAGTCCCGTTAACTGAGAGCTAATCCATCTCGACCGCGTTTTCATTAAGCAGCTTCCTCAAAAACTTCTAGAAGCCTTCGCGGTTTGGGAAAAGAACGTGGAATTCGACCAGTCACCAAGGTACAGGACCACGAGGCCTTTGTCATCTAGTCCTTATTCCGACGTGGGAGTATAAAGCTTGGATAAGTTCTAAAGAGGCAAACAGCGGAACACCGTATCACCCCAAAATTCGTTTGGTTCAACTATGCTCATGATTGGAATCGTGGGACATAATGAACATAATCCTAGTCAACCTCTAAGGTGAGATCTATCTCAGGTTTACACATCTGCTGTGTCTTCTTTGGCTCAGCAATATTACCCCTGCGAATCAAAGGAAGGACTACGTTATAATTTACGGATATAAGGGGGGGAAGGCAACTAAAGAAATGGGAAGTTGGCAGAATTTTGACTTTCTCATTCGGACCTCTGTTTCGAATTAGTACAGTCAGACCCAATCCGACCTACGATCACCATTTTTCAGGACGTTCTTTTCATAGTGTTGGTGTGAATAAAATCAACTTGCAACAATGTAGGCTGAACCCTGAGCGATGGCCCCAGCAGCGCTAACACCTCCAGCAGCGGTCTTATCCTACCACAAACAAACCCGTTGCACACCTTAGGCATAGACTCAGTTTAAACACATGTCGGTCAAGGTTGTGGTTGTCTTGCCATTTCAAACAGTTGAAATACAATATTATACATAATTTTGTTCTCATATAACAATCAGTTCTTAGTGTCCTATAGCTGATATATACATAAATAACGGTAATATATAACGACCTAGGGCTAGCGCCACGATGTCACTTTAGACCGCACCATGAAAATCGCCAGCCAATATATTACCCACCTCCAACTCAACTGAATTAGAATCCACAGCTCTGAATCACCCGCCCTGACTTTATCCCCTACAATGGACACCCCAGACAGCTATCTTCCCCCAGCGTTGAGCGCCGACACTATCAGTCGACTTATCGTGTCCCTGAATCTCCCCGCTCCTAGCTCAATTGAACCTCTCCATGTCACAGCGGCCTTTCATTCTATCTACTTGGTCCATTTTGCAGCAATCATCACTCCAATTCATACATATGATGGCTCTGTGTTCCCAGTCAATGCCAACGGCTCAGTGACTCTGGTCTTACGCGTCTCAGGCCGTCAATTACCAAGCATCAAAACCCGTAATGAAGTCGGAGTTATGACATGGATTCGTCAGAATACTACCATTCCCATCCCTGCCATCATTCGCTACGACTCGACCGATAACAATATCATTCGTCATGAATTCACTCTCCTCGAAAAGGTTCCTGGGAAGAGTATCGATCAGATTTATCATACTCTGTCAGCAGACGTCCGCACTAAGATCGTCCACCAATTGACTGACTATCTGATCGAGCTTCATGCACACCCCTGGGACGGCTATGTCGGGGGTCTGACTATCACAAATGGAGAAATCAATAAGGGTCCTCCAATCGAAGAGAATTTCTGGCAATTGCCCGATGTGGAAAAGTATTGGGCGGGATCAGAGTCCCTTGAGTTGTTGAATCCTATTCCTTCTCAGGGCTTCCCTAGCTTCGTGGACTTCACTCTCGCCTGTCTCAATCGCTACATCTATGCTATCGAAAAACACTCGTCACTTGAATCTTATAGAGATCTGATTCCGAGAATTCGTACCTTCATCACATCTATTCAGGACCATGCCGATGGGCTGAATCAGGTCGTATATGTCCTGGCACATAAGGATCTCCATTTTGCAAATATCATGTGCGACCCAGACCACCCGGACTGTCCCATCACTGGTGTTCTGGACTGGGAGTTTAGCAGTGTAGTGCCCGCTCCTCGCTGGAACCCTCCTCGCGCCTTTTTATGGAATATGAAGTCCACACCCGAGGATAAAGAGGAGCAGACCCGGATGGAAAAGCTCTTTGAGTCTGTCTGTTGTAAGAAGGGAGCTGGGAAGATCCTCAAAGAGATGGAATTGAGCCCACTCCAGCAGTCCATGCAGACTGCGGTGAATTATATTCGTGCTATTGTGGAAGTCTGTCCCCGCGGCCAGGCTAAAGACCGTGTTGCTCACTGGCGTGGGGTGGCGGAGGCCGCGATGGAGGCGTTTGGAGTCTAGGGTACCTGCCAGTAATCGATCATATCTATGCATGGAAACTGAATGGTTGTTGTACATAGTACACATAGTACATATTAACATGGATTGAACCTTTTAGATGCTTGTGGACTTATTGCATATCATTTATTTTCATTTTCATTTATGAGTTATATATACTAAATTAATCCGAGCATCATATCATACCACATCTCACGATCTGCACAGCAGTTTTAAAAACACAGAGAGTGCTCCGATAATGCAAGCAAAGATGAAAAAGTACGATCCCAGCGTAAGAGATACTTGCAATGCCAATGCGAATGCCAAAAGAACAAGAAAATCAAAATATTAGAAACCGGTACAAGGCTTACTCGGCCTTGGACTGGCGCCGTTCCGCCTCGATCGGAGCTTCAACCATGTCGTCCTCCGCATCGAGGGCGTTCATATCATCTTCCTTGGCGTTGAGGTGGCGGAAGATAACGAAGAAGATCATACCGCACAGGCAAGATGCAACGGCAAGACCAGTGAACATCCACATGATGGCAGGATCGAAGGCGGCGGGAGTGAGGGCTTCAGCGATAGCGGATCCGAACGCGTTGGTAAGAAGGTACATGGCCTGGACGAAGGACTTCATGCTGGGAGGCGCCTTGGTGTATGCGTACTCGAGACCGGAGACAGAGGCGAAAATCTCAGAAACACCCATAAAGACGTAGGCGGGGGTTTGAATGGCGATGTGCACCTTGTTGCCGTAGGCAGTGCCGTCGATCATAGAGGCCTCGCACAGAGGAGACTCGTAGCAGGGTCCGGCAGAGTAAATCAGGTGCTGCACGATAGCGGCGTACGCCATAGCAAGCGAACCGACGATGAAACCAAGGGAGATACGGGTGATAGGGAAGAAGGGAATCTTCATGCGGCGCATCACGGGGTAAACGCAGGTTTCGAGGATGGGAATGAAAACGATGATGGAGATGGGGTCGAAGTTCTGCATCAGATCGTTGGGGATGCCGTGGCCTTCCATTTGGCCGGCTTGGGCGACGAAGTTGCTAGAGAACTGTCCGTAGACGACCCAGTAGATGGGGTAGAAGGCGAACACGCGGCAGGCGACCAGGGCGCGCTTCAGCTCCTCGATAAAGTGGTCGTCCCAGGTAACAGCGGACGCGCCGTTGTGCTCGGTCTGCCATGATGGCTTGGGGGCATCCATGTTGCGGTTCTTGATCATCATCCAGATAGCGCGGAAAGCGTCGGTGATGATAGAGCCCTGGGGTGGGCGAACGACATAATACTTGCGGCCGAGGACGATCACGAGAGTACCGACCATGAACATGCAGAGACAGAGGAGAAAGGCGGGCCAGAAGTCGATGTACAGCTCCATGTAGGGAGTGGCGAGCAGAGACAGCGAACCGACGTTGATGCATCCGTAGAAGATCATGTAGATACGCTGGATGGTCAGGGCGGGGTCGATGATGACGCGCTCACCCTTCTTGGTGGTGGAAATAGCCATCTTCTTGCGCTTGTACTGATCCGCAATCAAAGGAGCCACGTTACTCTTGATACCACCTGTACCCAGACCGATAATCAAGATGGCGACAATGAAACCGCCGATACCAGAGCCGTGTTCCAGGGCAGTGGGAATGGAGGTACAGACCAGGACGAGCAGGCCGACCATATAGATGATACAGAACAACACAATGGTCTTGTACTTGCCGAGATACTGATCGGCGACGATAGCACCGATGATGGGCGTAACATAACACCAGAACTGGAAGAAGGTAGTGAGACCAGTGGCACCCTGGTGATCCATACCGAGTGCACCACGCCCCTGGGTACCATCCCGAGGTCGCTGGACGTAGTTTTGGAACAGACCCGACATGCCGTAGTAGGTGAAACGCTCGCAGAGCTCGACGACGGCCACCAACCAGGCGGAGAGGGGCAGGTTCTCTGCGACATGACGCAAGGAAGTCTTTTCCGAAAGTGTGGGTTCGCCGCCATCTGCAGTGACCTGGTTCTCCTTGTCGAAATCGACGTCCATAGCCTTTTCATTCAGGACGACATGCTGGGTGACATCCTCGGTGTTATCATAGGACGGAGGTCTGAAAATAGGGTTAGTTGCACTCTTGAATTTTCTAGATAGAGAAATACATACGCAGCAGGAGTCTCAATCTCACGGTCTGTGGACGACATGGCTACGAGACTAGATGATGCCTTCTTTTTCAAGAGGGCCAAAAAAAATCGCAGTCAGAGTAGAAAAAAAGACGAAAAAGAAAAAAAAAGGGTGTGATTAATACTATATATGCAATTTTCCATTACCCAACATCCGACATTTGAGTGGGACCGAAAGAGAGAGTCTTATCTCTAGAAAAAAAAGAAATAAATAAAGAAGAATAGGAAGAAACCAATCCCAACGTCTCCTCTGATGCTCCGATGCCACTGCGAAGTAAGGCTTATCCGAAAAAGTCGGATATTAGACATTGTTCGCAGCCTTCGACCGTGGACGCGATCGGCGGTGTTTATCCTCCAACGGCGAATGGCTGGACTGGAGATGAATTGACCCACGAATGTAACCACACGGCACGGAAACAAGGTCAAGCAATTAGATGCTGAGTATTGAGTGGGCTGACCCAGACTGGATCAATCAGGGCGGCGAATGACTAGTCCGGGATGAAATATTTGGGCATCTGGGGATTCTGGAAGGGCCAGTCCGAGTCCACTTTCCATTTTTTCCCATCAAATCACATGGAGAATTCCCATTCGGATATTGCCGGTGAAGCTTGAAAATTTCCCAGTTGGGACGTTTCCGGTAGAATTCGCCACGAGGGCAATTTCCCCCCCTTGCAAATACCGGAGGCAAGCCCCATGTTCCGTCCCTTTTGAAATCATCGGGGTATATTCGGGATCTGATTGACCGAGATCTCATATTGTATTTTGTATATTGGCTTGAGCAATGTCATGTCCAGGTGGGACGCCTTTGGTTGAGGCAACCGGCTGAGGCGACATGCCAGGGCTTGAACTGTGGGAAGCACCTTCGTTTTCGGATCGTATGTCTCGAGACCTAATTTAGTCCGTCGATAATCACCAGATGATCCCGGTCTTTTTGCCGAATGCAACGTTGGGGCCTTTTCCCCCTCATTTTTGGGAGTTTCGCATGCCTTAGAGCTTCAAGCTACCCGCTTACCCGGTACACTTGTTTTGGTGTTCCCCGTAACGAGATGGCAATAGCCAATGCTATTCAATGCCATTTAAAGCGATGACCTGAGAGGAACCATTTCCATTCCGATCTTGGTCTGGTCTGGTTTGGGCTAGTTCTGGGGTAATTATTCTCTCGTAAGTGTTGAGAGTCGAAGCGAAGGTGGTGGATCTGGTGCTCGGTGCCTGCCAAGCCCACAGATGATAAGGGGGGTTTCTGTTAGTGTTGGTCATTAGTACATGTAGAGACATCAACCTTGGAAGTCATCTTATAATGGATATTTTTTTGGAGTGAAAAGGGAAGGGAGAAAAAACAGAAGAAGATCAAAGATGACAATTGCAGGGACACCCATAAATATATAACACCAAGAAAACACCAAGAGTCATGGCACACGCCCTTTGGGACTCCGACTTCGCTTGTGAAGGCTGAGCTTCCGGTCCCACCAACAGGAGGGCTTATCGCCAACATTGTATTCTTAAATTGTGCAAGCCCCCAAGCCTTGGGCCCTCTGCCCAGCCGCCAAGTGAACGCCTTAAGAATTTCAAGGCTTCTTTTAAGAGACAATCCTGACACTGGCAAATTATGTCACGAGTCACCAGCTTCCTGTTCTATCTGTTAACACCTTGCAAGATTCCGTAAGGTTATGTATATCGCTTGACATGGCCACTGATACTCAATCCTCTCGAGTTGCATGCTCTTCCTATTGGCTTAGACTTACTTGCCAAGCCCAATCCGTTAGAGTGCTCTCTTTATCTCGATCCTTCCAAACCGCATGTGATATCCTTGCGACTTCCCAATCCAACTAGCTAAGATCACTACTCTCTGTGGTTGGGCCAATATGATAACACCGGTCATGACATCCTGCGATGTCGGCCCCCAACCGAGATTATGCCGTATGAAGGGCTCTGCGGACTCTGATATTGCGACAGTAGCAACCACTCAGATCAGCTCGGTGGATCTCTGTGGGTGACTTATTGCCGTGGATGGTGCCCATATAGTGCTGACCTAGGATGGAGTGTTGAGAATGACATTCCATGAACCTCGAAGAAATACGATAGTATCTTGAGGTGTTGTTTCTGGATGTTCTCCCGAGCGGATTCTCTTCCCAGCTAAGACTTGGAAGGAGATATTATAAAGGATACTGTGTTGATCAGAGGATTTTCGGCGAAAGTACGGAGTAGCTTGTTTACCTCTTAAAAATGTGTCCTATTGGCTATTTCGTACGAGATAATTTACCGCGAGGCAATTGGACGCCGTTCTCTCTGCCGTTCCCGCCGGGGTTTTCGACTATGCTCTAAGTTTAGGTCAAAGCGGTTGATTTGGAGAAAACAAAGCGCTTTGGATCACCTTTTGTCTCTATTATTTGTCCCCCGGAGGTCTTTTTTGAGATCCTGGGCCACAAAGTCACGTCTTAGGCAGCCCAGCTGCTCCGAGTTTTCCTCGCTGTCATTTCCTATGCTCCAGCCTTACTCGTGGGGGCATTTTAGTTATAACTCCCACTATTGGTTCCCTGTAGAAATGCACCAGTACTAGCCCAGTCTATTAATCTCCTGATTTATCTACTCCGTACGGCCCGTATAGTTCCATCCCCTCTATGAAGTATCTCAAGAAGCCCATCAATCGTCCAGTTAGTTTCATCTTCTCTTTGCTACTGTTGTGGCGCCTGGACGCATTGGAACATCAGGTAATAGAGCGGGTTTAGGAGGGGAATAAGACGGCTCAGTGATATGTACCTACCTACAAATGTTCGATGAGTCACCTCTTACCATTAATAATTCAACGGTGTCATATGATGAGAGATACAGTGTAGAGAGAACCTTCGATGCTCGCCTGTAATGCCGTGCATGTGTTTCCTTTTGGCAAATCTCGCTTTCTTAACAACCATTGCTTTTCTCAATGTTTTCCCATTAGAACATAGGTTAATAGAGGGTTATTATAACGTTTTCACGAGCAACTCAGGTTTGCTTTTAGGTTTTTGAGCAGCAAATATGTATATATCCTAGATCTTGTAATATATATCATGTGCTCCCCCTAATAATATATTGTCCAATCCATTTGGCAGCCGTTTCACATATGATAGGTGCTTGATCAGTCCCTATGGAAAGCCAATTACCTACATAACTATCTTGAGTGTTACAGGTATACAACCCTATCACATCAAAGAATTGGATTGTATCATAAGTAACAAGTTTTCTTAGATAAGTATGGGATCTACGCAAGGCTTGGGCATGTTTCCTTTTGCTTTCTGCTACCTGACAAATGTCTGATCTACATCCGAGCCTTAGTCCTCAGCTACACTATTCTTTTTGGCTTTCTCCAACAGCCTGCTTTGTGGTGGCCTTTGCCACTTAAAGCAGTATTGTCCCTTTCTTAGTGCAGTGCGTCTCATACGCGCACCAGTTCGCCAAACAGTTTCCCCTTCCTTTGTCCAACCCATCTCAAAGGGCACACTGTAGTCTGGAGGGGTCGGGAGGTCCGGCCATGTAAGCCGCTTAGGTGCATTGAGATATCGTTCCATGGCTCTGTCGGTTCTCGTTGCTATCCATTCATTCAGGAACTTGCGGAACTTTGACACGTCGGAGTCTAGTTCGCGGTGACAAGTCCATTCAATAGTCTGCACCATATCTATGGTTCGCTCCCAGTGAGGAATGCTTGTAAAATGTGTATCGTTTGTGATGATCTCGTATAGTGTAAATGCAACACCAGACACATCGTCTCGATCATCTAGTAGATAGTCCTTTCCATTGGCTGCCCAGTCAAAATCGAAGAGAAGAATCTTGTCTGTTTCAGGGTCGACCAGCAAATTTCGGGGTGCAATATCTTGATGCATGATCCCTAATTCTAGGTTCAAGAAATCCACCACCTGGGTAAGCTGTTGTAGCCATTCAAATCGGAAAGGCATTTTCGGATCGGCATCTGCTAGTGTTCCACCTGGGATATATTTTGTTGTGAATCCAATCACTCGAGACTCCACGTCTTCGAGAACGACGCGATCAAATGGTACTATATTAGGATGTGGTGGTAGTTTGCTGAGCATGTTTATCTCCTTCCAAGACATTTGTAGTCTTCGAGACATGCCTAAAGGGTTGAATTTGAATGCGACCCTCTGACCATCGTACGCCGAGAGGTCCACACCTGGTCCAAGCCGATCGAGCTCTTGAAGTTGAGAGAAGTAGATTGTGGAGCAATCTGCAAACGATTGACAGAGCGAGAATGGGATATACCCAATAAAGAATGTATCATCTTCTTTTGGATCTGTCGAGACTCCAGTAAGAAGCCCGTCGTCGTCGACTGTGATTGCACGAACTTCGGGCGAAAGGTAATCGGCAAATTGGGCAAGAATTGAGTTCTCAATATCTTCGTCAGGTGGAAAAAGCCTGGCAGTTCCTTTGACTTTGATCAAGCGCAACTGATCCCAGTGCCATACATTGCAGTGAGTTTCGGTTGTAGGCCTTTCCCTAGGACCAAAATAGCCCTGACCCTCTGAGTAGAATCTATCTTCGGGCTTGATCATGATGAAATTATCAATGAATTGTGTGCTGGTGGTACACTGCCTGTCCTGTGAAGGAGGCTCTATATCTCTCAAAGGATCATGAAAATGCGGTGTAGATCCGCAGAACATGGATGTTCTTAGCGCTGAACCCCTAAGCGCCCACTTGGAACATTATCCCTGTAACACACTAAGATGCTCGTGGCTATCCTTTCCAGGAAGTGCCGGTATATTCCCCAGCACCGAAGACATCGGGCAGTGAGGACCAATGTTCAGTGCCAATACTGTTAATATTCAAAATACCACTGAGGGTTCTGTTTATGGAATCTATACTGAACCTATCATCTTAGCCCTTTCCACCCTTCAATTATCCTCTATAAATGTTTGAGTATTTTGGGGAATTGAGGTGACACCGTTCTTTCATGTAAGTGTACAGAGAATCTGAAGTCGAAAAGAAACATCACTTGCGGGTAGGGTCATCTTAATAATGGCAAGAAAGGGCGAAAATCCTCCAAGGCTTTTCTCCCTATATCATATGGCTTGCATGTATGAAATGGAAGGCTGTCCGGTCCCATATAAATGTTATGCGACGCCGATCAGATGAGACCAGGAAAAAGACCTATTAGACATGATTTGGACATGCAAGCTACTACTGAACTACACATCCTGTTATACTGAGACCTCCTAGCATAACTGCCATCCAAAATCAACAGCTTTACGTAGGCGCTTGACCTCGCCAAAACCGAGCTAGCATGCCAACACCAAAAGTAGAATGCATCCATGAACAGGTCATATTTGTATAGAATAATGTAAGGAAAATATCATCATACTGGCACGACCTCAACCTCAACCACGGCATAAGCCTCGTAAAATGTGTTTGGTAGAGTAAGATACAAGTCGCAAGCAATCAGTTCGTCCCTGCAGAACTATGCAGCGGGGTGGGCATAAAGGGGGGAACCTCGGTCCCTATGTGAATCACTCCCAGTTTCCCAGCACCACACATCGAGTCGAGTCAATTCCCCTCGATATGTGTCGTCCGTAATCGTGAAATCTGCGCATCGCCATCCGTCCCCTTTTTCGTTTTTCATCCTCGTCTGCACATCACCATCTCAGCCAAACCACCTAAACGGTGTACTTGGCCTTCGCGCGCGTGCTGCCGCTGTGTGCACTGTCAGTGTGGCCGGAGAACTCCACCACATCTGCCAAATTAAGTCGCAGCACGTCCTTGAACCGCTGGCCAATTGCCTCGAGAATCTCCTTGCCCTGAGCCTGTGTGCGGGTGTGCTTATCGCCCTGGATGCTCTTGCCGACTGTGCGTGTCCATAGACCGACACGGTAGAAGCCTTTGCGCACGTTCACAACCACTCCCATAACTTCGTTGTCATCGTCGTTCTCGAGGGTCTCGCCGATTGCGGCCAGCTGCGCATGCAGCCAGAGTTCATCAATGGGGACGGAGCGCTTGTCCTTGAACTGGTATGACCACTTTCCACCGTGCTTGTTTTGGGGGTCCTCCCACTCGGGTCGTACGCCCTTCTTGAAGAGGTGGTAGTCGGCCTTGAGACCAAGTTCGGAGGTCGGCGTGATGTTGTTCTAATAGCGATCGAGGTTAGTGTGATTCTTGATCGGGGAAAACTTCGGATTGGACATACATAGATGCCCCAGAATTCTTCAACGGAGCTGAAGGTAACCACCTCCTTGAGCAGGTCGTTCCAGTTGTCGCCCTAATTTCTATCGGTAAGCATGCTGGTGTCAATCTATCTAACAGGTGTCTCCTACCTTGCCACTGGGAGGCTTAGTGAACCACAGAGTCCATTCGTGCATAAGAGGGTGCTTCACGTTGAAGTCATCGGGGTTGTGGAAGACAGTGACAGCGTCACCAGTCTGAGTCTCGGCGACAGGAGCGGAGTTCTCATCGGCAACAGCCGGAGTACCATTTTCTGCGACGGTAGCCATGGTGAATGGATGTGGAGGGGAGGGGAGACGATTGAGTCGGAAAGTCGGAGGGGCGAGAATTTTAGGGAAAGCGCAAATCGGAGCTTTTCACACAAAGAAGGTAAGAGGAATCCGAGCCTGGATCTATTTAGGAGTAATAGTCTGCTCCAGGCAGTGTGAGATGAGAGTAGAGGTGGGCGACAATTGACTGCGAAGAGTGGAAGTTTTGAAGTTCGAGCCACAAAAACTTGCCTTGCCTCTTTAGGTTCTTCCGTAACATAATCAAATATCACACCTATATCTCCGATCTTCACTTTACTCTGGTTTCTTTTCAATCATTTAATTTATTCTAATAATTTAATTATATTTAATTTCAGACTTATTCTAACTAGAATTCTACAGTAAAAATACAGAAGAAAAATCTTCCTGAAAGCGATGCCTCAGGACCAAACAAACCAACAACAAAAAAAAAATACTATACCATGGAGCGCCAATGTGAAAAAGCTCAGGATGACTGATCAAACTTCAAGGGTATCTCAAATCACTTCCTCTCCGCTGTTCATCAAGCTAAGGAAGCAGTTCCAGCCTGTTCAGTTGTTAGTGACTGGAGTGAGTATAATGAGCAACACTTTGAAAGCAAAGTACTCACCCAAACTGATAACGTTGACAAACAGCAAGCGCAACTCTGGCGGGACAAATGTAAAGTTGACACCCTGAACAAAGGGCCAGACCATCAGGTTGGCCTTGTAGGCGGGAATAAAGGCAGTGTTCCACCTTTCCACGGGATCAACGCCTTCCATGATAGCCATCGAGGATAGGAAACAGGAGAGCTGGATCGGGGCAAAGAAAATTTGATCGGCAGCAACACGTGCAACGGTGGTAGATGCGGTGCCCTTAAGAACAACATGACGCTGGAGGATGCCGAACCAGGTAGTGGCAGCTGGACCGAAGATGGCTAAAAGAAAAATACACACAGATCAGCAAGTTACAACAAACTTGAGCCTTATCAACATACCTCCACCGTATAGAGCCATTCGCCCAGTGCGGGCAAAGTCGTGCTTTTCGAGACCTTTCCGGTCAACAGCTTGCTGTGCTAGAACATCACCGCTGCCAAATAGGAACTGTTGTAACGAAGATCAGGAGCTTGTTGAGGGGAATAGAACAGGAGAAGATCGTACAGCACTGGTGATGCTTGCGGTGAGGATAGGCCTCGTTATCAACTTTGACTGGTACCTGTTTGAAGTTGTTTTGAGCTTCGATTCAAGGAGGTGAGTAGCAAGAGAGACTTACCAGCGCAACATAACTGCGATTGGGTAGATATAAAGGGGGAAACGACCGGAGGAGAATGCAAAGAATGAATGGAAAAGCTGAAAAGGAAAGGGGGGACGCTGAAATACTATTGAAGGGGGAACTGGGGGAATAATCTTGAAATTGCGGAGTCGAGATTGACCTGTCGCATTACTCAAATAGGAAGTGCATCCGCCTGAAGCAGAATTTGGAGTGACGTAGGGGGTAGATTACAACATTACGAGGACTTGAGTTTTTATAAATATATCATACATTGGTAGATACTTCTATAGATAATGATCTTCGCATCATCATGAAATAAATGTATTCCTTCATCCTCAGCATCAATTCCCCCTTTAAACAACGACGATCAATCGATCTACTTCTGGGCCCCGTCAGGTGACACCGCCCTGGAAACCTTAAGTGCACGTGCCACCTCCCCGATCAGGAACTTAGGGCATAGGGTCCCCACTAGGGCTGCCCGCTCGCTTAGCCCACCCGCGCAAATTTCGGGCAAACAGTGCTCAGCGCCGTGAAACTCGACGACCAACTCAATACCGACAACCCTCCCCGTCGCTTCCCATAACAACAAAAATATGGCTGACGCTGCTCCCCGTGGACGTGGTGGTTTCGGTTCGCGCGGCGACCGTGGTGGTGAGCGTGGTGGTGACCGCGGTCGTGGTGGCCGTGGTGGCCGTCGCGGCCGTCGTGGCCCCAAGCAGGAGGAGAAGGAGTGGCAGCCCGTCACCAAGCTCGGCCGTCTCGTCAAGGCCGGCAAGATCACTTCTATGGAGCAGATCTACCTCCACTCTTTGCCCGTCAAGGAGTACCAGATTGTCGACTTCTTCCTGCCCAAGCTCAAGGATGAGGTTATGAAGGTACGGATCGACACACAGTTTTTGAAATTGGAGGATTGAGCGGGACTCGACTGGAATGCGACAATTGAACGCAATTGTGTGCAATGGAAGCTCGAGCGGAAAACGAATACATCGAAAACAGACCAGAAACTAACGTCAATTTCAACCTACAGATCAAGCCCGTCCAGAAGCAGACCCGTGCCGGTCAGCGTACCCGTTTCAAGGCTATCGTCCTCATCGGTGACTCCGAGGGCCACATCGGTCTCGGAATCAAGACCTCCAAGGAAGTCGCCACCGCTATCCGTGCCGCTATCACCATCGCCAAGCTCGCTGTCCTCCCCGTCCGTCGCGGTTACTGGGGTACCAACCTTGGTGAGCCTCACTCTCTGCCCGTCAAGCAGTCCGGAAAGTGTGGTTCCGTCTCCGTCCGTGTAAGTTTTCTATGGTGGTCATATCTGACCTTGGTCCTTTTTTTTTGGGAGGCCAGTGATCTGAAGAGATGGTTTCTAATTGACTACAGCTCATTCCCGCTCCCCGCGGTACCGGCCTTGTCGCTTCCCCCGCTGTCAAGCGTCTGCTCCAGCTCGCCGGTGTCCAGGACGCTTACACCTCCTCTTCCGGCTCCACCAAGACCCTCGAGAACACCCTCAAGGCCACCTTCGTCGCTGTCGTCAACACCTACGGTTTCCTTACCCCCAACCTGTGGGCCGAGACTAAGCTCATCCGCAGCCCTCTGGAGGAGTTCGGTGATGTCCTCCGCCAGGGCAAGAAGTACTAGGTTATGGATGATGCATGATTTTTGTTCGACAATTCCAATGGGTTTCTTTTAAAACTTCTCCCTCTGCGCTTGGCGATTAAAAGGTGGTTCGTGTGTGCGAGAGACATCTCCGCTCCGCTCTGGATGTATTTATCATGGGGAGGGACACAAAATAGCGAAGTCCACGGGCC